TCCGAGGACGAGTATGGTTTGTTTGCAAATACTGACGTGTGTTCTTGTTCGACTTCCCGGTACTGGTACCACTTTAAAAAATCCCCTTGACCTGCCCTCGTGCCTGGTATTATTAATACAGTAGTTCCCGAACTACTGTAGTCACTCAAATTGCATTGATTGGTCTAGGTCTATTTTGTTCCACACGTTGCTTGCACGCTTGTCGTGATTACACACCGGTAACGGTTCGACGACTGACTCAGATACCTACTAAAACACAACGAAAATTACCTGGTAGCGTGCGTATCCATTTTATTGCGGCTTCACTTCGAATGAATGAATCATCGACATCGGATGAAAGTACACGTATCGGTACGTGTACGTGCACGTGTACTGGTGAAATATTAGCAGGCATTGGGTCAGCAACTTTGTGTGAGTTGCATTGCATTGGTCCGAAAAAGACAATCCTGACCACGACCGTAAATGAAATTATTTAATAAAAATGTATTGGACCTTCTGAGGACCCACGTGTTTTATTGTTGTAAATCCCCGGTCAGCTGCCTGTTTCCAGAAATCCACCTTCACCTACCTACCGAACATATTGGTATCGTGTTGGTACCTTAGACCCTCCTGAAGGGGAGGCCTCCCATAGCCCTCACTCATCGTGGATTATTTCCATAAGAAAAAGCTACCAGAAGAGGTAACTGGTAGTGTTCCGGGTCCATATTATTGGCTTCGCTTCGAATCGACATTGAGGGAAAACTTGAACACACTGCGCTTACTTATTTGGACAGAAACTTTGGGTGAGTTCCAATAATGTCCGAAGAGTTTAGTAATAAGAGACAGTCAAGACCACGACCATAAATGAAATCTCCAATATTATCAAATCTGACCTTTTGACGATTCCGCTTTTCATAGACTTGTTCAAGCACATACTCCTCACATTTTTTCATTCTCAGCTGATACAGCATCCTTGTCGAAGAAAGCAACAAAGTTGTTTCGGCAAAAACTACCATGCAACCCACCGAAAACACAACAGATTTGGAAATCTCCAAGTCGACACACCGCAAGTCTGATCGACCTCGACGACCTAGTACGACAAGATCAATGGAAGCCAGGCTATCATCTGGTGCGAAAGACGGGGGTAAAGGACGATCCAGCCGATCTTCCAAGCCAAGAAGCTCGGGACGAGGACGAAGCAGTCATGACAAGGGAAAGGATTCCAGCCGAAAGTCTGGAACAAGTGGTCCTCGAAGAAAGTCAAGAAGTACCAGTCGCAGTCTGGATGGGACAGTCGGTCTCAGTAGTAGCGAGGAATTCTCTATTACAAAACTATCAGATGCAGATCGAAGCTCATCCTTTGATCCACGACGAGTCATTGAATCCGCTGACCAAGATGCCAAACGAAGGTCCAGAAGATCCGTTCGGGCCGCCGCACCTGGAGTGGAACATGTGACCGAACCATCCACAAGAGAAGCCCGCAAAAATGCTAGACATAGCGATGGGTTGGATGACCGAGATTCCAAACACCGATCTCCAAGATCGACCCGGGCTTCCACTCCTGGTGTCGAAGCAGTTGCTGCTGCTATCTCGACCAGAGAATCCCGCAAGAATGCTCGAGCATCAGTATCCCGCACCTCTACACCTGGTGCACAAGCAGCGACTGCTGTCTCGACAAGAGAAAGCCGCAAGGGTGCTCGATCTGGTATCCGCGTTTCCATGGCTGGTGCAGAACCCATGACTGGTGTCGCAACAAGAGAAACTCGAAAGATTTCTCGATCGTCAATGGTCCGGGAATCCAGTACCACCAGTACTGCCAGTCCCAGCTCGAACTCCACACCACCCAACCTTGTTGCTCACAGAGTGGAAGATGCAAGTCAAGAGTTCGAAGAAACTCTATCAACGATTCGTCAGCAAGAGCAGCAAAAGGGAAATGTTATCATTATGGCCGAAGCCATGAAGGAAACAGAGCGTAAGAAGCGGAGACGTCGATTCTGTTGGATCTGCTTGTGCCTCGTACCGATATCGATTGGTGGAGGTGTTGCTGCATCTACTGCCTTGAAAGCAGAAGATTCTCAGCCCTCTTCTATCGCAGTGGATCAGCCGGAGGACGTCTTTTCACCGAGTGCTCCCAATATCGAATACCTCTTTGACCCACCATCCCAAGAGGACTGTACCAAACTTCGTCTCAAACGTCCAATCGGAGCTCGAGTAGGAACCATTGAGAAATCATTCGATTTGCACTTTGACGCTACACTAAAAGAGGAGAAGGATAACACGTATTGGAATTTGGAATTCCTCGCCGCCATTCAAGAGTACCTACTCCCATCGCTACTGGGTTGTGACGATGACATTGGTAGAAGATCCATGCTTCGAGGTGGTCCCGATCATCGAGAGCTTTCTACACTGCGCTACATCATTGGAGATGCTGTGGTCACTGGACGGGTCAGTTCGGAAAGATCATGTCTACCAGAGAACGACAGTGAACTCTGTTCTCGGTCCATTGTGACTTTGCAACTCTTCCTCAAGGCTGATGTCGCCATTGATGATTTACTGCGTCTCATTGTGGGTTTGATCGAAAACGATACCTTTAGGGGGGTTTCTGTCGCAAACGGAAATCGGCTGTTGCAACAAGAAAGCCAAGCGGCCGTTGACATCCCATTGGTAACTCGATGGGCTCTACCAGATACTTTTGAAAGCGTGTTTTATATCTTGATTGAAGAGCTGACTTCGGGTACTTCGACAAACTCAGATCCAACTCTACCGAGTCCGGCCACAACGGAAGCGCCGAGTGATGGAGGCGGACCAACAACAGATGAAGCTACAGTTTCTCCATCAGTGGGACCAACAGCGAGTCCGACACCCCGTCCGACAAGGAGACCAACGCTCGCGCCTGCACCAGGGGTGACACAGGAACCAACTATCGAACCAACTGTAAAGCCTACGACAGTTCCATCAACGACACCTTCAAAGAAGCCGACACCATCACCAACATCACTACCAACACCACTACCAACACTTGTCCCAGCCCCAGGGGTCACATCACCACCACCTACGGTTGCCCCAGTACCAGTTGCAACACAATCTCCGACACTTGCCCCAGCCCCAGGTAATCTTACACCACCACCACCACCGACACTTGCACCAGCACCAGGTGCAACGCCATCTCCGACACCTGCCCCTGTACCAGGTGCAATGCCACCTCCGACACTTGCCCCAGCACCAGGTGCAACACCACCACCGACCAAGGAACCCACACCGTTGCCGACACCGTTGCCAGCCCCTGGAGCCACGCCATCGCCGAGCAAGGCACCAACGCCTGGGACTTCTGCTCCGACTATCGCGACTGCCTCACCATCATTGATTCCGACAGATGCTCCAAGTTCTACACCATCATTTGCTCCAACACCGGACCCGACTCCTGGGCCTACACCGAAACCATCACGGTCACCTTCGATCCAACCAACACCTGGACCGACTCCAGAACCGACAGTGGCACCGACGGTTGAGACACCTATGCCCTCAGTAGCTGATTCATTTCAGCCGTCTGTCAGGCCCGTGACAGTGCTGGACTTTGACGATCGCACGGGAGCCACGGGTTTCTGCTTGGGACTCCCGTTTGAAATCCTTCCTATGCAGATCCCGAATGGTTACAAGGGTTTCCAATGGGATTCCTTTGGAGTTGTCAGCATTCCTTGTGCCACTGGAGGCGCAGGTCAATCCGCGCCAAACGGTGCCGGGCCGATGAGTATCCTAGGAAATAGCTTTGGAAGAAATATGTCATTTCAACTGGAAAGCGGTACTTTTGACATGATATCGGTAAAAGCCTTCGATGGCAAACCGGAGTGTCCCTTTACACTTAAAGGGTACGAGGAAGGTGCAGGTTCTCCTGCTTACAATTTGGACGTGACCCCTCCATCATCTGGCTGGTTCACCATTGATCTGTCGTCCTTCGCTGGTGTGAACAAATTCGAATACGTCGCAACCTGCACAGGGCCTCTGAACATCATCTTTGACGATTTCAAAATGTACATGAACTAAATACAATTATTTACGTACAGTATATAATAGCATTTTATCTTAAATTGGTGGATGGTATACGACGATAGTTTGCCGATTCCAATCTTCAAGCACCTTTTCAGATTGAAAAAGTACAATGTTGGGTGGTCATTTACCATTACCAACATGAACATGCCAACTTTCAACCACGGCAACAGGCTCTTTTGATTTGATTGGTCGCCAATCGATGCCTCTAGTTTCTAAGTCCTACTGTTTCGCTTCCGGTCGGTTTTAATAGGCTGTGGGGCAAATCAAAGGGTGGTGGCGACGTGGCTGTCCAAGTCAATATCTGGCAGATCTTCCTCGTCGACCATAGTGATGTATCAATTCCATTAATTGCTTTATTTGACCAGGTTTGGACAAGAATAGAGATTCAAATATCTTGTCGTTTGATGGGTAGCCACGCACAACTGATGGTTGATGCTGGAAATGAATGCTGTAACAGGGCTGAGCCTTTTCAAATCAAAGCATTATGTGCAGATGGAGGTCGTTCTTGAACACGTGTAGGGAACGAAAATCCTTTGGAACTTCCACAGGCAGGTATTGTCAGTTAGGTTCCGAGGACGAGTATGGTTTGTTTGCAAATACTGACGTGTGTTCTTGTTCGACTTCCCGGTACTGGTACCACTTTAAAAAATCCCCTTGACCTGCCCTCGTGCCTGGTATTATTAATACAGTAGTTCGGGAACTACTGTAGTCACTCAAATTGCATTGATTGGTCTAGGTCTATTTTGTTCCACACGTTGCTTGCACGCTTGTCGTGATTACACACCGGTAACGGTTCGACGACTGACTCAGATACCTACTAAAACACAACGAAAATTACCTGGTAGCGTGCGTATCCATTTTATTGCGGCTTCACTTCGAATGAATGAATCATCGACATCGGATGAAAGTACACGTATCGGTACGTGTACGTGCACGTGTACTGGTGAAATATTAGCAGGCATTGGGTCAGCAACTTTGTGTGAGTTGCATTGCATTGGTCCGAAAAAGACAATCCTGACCACGACCGTAAATGAAATTATTTAATAAAAATGTATTGGACCTTCTGAGGACCCACGTGTTTTATTGTTGTAAATCCCCGGTCAGCTGCCTGTTTCCAGAAATCCACCTTCACCTACCTACCGAACATATTGGTATCGTGTTGGTACCTTAGACCCTCCTGAAGGGGAGGCCTCCCCTAGCCCTCACTCATCGGGGATTATTTCCATAAGAAAAAGCTACCAGGAGAGGTAACTGGTAGTGTTCCGGGTCCATATTATTGGCTTCGCTTCGAATCGACATTGAGGGAAAACTTGAACATACTGCGCTTACTTATTGGGACAGAAACTTTGGGTGAGTTCCAATGTCCGAAGAGTTTAGTAATAAAAGAGACAGTCAAGACCACGACCATAAATGAAATCTCCAATATTATCAAATCTGACCTTCTGACGATTCCGCTTTTCATAGACTTGTTCAAGCACGCGTACTCCTCACATTTTTTCATTCTCAGCTGATACAGCATCCTTGTCGAAGAAAGCAACAAAGTTATTTCGGCAGAAACTACCATGCAACCCACCGAAAACACAACAGATTTGGAAATCTCCAAGTCGACACACCGCAAGTCTGATCGACCTCGACGACCTAGTACGACAAGATCAATGGAAGCCAGGCTATCATCTGGTGCGAAAGACGGGGGTAAAGGACGATCCAGCCGATCTTCCAAGCCAAGAAGCTCGGGACGAGGACGAAGCAGTCATGACAAGGGAAAGGATTCCAGCCGAAAGTCTGGAACAAGTGGTCCTCGAAGAAAGTCAAGAAGTACCAGTCGCAGTCTGGATGGGACAGTCGGTCTCAGTAGTAGCGAGGAATTCTCTATTACAAAACTATCAGATGCAGATCGAAGCTCATCCTTTGATCCACGACGAGTCATTGAATCCGCTGACCAAGATGCCAAACGAAGGTCCAGAAGATCCGTTCGGGCCGCCGCACCTGGAGTGGAACATGTGACCGAACCATCCACAAGAGAAGCCCGCAAAAATGCTAGACATAGCGATGGGTTGGATGACCGAGATTCCAAACACCGATCTCCAAGATCGACCCGGGCTTCCACTCCTGGTGTCGAAGCAGTTGCTGCTGCTATCTCGACCAGAGAATCCCGCAAGAATGCTCGAGCATCAGTATCCCGCACCTCTACACCTGGTGCACAAGCAGCGACTGCTGTCTCGACAAGAGAAAGCCGCAAGGGTGCTCGATCTGGTATCCGCGTTTCCATGGCTGGTGCAGAACCCATGACTGGTGTCGCAACAAGAGAAACTCGAAAGATTTCTCGATCGTCAATGGTCCGGGAATCCAGTACCACCAGTACTGCCAGTCCCAGCTCGAACTCCACACCACCCAACCTTGTTGCTCACAGAGTGGAAGATGCAAGTCAAGAGTTCGAAGAAACTCTATCAACGATTCGTCAGCAAGAGCAGCAAAAGGGAAATGTTATCATTATGGCCGAAGCCATGAAGGAAACAGAGCGTAAGAAGCGGAGACGTCGATTCTGTTGGATCTGCTTGTGCCTCGTACCGATATCGATTGGTGGAGGTGTTGCTGCATCTACTGCCTTGAAAGCAGAAGATTCTCAGCCCTCTTCTATCGCAGTGGATCAGCCGGAGGACGTCTTTTCACCGAGTGCTCCCAATATCGAATACCTCTTTGACCCACCATCCCAAGAGGACTGTACCAAACTTCGTCTCAAACGTCCAATCGGAGCTCGAGTAGGAACCATTGAGAAATCATTCGATTTGCACTTTGACGCTACACTAAAAGAGGAGAAGGATAACACGTATTGGAATTTGGAATTCCTCGCCGCCATTCAAGAGTACCTACTCCCATCGCTACTGGGTTGTGACGATGACATTGGTAGAAGATCCATGCTTCGAGGTGGTCCCGATCATCGAGAGCTTTCTACACTGCGCTACATCATTGGAGATGCTGTGGTCACTGGACGGGTCAGTTCGGAAAGATCATGTCTACCAGAGAACGACAGTGAACTCTGTTCTCGGTCCATTGTGACTTTGCAACTCTTCCTCAAGGCTGATGTCGCCATTGATGATTTACTGCGTCTCATTGTGGGTTTGATCGAAAACGATACCTTTAGGGGGGTTTCTGTCGCAAACGGAAATCGGCTGTTGCAACAAGAAAGCCAAGCGGCCGTTGACATCCCATTGGTAACTCGATGGGCTCTACCAGATACTTTTGAAAGCGTGTTTTATATCTTGATTGAAGAGCTGACTTCGGGTACTTCGACAAACTCAGATCCAACTCTACCGAGTCCGGCCACAACGGAAGCGCCGAGTGATGGAGGCGGACCAACAACAGATGAAGCTACAGTTTCTCCATCAGTGGGACCAACAGCGAGTCCGACACCCCGTCCGACAAGGAGACCAACGCTCGCGCCTGCACCAGGGGTGACACAGGAACCAACTATCGAACCAACTGTAAAGCCTACGACAGTTCCATCAACGACACCTTCAAAGAAGCCGACACCATCACCAACATCACTACCAACACCACTACCAACACTTGTCCCAGCCCCAGGGGTCACATCACCACCACCTACGGTTGCCCCAGTACCAGTTGCAACACAATCTCCGACACTTGCCCCAGCCCCAGGTAATCTTACACCACCACCGACACTTGCACCAGCACCAGGTGCAACGCCATCTCCGACACCTGCCCCTGCACCAGGTGCAATGCCACCTCCGACACTTGCCCCAGCACCAGGTGCAACACCACCACCGACCAAGGAACCCACGCCGTTGCCGACACCGTTGCCAGCCCCTGGAGCCACGCCATCGCCGAGCAAGGCACCAACGCCTGGGACTTCTGCTCCGACTATCGCGACTGCCTCACCATCATTGATTCCCACAGATGCTCCAAGTTCTACTCCATCATTTGCTCCAACACCGGACCCGACTCCTGGGCCTACACCAAAACCATCACGGTCACCTTCGATCCAACCAACACCTGGACCGACTCCAGAACCGACATTGGCACCGACGGTTGAGACACCTATGCCCTCAGTAGCTGATTCATTTCAGCCGTCTGCCAGGCCCGTGACAGTGCTGGACTTTGACGATCGCACGGGAGCCACGGGTTTCTGCTTGGGACTCCCGTCTGAAATCCTTCCTATGCAGATCCCGAATGGTTACAAGGGTTTCCAATGGGATTCCTTTGGAGTTGTCAGTATTCCTTGTGCCACTGGAGGCGCAGGTCAATCCGCGCCAAACGGTGCCGGGCCGATGAGTATCCTAGGAAATAGCTTTGGAAGAAATATGTCATTTCAACTGGAAAGCGGTACTTTTGACATGATATCGGTAAAAGCCTTCGATGGCAAACCGGAGTGTCCCTTTACACTTAAAGGGTACGAGGAAGGTGCAGGTTCTCCTGCTTACAATTTGGACGTGACCCCTCCATCATCTGGCTGGTTCACCATTGATCTGTCGTCCTTCGCTGGTGTGAACAAATTCGAATACGTCGCAACCTGCACAGGGCCTCTGAACATCATCTTTGACGATTTCAAAATGTACATGAACTAAATCTAAATCATATGTGTATGTGTATGTGTATAATTATTTGCTACGCGGGGAGCAATGCTTCTACAGTAGAATGATTGAAATATTGGTGGCTGCATGCATACCCGTATGTACCCAGTAGCTTCATCATTCATTTTAACTTTGAGCAGCGACATAAGGCATGCTACTGTACTGGCGACGACAACTTCTGTTCAGAAAGATCTTCAAATTCAAAATATCGACATAGAGCGGTAATGGAAAAACGTTTGAACACTTCTGGGTAATGGATCGCCTGCTTTCGAAACCATGGAACTACAGTGCAAGTACGTACGTGTGCTGTACCTGGTACTGTATGATACCATCATGTTGCAGTGAGTGAACGAAAGATCACGACCGCCGGCATAAATGTTCCCAGAAAACAAACATTTTTTAAAAAGACACTGAGTACCGGTACGAAAGGCCACAGAAATGCAAATATAATTGCGGGTCCTCATTTACTTTCATTAATTGAAGGGGAAGGAAAAACTCCGACTACCAGCTTTTCTATTAAAAAAAGAAAATGATGATTTAGCTCTCGTTGGGTGGCACGGAATCTGCGATTTTGCAAGCAAGATCATTACTTGATGAAATAACTTTCGGTTTCTCACCTTGGTTGGAGGTCCATTGCAACACTTTCTCCTACTGTCATTTTATCTTGCATGAGATTTTCTTCTGACTATAATCGATCCTTCTAAGTAAACAACTAAAGCAGGATGTCCAAGGAAGAAAAGAAGGGGATGTCCAAGGAAGAAAAGAAGGGAGATACCTCACCTGAAGCTTCTATGGAAGCGACCGAAACCAAGACAACACATCGCAAGTCTGGCCGATCTCGACGTTCTCCGACAAGATCAGATGACGGATCCGATGTCAAATCTAAGGAACTACATGGTTCACCATCATCTGATACGAAAGAGAGAAGCGGTGAACGATCTGGCAGATCTCCAAAGCCAAGACACTCTGGGCGACGACGGAGCACTCACGACAATAAGGAAAAGGATTCTAGCCGAAAGTCTGGACATGGTCGTCGAAGGTCAAGTGCTGCTCGGGGAAGTAGAAGTTCTAGTTCCGATCGACATGGTGGTCTCAGTGGTAGCGAGGAATTGTCCCCTACACGACGATCTGTGGGTGATGAAGATCGAAGCACCTCTCTTTCTCCTCGACGAGATACCAATAATAAATCCGATGACCGGGATTCCAAACGAAGGTCGAGACGATCCACTCGAGCCACTGCACCAGGAGTGGAGAATGTACTCGAGACAACACCCACAAGGGAAGCCCGAAAGAGTGCCAGAGCTGGTGCAATGGATTCGTCACCTCGACGAACCAACCCCAACGATTCGGGCGACCGAGATTCCAAACGACGATCTCGACGGTCGACTCGGGCTGCCACGCCGGGTGTAGAATCAGTGAATGATGTCTCGACCCGAGAATCTCGCAAGATTGCCAGAAGATCAACAGCAGCCGCTCGGTCATCCAGTACTTCCTGTCCCGCCTCGTCCACACCACCACCCGCAACTCCACCTTTGGACGATGCTGCGAACAATAGCCAATTGGATGAAAATCTCGAAACGATTCGACAGCAAGAAGAACGAAACCGAAATGGTGCAACAGTTGCCGAAGCCAAAAAAGACCCAGAGCGTAAACGGAGACGTCGTTTGCTTTGGATCCTTCTCTGCTGTCTGCTACTGTTATTGATTGGTGGGGGTGTTGCTGCATTTATTGTATTGAGGACCGAAGATATTCAGTCGGCTTCCACGACCACCACCGATCAGCCAGAAGACGTGGTTCCAACCGGTGCTCCTACGAACGACTACCTTTTTGATCCACCATCCAAAGAGGACTGTACCAATCTTCGCCTGAGACGTCCAGTGGGAGATCGAGAAGGAACCATTGAAAAATCATTCGACTTGCACTTTGACGCCACGCTCACAGAGGCGAACGATGTGGACGTTTGGAACTTGGAATTTCTCACCGCCATTGAGGAATACTTACTTCCATCGCTACTGGGCTGTGAAGATGCAGCTGCTAGACGATCCATGATTCGAGGTGGACCCAATAATCATCGTCGCAAGCTTTCGACTCTGCGTTATATCATTGGGGATGCTGTGGTCACTGGACGGGTCGATATGGAGAGACCATGCCTTCCAGAGAATGAGAGTGAACTCTGTTCTCGGTCCATTGTGACTCTGCAGCTCTTTCTCAAGGGCGATGTCAGCGTTGATGACCTCATCCGTCTCATTGTGGGGTTGATCGAAAACGATACCTTTCGTGGGGTTTCGGTCGCAACTAGTGATCGAATGTTGCAACAAGAAAGTCAAGCGGACGTTTACATTCCACTGGTGACTCGATGGGCGCTGCCAGATACTTTCGAAAGTGTCTTTTACATCCTGATTGAAGAGCTGACTTCGGGCTCGTCCCCAAACTCGGCTCCAACTCTATCGAGCCCGGTACCATCCGAAGAACCCAGTAGCAATCCATCTTCGTTTGTAGGTGTGGGAGGAGGCTCACCAGTGACTCCGACTACGAAATCACCAACAACAACAGGTGGTACTACAATGGCACCATCAGCGAGTCCGGCTCCCCGTCCAACCAAAAGGCCAACGCTTGCACCTGCGCCTGGGGTGACACAGGAACCAACTCTAGAACCAAGTCTCAAACCTACGACCGTTCCATCAATGGAACCTTCTCAAAACCCGACACCAACACCGCTGCCGTCACTTGCTCCAGCACCAGGTGTCACACCACCTCCTTCACCCCCTCCGACTACGGAGCCCACAGCACCACCAACAAAGCAAACGACACTCTCCCCAACACCAGTGTCAGCTCCTGGAGACACGCCATCACCGAGCAAGGAACCAACGCCTGGAACCCCTTCCCCCACTCTTGCGAGTGCTTCGCCAACACTTGCTCCCACAGATGCTCCGAGTTCTACTCCGTCACTGGCTGCAACGCCTGACCCGACAGCTGCGCCTACCTCAGAACCAACCCCAACACCGACGTCGCAACCAACATCTACACCTACCTCGGAACCAACTTCAGGCCCAACATTGGCACCTACAGGAGCTGTTGCTACACCTAGACCTACCCCTGCTGAGTCAGCAAATCCGACTCCTGGAAGGGAAGTGAGAATTCTAAACTTTGACGATCTCGAAACGCAGGCTGGTGATTGCTTAGTATCGACCAATGAGATCACCGATGGCTACCAAGGTTTCCAATGGGACTACTTTGCGGTTTCTGATATTACTTGTGTTACTGGCGGCGGCGATCATTCTGCGCCAAATGGTGTAGGGCCGCTGAGTGACCCTGATAATGGCAACGGAGAAAGAATGTCATTTCAGCTTGAAGACGGTACTTTTGACCTCATTTCAGTGGAAGCCTACAATGGGGACCCGGGATGTCCCTTTTTCCTCTTTGGATACGAACAAGATGCTATTTCTCCTATTCACGATTTGGACGTGATCCCTGAATCAGCTGAGTGGTTCACCATTGATCTGTCATCATTCACTGGCGTCAACAAATTCGAATTCATTTCGACGTGTACAGGGGTTCTGCATATTATCTTTGATGATTTCAGAATGCACATGAACTAAATTTTAAATCACCGTCTTTATATTAGAAATCTTTCCTGCTGTGCAGAGCAGAGTGAACAAGGATAAGTGCAAGCAATCTTCTTCTCATTTTCACTACAGTGGGATTGACCAATCCGAATAAACAAGGACCGACATCACGGCAATGTTTGGTCAGCACATTTTAAAAGGTACGCAGTCAAGAACGCAGGCGTCAAGCCTAAGCAGTATTATGGCAATGGAAGCAAAAATTCCAAAGCCGTTTAGGGGTATGATTGCATGGATTCTTCTGATCTGCTTTGAGATAATAAATGTGAATGCTCTGTTGCCGCTCGACACAACAGTAGGTCGGAATTGCAATGTATTCAACCGGGTCAACAACGCTGCTGTGCCTCCATATTATTCTCTTCCCGTCCCAATGTGCCTCTGCTCGACCCCTCTTGACGATGATGATATTTCTCAACATGAAACTATGGCATCTTATGAAGAAGGTCAGCAAGACGAGCCAACAACAACAAACAAGTCAACGGAGAAGAAAACTGGATACCGTCGCATCGAAGATTGGCACGAGGAAACGATTTCCAAGAACCCCAAGCATGTCTTGACGCGTCTACAGCAAGAAAAAGCTATGTGGGACAAGAAGTTTGAAGACCTAGGAGGGGATGGGATATGAGAATCGAATGGCATCAATAAGAGCACGATTGATTTAGTTTCTCTCCAATCTCCAAATTCTCTCCAATCTCCAAATCCAGAATCTGGTCAAGTCTGTGTCGACAATTTATCAAGGAAGCTGTCTTTTATTCACATGTTACAATAATGGTGCATGTGCATACGTGGAACTTTATGGTCGTATGGCCATGTAGCCACAGTGAAAAATCCTCCACTTTCAAATGGCCTTCGAACAGGAATGTTGAATCTAGAGCCGAATCCGCCTTGAGGATACGGGACTTTTATGTTCTCAAAATTTGTGATTTATACCTTTGTTATTTCAATTGGTAGCAAAAGCCAGTAGCAATATTCTAGTAAATGGCTTGGAGACAATCGCCAAATTCCACTGATAGGACCAATTCTGTATTGTTGCATCCATGGTTGGGTGATTATCCATTGTGCTTTCGAGAAAACTTCTCTGTGGCCAAGCCTTCTGCCAGTAGACTTACATTTGCCGCTTTATTGCATGAAAAATTAGTCAGCCTTACTGGACTCATGCATTCCATGCTTGGTCAATTGATGAACCACCTCTTTCCGCAGCGACCTGGGCTCCAATGTCCAGTGCCCGCCATTCATCTTTTCGTGCGTCCCAGAGATCTGCTTTGTATCCCACTAGCGGACGTGTCATATCATCAAGCTCGACAACTTTGCACCAGGCTTCCACGAACGGTTTCAGCTTGGGAATATTCAGACAAAGTCCGTATATCCATATCATTTTGGCATCGCTCACATCTCCCGGACTATTGGTAGCTCCATCCTTTTCCAATCCCTCCTTAAGCAAAACTTTAATCGTGTGTGCACCGTTAATTGCATTCAGCCATTCCAGTCTGCCATTCTCAAGACCCATCCATATTCCCTGAAGGTCACTCCCAACAGCCTCTGCTTTCTTGTCGACGGCATCTACTAGATCCTTCCATCCAGCGGATTCTCGAGCAGTTTCGATCATTTGACCATAGCCAGATCCAGTAACCACTGAATCCGCCACCCTTTCATCCACAATAACGTCAGTAGCAACTGTGTCATATTCGGGCAATCGCAAATCACTGGCCAAACCAATGTAGAGTCCATCACGGACTTTGTGAAGCTCTTCCTTATTCGCGCACTGGGCAAATCCGGCTAAAGTCACGCGCTGTCTATTGAAGGCATTTGTGAACTCTATTTGGTCAGGTGTCATGGATTCAGTCATGTTCTGATTGGGAGAGGGTTGCTGGTTTATTGACAATGATGGATGCGATGATGACGATCAACCAATATGATATTCTCAATATTGATCTACCGTCTGGCCAGCTGACGGAATGACGACAGTTTGATCAGTCCGACTTGATCAACTTTCAGAATCAATCTCACAAACCACAAATCATCAACATCCGTCTGATAGTCTACTGTTGCCGATGCTACTTCTTGACAGTACAACAGACCGCTTCGTGGGCAACAATTGACGCTGCCTAATCCGCAATCAGACTGAAGCCAAAAGTCTGTCCTTGATTTCGCCCAAAACAGAAAGCAGGTCTGGTCTGCGGTCTGTTGCCGATGGTGCTTGTTTCGACAGTAGGACAACAGACTGCATCGTTGTTGCCAGCGATTGTCGCTCCCTATTACGCAATCAGATTTTATCGTCAAAGTCTGGCCCTTGCCACAAAATAAAAGGTCAGGTCTCATAATAAAAAAGGCTCTATTCTATCAACACCCTCTGCGTTGAAGTTCCCTTTCTCTTCGAACAACAGTAGTGAAACATGCAACAGTGAACGTTCTTTGCTATATGGAGGAGATCCTTCTGGATGAGCCGATGCGGCCCTTATGTTTACGTTGACATTATTGCGAACGATTGCTCCAAAGTTTCCAATGCCACTAGGGTTCCACGACCAACGCTCTTAGCAGACTCTAAATTCTTCATTGTCTTGGCAATTCTAGAGTCGCCTTCGTCACCTTCATTCTCGAGAATCTGCAACATGCGTTCGTACATCTTTGTGGCTCTGTCCCTTTTACCACTAAGCAAGTTTGCAGCAGCAAGGCAGTCCATAGTGGCGACCGACATTTCATCTCCACTCTTTAGTAGCCCATTGAGTCCCTTGTGTACATAAATTCAAAAATGTTTTAGAATCTGATAAGTTTTCGGTTTCTGCTCCACTTTCAGACCATCACTTACCATCAAGGCATTCTCCAGTTCTGGAATGGATTCCTTGAACTCCTTGCCAGTCATTTTGGCAAAGCCGATGTTGCACCTCACAATAAAAATATTCAGTGATACTGACTGGCTGGCAGTCGCCGAATCCTCGTACAAACAGTCACTGGCAGCATTCTGCAAAATGTCCAAGGATTCTACAAAGCAATCATTGGCCGCAGTAGTCATCCCTTTCCGCCAGTGTACGGTACCCATGTTGTTTATCATTTCCGCAAGGAGGAGACGGTCATTCAGCGACACAGATGATTTCTTCTTGGCATTCTCCCCTGCTCTTCGTAAGGTGCTCTGTGCGTCGTCAAATTGATCCAATGCGTACTGACAGGTGGATATTTTCGACAGACAAGCCTTTACAATAAAAAAAGATAACAGTTAGAGACGCCATTTCTGGTTTATACTAATGCGTACAGATGACAACATTACTTACGATTTGATCCGAATGACCTTCCACCAAACAAGACATTCTGGTTTCCAACGCATTGGAAAAGTATGTCATGGCCGTGAAATACTTTTTCTTGACAAGGTTTAAAATCCCCAAATAATGTGAGACGAGGCTCATTGCCAATTCAAAATTGGTTTGTGCCTCATTCCTCGGCGATGGCGGTGTCCTCTTGGATTGCTCCTTGTGGGCCTTGTACAAGGATGAAATCTCCCTGTAACAGCCAATGGCACGATCAATATCATCCATCAACAAATGAGACAATGCGGCGTGATGCATTCCAATTACGTCATCGGCATCCAGAGGCTGCAAGGGACGAAGTGGAGAAGTAGGGGACCCATTCCCAACATCAAGAACTCCCATGTGCCGCCGAGAGCGTCGCCTGCCACGAATGATGGATTGCACTCGATACGCACCCATGCTGATTTTATCATCGAAAGATGAGCTATTGGATGGTTCATGTTGTGGTAATAGGCAAATGGTCAAGTCGCCTTTGGCAATCCCGACAAAGCTCTCAAGCGAACGCACTGGAACCAGATCGTGTTTTTTCAAATCCCAAAGCGAATCCGTCATTGGCACTTGTAGCAAAATTTTATTCAAGGCTGCTGCAACCGATGCAGATACCCGTGGTGGATACACTGGTACGGGTGCTTTCGGAATGGCTGCCGGCTCTTCTTCATCTTGCTGCGGCTGCTGTTTTGCCTCGGAGAGTCGAAGCCTTCGTAACGTTTCTGCTCGTGAACGACTGGTGTCATCTTTACTCAGTGATATATGCTGTTCCGGGCCGTCGCCATTGTCGTAGTCCAGTCGTCGAGGAGCTGGTCTTCTGTTGGGGCTGCTACGATTGGCGACAACATCCCTTCTGACAGTATTCCTGGGAGTGCTGGATGGTAGCAACTCGTTGACTTCGTCACGCTCATGCGCAGCTTCCAACCGCCTACTCAATTCTCCGGCAAACACAGAGGGTTCCGAGGATGACGACAACGACGTTTTAATTCCAAGATCCAATTGTTGTTTTGAAGTTCGACCAGAAGACTTGGCAAAGCGTGCCTTGGCTGCCGCTGAAGCACTTCGGGCCGCCACCGACGCACTTTTGGACATCTCTGCCATGCGTTCATCCTCGGGAATCTCAATTTTTTCAGCGAGGGATGGTCGTTCATCATGAGGAACATCATAGTCATCATCGGCGCCCATACTGCGTTGAAAGCTTGACTTATTTCGAGTAGTTGGTCGTTTCATCGACGAAGGAGGTAACCTGCCGCCCGTGGCAGGGCTGTCTTGCCACAATTCCGACTTTTTCAGCAACAGTTTGGGAGGCGATAGTAGGTCGTCTTTTTCGGGAGTCTTCATCATTGGTGATGTCTCGTACTTGGAAACCATATTCTTTACGGAACCATTCTTCGAGAGTCTTCCTCCATTCGTAGTATTTGGCGAATCATCAGGAGCATTGTTTATTCTACCTAATTTATTGGATCGTTTCAAAGCCAATCGCTGCGACGGAGACATGGATTGTGCACGATTCCTTGCAGGCGATGAATTCAAAGCCCTCGTTGGATCTATTTGCATATTGCTTGGAGGGCTAATGGCTGCCATGGTTTTCCGTGAAACCTTCTCGTCATCCGGTCCATCCTCGCCCATTGATGAAAATCGTCGTGGTGCACCATGCCTTCTTTCGTCCATTGGGATATCTTCATCATCCGCCGGCTGCATTAGGTGTTCGGGAGGGCCACTGTCGCTACTTCGTTTCATTTCACTCTGATGAATGCTAGAGGTGGGCGTCGGTGTCGATCGTTCGGCGGAAAAGAAAAGTGAATGCTGTTGCAATGGAGTACTGGGCGGTGAGCCCAAGGGTGATGTAGGCATATCATTCTCTAGTGCACCAATGTCCTTGTCGAACTCCACCATCATGATCGGAGGATTTGCGTAATAGTCCATCGTGATGAATGAATGGTTGATTCTTCAGGTGAAGCTCGCTGAAGTGGAATGAATCAGTTTGAATTCAGACCCTCTCGAATCTTACCAGCTTCAGAATTATAAAGCGTATGCCTTTTGTGTAAGCCTTCCTAGGGACGACAAAGGACTCCTGTAGAAGCTTTGATGTGCATGCGTAATATTAATACTGATGAAAACGCTTGCATGCGGGTTCCAATTTGGAGATTGAGATCCGAAGGTACAGTAATTATTTTGAGCCTGCCCGTCACCGCAAAATTCGAAACGAAGTTTTTGGTAAACGCGAGCCGATCGTTGCTAAAAACACTTTCATCAACGCAACACCACTATACTGTACTGACGAGACTCAATGAAACCAAAAGCCGACAATCACAACATCTAGAATAAGCATAACGCCACATTTATGGCCCCTCGAGTGGATCTTCAATTCCTGTTGCGATCAACAACAAAAAACCAACATAGTGCACGACAGAACGAATACACCATGAATCATGCAATCAGTCGTATACTGCTACACACTGAAATTTTGTTGGACTGTACGATAGTCCTATTTCTTATATTTTATGAAGTTTAGCATTAAAACAAATGCTGTGACTGAAGTCTGCGTTCCTTTCAGGGAAACAGATGTTTCGTTTCTCTAAAAGGCACCAACCATGTCCAAATCTTGAGTGGCCAAGATGTCATACACGCAGTCCTTGATGGTAAGGGGGTCCTTCAATGTGGCACAGGCTGCTTCAGCTTGCTCAATGGAAACTGTAGACTCGTCCAAACGACGTCTGCGTTCTCCACGAGGGTCTTCCGGCTGGATGCACTTTTCTGGGAATTGAGGGTGAGTAATCTCGTGGAAAAGCTTGGGTTCCGATGGAAGCACTTGCCACTCGTCTCCGAGCTCGACAAAGTCATTCATGACTGTGGATCCGTCGCGAGCAAGGGTCTTTCCTGTGTTGTAATCTCCTAAAAGACCAACAGTGTTTCCAAAGACTTCTTCGCCTCCATGGAATTGAACACGGACGAATTCCTTGTACAGCTGAACAACGATGTATGCATCCTGGTACTTGGGACTCAAATCAATCTTGTATTGGCGCTTGTAGTTTGCTGGAAGGGCTTGGGTGACTGTGAATCCAGCAAAGTCGTCGAGATCTCCTTGATATTCATAATTGATCCAGTAATGAGCCTCGGCATCGTTGTCATCCAGGGTGCCTTCGATCTCGAGAAGGTCATTGCCAATGCGTATGACAACAGACTTGATGTAAGACCAGAAACGGACAATCTTGGTGCGGATGTGAATGTCGAGTCCAAGATTATCAGCAAACTTTGGGTCGCTCAACATGACAAGATCACATTGCCCATGGTACTCATAGTGCTGTAGATAGAAAGGAAAAGAAGAGGCACCGTTGAGCTACAGTACATGTTTTCAGTCCATTTCTGGATCCAGGTTCTTTCGAAGACTGCATACCTCATTCGTCCAGGTGGTAAAGTGGGGATCACCCCCCACTTCGCTGTTGCTTTCACATCGTGACCCGCAACCACCGGAACTTCCACCACTTCCTTCGGAGATCTCTTCAACTTTGATGGTGACAAAGACATCAGCGAATACTTCGCCTTGAGTACGCATGGACTCAATGTTGAAGACGGCGCCCCACGTATCCACCACAAGGTCGGAGTAGTGTGTGTTGGTGTCCTTGAATCCATCGGCAAAGATCTTATAGGACCTAGTATCGACAGTAGTAACATACTTTAAGGGGGCCGAAGAGTCTGCTGTGTATATAGTATTGTTGTAACCACCGTTTTGAATCTTCATGCCGATGTTATCGAGGTCATTATCAATCTCAACGTCCGCAATTACATTCAGCACGTATCCATTGGATTTGATTAAGTTCTTCAAACCTGATGCAGTTTGAGTGCTGTCTCGATCATCACGATCTTCATCAGTAACCAATATCATGTTCTTATCAATCCTGCCGCAGTGGCTCAATAAGTCAATGCCTTCAATAACATCTGGGACGTCTTCCATCCCCATTTGCATGGAATACCAGCCATCTTCTACCTGTCCCGAAGATTCCCAATCTGTGACTGCAGTGTTGTGAGCTACACCGTGCCCGTTGTAGGTTGTGCAACCATGACTGCGCCAACGGGCTGTATTCAATGCAGCATCATCTTTGTTGCTGCCATGACCAAATCCACTACTGCATAGGAAAACATTGTTGTACCCATAGGCAGATGAATAAAGAGTATGTGCCATTCTCGGCAACGCTGTCGTTTTCATGAATAATTGGTCACCATCCATAGAAGCGGATTCGTCCATAATAATGTTAATCAGTGCACATTTCGCCGAACCAGTGGCTGGTGCTTGGTAATCAAAAGGGGCACCATCAGCTATTGGTGCCGATCCAATGATCAGACAAAGGCAAAGTAAGAGGTTGTATTTGATCATGATTGGAAGAAAACTAAGGCCTCCAATTCAACATTGGTGAAAACGTGTGATAAGGTGGAGAGAGGTGTTTCACTTGGCATTTCACTTTTCGTCACATTTTGAGAAAAATCCAGACTTTCGGAGCAATTATATTTATCAAGCAGCTTTTTCTCGTGATTTTCAAGTCTACTTCGGATAAACCATGCGTCATAATATGGCAATCCTTCTTCCCAAAGTTACCACAGGTTCACCTGTGCAGTTTTAGGGTTCACGTAACCAAATCCCCCAACATATTGATTGAATGACCTCTCCCCCATCCTACTAGCTATTTTACGGTCGTCCGACGCATGACGGACATGGTTTGAAGATGCGTCTCACATTCATTCCCCAAAGATTGCTTCAAACGAGAAGAAAGATACTTGTACCGTAGCGCATGGAGGTTATTACAGTTACTGTTAGAATATTCCCTGATCAGAAGGGCTTTACCTAGAACAGACCTGCAATAGTCATCCCGAATAGTTGCCTAATGACCGACAATGAGAGTCTTTTCTTCGGACTACACTACTAGTACGACTGCGCACAGCATGTATTCGCTGTTCATCTGTGTCTTGTTCCGAGGCGATCGTCGCTCTTACAGGGTTTCGCTGACTTCGGTGTATCCTCTTGAATGATGTGTAGACATATTATCGAAACAAGAATGGATGTTAATGTTCATGTTTTCAGTCTAGGAATCGAATTGATCTCCAAAGACGTCAATCAGCTCCAAAGACTGAGCTTCCGTCGAAGTACGGCTGTAGACACCTTCGAGTGCACTTACCCTTTGCCGTCCTCGATACTTGCGACGCGGTCTCCGTTTGCCACCAACTCTGATTGCGGCATTGAAATCGTCTTCGTCGTTCAGACTGACAGTAAAGGAATTATAATGTGACGGCTCGAAATCTTCCTTTGTCTCACCGTCATCATGGCTTATGGGTTCAAACGGGCTTTCGTCCTCCAAGAAGAAACTATGGTAATTCAAGTTATTCGAAGATGATTTTCGTCTGGGCATGGCACATGGTCTGTTATCTCCTGCTCCTCCATCTGAGGAACTCGAGAATCGATCGCTCCTGGTAGGAGGTCGGAGAGCATCTAAACATTGCTCCACTTCTTCGGCCCCGAGATCGGATGCACGATTTTTCTCAACAAGAGAGCGGAGTTTGTTATCAAAGGAACGAGGAGAAAGAAAGTCATCCTCGATGGTGATGGCAGAGATGATGCTAGAATGATAATCATCGGAAAAGCTGGCGCCTGAATTGACTGTAGGCAGGGTATCCTCAGACTTGGATGGATTGGATCCCATTGCAGTTTCGGAATGCTTTAGTATTTGCATCTTGTCCTGTGAAGCTTATGGGCTTGCAAATCCAAGATTTTCTCGGCGTGAAATATATGTTGTTTTGACTGACGGAAATGTGGCGGGGCTATTTTATTATTGATTTATTTTAAAAGGAGCATGATGATGGTGCTGTGCGCGAACATCGTCGCTGAAAGTTTCTCCAGAACTTGAATGTAATTTCATTATCTCCATGTGATTGGATGGAAACATTTCACGGTATTGTTGAGTGCACAAAAATTCGCCGTAACTCGGGCAAAAGATCAACCAGCTCTTCTCATTATTTGAACCACACTGGTGCAGTACTTGAACTCTCCACCAAACTTCGAGACACGCGGATGATAGATCTCGGAGATACCGGTACAAACGATCTCCATACGTAACCAATACAGCAGTGTTGCGCTATCACGTCTCTTCAACAAGCAACAGAACAATAATGAAGAAAAAGCAGAAGAGAGGTACCTAGTAGTACAAATACGAAGAGATTTCCCCCCGTCAAACCAAACACAGCCTAGTACCTGGTACTAGCTACACCGACGATTACACTTGCTTTCTGCTTTTGTCAAATTTTGCAAAGAGTTACTAGTGACAAAGTCTTCCTCTAATATGGTAATTGCGGAAATCATACTGATGAGACTCAAGCTGCTATTTATAGTTGCGAGGGCGCCTTCTGACTTTGAAGCAGTGTAATTGAAGGGTCTTTCGCAGCTATACTGTTTTGTCATGATGCTGAGATGTCCAAACTTCGTCGATTTTGGAAATTGTGAGCTCGATGTACTATCTAGAGTTCATTCGTATCCCCGGAATCCACGTACACGTGTACACATTGAGAAGCTGGAAAAGATCCGAAAGTTCCTATTTGCACGGATTGCGTTTTTTTAAAAGTAAACGTCAAGAACGGTGATATTCGTCGCCGCCAATATCAAAGTGAGGAATTTGCAATGTGGCCAAAGCCACGACGTTCAATCAACCCTGAAGAAAGCCAGTTGCATCAAGCCAAATGACCCACTTCGGGTAAATAGCTTCGCCGATTTTTTCGCATCTGAATAATGTTCTGCGACTTGTTCAAAATTCTCGAAACCCACAGCAGGTACCAGGTTCCGTACTGTACGTGTGCGAAAAGAAAACTGTTCGTTCGCCGTAATAAGAATAGTAATGACCTTTCGGTGAATCTTTTTTTTAAAAGTGAATGAATGCACGAGGCACGAGCAGCACTTTGAATACCAGGCAGTCGTCACTCTTGTAGGCTCATGCAGGTCCGAACATATACTAGGCGGGACGGGACCTACTTACATCGATGGGTGAGTGGGTTGAAGTGGACACTTTCCTTCAACAAGCTTTTGGGACGACAGTATAACTCTTCTTCAACCAACCTTTTGAGTGAGAGGGTTGAAGCGGACCCTTTTCCTCAACCAGCAACGAGGGAATACATGTCCCGAGCAACAACAACAAATAGCGTGTTGTAGCTGAACCAACGATTGTACTTGCTTTCTGTTCTCGTCAAAGCTCTACGATAATATTCTACTAGCTACAAAGCACGACGGTCCAAAAACCACGGCATAGGCTAGATACTATTCATAACAATACACATTTCCATATCATAAAGTAAAGTATCCTCTAATATTACATGCCCCTTTGTCCCACAATCGTCATTGCAACCCCCAGCCCATTTGAAAAATCAAGCCTCTCAAAGTTGATTATCATCGACAGAAAGTTTTCGTCTTGGCATGACACAGGGTTTGGCGTCTCGTCCTCGATCCGAACAACTCGAGAAACGAGGATCACTCCTTGAAGAAGGGAGCCGAGGAGCAGCATCCAGGGAATTTCCGCTATCGCCTAACCTGGGATTCCATATTTCGCGTGGTCGTTCCACGAAAGAAGAGTCCAACAACTGATGAAGAGGCCGAGGGGAGGGGGGAGAAGGCAGGAAGTCTTCCTCCAATATAGTAATTGCGGAAATAATTGTCATGAGGCTCGAGCTGCTGTCTGCAGTTGCGAGGATACCTTCTAACTTTGAAGTACTGTAATTGAAGGGTGTTTCGCAGTTATATTGCTTTGCCATGTTGAGATATCCAAACTTTGTCGATTCTGAAAATTGTGAGCTCGATGTTTCCAGAGATCAATATTTCGCACGTGTTACTATCACACTTTTAAAAAAGTAAACATCCAGAACGGTGATATATTCGTCGCCGCGAAAGTCGAACGATTTTCTTTATCGCTACCGCTACGCACAGTACCAGGCGTACCGTACAGCGCTCTCCGACCGACCATGAAGCATCTCAAGCCAAATGACCCACGGCGGGTAAATAATTTCGCCGTTGCCTTCATGGCGCAACTGAATGACCACCCTACCTACGGAAAAATTGAGCAGGAAAGCTTTTTGCATTCAATTTCGATGCAAGACGGTTGAACGACCAAGGAGTCTGGAACGGTGTTCTCCTGCTAACCACGTACCTGGTACTACTGTGGGCTTGTTGCTCAAATGGCTCCAATCATGATTCGGCCGACGTACCGGAAAACCGAAACAAGAACACTTTGCGCCATGGTAATATCCATCACACATGCGGGGGTCGTTCTTGTCATTGCACTGCACATTTATATATTGCGTATCTTGGAGCGATGAGTGAGTAAGAAGTTGCCAACGACTCTAGTTTTGGAGGTAGTATTCTGTCAGAATATAGTACCGACGAATCGCACGTCAAAGATCATATCACAACACATGTTTGGCTGTTTACCAAAATGGAAATAGTCCACAACTAATGTAGATGGTAGCAGCTACAAAGATATGCAGGAATAACCTCACATAGCTTGGTGACGAGTACAACGACGACGACTGCTCCTGGATTGGAGGAGTTGCTGCATCCTCTATGATTTTTAAGAAAGAACCATTACCAACAACCCTTGTAGACCGTTGTTTTTGGACTGATTCAATAGTATTAAGACACTAATCGTTCAGAAGATATAAAGGGTACTTGGCTAGTGGCTGTAGTCTCTTGCCTTTTGCTATCTCGCCAAAAAAGACTGAAAAAGTGGTGTACCGGTAGATGCTCATTCATTCGTTTTGGGGGATTTTGGTGGTTGAGCCGGCTGAGAAATAGCTAGCAATTAGTCACAACTGTGACATGTCGGACATGACCTATTAGATATAGGAATCGTGCATGCATCTTCAAAATAATGCGAATACGACGGTTGAAAAACAAAGTGACCGTAGGAATTCCGTGTCAGTCGTACCGCTTTCAACGAGCTTCCGTCAAAGTGCGCGTTGAGAAAGATCCCCATTTTCCATCCAACAACTCAAATACGATAATCAATACCGTACCCAAGCTGTCAACAAACAGTATCAAGACAAGCAAGAGAAAGAACCAGAAAATAAGAAATATCTGAATTTTTTGATACCTACAGAATCAGTGCCAGCGCTATACAACCATGTCGCAACCAGAATGGATGACAAAGTACAACGAAATTGGTCAGAAAGGTGAAGAAGGTGTGACCACAATTGAAGGCGATGGTGCAATCGCAACGTCGGAAGTAGCGCCTAAGCGAGACTCCTTGAATGAATCAGCCAGTGATATGGCCAAACTTGACGTCGGGGGAGAGGACGAAGCAGCTGCTCCTGCTCCTGCTCCACCAGCTCCAGCACCAAAACCAAAAACCGGAGGATTCTTGTTTGGTGGAGGCGGTGCTGAAAAGAAGGAGGAAGAACCCAAGGAGGAGGAGGCTGCAGAAATCAATAGTACCGACGATGATGACGACGCCGCTGCCATGTTTGCCAGCGCTGCTAATGATCCCCCAGCCCCAGCACCTGCCGCTGAAGAAGATGATGCTGCGGCTATGTTTGCAAACGCGGCTGGCCCAGCTCCAGCACCTGCTGCTGAAGACGATGATGCTGCAGCCATGTTTGCAAGCGCTTCTGGCGATGCCCCAGCTCCGGCACCTGCCGCTGAAGACGATGATGCCGCAGCCATGTTTGCAAACGCCGGAACTGGTGGTGATTCTAACGATGAGGTAATTGAAGAAGAAGTAGACGACGATGGCATCGAAGAAGAGGTTGTGGGAGAAGGCGGCGACGATAAAAAGGCCATTGAAGATTGGAGACGCCAACGAGGTGAAGAACCAGGCGAAGAAGGAGATGCTACGGATGCTGCTGCCGCCTATGCCTCTGCAGATGCCTCTGCTACCGAAACTGAGGCAACTCGCGAATACCCAGAGTCTCCACCTATTGACGAGAATGACAACTGGGTGCCCCAGTCACAGTCCACAGAAGAAGTTATGGTCGACGACGATGGCAATGAAATCATCGAAGAAGACTACATCGTCGATGAGGATGGCAATGAGATTCTTGAGGAAGGCGCCGTCTTTGTCGATGAGGATGGCAACGAGATTATTGAAGAAGTGGATCAAAGTCCCATGGAAGAAGAAGTTGTGGAAGAAGAAGATAAAGTTGAAGATCGCGACCTTTCCCGTGACTTGGATATTAAGGAAACCAAGGAACCTGTCGATTTGGAAGCTCAACGTGACTTGCTTTACAAAACTCCACAAAAGGATATGAGTTTTATGAGCAAACTCCTTCCATGCTTTGTTTGTATTGCCATAATCGTGGCCGCTCTATTGGTTGCAATCTTGGTCTTCGAAGTCGATGTCGATGATAGGAACGAGCTAACGGAATCCCCAACCCCCGCATTTCTTCCACTGGGTCCCACCAACATTGGTATCATCGATGTTGCCGAAACCACTCCTTTGTCTGCTGTCACTGGCGACTGCAACATTGGTGCCTTTCAACAACCCCACGTCATTGATCAATGCGCGTGTGGTCCCACCATCAACAAAATTGCTCCCGACGTTTTGGCTCGTTACGAAACTCTTGTTCCTTGGGTTCGGACCATGTTTGATGACTGGGAAGAGAGTGCTAGCTCCTGTTCTCCACGCAACCAGGCTTTGGTCTGGTTTTCCACTGGAGTCAACTTGGGAGGAGAAATTTCGGACACACGCCGCAAGGACCGTTACCTATCAGGTCTCTTGTACATCCAGCAACAAGGACAAGGATGGAACAAGAAGATGAACTGGCTTACTGAAGAGAGTCTGTGCAATTGGGAAGGTGTCTTTTGCGATGATGAAGAAAGTGTCATTGGAATTGATGTTCAAGACAACAATTTGAAGAATCAGGTACGTTTTGAAAGTAGGGAAGTCGGAGTGAATGAATCTGACCAAAACATGAACTAACATTTCTTTCTTGTACGCTAGCTAACAAATGGCATTGGCATGTACGACTTCCTTGAATTCGTTTCGTTCCGTCGCAACCAGTTGAACGGAACCATTCCTCAAGAGCTCTTTGCGAGCAGTACCCTCAAGTCCATTGACCTCTATGACAATAGCTTTTTCGGTGAAATCCCTTCCTTTGACAACGACATTCCACTCGAGACACTCCATGTGGGAAAGAACAGCCTAAGTGGCCGCATCTATGAGAGTATTGGTAATGCCAAGTCCCTCAAGAGATTGGATCTCTCCCACAACACATTGAACGGAGAAATCCCAATGGTCCTCTTTGATCTAGCTCTCGAAGAACTTGACATCAATTCCAATTTGTTGACAGGAACCATCCACACGGAACTTGGAACTGTCACAACCTTGACCGAATTGAACATTGGAGGAAATCCCTTCACGGGAAGTCTCCCCCTCGAAATTGGTTCATTGACCAACTTGCAAGAGTTTGTTGTCAAGGATGCACCCAACATTGATGGAAGAATCCCAGCCTCTTTCGGTTTGGCCCTTCGCAACCTCATCAAGGTGGTTATTTCTGGCACTTCCATCAATGGAAACGTTCCTGAAACCTTTGGATCCATTAGAGGTTTGGAGCACATGGAATTCAGCAAAAACCGTCTTCGTGGAGACTTGTCTCCTGAATTCGGTAACCTCTCCAACTTGAAGGTCATGGATCTCTTTGACAATGACATTGTTGGATCAATACCCACTGAATTTGGACAATTGACAAACTTGGAAGCCTTGCTCCTCGAAGACAATATGATCACTGGGGAAATTCCTTCTCAACTATCCAACATGGGTAACTTGAAGCAATTGACGCTTCAAGGCAACAACATGAGTGGAAGATCGCCGGATGGAGTCTGCGCGTTGCGTGGATCTGGATTGAATGTCTTTGTTGTGGACTGTCCTATCCGTGTTGGTGATAGCTTTACTGGAGTGGTTTGTGATACTCCTGAATGCTGCACTAGTTGCAGGTTCTAAAACCTGAAATGAAAATAAAAAGACTATGGGGCTGTGTGCTTGTAGCAGCAGTGGCTAGATGTTAACAAATGTACTAAAATGGTGATTCATACTTATAAGCGTGTTATGGTAGGCTTCGCAGCTTTTGGATTGGTCTCCATCTCCATCCTAACAAATATCGTTCAAATCGGATAGGGGGGAATATCACGCGTTTCGTTTTTGGGGGTCAAATATCGTGCGTTTCGATAATTCGGAAGTTGAAATTCAACGGATGGAAATCCAGTTCGCGCACTCTTTCACCTAAATTTGATACGGAAGGTGTCACTCGGAATTTTGTTGTGTCGTGTACTACACCATACCCATAAGTAAATCTTGTCAAGCGAGCGTGTGCACCATTTCTCAACGTGCACCTTGTTTCAACAGACGCTTCTTGCACCTCCACGCCTCAACTTCGAGTGGCAATTGAACGAAGTAGCGGCAATAACAACAACAATTACAAGGATCACTACCAGCAATAACGTAGTTACTATCAACAGTTGGGAATTAGATTGAGAGCAGAACGAATAGAACTCTATCAAAACAAAAAAACATCATGGACCAAGAAAAGAAAGAATCCGAACACGAAGAGATGGAAGAAGAAGTTGTTGAAGATGGAGATTCTGTCATAGAAGAAGAAGTGATGGACGACGATGTGGAATATGAGGAAGTGGAGGAGGAGCCTTATGTAGAAGAAGAGTATGTAGAAGAAGAGTATGACGAAGACGGTGAAGGTACTTCAGAAAATCCCATTGCCATTGAAGAGACAGCTACTGACGACGATGGAGCCAATGAAGATGCAGACAACGCTGATGGTGGAGACGATGCACAAGAAGTGTCATCGCAACAAGGTGATGAAGAACAAGGCTTGATACAAGATAGTGACCAGGCACGGGACCTTGATGAAAAGTTTGTGGCGCCAAGGAATCCACCAAAGAGTTCCGGTCTCTACTGGATCATCTGCCTCTTGATCCTTGCCTTGCTCGGAGGCATGGCCGGTCTAGGTTATGAACTCACCAAAGAAGAAGGCAATAAAAGCAGGAGCATAGACCTTTCCTCCACCACGCCCACAAATCCCCCTACCATTGCCACTGTATCCAACTTTGATGCCATCCAAGGCAATTGTGACAACTACGAGAGTCTGACCACTCCGCATCCTTATGATCAGTGTGCCTGCGCAGAATCGATCAATAATATCCCAGATGACATTGCATCGCGATACAACTATCTCTTGTCAGCTTTTGTTGGCTCTCTATACGGTGAAGGTGACTGGCTCGCGGAGGATGCTTCTAGTTGTTTGCCTGAAAATCAAGCTCTTGTTTGGTTGTCTACCGCTGAAAACAGCCTCTTTTCGGAAGCGGAGCAACAGGAGCGCTTCGCTCTGGCTACCTTCTTCTCTGCTACTCAAGGGATGCAATGGACTGACAAGCAATCGTGGATGTCCAGCTTCGACTCCTGTGCTTGGTTTGGAGTCGAATGTGACGGCACATCTGCAGCAGTAATTAGCTTGGAAAACAACCGAATGAAGGGAACGGTGAGAATTTGTGCTTGCATTCTAAATCAACACAATCGTTCGAATCACAACTCTAACACCCCCAATTTGCTTCTTCCCACAGTTCCCACCAGAGATGGGTCTTCTGTCAGGATTGCGAGACGTCTATCTCACAAGAAACGAACTTGAAGGTCCTATTCCCGAGTCACTCTTCCTGATCCCTGACATTCAAATGGTTGACTTCAGCTTCAACAAGTTGACTGGTCCCGTTCCGCCAACTGTTGGTGATGCCAAGAAGCTCATCCACTTGAACTTGGAGAGCAACTTTCTCAGCGGTCTCATTTCCAAACGCATTGGAGAGGCTGAACTCCTCGTCTTCCTCGAACTTGGAGGAAATGAGTTGGAAGGCTCTGTACCTGTTGAGTTCTACCAATTGTCGAGATTGGAAATGCTCGATCTTAAGGGCAACCAGTTGACGGGAACCATTTCCACCGAGATTTCGAGACTCTTCAAGTTGACAAGTCTAGGCTTGGGTCCTAACGAGTTCACCGGCTCTATCCCCACAGAGGTGGGTGACTTGCTACAATTGACGAGTCTGACCATTCGACGAGTGCCCTTCACCGGCAAGCTTCCCGATGAGATTGCTCAAAGGCTTACCAACTTGGTGGACTTGACCATTGTTGACACTGGTGTCAACGGTTTGCTCGATCCAGTCTACACCACCATGACAAGTTTGACATCGCTTGACTTGAGTAACAACATGTTGCGAGGAGCATTGCCACCGGAACTTGGAACCATGACCAAATTGGAAAAATTGTTGCTCACGGGAAATCTCTTTGATCAGACGATCCCAAGTCAGTTGGGACGAATGAAAGCTTTGAAGGATTTGAGATTGAATGATAACCAATTCGAAGGAAGTATTCCAGTGCAACTGGGTGATTTGTTAGCTTTGGAGGTTCTTACTTTGGACGAGAACAATTTGGTTGATCGATTAGTGGGTGGTGTGTGTGAGCTTCGAAGCAAAAAGCTCACAACTTTGATCGTGGACTGCGCAGCACAAGACGGACCACAGTTGACAGGAGTTATCTGTGCCGTTCCCGACTGCTGCACTACATGCTTGTAAGATATTGGCCCGATGTATAATCTACATTGAATCAGGTTGGTACCTGTTTCGTCTGCTATCGGACCATTGGGGTTGGTGGATAACGTCAATGAAGTCTCCGCACACATCACAAACATATTTTCATTTCCTGTAATAACTAAGTAGTGATTTAATTGTTAAGAATTTTAAATTGCTTAGAATAGTGATATTACTAGGGCGGGGGCAGGAGTATAGTATTGGGCTTTCGGTAGGTGGCACATCAAATTGTAGATGCCAATTCGTGGAGCTATATTAGTCTCAAATATCAAAGATGACTCAGTCGGAAAATGCGATGAGCAACAACAACAATAAAGACCATGAGACAACACAACACCACAAAATAGCAAGAGAAGGAATCATGAGGTTTCTAGTGACAGAATCTCTCATTGCGGGCTTCTTGCTGGTCTCGTCAACTGAGGCATTCAACGCGCAATTGGGAGTAACCTCGCTTTCGCCACAAACAACAACAACGAGTCTTCAAGCGACAAAAACTGACGAACTTGCCATTCAGAAAGCGAAATTATTCAAGCTGCTCGGGACAAAACCATCGACAGACAATGTGTTGGAAGATCCTGTTACCAAGGAACCAATCGAGATATCGGCCTCTGGTGCTCTGCTTGGAGGTGACTCTCGAAGCAGAGTTCCATACACCGTGAAATCTGCCAGCAACTCATTCAAAGGGAGCTCGGACAGCTTCATCGACTTGCTCGAGCCAGCCACGGAAGGGGAAAACACTTCATCCAGCTCCTCATCGTCTCCACTGAACGACTTTCTGCAGAGGGCGTCGCCCTACGTCCCAGTTCCACTGAGAGGTCCCTTGGCATCTCTGACGGATGGAGAGTACATTCCCATGGTATGTTCTGACTTTCTTGCTTTCGATCTTTTGCGTGTAAGAAAGACTTACAAAACTTCTTAACTTTTTTCTTCCTGATTGAACCCATCGATATAGAGAGACTTGTTCACAAGTCCAGCCGTTTCCTTCGCATATGAGAGAGGTTGGCGACAAGGTTTCGCCCAAGCTGGATTCCCTGGACCTGACATCGAAGCTGAAATGGCCATGGATTACTTTGCACCTGTAGCAGCAGTTGCCCCTGGTGGCTTTTCAAAGTCTGTGATTGTTGATATGAGTTGTGCCACTGGTGAGTAAATGACATACTTGTCAGTCAACTCGCGACAGGGACAAGGTTTCCTGAGAATCAAATCCTTTTGCGTCATCGTATCCCATCTAATGATTGTCTTCGTCGCGCTGTTGCAGGTTTGTTCACTCGTCGGTTTGCCTCTACTGATCGATATGGACGTGTCTTGGGTTGTGACTATTCCGAATCCATGCTGACCGAAGCCAGAAGACGCATCAAAGAACAACGGTCCTTGGCCAAGTTGAAAACCACCAAGTTGGATTTGGTGCGATTGGATGTGGGCCAGATCCCAATGCGAAATGAATCCATTGATTGCCTTCATGCTGGCGCTGCCATGCATTGCTGGCCTGACTTGGACTCCGCCTTTACTGAGATTTACCGAGTGTTGAAGCCAGGAGGTCGATACTTTGGTACCACTTTCTTGTCAAGCTACTTTGCGACACTTAGTTCCATGGATGGGCAGGGAAGCAATGTGCCATCTCAACAAGCCTTCCAATATTTCGAATCGGTTGACTCATTGGAAGCACTTGTGGCAAAGGGTGGGTTTGACAGAAGCAAAATCCAAATTGAAGTTTTGGGAAATGCCTGCGCTGTGATTCGAGCTGAAAAGTAGGCAGCTGGACTTTGAACGTAGTATAAACCAATACTAGTAATAGAAGTACACTTCTTAATTATAGAGCAATAAATTATCGATTGATTGATTCCAGTCTTGTGAACTACCATGATCTCCATCCAACCAGTGGACGATTGACAGATTGAATCGGAAGTTCGTTTTGCTGTGACTTTTTCGATTCTAGTCGGTTCTTGTGATCTGTCATAATGGCAACTGCTGAGGATCCAATCACCGCTGTTCCAACACCATATGCCACTGCCGCTTCCGCCGTGACAACTTCTGCGCCACCGACCATCATGGCCGCAAACGGGGCTCGAGCAGCAGCCCCAAGCGCGAATGAAAGTGGAGAGGCTACAAGTAGGGTAGCAGCGGCTACACCTGCCACTGCCATTTGGTTCTTGGAAATGGAGTTCGGCATGCGGGGTTGCAAGTTCCAAGCTTGACATTCGGTGGGCGAAGTTGTCAATTCACCCTGGTCGTTGCAGAACAGCTGTCGGTCACCATACAAGTGCGGAATTACAATGTAACCGTCACCACTGGGAGATTCTTCGAGCTCCCAATGCTCTGATTCTCCGAGTGATTCAATAGTGTATACATTTCCATCCTCCGAAGAACCAAGATACTTTTGGTGCTTGTTGGAGTATATGGAATACATATTTACCTCTTCGGCAAACCCACCTGCCGATGGTTTTCTGTCATCCTCCTCCTCCAAGGTCTTGCCCTCTTGTAGTACGGGTTTCAATTCCCATTCTTCCCAATCCTTGCCATGTTTCGTAGAAAATACCTTGCCGTTTGGTCTGGAAGACAAAAAGTGGTGATTGACAGTACCGTCGGCAAAAGATGCTTTGGATGCTGCGGCATTCGATGTTGTGGTGGTGGTGGTGGTGGTCAAAAAGAAGAGCTTCTTGTTTGCAGGTTCCAATTCCCATTGGACTGCAGCAAAGTTAAAGTTTTGTTTTTCCACCGTTGCCAACTCTTTTTCATTCAAGGCAGACAGGTACCTGTCATGCCGCACCGACCGCAACAAAATTCCACCGGACGTACCATCCTCAGCATCTCGGAATCTAGTAATCTCCCACAACGTGTTGGGCGATTCCTCATTTTGGGTCATACCAACCTTGCCATATTGATTGGAATACAAAAGATACGAATCGTGCGTCCACGAGGTAATTTGTACAAATCCACCATGGCCCGCTTCCACGAATCGAAAGACTTCCCATCCCTTCCAGTTTTCATCCAAATTGAGTTTGCCAAAGGCGTCACATCGCAAGCGGCGTTGAATGGTAGGATTGGACAGGAACAAAAGTTCCCCTGATCGAAAGCGCATCTTCCAGTGAAATGTAAACACAGGAGTGGAAGGAGGTACTTCGTCGTCGTCATCGTCATTTCCAGGAAAGAGATGCGCATCGTCTTCGTCCTCCAATCTCTTGGTTGCCAGTGGAAGAGTGGTACACATAGGCTTGGTAGGTTTCGAATCATTATCATTTGACTTGAGAATAGCCAACTTTCGTTGATAGGTAGTATTGATCAAACTGACCACCATGCCAGATTCATCTTCATATTCCAATGCCCATGTGAAGGATCCTTGGTCATCTCCATCATTCCTTGACACTGCATTATTATTATTATTTTTAGCATTTTCTTGAAAGATTAATTCTTCGGCTTGTTCTTGCTCGAATTGTTGTTGTCGCTTGGCTTGCAAATATTCCTGGGTGCAGGTACTCAACTCTCCTTCGGCATTGCACGTCAAGAAAACCTTGCGATCGACCGACTGCAAGACAAAAGTAGAAGCTCGAATGCCATTTGTTTCTCCGTCGTCGTCCAAGGAATCCTCCTTTACATCATCATCATCGTCGTCGTCTGCAATGGCAGCAGCAGCAGCAGCAGGAGTAGTACCATTATTCCACAAGAGACACCATTCGTGGGGTGAATCCGAGACACAAACCTTCTTTTTATTGAGGGCCTGCAAACTCAAGTATTCGTGTTTTTGATCTTGCCACTTGGTAGATTTGACCACTATTTGCTCTTCTTCTTCTTCTTCTTCTTTTGTGGCACCGGTGGTAGATGGTGGTGCCTTTTTAACATCTGCATCAGTAATAGCATCAGTAGTAGCATCAGCATCATCAGTAGCAGAGGAATTGTATTCGTCTTCTACCTTGTCTGAAGCGGCAGCTGATACGTTACTATTATTGTGTTCTTTGATTTCAATCGTAGTAGTATCTGGTGCTGCTGCTCCTACTCCTGCGGATGGATCTAGATATGATTCTTTTGTTGCAACAGACAGATATAGCCGCAAGGGTGACTCCAAACAAGGAAAGAACAATTGATTGTGATTCTTCATTCTTGTTGCAATGATGAAACAATACTGTATTATATAATACGATGTGGTGAATGTGTGATGATTGCTTCGCAAAGTGATCAGCGAGCCAGACTATATTTAGGGGAAAGCTCAGAGCACGACTTAACTTGAGGGGTAGTGAGATATCAGGACCCCAATGATAGCGCGAAGTGGGGAAGGAGAAAAGGAGAACAGTCACAATCTGCCAGGTGGAAGGACCAAGGAAGGACGAAAAGCACCCTGACGGTCGATCACCGCTTCTCCAAAATCTATCGTGGTAATAACAACAACGACGACAACGCCTCCATCACCAACTGGCGTATTAGACTGATACCATTATCAGCATTAGGAATCACCCAATTAATCAAGGAAGCGAAACAATTTACTTCTTTCCTTCTATATCGCATATATTATACAAAACAACAAACATCACAATACATCGAAAACACCATGATGCAGCATCCATCAATCAATACACTTCTCCTTTTGCTCCTCGTTGCAGCCATTGCATTCCCACAAAGTGATGCTTTTTCAATGCCACAAAGACAATCATCATCGTCATTATCATCGTTAATGCAATCATGTGCATCCGCACCGAGATCCATGGCATTGCACAGCGAATCATCTTCCGCCGTTACCAGCAGTGAAACAACTTCCGAAGACAACGAGGAGGAAGCTGATGATGATGACGACGACGAATACGAATACGTCGAATATGATTTATTGGAAGAATCCGACTTTTCTGGCAGCGAATGGCTGGTTGGTACTCTCATGGACTCGTCACCCAATCGAATTGATGAAACCTGGTGCCGGCTGGCCATTGACAAGGACGGCAAACAGCTGGCCGTTTGGGGTGACAATGCCGAGGGTACCTGGAAATTTGACAAGGCCAGTCAATTTTTGTCCGTCTCCAAAACCAATATCATAGGCAAGAAGATTTGGGCCGGTGTGATAGATGACTATTATTTTGCTCAAGGGACGGTCCGTGGATGGTCCTTCTTTTCGGCCGCTGCGGTGGTGGGGCAATGGCAAGCCAAGCGATTGGGTGTGGATCCAGAAGAGGCAGGAAACCCACCATGGTTTGGCGAAGATGATGAAGAAGAAGAAGGAGCAAACTCAAATGGTGAAGCATTAGAATAAACTGAATAAGCTAATAAGCTATTATCAATTTCATTCATGAACAACAGGAGGTGTGTAGGATGGGACTGAATCACGCAGGATTTCATATTGTTCAGTGAAAACTAATGACAACATCACCATATGACTGTACCTATACTCCTATGATTATTCTCATTTGGGTCCCCCCGAAGGCTGACATGATCAAATCTACCGGTAGTAGTAGAAATATTCCTAAAACAGATCAAGTTTCAGTTTTTAATCATCATTCCCATTTCTATTAGATTCGTTTTATCTTTGGTGGTTCCTTTAGTACAGGTTCTTTTGATTCTCCCACATTGTTATAAGCACGGAGCAAGAGTCGTAGGTTAATGATGTGGGTGGACCAACACAGGATGCACAATTCATGTAGCACCAATAATTTGTAGGCCAAGAATACCGAAGCCGTCATGGCAAGTGTGGATACCATGGCGGTCATGGGTACAGGAAAGATGGGACGAAGTGCAAGCCAGTAGGTGTAATATACCAATCCAATAAAGGCATTTGGAACATCCAACAAATGTCCTTGTGGGACAATTCCAAAGTAGGATACCAGTTTGCCTTCGGGCATGGCAAATGCAGAGCTGATGATTAGTACGGTAGATACATTAGATATGATATATGCGATAAAAAGAAAATTGTATATGGAATGGTTCAAATTGAACATGATCCAATGAAGAAGCAAAAGAAAGAAGACAAGTTAGTATCATGAAGGAAAAAGAAAAATCCCACCAAACCACAGGAGTCCAAGCCAAAAACTGAACTGAACTGAACTGAAGCTGCAGACACCAACGCAACAGAACTGGCCGACCGAGAGCTTCCAATTTGTGACAACTCATAAAATCATACCAGCAAATCATAATACAGTACAGCATATAGTCTCTTTGTTGCTACCTACCTACAACTTGCACCAATACTCTCAATGTCACAGAGCGCCGAGAATTCGTCTTCGTCAGGATTTTTGTGCGATATCTTGTATTCCACATATAGAGCATAGAGGGATAAGATTACACCCAGGGTAGCAAACGGCCACGTGATTGTTTTGAACGAGGACATTTTGTAACTTGTACTATATCTTGCTTTTGGATGAGTTTTATTTCAAGATTGAAGAAGGATCAGAATTGGCAGCGTGCTGGATTGGTGTAGGTTGAGAATATATACAGTACCGGGATGCGATGGATGAATCAAATTGGTTTCAAATTCTCTCTTTCCTAGCTCACGATAGGGTCGGGTAATAGGAGCAGTCTGATATGCAGTGTTGGCAATAACAACGAAGTCGTGGGAAAGTAGCGCAACTTTGATGGTGTTGTCAAGATGATGTCTCACACGGTACAGTATATCGATCAGGGAATGAGTTGGTCACTCGTGAAACAGTGGAGAGGAGTGAGTCACGCGTTTCTTCATTTTAAAAGTCGACGCGACATTGAACATGTTGAATGTGTCTGCCATCCAACCCATCGCGAAAGAATTTCTGCTTCTCCCCATCGCCATCTGTTCCCCCGTCTGTGCACCAAATCAAAAACACTGATGGCCCATCATTTTCTTCGGATTTGCTCTGCCGCCATAAGAATAGATTCTTCAAAACTGACAAGTCATCATTGAATAGTAGAGAGAAGGAACTTAAGGATTGCACTAGCTACACTAGCTACACCACCTACAATACTTACACTACCTTGACACACTCAAAACCCACCCACCCACACACTCAAAATCATGGTCCACAGATCAAATACTAGTATGCACGTATTGTGGATTGCCCAGGGACTGCTGACTTGGTGCCTTAGCAACACTCATGCCTTTGCTCCCATGCATCAGTCCCCCATTACTCCCTTGTCCACTGGTACAAGCAGTAAATGGACGAGACAAACAACCTCGGCATCATCACCACCGTACAATCGTTTCACTGGATATTCCAACTGCGAATCTCAATTGGAGGGAATTCCCAAAATGTTTCGTTGGTTGACGGATCAATATCCCAACATCATCAAGGATCGACTGGAAGAAGGATTGTCGGCAGATATTGAAGTGGATAACTTCTATTTGGACATGAACGGAATCATCCATCCTTGTACCCACGGAAATACTCAGGGTGAGTTCATTTATTTGGATGAGACGGCCATGTTCAAAAAGATCTTTTTGTACGTCGATCGTCTCTACAAAATGGTACAGCCCAAGGAAGTCTTGTATTTGGCCGTCGATGGCGTCGCTCCCCGCGCCAAGATGAATCAACAACGATCCAGACGATTCCGTTCCGCCAAGGAGGCCGAACAAATGGAGGCTGAAATTGTGGCCCGGGATCAATACAATTCCAAGCACAGCGAAGAGTACCGCGAAAAGAAAAAGCTGAAGGAAGACATGAGCGACAAAACCAAATTCGATTCCAACTGCATCACTCCAGGAACCGACTTTATGCTCAAACTCAGTCTGGCCATGCAAAAATGGGTCGCCTACAAGATCGAAACCGATCCTGTGTGGAAGAATGGGGCCAAGGTCATTGTCAGTGGTCCCGACGTTCCGGGAGAAGGTGAACACAAGGTGATGGATTTCATTCGGGATTCTCGGAATGCGTACCACAACAACGAAGCTGCCGCCAAGGGACTCTACAAGCCCGGCGCCACCCATGTCCTATATGGTTTGGATGCCGATCTCATCATGTTGGGTCTCGTGACGCACGAACCCAACTTTATGCTCCTGCGTGAAAAAATGTCCGTCGTCATGGCGGGGCGGGGCCGCAACAAGTACCGCAAAAAGAAGGATATGATGGAATACACTCGTCATGATTTTGAATTGCTCGAGTTGAGTTCCCTGCGTCAGTTGTTGGCCATTCAGTTCCGAAAGTTTTCGGATCAAATTGACAATTACAACCTGGATCGGATCGTCGATGACTTTGTATTCATGTGTATGATGGTTGGTAATGACTTTTTGCCCCACTCGCCACATTTGGAAATTGACGGTGGTGCCATTTCGCTCATGATGGGATCGTACATTGATTTGTTGCCCTCGTGGAAGGGATACTTGACGGACAAGGAAAAGATTCATCCACAACGATTTGAGCAATTCATTTACCATCTTGCTGTCTATGAGGAGGAACACTTCAAGAAGCGTGGCTACGAAGAGAACGAACCGGGATGGAAATTGCCATCCGAGTATGAAGAAGACGACAATGACTTTTACGGTGAATACTTTTCCGGCAACCCAACCCCACCCGTTGCCAAGCCAGCAAATGCCAAGGGTAGCACCCCACCTCCTTCCAAGATTCCCAAAACGGAAGATGGAGAAGCCGCTGCTGACGTAGAATCCGATGTTGAGGGTCCCGTTGGGAACCGAGCCTTCCGCCGGGTACACCCCAAAAGCAAGGCACGATCCTACCGCGACTTTTATTACGAAGAAAAGATGGGATGGCCTGTCGAAGACCGAGAACGTACTCTCTTTGAGCGACGTGCTCATGTGCGAGAGTACATGGAAGGATTGCATTGGGTGTTGAATTATTACCACAATGGCTGCATGTCTTGGGACTGGTTCTTTCCGTACATGTACGCCCCCCTTTCTACCGATATGGTCAATCTCTCCGAATTTTACGATGAATTTGAAGGCAGCAAAGAAGAAGGCGAATACAAGAGCTGGCCCTTTGAAAAGGGAACCCCTTTCCCAAGTTTGGCGCAGCTCTTATCAGTTCTTCCACCACAAAGTGCTTCCTTGCTTCCAAAGCCACTTGGGGAGCTCATGCTTCACCCTTCATCACCCTTGATTTCATACTATCCACCTGACTTTGCTGCGGACCCAAATGGAAAGAGACAGGCTTGGGAAGCAGTAGTTAAAATTCCGTTCATTGATGGTGAGTTCCTCTTGGAGACTGTGGAACAGGTCCTCGAAAAGGATAAGGATGGAGGCGGTCTACTGACACCTGGTGAGCGCCGAAGAAATGCTCGTGGAAAGCACCATCTATATGTACCCAAGGGTGATGATATAAATGGTGCCGCCAAGAAGGCATCAAGCCCAAAGGGAGCAGGGAAGTTTGCTCCCAAGGGAAAGAAACGAGTTGCCAAGACTGAAGCTTGAGTTAGAAGGCAGAAGGAATTAGCTGCAAAATTGAACTAGAATTTAGTTATATTTATTTTGATTGTAATCCATTGCTTTATATTGTATTCTATGTCGTGTATCTTTTTTATTTTCTATTCTGTGCGTGGGGCATTCGGTGATCACTCACTCTTCGAGTCTGTGGTGTCTATTGGTCGATTCGAGTCTTTTCAAAGAGTTGTACAAGGTACAAGAGACCATCTTCTCCCTTGTGAGTTCCCATTCCGAATGAGTTGTATTTGTTGCTGAGGATCTTCTTTTGTTCACGACCCTCGTTCACCATCATATCGTAGTGAATCTCACGAATGGTTTCACCTCGGAAAACATTTCCCTTGAGGCCCCTAGGGATTTTCTTTAGCTTGGTCTTGTCTGCAGAGTTTTTGGCAAGGTCTCGTGCCTTTTGATCGAGATCCCTACTGCGATGCAATGGTGAAATACCTCTTTCAACACGTTCTTGGTTGACGAGGACGTGATTCGAAGAGAAGTACCAGGTATCATGCTTGCAAGGTGATGAAGATGGTGTTTCACAAGTCGTCGACTTTAGTTCTGGGAGGTCGTGTCTTGAATATTGATTTTGAACTGTAAATTCTTTGTTTGTTTCGTTTGAGGCTTTGGTGATGGTGGCTTCATCCTCAAATGCGGATAATCGTCGTGAGCTTCGTTGGCGGCTGAGAATCATTGAATCTCTTTGTCCGCTTTGTCTTCTTGGCACAGATAGGTCCATTTCGGCGTTGTCGTCGTCTCGATTCATGATGGCTAATGGTTGGTATATTTTCATAGTTTATGATGATTCGATCGTAGAAAGGTTTTGTGGGTTTGTGGGAGTTATTTGTTGTTGGGAATTGTAAAATGTGATTGATGATGGTTTCTCTCGTTGCAACGAACGTGAATGACGAAGTCAATCGTGCCGATTTGAACGTTCGCTTTTTTGGCCGGGCAGTTTGGATGTTTTTATGTGGTGTCACTCAAGACTCACTCGTCACTTGCCCCAAGATCAGTCTCTCATCGAGCGTCAGAAGTTTTCTTGCACCTCTTCGTACATTCTGTACCACAATCGCCAAAACTGTTTTGACACAAAATACAAAATTCACGGAGACTGATCTCGGGACTACCGCTCGTAACGTGTGTGACTGATTTTTCATCACGATAAAAATCTGGAATCACGCCACGGGGTGAAAGGAGTTTCTACGGGCGCAGGGTACAGTCAGTAGCTTTCAGCTTCCGAGAAAATCATGGATGGAGCTCTGCCCCTAACCCTAACCCCATTATCATGTATCTTTATGCATTCTAAAGCAATGAGGGTTGGGTCGGCACTGCTGCAAGAATGACGAGATTGGCACTTCTTCGTCGTGGCGGAGGAGCCCAATTCCATTTCTAGCCTACTACAAAGATAACAGAGTCAGTCGTGCTATAAAATCCAAAAGCGTTGCTAATCAGCCTGTCTCGTAAATTTCTCGCCCAACCATGTGTGGTACCAAACCATTGCAGTGTTGTTGCACTCCAATCACGTCTAAAAATCTATGCATTTGTATGTTATTTTATTGGTACGTATGTATGTAGTCCGAAGTTTGCATGTTTGACTCCTTCGAATTATCAATAGGAAGGCGAAGAAGAATGAATGAATCACACGTGGCATCTTTCATGACCGTATTCACGCCACGCAACAGAGAGCCCTGAGAGAAAAGTCAATCTAGTAGGTAGCATCTTGATCAGAACAGAGAAATGATGGAATAGAAAGTACCCTGCTTCATAATTATGTTTAAAAAAAGTCACTCTACAGTAGTTGCTAGGACCTCAATCAGAAGGAGACGGAAAAGCAAGGATCGAATAGGAAGTATCGTACACTTAGTTTACATGTATGTTCATAAGCCTTGTTGGAAAGGTTTGTTTGTATCTCCTATCTCCATATGGTTTTCAGTCATTTTCTTAGACTTGCTAGGACGGAGGCGGTAGTCATCTCGTCATGGTTTGCCTTCTTTTCCAGTGGGCGGAGAATGGCTCTTCGTTCCCACAGGAATCTGAGCCACTTTCCATTGGTTTCGGCTCGAATGTAGTCGAAGGGAGTAAACCCACGGACATCCTCCATCACCAGTTGGTGTGGTGCAATGCGCAAGAGCAGATCCACAAGTTCAAACTCGGGCTCCGCTGTCCAGCAGGCATCATGGAGAGGATTGCGATTGTAGTCGTCTCGCACGTTCATGTCGAACTTGACTTCATTGAGGAGATATTTCACAATTTCAGTGTGTCCTCTCCGACAAGCTAGGTGAAAAGTGGATTCCCCAAACTTGTTGCAGCCGTTTCCAGTGAGGACGCCACTCTTGTGCAGTTTCTTGACTCGTTCAAGGTCGTTCTTTCGGATAGCGTCCAGGACTTCGGGAATGTAGGATGCCAACATTTCTTTGGTGGGCTCGCGAAACAAGGGTTCAGCAGTCTGTCGAACCGTGTCAACGGCAAATCCGTTGGCCTTGAATGCAGCTTGAACGTAGTCGGAGGCTTTGATGGTAAGGTTCTTGACTACTGTTTGTTTCCTTTTCTTGGTTTGCACGGTCGCCGGGCTGTGTTGCCTAGATCGTTTGAGAACTCTTTCTACCGCAATGTCAACGGTTGGTGATGGGTTTGCTAGTATCATACTGTAGTAGAATGCTTATTTTAGTTTCAATCAGAGGAAGTTGATTTTTTGTGAGAAGGGATGGTGAGAAGCAAGAAATCGATGGCAAACAGCTGGTGCAAAAGACTTCTGAAGTGGTGTTCAGGTTCAGTCCGAACACCACGTCATGTTCCCACTAAAAGCCGCCTTTCTCCAACGGTGCAAAACCGGATTCTGATGAGTCATGAATTCTATCAATGGATATCGTTAATTGAAAAATAGTGATGTCGTCCTTTCTAGAGGAGAAACATTTATGGAATTCGAAACGCCACGCGTTTCTTTCGCAATAGCATCGCGGGTTAATATCGTCAGCAACTACGAATGGGAGACCAAACGCTGGTGAAAAAATGACCCACAGGTTTGATTTTAGTACACGTACTGTAGCTGGTAAAACAGAAGAAACGTCTGTCAGAGCTAAAATTCTTTCTGTGCTAGCTACTAGCATCGATTCATTCGCACAATACGTGGCACGACGGAGTAGAGTGCTTACGGCCAATAATTCAAACAACACAGCTCAGATTGCAAGAATGAATGAATGAATGACTATCTTGTTCGTTCAAACTTGGACCTTCTTGGGCGTGGCTGGAAACAGGTTGCATTGAGGTGGCCGAGTTGTAATGAATCAATCAATCATCCCTTCTGTGAATTAATGGAATTCTATTTATTAAAAAATTACTAATACATCTAGATAGTATCATGTGAGACTTCGGCATCACTGAGTTTACTGCTGCCTTCATCCATCCTTGAACAATATCCAATACAAAAATGACAATCTCCTTCGTCTCGTGTGTGAATCCGCACGATATTCATATCTAGGTCATCACAGCGCTTAGTAGAAATCAGGACGTTCTGCAGCAGCTTTCTTCTCTTTGTTTGCTTTCTTTCGTTTTGCTCTTTCTTGCTGTGCCACTTGTTTCGTTCGCTTGCGATGTTTTGCTTTGTCAGTAGATCGATATTCATCTGATTGCCCTGATGCCGCTCGGGCTTCCTTCAATTCGTCTGGAACACGAGCGGGATAACCTATCAGTGTCTCTGATTCCTGGCGAACCTTGATTGCTCCCAACGGAGCCCCTCTTGGTTTCTGTAGATGTTTCGGTTCCGCAGTTGTAACCGGCGCCTTGACTTCATTACGAAAATCACTGTAATAGATGGCAAGGTCAGCGGCAAACGCAAGGCATTCTGGAGTTGGTTTAGGACTTCCTCGTCGATTCTGGATAATCACATGAGCACCAGGACATCCACGGCTGTGCATCCATACATCGTTTCCCCGAGCAATGGACATGCTCAAATGTTCATTCCCCCGTCTATTTCTCCCAACGAGAACAATGCAACCACCAGGTGACATGAGTTTCCTCAAATTAGATTGTGGGGTACCAATCTCTGGTTTCGACTGTTTTCGATTGCTCTTGCCGCCATTCGATTGGGAGGACGATGACTTTGCTTGTGCTGCATCCCGTGGCAGAGGTGGCTGGAACTTGGTAGCTCGCGACGAGCGTTGCAGTCGGTCCTGTACCAGTGCGAGTCGTCCTTGGTTGATTTCCCCATCATCCATACACGCAGATTCGAGGTCGGCCTGGGCATCGGACAGCAGCTCCCAAGCTTGTTCCGATTCATTGAGCAGCTCCTTAACAATCTGCGATCCTCGTTTCAGTTTCCGTGCCTGTGCAAACAAGGCGTCTGCCTCTTCGTTGGCACTGGCATACTTTGGGTTCAGTGTCAATTCCACTTCTGCCCCATCATTTTCCCAATCTTGAACTGTGGCAGTCTTTACTCCAGGATTAAAATGATAGAGATTCGACACCAAAAGTTGGGCTCTGGCAACTGTATCTTCTACACCTTGAGCTTTTTCATATTCCGATTGCAGTGACTTTCTCTTCTTTTCAAGCGCCTTTACGGCTTTCTTCAATGCCTTTGACCAATCTTGGTATTCTTCCAGCAATGGAGATTCGTTCACTTCTTCCGCTTGTTCGTTGTCATGGGAAAGCTCATCTTCTAAATCAGGCTCGTCCCAACTCGATGTACTTTCTTCCACAAAGGTTGCCATTCGCAATTGACTCCATACATACCCTCTATTTCGAAAGGGTACAGTGGGTATGGAAAAAGAATCATCTTGGCCTATTCTCTGCGGCATTGGTTTGGAAAGAGAAGCATAATAATGATTTTTGGATACGATTGTTGTTTGAGGTTGTGCATGTTTATTTGATGAAGGTGCAAAGGAATGTGTGGTTGGAATAATCGTCGCAAGCAGTGAAATATAGATTGGAAATTGATGACATTGAAACCACATGGTTGCTTTCAGGTTCTGTCGGCTTGCATGGACAAGATGAGTCGTCATCAACCAATAAACAGAATATTATGGGTGTCGTGTTGATATTGCCACAAAACGCCCTTTGAGCTGGTTGACATTCCACGCGTTTTGGGGGAAGCTATTGTTTTCCCTCATTGAGGGTCCCTGGTTTCGAGACTCGCAATATTGTACATTACTGTATGTAGTATCTCGTAAAGGTATTGGAAGAGTATATAGCCCATGCTGCAAACTACAGGTTTTACAAGAGAGAAACTACATTACAGCAGTTTTCCAAGACTTTCGACCTGCCACAGCAATCCAAGAAGCAGATCATTCGTCCTTGACATCATCCTGCCAGCTGAATGGTATTCCGTGCCGAATTGCTTCCACTTTGATCACCTTCCAATTCTCATCAAACTTGGGAACATCTGTACCAAAGCCTTCTTTCCCAGGAAGCAAACATTGAAAGTTGGCAACAACCGCACGGTTGGGACAATCAATCTGGTGTATCGCATCAATCTTGTAGTTTGGAGACCCCCTTTCTTCTGCTCCCAGCAAAAATCGTTTGGATTCAATGATACTTTCCTTGCCAGAAAAGCCAAACATTTCCGAGTTGGGGTGTAACATTTCTTCAAAAATATCCGGCAATCCAAAAGCATCTGCGAGCAACCAGAGTAGGCCATATCCAAGCAGCTTGCGTCGATCACTGCAATCGGCTGCTGTCAATGTTGATTTCATGCTCTGGACCACCATAGATATCGTTATTTTGGACAATTGCTCCTCGTCGTCACTGCCTTCCACTGCACTGTATTGAATGGCTTGGCCTTTGCAGGTAACCGCTAGGGTCACACCGATTTCGGAAAGGTGTCGAAAGGATACAAGATCATCATTTATTTTGCAGAAAAAGTAGCACAGACGAACAATTTCTTCGTCTCCAAGATTCTGCAGACCCATTTCACCTTTCAAATCTTTCGAAATTTTGTATCGCAATATTGCATACTATTGTCGACAACAACCAATAGCAGTGGCATCAAAGAAGCATGTCATCTTTTTTCTCCCAAAATTTTCGCGCATACTATCGCGCACAGAATTCACATAATGACGTTCAATCATCATCTCAAGTCGCAATTTTATTTTACTGACACGACGCACTTCAACAATCTTACGACAAGATTCAAAACTATTGTCAACGACATCATGGTCTCCTCCCAAAAGCTCTCATCGTTTGGTGTTGCCGTCGCAGCATACTGCTATCTCGCAACCCACCTGTTGGCTTTCACTCATGTCAGTCGTGGTGTGGAAGGATTTCATTTCAAGGTGTTCCTTCTACGTCATGGTCAGACCGATGCAAATGCCGGTGGTATCATTCAAGGATCTGCCGATTTTTCACGCTTGACTGACCTTGGGAAACAACAAGCAAGGGATGCTTATAATGTTTTGCCTTCTTCTCCTTTAGATACAGCCGAAGATTTACGAATATCTTCCATCTACTGTTCTCCGTTGACTCGAGCTCAACAAACTCTTGCCGAATTGCGAAAGGTTGACAGTTTACAACCAAAGGAGGCGGCCAAGTTGCCTTTGGACGAGCAAACTCTTTCCAATCTACGGGAAATTGACTTTTATGATTGGGAAGGAAAAGATAAATTGGAGCTTCAGAAGGTCTTTCCAGAATCGTATCGAGCGTGGAAAGCTGGCGATCCTACTAATTTACATGTTTTCGACTCCAGCAGCAACATTGAGCCAGCTATTCACTATCCATTGCTGGAACTATGGGAACGCGCTGATCTGGTATGGGATGAGATTTTTTGGACTCGAAAAGCAGCGTGCCGAAGAGAGCCGTGCCACATTGATCGTCGCACATGGCTCGTTGGGACAAGCTCTTTTGGGGTCTGCGATGGGATGGGGTCCGGATCACTTTCGGGAGCATGAATTCCCCAACTGTGGAATGATCGAATTGAACTTTTCCGACTTCAAAACTAGACCGCCACATGCGGATCGATGGCGTTGGATTTGGCCCACCCCGTCGGCCAAGTGGAGTTATCCTTTGGAGGTCATGGAAACATGTCAAAGCTAGGAAGGGAATACCGTAGCTCTTTTTCAAGTAATAACTGCGTGGCTCGTTGAACTTGGATAATAGTCCCATGTACGAATAAAGACACTTTGTGCCAGAATGGCAGCCAAGCAAGAAGATACCGACATCGGCCAAAGATAGTTACGTGTACGCAGCAGTGCAACGAAAATTCCAGCTGCAACGAAAGACAAGCGACTGTCTGTATCATGTACCTAGGAAATTGGAGCAGTGGAAATGGAAACGAGCCTTTGATTGCCGCGGCATCTTCATCCGTGCCTGCCTGTCAGCTGTACGAGTATAGAAAAACGGTATCATTAGCAATACAAGAAATTATCTTTATGAATAATTCAATCTAGGAGGCGAGGCTTCTATTTAACTAGTGCTCTAGGTGGAGCATAGTGTACCGGCACTGGTAGCAGTAGAGTCAGCTTCTCAGACAAGGAAACTTGATCGATACACTCAACACCTACAGTACCAGGTACAGTACAATACTCTTCGTCCCTACAGTATTGTACAGGATGAAGATGATTCTTCATACAAGATTCGCGAGAAGATTCATTCCATGAATTTTGTGGCGAATAGTAGTGTTGCGTCATTGATTGAAGTTGCGGGTTCAAAAAAGCTCGAATGACTCAGTATTGTGAACCTCGCAGGCCTCCTACTTAACGGTTGTGAGTGCGTCATTGCAAAACAGTCAAAAACCTCGAGTGAGTCAGAATTGTGAACCTCGCAAGCAACACTGTAAACCGTACAGCTTTACGAACAAACCACGCGAGCACGAATCAGAAATGCTGCTGATTCAATCAAAAAGCATTCGATACTTCGCGGGTATCTTTGCGTCAGAGGTTTGGGAATGACAAAGAAGTCCACGTACCTAATGGTACATTCCATACGGAAAAACCCAGAGCTCGACCTCTCTCATTTTTTGGACCTCGGATACGCACCACGCACCTGAAATTGCCAATGCAACAATCTTCATCACAAATCAAACATCTTCCACAAAACGAAGCAACTGCAAAACATAAACCACGCAATCAACACAATGAACAAATCTCTTGACGATAGCCAACATACCTTCCCTACCACCACAGGTGAGGGATCCGAATCAGATGCTTCTTCCATCTCGGAGTCGTCATCGGCATCCACAACAGCATCATGGTCCGACACCGAGTTGATGGAACCTCACGTCGGCTACAAGAAGGTCCTAGTCACCGGTGGAGCAGGCTTCATCGGAAGCCACGTCGCCGACTACCTGCTAGAACGAGGTGACGATGTTGTCATTATCGATGAATTGAACGAATACTACGATGTTACCATCAAAGAATCCAATTTGCGGCTTTTGACTGAAAAATACGGCGAGGAGCGAGTTGCCATCTACCGAGGCGACATCTGCGACGCCACCTTGATGACAGAGCTTTTCGAAAAGGAACGACCCCAATGGGTATGCCACATGGCTGCCCGTGCTGGTGTCCGTCCATCCATCGAGGATCCTTTTGTCTACATCCATTCCAACATCCAAGGAACCACGCAACTTATGGAGCTTGCCCACAGATACGGAGTGCAAAATTTCGTGTTTGCCTCATCTTCGTCTGTCTATGGAGGATCCAAGTCTACTTTCTTCTCCGAAGATGAAGTTGTGGACAATCCAGTCAGCCCCTACGCTGCCAGTAAGAAGACCTGTGAGCTTCTTGCCTACACATACCACCACCTATACAAGCTGAATGTCACCGGACTTCGCTTCTTCACCGTCTACGGTCCCCGCGGACGCCCGGACATGGCACCATTCAAGTTCATTGATCGTGTCAGCCGCGGTGCTGAAATCCAACAGTTTGGTGACGGATCATCATCTCGTGACTACACTTACATTTCCGACATTGTCGATGGTGTCGTCCGTTCGATCGATCGCCCATACGCGTACCAAATTTTCAATTTGGGCAAGGGCGACGGTACATCCTTGAGAGAGTTCATCTCCTTGGTCGAAAAGCACACCGGCAAGGCGGCCAACCGAAAGATCCTACCAGATCAACCAGGTGATGTCCCATACACTTGTGCCGATGTTCGAAAAGCCCAACATTTGTTGGGATACACATCAAAGGTCAGCTTTGAAGACGGCATTGCGAAAACCGCAAGGTGGTATCGCCAAACGTACATGAAGAACAAGGTTGAAGTCCTTCCACAAGTCGAGGCACCAACGACGACTATTCAATTAGAAGCCACACAGGCTTGTTAGGGGATGGTTGGCTTTTGACAATAGTTTTTGTGTATAATACTAAACATCATGTATATTACTTTAATTTCGAAAAGAATCTTTTACATTATAAATTTATTGTTGGTGTTAAAATCTCATGTCTCATCTTCGATCTCTTTCGATCCCTTCATCTATGTAAAAAATCTCAGTCTTGACATGCAAAATGCCTATTATTCTGTACGTAAAAGTTTATCCTACTAACCCCCTCATCATGCAGAAGACAATAGTTAAGGTATTGTGGACTCATAGCAACGGCAGCTCATGCTCTATGCTGATCTGCTTTCAAGCTCATGATGGCACTCCTCTCCCCTATAACTCAGATTCTTGTCTAAAAATCACCTTACCCCCTCTAGCAGTTAAAAGTTTTCTACCTATATTGCTGCAATGGAGTCTGAAGGTGTTTTGCTCGAGTTCCGAGTTGGATTGCGCCGGGGACGGCCAGGAAAATCAATACTATCGAAGATAGCCAACTGGCGCCTTCTTTTCGGGTTCTTCTGCTTGGTGTTTTCTTGGAGTGACTCTGGTGGGTTGTGGTGTGATAACTCTATCTTTCTGTCAGTATACTTGCACACAAGTTCGATATGTGTAGATCGGACTTAGGTTGCTGGTGCAATACTGAGATGACGGTCGCCCTACCGTCGTTCATGGAGTCACTATTGAGTCCATTGGTTCGACCGCTTTCTTCCGTCTACGTTAGATTTACTCACAAGAATTGTATGCTAAATTTCTATTTCCCGGCCGTTCCGGGGATTTTTGCCAGCTTTGTACTTTGTACGCGTTCACTTTCCTACGGTGGTGATTCGAAGTATTCATTTCTATACGGTCAGCTGCGGGTAGAGTACAGACCTTCGGTCGTTCCGCCAAAAAGTTTCATGTGTGCAAGGTATGGAGTTAGCGGTATTACAGTAATAGCACCGAATTTTGGCCCCAAAGTCCGCTAACCGCGAAAGCATGACGACAACTGTATGCAGCTATGAGTATACGCCCATTTAAGATGTTTGTAGCTTCCTTCGGACAGCGCCGAGTTTACCCTCGACGACTTGTGGAAGAGTGTGTTCTGGGGTCGCTTATACTCGTCCCGATAGGATTTCTTGTTGGTGTTGTTTCTTCACGGTTGCGTACGAAGATGAGCCTGAAATTCATTCGATCAGATATCTGGACAACGATGGTTGTCTTTCTTGTCGGGAAACTTTTGATTCAGTGGCTTCTGGCATCATTGTCATGTGTACCATTATCAGAGAAAGGAAAGGGTGACTACTACTATGGTTTCAGCTGGCTACTACAATCATATGGCATGTTCTGTCCCTCGGACTTCGAATCAATCGGAACGCTCCTGAGCCCTGATGCAATGGCGATTTTGTTCTCTCTCAGACTAGTATTTGTATGCCTTGGAGTTCATCTCGGAGAATCAATGTGCTTTGTCGCTTTAACAGGTGGTATTGCATGTGGCAAAAGTAGTGTCAGTGGAATTTTGGTCGGGTCTCAATCCAGTGACAACTATCAAGATGGAACGGTTGGTTTAATTTGTGCAGATACGATAGCTCACCAGATTCTTCTTCCTCCATCCGTATTGGAATCATATTCTGTTGAGGGGAGCAATCCAACTACAGTGATCGCTTGCGTAGTCAAGCCAAAGGAATCTGTTTTCTTTGAGCTAGTCGCTGCTTTTGAAGGACATGATATTCTTTCACCAAATGGAACAATTGATAGAACCAAGATGGGCTCAATCGTTTTTCGTGATGGAGAAAAGAGACGTGGATTGAATAGGATTACCCACCCGAAAATATTCAGCATCCTGATGTCGAGGCTTGTTCACCAGGCACTCTTTTCGAATAATGATTTAGTTGTGGCGGATGTTCCTCTTCTGTTCGAAAGTGGAAAACTATCGTGGTTATTTGCGATTACAATCTGTGTTGTTACAGATCCTGTGACTCAGTTTCACCGGCTACAACTTCGCAATCCAGAGCTTTCACCAAAGGAATGTGAAGATAGAATCAACTCCCAGCTGAACTTGGACTTGAAAATGAAGTTGTCTGATATTGTTATTGATAACTCGGGTAGCTTAGATGAGCTGAAGGATAAGGTAGAAGATGTTCGACGCGACATTATGCGACGCTTGTTTGGCATTGGACTTTCGCTTTTGCAGGTGCTCTTGCTCATCGGAGGATCCACCAGCATTGCTATCTCCTCAAAGTTTTTTTCGCAAACATAGCAGGGACTGGTCCATTGGTCGGAGTTGCAAGCATACTGGAAAAGTTGCAAGAGAAACAGGTGAACCATTGCTTGAATGTGTCAGCAACGGTCGTGTGTGTGCCATGTACAGTTTCAACCTTGGCAATCATATGAAACGAACCGTTGGTTATTCTGGCCACCATTGCCAGCAATGATCGTTTGACAAGCTGCCAGCATAGCACGGATTGAACTATTTGGGGATCCTTTTCTGCTCCATCGTTTTTCACTTGTGTCTATTTGAAGCACGATACCTAGCTAGTAGTATTGTCCTTCTGCCTTGTTATTTCCACTACATGGTGAATTGAACGAAATGCACAATGGAAAGCCCGACCGGATCGATTTTTTAATATGAAAGATATTTACCGTAGCTCCGAGTATACTGTACCGTTTTATATATATGATGATGATGAGTCTCAATGGTATCGTCAGCAAGCATTTGTGGGAGTGAGTTGACTATGACTGTATTTTCAGTTCCAGTTCTAGTTCCCAAACAGTAATTTGTAGCTACCGGTATGCTTCATCCACTATTTTCGAGGAAGGAAATATGCCGAAGTCCCTTCTTGTGACTTTTGCATGTTTCCCATAAGGAACAATGAGCAAAACAAGCTCCACCCCTTAACTATCCCTGTATAATTCTCCTCGTCCGAAGGGCCACTTATGGTGACAAATATTACGATCACGTTATTATAGTTCCGATAGTAATAATATCTTGCGTCTCTGCTTTTTGAAGATTCTTTCACTTTGAAGTCGAAGATTTCTTTTGTCGTCTGCCCGTTTGTACTCGTATGACGGCATCAGCTGGCGCTGTCCCAGTTTTAGCGCGAACTTTCTCTGTTGCCAAGCAGCATCACAACTTTGGAAGTAGCATCTGAAACCATGGCGGAGCAAAGAGAAGGATGCTATCCTCGAGTGATTGGAGAAATGATTCAATCTCAGCAATACAATGGAGCCATTGTCAGCATTGTTGGCAAACTTGTCACAGTGGACACATTGCAAGCATCTGATGGCTCTCAAATCGAAGGAGGTCTAAATCAATAACCCTGACATGGTGGTTGAAATGATCCGCCAAGTCGCTGACGAGACCAATGATACAGTGAGTATGGTAATACTGTTCATTATTTTCAATGCAATTTGTTGGAGGTCTCACAAAGCTTGTTTCGAATGTTGGGATTCGTCGTGCGAGAGCCTTCCATGGACACAGACTTGGATTTGTACAACCAATTTCTTGCGCTTCAACATTCTCCGACGTACTCGAAATACTTATCGGCTATTGCAATGCAAAATATCAAAAGGCTCATATTTTGTCCGTGGACCACAAGCAATTTTTAGTGTGAGTCAGAATTGTGAAACTTGCACGAATCAGCTCGATGAGTGACCATCTTTGCGTCAGAGGTTTCGGAATGACGAAGAAGTCCACGTATTAATACCTATTGGTATATTTCATACGGCAAATCTACGAGCTCGACCTCTCTCATTTTCTGACATCGATTTTCACGTATGAAATTGCCAGTGTCTAAATCTTCATCACAAATCAAACACCTGACACGAAACAAAGCAACTGCAAAACATAAACCACACAATCAACACAATGAACAAATCTCTCGACGATAGCCAACATACCTTCCCCACCACCACAGGTGAGGGATCCGAATCAGATGCTTCTTCCATCTCGGAGTCGTCATCGGCATCCACAACAGCATCATGGTCCGACACCGAGTTGATGGAACCTCACGTCGGCTACAAGAAGGTCCTAGTCACCGGTGGAGCAGGCTTCATCGGAAGCCACGTCGCCGACTACCTGCTAGAACGAGGTGACGATGTTGTCATTATCGATGAATTGAACGAATACTACGATGTTACCATCAAAGAATCCAATTTGCGGCTTTTGACTGAAAAATACGGCGAGGAGCGAGTTGCCATCTACCGAGGCGACATCTGCGACGCCACCTTGATGACAGAGCTTTTCGAAAAGGAACGACCCCAATGGGTATGCCACATGGCTGCCCGTGCTGGTGTCCGTCCATCCATCGAGGATCCTTTTGTCTACATCCATTCCAACATCCAAGGAACCACGCAACTTATGGAGCTTGCCCACAGATACGGAGTGCAAAATTTCGTGTTTGCCTCATCTTCGTCTGTCTATGGAGGATCCAAGTCTACTTTCTTCTCCGAAGATGAAGTTGTGGACAATCCAGTCAGCCCCTACGCTGCCAGTAAGAAGACCTGTGAGCTTCTTGCCTACACATACCACCACCTATACAAGCTGAATGTCACCGGACTTCGCTTCTTCACCGTCTACGGTCCCCGCGGACGCCCGGACATGGCACCATTCAAGTTCATTGATCGTGTCAGCCGCGGTGCTGAAATCCAACAGTTTGGTGACGGATCATCATCTCGTGACTACACTTACATTTCCGACATTGTCGATGGTGTCGTCCGTTCGATCGATCGCCCATACGCGTACCAAATTTTCAATTTGGGCAAGGGCGACGGTACATCCTTGAGAGAGTTCATCTCCTTGGTCGAAAAGCACACCGGCAAGGCGGCCAACCGAAAGATCCTACCAGATCAACCAGGTGATGTACCATACACTTGTGCCGATGTTCGGAAAGCCCAACAAATGTTGGGCTACACATCAAAGGTCAGCTTTGAAGACGGCATTGCGAAAACCGCAAGGTGGTATCGCCAAACGTACATGAAGAACGAGGTTGAAGTCCTTTCACAAGTCGAGGCACCAACGACGACTATTCAATTAGAAGCCACACAGGCTTGTTAGGGGATGGTTGGCTTTTGACAATAGTTTTCGTGTATAATACTAAACATCATGTACATTATGAACTTAATTAGAATCATTTCGATACTGATTTGTCCAACATACAGATCATGGCTTCTTTCTTCATTCGCTGCATCATCTTGGGTGAGGATTTGAGCTCAAAGGAGTCAGCCGAGTTTGTCCACAGACGTACATTACAGCACCATTTTAATTTTATAGGGGAAAAGCAAGGACTATTTGGAAACAATTTCTTGCTTCTTATCATCTCCCTTGATGTTGAAGAACTTCTCCAATTGAATGACACGGTATTGCAATGGACGGATGCTCGGGTCCATATAGCACCTTCAAAAAGATGGGAAGTAGTACCTTTTGGATTTGCTCGATGGCTTCGTCGTGCTTGCCTTGATAGCTCAGAATGTCTCCAACAGTGACATGGGACTGCAGTTGACGAATGTTTCGGCCCATAAACCTTCGAAAACATCTCCAGCGTCTTCTCATATGGTTGCAAGGACGAGACTTCGTTGTCATTAGAACCTTGACTGCGAAAGACGTGTCCAATTGAATTGAACGCCATTGCAGTGGATGGATCTTCCGCCACATTCGCGTCCCAAAAGATCGCGAGTGCCTCTTTGAACAATCATAACAGGTTCTTTGGTCCTACCGGTAGACCCAAGGCTATTCTAAGTGAATAACCTTTTTTGTTTGTTTTGACTTGTGGAGACATTTGGACTCTGTAACTACCGCCTTTTCGATAGAGCGCTTCAACAGTGTCGAAGGCATGCAAATCTCGCCTCAGGATGAGAATTCACAAACCGAAAGCGGATAGCGACAGTACGATTGGGATATACTTGGTCCGCCGTTACCTTCCTTCTGACCATTCTTATCGAAGTCTTCTACTCATGATTCAGCCATCATGATTCATCAAAATAATGACGTGTGATTTGTGACATTAATGATACAACTGACGTATCATTTGTCAAGCGCTACAAAACATTTAAGTATTCGTGTTTTCAAGTCGAATTTGATTGGATGTTACTATTTCGCATTCTAACGAATTCAAAATTCATCTGACGTGTATCAGCTCACTTCGATCTGGTTCTTCCCATCAGAAGACGATCGATCATCAAACAAACGCACACGTATGTCATAAAATAAAAGATTGACCTCAATCGAAACACATCATCATCAACATGGCTACCATCAAACACGGAAACGGAACTCTTGGGCTCGGAGCCCTCAGCAAGGACTCTGGTTTACACAAGGTCGAAATCGGCCGTCCAGCGACTGGCCCCAACGACGTTGCTGTTGACATTCAATTTTGTGGAATGTGCCACAGTGATTTGCATGCTACCAATGGTAAGTGTAGAAGCAGATCTCGACCATGGTGTTTTGTCATGCGGTATGGTACCTGACCTGCTTCTCTTTCGTCCAATAGGTGAGTGGGGAATCGAATCCTTCCCTTTGATTCCAGGCCACGAAATTGCCGGTGTTGTCAGAGAGGTTGGAAGCAAAGTTACCAAATTCCAAGTCGGCGATCGTGTCGGTGTCGGTTGCTTCGTCGAATCTTGCTCTACTTGTGTGGAATGCAAACGCGGTGAACAAAACATTTGCCGAAATGGATGCTGTCAAACATACAGCAGCATGTATCCTGAGGGCAAAGGGCACGATGAGTGCGCTGGATACCACACAAACGGTGGATACAGTAGCAACATCACCGTCAGAGATGAATTTGTCTTGAAACTTCCTGACAATCTTGAATCTCATGCTGCCGCACCCCTTCTATGTGCTGGTATCACCATGTTCAGCCCCTTGAACCGTCATGTTCTCAAGGGTGGAAAAACCAGAGTTGGAGTTGTCGGCTTTGGAGGACTTGGCCAAACTGGAGTGAAAATTGCCAAAGCCATGGGCTGCGAGGTTACCGTGTTCTCTCGTAGCAACAGCAAGAAGGAAGCTGCTGAAAAGCTTGGTGCTAAGCTTGTAGCACACTCTGACGAAGAAGCACTGAAGGCCGCCGCTAATTCGTTGGAGGTTATTCTTGACACTGTCGCTGTCCCACACGATGTCAACCCCATCATGGCATGCTTGGAACCCGCTGGTGCCTATGTTTGCATTGGTGCTATCCCTCAAGCTATGGAAATCTCTCCCTTTGCATTGATTGTAAAGAATCTTCAGCTTGAAGGATCTTTGGTTGGTGGAATTCCAGAAACTCAACAAATGTTGGAGTTCTGCAGCAAGCATAATATTGCTCCAGACTACAAAGTTATCAAGGCTTCCGAGGCTAATGCTCAGTTCAAGGCATTGCAAGATGGAACTGCCGCAATCGGTCGTGCTGTCATTGATATGAGCACCTTGAAAGATGTTATGCTAACCACCGAGTCCACCAACGACCCACGTGTTCGTTAGACGGGAGGACGACATAAACTAGTCTGATACTTTTTAAAACTCTGCTTTGCAGTTTCTTCTAAAATAGAACGCCTTATATTCCAGATCTCAAAAAGCATTAGCGAACCTCATGACCGTGCAAAAAAAATGGCGATCGCTCAAACAAGTCCTTTGCTATCAGCTCAAGGAATGAATCATATTCCACTTTTGCCTCCCAAGAGAATTTCGAGGAGTTCGACGTCGTACGTTATTATCATCCTTGACTTATCTCGGCTCGAACTTTCAATGCATCGTCGCTGGATATGGGCTGCATGAAAGACATCAAAAAACGCATATTCTTTGTAGGCATGGTGTTTATTGCTGTTTGTCTTATTCTTCTCCACCATAATAAGCTTGCTTGGGATGTTCATACTCTTGCCAGGTAGAATAGTAGATCAAGGAGAAGCGTTCCGTAGACGAATCGTAAGGGGCTACCCAATGGGGATATCGGCCATCCACTTTGCCCAAGCGGTCTTTGGTGTTCACGTGACAGATACTGAAAGCATCTACTTCGACACAGATCCCACCTTGCCCTTCAGGAAAGGAACCTAATGACAGTCCATAGAAAGGGGCTGTGTTTTGTTTGTCAATATGAGGACTTCCCTGAAAACCATATGTCACGGCTAATGCCGAGAAATTCCTTGCAAATTCGGGATCAACTTCCATCAAAGCCTCTTTTGCCAGGTTCCAAAGGTCCAAATATTTGTTGAACTTCTTGGCAGCAGCCTTGGCATTGTTGCTGTTCTTTTGTTCAAACTCTAGCGGCGATCTCAGTATCATATATGATCGGGCACTAATGGAAGGTCTGGTGTTCTTCTGGTGTCGGGATTTAAAATCTATCAGTTTATCCATCAGTTTTATTCGGACTTGTTCCGACACTTCTTTTCCATCGACTCGTAGCTCCTTTCGTTCCCCATAATTCTCATAGTGTTTCAGCAAACGCTCCATTATATGTCCCCTCGCCAATCCATCCAAGTCACCATATGATTCCCCAAAGGATTCCACCAAACGTGTTCGTAAGGTTGAGGTTGGCCAAGGTTCGAGTTGGGATCGCAACAAGGTAGCATCTCGAACAGCTGGCGAGTCACCGTCAAGGTTACCGTCCATATGATATTCTTTCCAATACTCCGACTTTTGCTTTGCATCCGCAAACTTCACTCTGGAAGCATGTCCCAGGCGACATGTGGGGCCAAAGCAACAAGGAGTGACACCATCGTCTTGCAAATCATGCGAAAAGCGGCAAGAACCTCGAGGGGGAACACATTTTCCATACTTGAGGAAGAAACAACATGGTCCACTTGCAGCATGTTTCGTGTTCTGCTTAGTTGCTGTACTCATTGTTTGGTGGAAGATTCGTTCATCACCAAGCGGAAGCCTTGAAGGAGAAATGATGTTTGAAAACAGACCATCTCTTGTGTTTTGTTTCCAATGGAATGGATGGATGGTCGTGATTTTGCGACCCCTTCGACTGACTGAATTTTGAATGATCTCGTATTGACCCATTTGACCCGACCACTTTTTTCAAAACAAGGAGGACAGGATTACAAAATTGTTACGAAGCCGAAAACAACAACGTACTGTACAGTAGCCAACGTCTCTTATCTGTGCTTTAGTAGCCATTCAAAACAACGACAGATCCTTTTGAAGAATAAAAGCTCAATATTTCCAAATGATTACTGCATAATCTTTCTTTTATTTCAAAGAGAGAAGGACAAGAAAGATTGAATCCAAGTTCAATTGAACCTTCCTTGGTTCAAGATAAGCAATGGTGCAGCTGACCATTCAAGTTCGCGCCAAGACGTGCTATTCGAATGCGGGCAAAGTCAAAACGCTGTCAATCGACAGTTCCCAGCGGGTAGAAGAAATTGTCGAACGAGGAAGTAGGTTGTATCGAGACGGACGAGAGCTCCCACTCAACTCCTCGTTTGCGTCCAACAACGTTCAGAATGGCGACATCTTGGAGAGTTGCTCTTCTCCTCTCATGTCAGCACTCTTGTCAGCTGTTTTGAAAGATATTAATGATATCAGTAAAGTCCCTGAAAATGAACGTACCAAGGAAAAACTGGAACCATTGATGGGAGGTGCGAAGATAGATCCATGGTCCAAGCGTTGGTCGGCAGACTCCATCAAGAATCGCATTATATCGCTAGCAACTATGAAAAAGGTCATCCAAAGGGATGATCGATATGCCAATAAAACAGTTCCGAAGATTACAACGCTTCAAGAACTCTATGATCACATGCAGACTGTTTGGAACACGAGTGGAATTGGCCACAACAGCATGGCTCATGTTTTCAAGCCTTCTGCCAAGAATGCCAATGGGAAACCTAGTACTTGTTGGCAAATGATGGAACACAAATTTATCTTGGCCCAGCGGATACGTCAAGCATGTGCCACTACGGGTGAAGATTGGATTGATGCCTTTGTCAAGATGGAAAGTAGTCGCCATGACGCTCCAGCCAGCGCCACGCCCTCTCGTCGTCCCCGTCAGAGACGGACCACGAGTGATGCCACGCCCCAGCAGCCTCGACGTACTCTTGCTACACCACAATCCAATATTCGTCGAGGAGGGGCCGTTGCGGTCCAATGTGTCACTGCCAATTGCCATCAATTGGCCGAATATGCTTGTCTTGAAGAAGGCTGTCCCTTTCATGAAGAATTGACGTGTACCATGTGTTTCGTCGGAAATCATCCTGCCCATATTCGCGACCACCCACGTATTCCTCTGACAGACGCGAGGGTAAAGGCTATTTTGAAGGAAAAGAACAAGAAAGGATACTGTCCGGAATTCCAGTCAGGGCCCTATGCCATTTTGTGTTCTCTTTTGGAAGCTTCCACGGAGCAGCAGGGTGGGAGACGAGAATTGAGTCTGCCCGAGAGCCGATTGAAGAAGCTAGCTCAAAAGCGATGTCGTTCCAATTTGTACGATCGCCAAGCCCGAGGGCGGAGTGCTTTTGCATGCATCGAACACTTGGCCGACAAACAATTGGTACGCAAGGAATTGATTCCGGGGCGAGAGGAAGGAAGATTTAGTCTCATGCCCGAGGGCGAAGCCATGGCCCAACGGTGTTTGGATTTTCAAAAAGTGACAGAACAAGTACTAAAAGATAAAACGGTCACTAAGATACAAGAACCGTGTCCTAGGAGTCTGACTCTGTTGGTAGACTCACGAGAAGATGTCACCTATTCCAGCCGATTGCAGGAGAACTTTTCTGATGATGGATATCCTTGTGAAGAGCGGGAGCTACCAGCAGGCGACTATCTGTTTACGAGGAAGGCGGTTGGTGGTAGTGACGACAGCGAGGCGGTCATGCCACTGGTGATTGAGCGTAAATCATGGTCGGATTTTGCCGATAGTGTCCATGGAGCTGGAAAAGGACATAGTCGTTTGGACTGCGTGAAAGTTGGAGGCACTGGACAATGCTCAAACGGAAGATGTCAGCTTTGTCGCATGAAAAGAAGTGGATGCGAACAGGTCATGTTCATCATTGAAGGGGCCAGGTGTTTGGACCGAGATGGAGAAGACAAATGCAGCGAAACAAAAAGATGTCAACATTGCAGGGAATTGCAGGAACGTCACAACAGCATACAACAAGACTTGGAATCCATTATCTACGATCTGCAAGCAACTCATGGATGCCTGATCCACTTTACGAGAAATTACAACGACACCATCGATTCCCTGAAAATGATCTACCGTCTTCTTGCCTCGGGGTATGCTGGAGGAGTCCAGCAAGACGATGAGTTGCAGCGTGCCATACAAGCGTCACTGGGAACAGATTCTTCTCCTTCTTCTGCGCTCGTCAATACACCTAAACTCACATACAAAGATTTTGTTTCTAATGCTAAGAAATACAAAACCCGTCCGCCACTGCAAAATGGAACAAAGAGGAAAGAAGTCAAGAGATTGGGGACGGAGGCCTTCATTCGAGGTATTCTTGAGGATCGACTGCTCGCAACACTTTCTTCTGGCGAATCGGTCAGCGAAGGGAGGGGACAAAAGGACCTGAATCAATCGTTTGAAGCTGCCGCGGCTGGAACGAATGCTGTTGTGGAACTACAATCTAGCGATAGCGAAGACGAGGATGCTTTCCCAGAGTCTCAGAATTTCGTGGAGGTTCTAGGGTGTCTTCCTGGAATGGGTCTTTCGAATTCAGCTTCCAAAGTCCAATGTATCGATATTGATAGTGACGACGATGGAAAACCAGCAGGCAGACCAAGCAGTAGTTCCGATGATGACGATATTGTGGTGGTCGAAGATAACGTGGCTGTTGGAATTAGAGACAAGAGAACTCTCGGCGATTCGTCTCGTCCTGGTGTCTTTGTCATCACGGGACTATACGAATATGACAGAGACTTTTTCAAAGACATCAACAAGATTTGGCAGAGCATGTACCGAACTCAGTCTACCGCATCAAGGGAAAACTTCCGAAAGGGCGTATCAGAACAGTTGCTCGCAATTCAGAGTGATCAGCTACCATTGGTCCATCGAGAGTCCATACTCTACTGGACGCTCCGGATTCCACTGAGCGAGAGAGTACTGATTCATACAGCACGTACTTCGCAATGTGTGAATGACTTGACGAGCAGGTGGGAGAATGGTAGACTTCTTCCAGGTTCTGGAGGTAGGACTCTTGGTGCCAGACTATCACCACAGCGCAAAAGATTGGCCGAGACGAGATCAAAACAAACCGAAAGGACCCCTGCTAGGCAGCAGCAGGACGACCAAGTCGTTGTTATCGATGACGATTTAGTCGCTGCTACCTGTCGTCGCGATCTCTTTGGTAAGGGCCAACATAGCGCCCCCGATGCTACCGCACAGAAAAGAACAATGCAGAAACGAAACCAACAGACCAACCCCATCTACACCATCGATGAAGATGGAGATGAGATCACTGTGCTACATACTACAGCACCTCGAGCTGCTAGACAAAAAGAGACGTTGCTGCAAACTTCCGACACGGGTAAGCCGCCGCTGTCGGGCAGGAAAGCACCACCAGTAAACGAAATCGGTCCCGCAACAGGATCGGGAATGAAGCGACTGTCTGCATCCAACATCGAAAATGGTCGGGCGTCTACACTATCAACTCTTGGAAATGGATCGAGAAAGCAGCGAGCCACTCCTCGGAGTCAGAAACGAAGTAACGGCAGCGCAAGGAAAGCAGAAGAATCGAGAATTCCGCCGTTGTCAACGAGAAAGCGTCCTCCGGAATATCCTCTTGGCACAGCATCCCCTCGAAAGATACGACCAGATCCGTCTCTTTCGAGCACAGACACTGCTATTCGAGAAGCCCGGTTGCGTCGATTTGGAGCCGCAGACGCTACGACTGCGAGACCCACGAGTGAATGGGAATGCACAAGCTGTACTTTCAAGAATAAGTTTGGTGATGATCAATGCAAGATTTGCGGTGCAACCGCTGTCACCAACAGCCCAATTCGTCAAAGAGTAGCTACGCTTCGAGAAGCAAGAGCACAACACTCAGTCCAGCCTGGCCCTTATCCTGCTCGCAAGAGGTCGGGATCTACTCCATCCACTTGGTCATGCCGGAAATGTACCGTTGAAAACCCGTTGCATTTGTCATCGTGTGAAGTGTGTGGCTACGATGACTCATCCAGCGGAGCCAATAGGCCGGAAACCACATCGTCAGCTACAAAAATGTCGTCCAAAGCAGTGAAGCCCGACACCTATGTCAGCGCAATCACGTCGCCCAACCAGAAACGACGTATTCGATGTGGAGCTTGTGGATTGGATGGACACAATAGAGGCACTGGTAAGCATCTGCATATTTCTTGAATCTGTGTCACTGTTCAAGACTGACTCACTAATTGTCCTATAGCCACGGATGCCAATTGTCCAGCGTACAACAATCCAGACGAGGTCAGCCTACGAAACAAGAAAAAAGAAGCTGCGGAGAAAAAGGCAAGAGATGCCCAAGAAGACGCCAAGGATTTCGAAATTAGAAAGGAAGCTCTGGAAACCGCGAGTAAGCGGCGAAATCAAGAAATGCAAAGATTGCTGGCTCTCCAGCAGCAAGATGAAGAAGAGTCTCGACGAATTAGGGAGAACGAGTTGAAACGCAAAAAGAAGGCTGCTGAGAGGGCCGCGAAACGCGCCCGCAAACTGGGCAGGTGAAGCGATAACTTATTTATCATTTGGATTCGTGAAGCCACTCTAGTCTGGACTTTTGCATCTGACGACGAACTATTCTTACTACAAATTTTATCTGGATACAAAACATGCGTAGGAGTTTAGTCCAAAAGCTATTATATTGAAGCATCGATGCTACATTACTATGGATATTTTTTTTACATTTTACATTATCAATACAGGCTTGGGATATTCTTCTCGCAAAGTTCTTTGTGTCTTGTGCGCTTCAGTCCGTGAGAAAGCTGATCTTCGCCTATCATGAGACTCACCAGTGGCCAAGCACCACCACTGCCACCTTTGTTTGCCCGGAAGCTTACCATGGTACTTCGTGCTGTCGTTAGATAAAGTAAGCCTCTCTGAAGAATCAAGTGTTAGTGCGGCACGTAACACATCGATGAACTAGACCACTTTTCCCATAACGTACCTCAGCTAGAATGATCAAGATATCCATAGTCCGAGCGAACGAAGGGGGCGGGGAATATTGCGCCTGTCCTGAGGCGCCTGAAATTGCCTCCATTTTCATCATGATATCCTTGATGTCAAAGTTACCTTCCCTTCCCGTAGCTCTCTTCAATGAAGCGATCGAGATCAACAGTAGAGCCTGATATGGCGATGAAAACGACACAGCAACTTTCAATGCCGTTTCCAAGGATTGAAGGCTAGCCTTTTGAACATCTCCAATTCTAACCGTTGGGAATTTGTTGCTTGAATCATATGGCGAGTCGCTTTCTTCCCACCTTCGAAGTACAAGCTTCGCAGCGTCCCTGCATATTTTGAACACTTTCCTAATGTCTCCACTCAATCCAGCAGTTTTCTTACTGGCAAGCAGAATTGCGTCTTTATCAAATATGTCCATGTTCTGATTCAAAGTACGGGTAAGACTAGTGATACGATTTCAGCCACAGCAATTGAACGATAACTTACAGGTGATGCTTCTTTCATTTTTGCGTCTAGGATAGCAATGGTCTCCTTCAAATCATAGGACTTAAATAACAACTTGTTCTCAGAGCCGAGTCTTGACCTCACACTTTGTAGTAGTTGGTCTGCCAGATTCAGAGTGTTCGATATTCCAACAACGACAAGTCGCCTTCCGTGACGCAACTCAGCTGCTCGTTTTGGCCAATCAAAGAAATCGTATAAAACAGTCTGTTTCTCTGTCATCAGATAGTCAATCTCGTCCAAAAGTAAAACTGTGACTGCGTTGTTGTCTTTCACGCCGTTCGTAATTGGTGACGTAAAGTATCTCGTCAACCTTGCGGCTGCGGCTTCGTGAGTCCCCACATGCTTCAGCCCAGTGAGTGCCTCCCAAAACTTGCCATATGCTTCGAACGGATGTCGCAGTTCCATTCCATTCAGTGAAATCAGATTGAATTTAGGAATTGCACCAGAGGATTGCTCAATACGCAAGCGGGCGAGAGCAGCACGAACACAGGCAGTCTACATTCCAAGCATCGTGAGTTCAACGACATGAATGTCACAATAATTCCTCCGCATTCCCCTTACCTTGCCAACACCAGGAGACCCTGCCAGGAAAAGGGATGATTTCGCACCACCAGTGCCGGCGGTTCCTCGAATTGCAGCTCGAAAGAAAGAGAGTAGTTCATGTAGCTCCTTCTCTCTGCCAACCAGTCCTTCGCCTCGTTCATATGCACCAGTTGACGCATCCAACAACGTGAGTTTACTAATGACTCGATTCATGTTCTCATGCCATGAGTGGACGGTGCTCTCTTCTCTTAATTCTTTGCTGTTGTCTTGCAGATTTATAGCACTATATTTGTCTTGCGCTTCTTGTGGAAAGTTTCTTGAATACAACCATCCACGCTCTTGGCGCCCCTCAAGTTTTCCGCATGGAATCAACGATTTGCGCTTCGTTGACCAAAATCGTCTGCATGCATATTGCTTCACTGGTATACCTCGAAATGATGCTACCTTGGTAAATTTTGCTGAATCAGAAAACAAAGTTGCTGGGCAGAGAATATCTTCTGCGTCAACGATATCGGTATGATCACTTTCAAAGACTTCTTCGAAATCCTCTGGTGAATCAGTCTCAACTGTACGGTCTCGCTGAAGGTCGTGCCGTTCGTATAGCCATCTTATCTCCACTCTCAACGATGATGAGCTCATTGCTCGATCTCCATTGGTGTGCTGATCTTTTTCCAAGTCGTCCGTTGAATCAAACTCTTTGAAGATGGCGACAATTTCAGCGACTAATCAGTGAATAAGGGGTTGTGAGAAATTGATGGAAAGACATCGATACAGAAGGGAGAAGACACACCTGACCAGCTGCTGTCCATTGGGTACCGCTTTGCACCTTCACACCGGATCAAAACGACATCACCCATCTGTGTAGTCCACGGATCGTTGTTGTTTTCTTCTTTCGCACACACTGCATAGGTTTGTCTTGAGGGAACCAGTTCCATCTTCGTATAGAAGGTTCGAAGCTGGGACAAGTCAATATGAAACGGTTTGCATGACGTCCAGGCCACCCCACTTGGGTCAAGACGATCACAACTGCCGCCTGATTTGTATGATTCTGGGTGTGCATCGCCAACCTTCGATAAAATCTCATTGATTCCATCAAGAGAATAGAGCGTAGACTTCTTCACTGAGGTTTCGAATGAAAGGTACAATGAGTCATTTCCCCAACAGGGAATACTCGGAATCTGTTGCTGGGCTCTCTTCCATTCTTCATCAAATAGATCTCCATGCCTGCAGACAAGTAGCGGACCGCGTAAATCCTCCGAACGGATCTCTAGCGTCTCGAAAAGTTCGAGGGGCTCAAGGAATGGAATGTCGTTCTCAGCTACTTTTTTCATCTTCAACAATCTTACTTGAATACGAAGTCGTTCCTCGATGCTTGAAACGGAGTCATTGTCCATGAAAATAGCAAGAATTTGGGCAGCAGACCAAGCGTCGGTGAACGGAAGACAAATACTGTCACTGTTTGCTGCTTCAGAGTGCACTGCCACGAAGTCGCCAACTTGAATTTTCCAGTGCAGGCTTCGGGATGAATTAAATGGTCCGCAATGATGGTACTTGGACCAGTTTGGCTGGATTTTGCTTTCAAGATACATCATTCTTTCGGTACCACATGATTCGAGGTGTACCATCGGCTTCGGGTCGTTCTTTGTGGCGCTACCGAGAAGGTCGACAACAGTAGTTGCATTGAGTCCTGGGGAGAGCGGTGTGGATGCCTTCTGGAGAGCATCATACTTTCCAATCCAATTTGAGAACTGAAGACTCCGAGATCGACATTCGCGAAACCAAGACTCTGGTGTAAACGATGACACAGGAATAGGCAGTATTCTTTTCGCCTTGTGTTGAAAGAAAAACTTGCATCGAAACGAAACCCTTGATTTCTCGTGTGATGAAGGATCGTTCATATTCACAGCTTTCTCGAAGTTGCTGAAAAAGATGTCGGCTGTTCCAAGAATGTGGGAGGCAGGCACTTCAACTACAATATCTGATTCAAAAAGCTCTTCCCGGTTGTTATCGCTTGCTGATGGAGCAAACGTTTGAACAAGAGATGGAAGATCCGAGTGCCGGAGAAAGCGACGAATTTCAACACTCAACACATCTTTGACTGCACTCTTGTAAACACAAAGAATCTGGCCACAACGCCATGGAACACGGTAGGGATGCCAGAGGTGTTTCAAATGCTTCATAACAACGTAGTCGGGTCTTGTTGCAGCTGTATCATCGTAAAAGCAAACGAGATCTCCGATTTTGCAAGAGAATCCGAACTCCTTGGAACGGTGTTCAACTTTGGATGGCACGACAAGGTTCTGTGATGGAATCGTGAGACTCAATTTCTTGAAGAAATGAAGTGCAGCTGATCCCTCAGAAGACAAAATCTTCCCTGTTGCCGAGATTTGCACTTCAGTACAATCAAGCTTTTCGAAATCCATACTGAGTGGGAGCCCCTCGACGCCCTCCCACTTTTTGATTAACTGCTCGTCCGGATCAATTCCACGCGAGGCAATGGCAGCCTTGTAGTATCGACTCAGCATCAATATCCAACCTTTGTTTTCTCTATTGATGGGATCCAACATGAGACCTCGAGACAATGGCTGTGGCAGCGATTTCATGGACAGATCATAGTTCGTCCAATCCCGTGCAGTATCGATTTCTTCGTCCAAACTCATGTACCCGCAAAGGCGTGGGATGAGTGGCAGTCCAGTCAAAAAACTAGTCTCCACCGCCCAACTATTAACATCGCTGGATGTCATGATAACTCTGCCGGGAAAGACTGATTCGAGGGAGACGTGGACGTACGATTCTGTTTCGAATACGACGTAGGGTTTATCAAAGTTCTTCACTGAGGCTCTCTGCTGTGGGAGCAAATCCTGAAAACGATCGAACCATCGAATTTGCATCATCCACTCGTTCGTAATCTTGTTCTTGTAGATGGACACAATTTGAGCAGGACTCCATGGCTCGACAAACGGGTGCCAGTAGCTCTTCTTGCTCTTGAAACCCTTCGGTATTGATTCTTTGCTCAAGCGAATCGGAACGACAAATCCAACCTTGACGGTCCATTGCCGCGTCCTGGGAGAAAAGGTCCGGACCAGGCTATGCCGATCCACGTCAAGGCGAACTCCGTCATGAAACTCGCGATTCCAACGATCGTACAATGGACTTGACGCCAATGACGAAACTTCCATTGGTTGAGAATCCTCTGATTCATCTTGGTCGTTTTCGTCCTCATCTTCCTCTTGATCATCATTCGATGAGCCCTCGACCGCCTCAGAAGAAACACTCGCAATTGCATCCGTATCTTCTGCGCTACTGGTAGAATCCTCGGCAGATTCTTGAATCCAGTCCACAGTTTTTCGTTCCAGACTTGGAGGCAACGATTGTATGCCTCGTAGCAATGCTTCTGGAAGACTGCTTAGTCCACCTCGGTAGTCTGCCCAATCATTTTCGATTTTCACGATTTGACCCTTGTCCGTCAACAAATGCTTGCAAGCCAATTGAACCATTGGGAGTCCATCCTCGTGCAATCCCAACATCTCACCAGTCGGAATAGACGACGAAACTTGGACATGAAGTGGCAATACAGTTCCTACCTCGATAGTATCCACATTCATACTTTCAATCACCCTTGAGTTAGACAAGGCTGGTGAGCAAGCAAAGAAATCGTCCTTTAACAAAGCTTCCTGTATTTCCGTTGGCAATTCCTCCAACCCAAAGAACCATCGCACTTGCAACAACCACTCATCCTGGTCTTTGGAGTAACAAGTGGAAACCACTTGCGCCGGTGACCATTGGATTCGATCTGTATCCAAAAGCGTCTTGGTAATATTGTTGTGATTGTATTGCTGGCTGCTTGGAGAGTTGTTATCATTGCTCATGGTTCCATCCACTAGCACTGCTACAATTTGCCCCACACTAATGTCAAAGTAATTGTTTTCCGGTTGAATGTTCCATTTGTTCGTGGTTGCCTTTCGTTTCGAGGTTACACTTGCCAAAAAGACACTCAAATCAACATGCCGTTTCAATTCTGGATAGTATTCCTTTTTCTTCAGTCGAAGTAGCAAGTCTGATTCGTCTACCACCACTTGGGGCGCAACCTTGGTCTTTCGCTTCTTCTTGCTCTTGTTGCCAGGAGACCGTGCCGTGGGAGAGGAGCAGGACAGTGTTGTTGATGTGGAGGTGGTGGTGGAAGCAGTAGGCTCGTCTTGTTGCTTTTTGTTGCTGGGTTTTCGCTTCTTGGTAGCGCTGGTATTAGTGGTATTGCTTCTATTCGCGAGAATGGAAGGCCGTTTCGTAGTCGTATTCTTCTTGGTAGTCGATGATTTGGATCGATTGGCACCATTGGCATTCTTATTTTCTTCGTCGGGAGTCTGAATTCGCACTCGCTTGGTAGATCCCTTTTTGCTAGATGACGCCTTTCGTTTGTTGCTGGACGCTTTCTCCTTTTTGTTGCTTGTTCGTTGATCGACTTGATCATCTGTGGATAAAGTCTCTTCCTCCGCGGCGCCACCCTCTTCGTCATTTTTTGCGTTTTGATTTAGATAGTGCAGGTGCTGTTCCCATTTCGAAGGTAAGGCAATATTCTTGTAGGCATATACCAACTTGGGCAAGAGCTCTGGATATTGACCAAAAAAATTGGTATGATGCTTCCATGATTCCTGCAATGCCACCGGTATCCGTGTTTTCTGAGGATTGGTTGGCCTATTGTGCACGTTGAGATGGACCCAAACGTCAGGGTCGCTATTGACCAAAGCTGGCTTGTTGACGCCACCGATTCTCTCCTTGGTCACATGAAATCTCAAATGAAGATTATCTTCTTCATGTTCATGATTCACTCCGTTCGGATAAAACTCCTGTCGACTCAACATGTGAATCCTCAAAGGCAACATCTGATTGGGAGATATGGATTGATAGTTTTCCGTCTTGACCAAGACATGTGGTAGTTGAGAGAGATTGTCATGTTTGCGAAATGGTCGAAAGGTGCTCGTGATCTTCTTGTCCTTGGCAAAAGGAGTGTCCAACAACTTTTCTAGAATCCGAAGTTGAATGGATATGGATTGCGATTTAGGCGACTGCTCCTGTTTCAGTAGAGTGACCAATCCCAGTTTCCAATGCGGCGATGCTTTTTCATAATGGTCGGGCATGAATTCTTCAATCGATTTGGGAGTGTTAGCCTTGTCAAGTGTAGAAAAGGCAACCACATCTCCCAAATGAACCTTCCACTTCAGATTGGGATTGTCGCATTTGTATTCAATTTCAAAGGCAGCATGATATTCCGTTTTCAATCCCTCGCTCTTGTGCGAATAAATGGGATTTGCTGTGGGAAGACATTCCATTCTCTGAGTGACTGATTTCTATTGTGAATATGGTCTATTGTGGTTGTGTGGTTGATGATAATAATAAATGATGATGTCGATTGACTTCTCGCATGTTGCGGTTTTGTGCATTGGAGAAGTGCGATGACGGTTAAAAACGGACGAAGATTTCAGTACCTTCTGTTTATTTTCTACGTATTCCCACGAGGGTTTTCATTTTGGCGCCAAAGTTAACGGTTGTTTGAAGGATCCACTCATCGTTCGCAATATATAGAAGCAAAACCGTAATAACAACAACTGCACTTGGTTCCATCCGATTGCAACCATGTCTGTCGATTAATTCCCTTTAGCATCCTCATCATCAAACGAATCTATCCAAATTTAAAATTGAAATTGAGGACTTCAATCCATATGCTGTTGGAAAACCCTCGAAACCAAAGACCTAGTAGTAGTAGCAGGAGTACTTGAAAGATTTCGACGAGCACGGTGACTTACCTGCTGAATTTGATGTCCTACAATTTGAAGGGAATATAAATCCAGATTCCAAAGTGTACCAAAAAGTCTTGCATCTTTTGCAAACCAGAAGAAGATGGAAGAAAATTGGATTGTCGGACGTTGGTATATGAGCAGTGCCTCGCCTGCATTTCTGAGTCTTGTGGTATCGGCAGTCGCCAAGACAGACCAAGTCACTTTGAGCGCTTGCCCTTTTGATCGGAATTTCTTTGCATGCTTGAATTCTGGAATTCACACCATTCGGTATTTGTCTCTTTACAGCGGCAACTTCCCTATTTCCAACGAGACAGCGGCCGTTTTTGCGCAAGGACTGGCACTATCGACATCACTGGAAAGTCTCAAAATCGAGCCTGAATGCTCCTTCAGCCATGGGGCTACCCTTCGGTTGGCCGAAGGAATCACACGAAACAAAAGTTTGGAGGTATTATTGGTTCAGATGCTGTTTCAACAATCATACAGGCTGTGGAAGATCCAGGCCTCCTCCCAAAGCTTGCTTCTTTGACGATTTGGCTCCGACGGAGAAGCTATTGCGACGAAGTATTTACAAAGTTAGTCTCTGGTAATCAAAGCTGCTTGAAATGTCTGAAGCTGCAGTTTGATTATGATTCATACGGATTTGGGTTTTATTTCCAAGCGACTATGCAACATGCAATGGCAATTTACAGTCTCTGACAATAAGCAATTACAAACTGGAAGGCCCTCATTTGAAATCATTGCTTTCATTGCCCATGTTGTCGAATCTCAAAGTGGATCGTTGTGGAATATCGAATTTGACACCTATCATTGATCACCTATGCCAACCAAGTGCCTCAATGAGATCACTGTCACTTCCATCGAATCAAATTGAATTCGACCAAGTAGAGAGATTGGTCTCGTCTCTTGCTGAAATGCAATCATTGACGTCATTGGATCTCCGTTTTAATACTTGGTGCTTGGAAGATGATACTGTCGACAACAAGGCCGAGCGCATCGAAAGACTAATGCAAACTGTTTCGCAATGTTGGAACTTGACAGAATTCTGTATTCCTCTTTGCAAGATCTTTACGAATGCTGCAAAGAGGCATAGCCTCACTCTCCAGCTAGCCATCAACCGCGCTTGGAAAAGCGAACTTTGCTGCAAGAAGAAGGACAAGGCTCTGCCACAAGCGAGAAACCTTTTGCCACTGATAGTCGCAAGAGCACTTCGAACAACCGTAGGTGCTAAGAGCGAAAAAAATTCTCTCGATTTGGAGGTGCTCTTTCCACTCTTGAAAGAAAGGGTCGACGACTTGGTACATCATTAGAAAAGTACGGGTGTATCATCATGTCTTGTTAGGGGAGAAAGAGTTCGTGGCACTTCGTTAGCTCTAATTTTGTTCCTCGTCAGTTTCCTCATATATATATATATTACTGATATCTGCAGCCGCATCACCCCAACATCGCTCTAATACTACTCGTACCAGGTACCACTGGAGCCATCATATTGTAATCTTGTTCTTAGCCTACCGTACTGTTTGCATCATTGGTGAGAAGTTCGAAGTGACACTGGTTGAAAATACACGTCTGTTTCAGTACCTTCTACAGAGATTTTCATTTTGGCGCGGATCGCAAAATAATCGCATCGTCAACAACAAAACATCAGAAATCCAAAACAATGAGCTCGTGCGGTACTAGCACTCAAAACCAACAACTACTACTGAACCAAGCAACCATGTCAGACTTTGAATATTATGACTTTGGCGAAAGCAATCAGCAAATTCAGGACTTCAATCCATGGGTAATGGGAAACTCGCCAATTTCATACTTGAAGGATTACCGGCTCACTTTGAAACGTTGGCGTTTGAAGGGAATGTAAACCCCGATTCCAGAAAATACAAGAGAGTTTTGCATCTCTTGCAAAGTGGCCGAAAATGGAAGCGCATCGGATTATCGGACGATGGTGTGGCAAGTGCCTCGCCAGCGTTTCTCAGCCTTGTGGTGTCTGCTCTCACCAAAACAGACCATGTGACCTTGAGTAATTGCCCGTTTGACCAAAATTTCTTTGCGTGCTTGAATTATGGAATGCACACTCTTGCGATTGTATGCATGGCGGATGTCAACATTCCTGTTTTTCTACGATGCAGCGGCCGTTTTTGCGCAAGGGCTGGCACAATCAACGTCATTGGAATGGCTCGAGATCGAGATTCAATGTTTCTTCGAATATGAGGCTGCCCGAAAGTTGGCCAAAGGAATCGCACGAAACAAAAGTTTGAAGAGAGTGTCCATCGATGAATCGAATCTTGGTGCAGAAGATGTTGATTCAATTATACGGGTAGCTGTGTCCGATCAAGGCCTCCTCCCAAAACTTCGTTTTTTTGTCTATTAAAGTTCCAATCAGAGTGCAATTGCACGGATGCATTGACAAAGCTAGTCTCTGGCAATAAGAACTGCCTCTTGGCACGTCTGAAGCTGGAGCTTGATTCTGATTCATACGGAGATGCGGTTGCGAGAAGGTTATTGTCATGCGAGAATGCAACAGTCAATCGCAATTTGCAATCACTGACAATAACCAATTACAAATTGAAAGATTCTCAGTTGATAGCACTGCTTTCATTGGTGCCCATGTTGGTGCATTTCGACTTGCATCGTTGTGGAATATCGGATATGGCACCTATCATTGATCACCTATGTCAACCAAGTTCTGCAATGGGATCCTTATCTTGTCCATCGAATGAGTTTGAATTGGAACAAGTAGAGAGATTAGTCTCGTCTCTTGTTAAAATGTAATCATTGAGGTCCTTGGATCTCCGCTGTAATCCTTGGTGCGAGCACGATACCGATGACAAGGCGGAGCGTATTGAAGGAGTTGTGCGAAATGTTTCGCAGTGTTGGAACTTGACAGAATTCCACGTTCCATATCGTGGAATCCTTAAGAATGCTGCAAAGAGGCAGAACCTCACTCTCCAGCTAGCCATCAACCGCGCTTGGAGACGACGAGACCTTTGCTACAAGAAAAGGGCGTCTTCTCCAGAAGCAAACCGCTTGCGGCTGATAGTCGCAAGAGCACTACAAATTTCAGAAGATGATAGGCAGAAAAGCCCTTCGCTTGGTCCGCAAGTTCTGTTTTCGCTCTTGAAAGAGAGGGTCGGTGACTTAGTAAATCATTAGAACAGTATAATTTGAATTTTTTTAACTGGTTCGACACCACATCGATATCCACGGATACTTACCCGCAACTGCATCATCACAACATCGCTTTCAGTACTACCGGTACCAACTCAACGAACATGTTATCATCTTCATCATCTTCTCCTTGGCCTGTTTTATCATCGGAGAAGTGTATGACAACGGATGAATATGTACCTGTTTCAGTACCTTCTATATTTTCGCGCCAAGCTGCTGATCCAATCAAACGTCTTCAATATTCAAAATCTCAAATATCGATCTCGACAGAAATCCAAAACCTGCCCAGTTCGTATGCGCAACATAAGCCACTGCATCAAGCAGCCATGTCGGACGATGAATTATCTGCATCATCATCATCATCAAACGAATCGTCATCTAGTGAATACGACCTATATGATGAAGAAACCCATCATCAACTGAAGGATTTCAATCCATGGGTAGTTGGTGAAAACTCATCTGTGACCTACTTGAAAGATTTTGACGATCTGGAACATGTCCAAGGCGAAGATCTGCATGAAGAATTGCCTGCTCGCTTCAGCGGATTGGTATTCGAAGGGAATGCAAACCCTGATTCCAAAGAATACAAGAGAGTGTTGCATCTTTTGCAAAGTAGCAGAAGATGGAGAAGCATTGGCTTGTCGGACAAGCGTATGCGCAATGCCTCGCCAGCGTTTCTCAGCCTTGTGGTGTCTGCTCTCACAAAAACAGACCATGTGACCTTGAGCGATTGTCCGTTTGATAGAAATTTCTTTGCATGCTTGAATTCTGGAATGCAGACTCTTAAGATTGTATTCATGATTAACGGCAACATCCCCATTACCTACGATTCAGCGGCAGTTTTTGCACGAGGACTGGCAATCTCGAAATCCCTGAAACATCTCGAAATCCAGAATGCCTGTTCCTTCGAAATTTTAGCTGGGCTGAAGTTGGCAGAAGGAATCATACAAAACAAAAGTTTGTCGAGATTATGCATCAACGAATCGAACCTTGGTGCACAGGCAGTTGATTCAATCATACAGGCTGTGTGCGATCAAGGCCTCCTCCCGAAGCTCCGTCTTTTGTCGATTGGGTTCCAATCAGAGCGTAGTTGCACGGACGCATTCACAAAGCTAGTCTCTGGTAATAAAAGCCCCAGCTTGAGACATCTGATGCTGGACTTTGATCTTCAATACGAACGACACGAAGGTTTCTTTCAGAGGTCATTGCCACACGAGGCTCCAGTAACGATCAATCGCAAACTGAAAGCACTGACCATAAACCACTACAAACTGGAAGACACCCAGTTGAAGTCCATACTTTTATCGATGCCCATGTTGGTGAATCTAAAATTGCAACATTGTGAAATATCGAATCTGACACCTATTATTGATCACCTATGTCAACCAGGTGCTGCTACGAAATATTTATTTCTTCAATGGAATCGAATTAGTTTGGACCAAGTAGAGAGGTTTGTCTCTTCTCTTGCTGAGATGCAATCATTGATATCCTTGGATCTCTGCATTAATCCTTGGGATAAAACAGATACCGATGACGAGGAGAAGCGTGTTGAACGAGTTCTGCAAACTGTTTCGCAGTGTTGGAACTTGACAGAATTCAGTGTTTCGCACGATGCGATCCTTGGCAATCTCGCGAAGAGGCATAATCTCACTCTCCAGCTAACCATCAACCGCGCTTGGAGACGAGAACTTTGCTTCGAGGACAAGAAGACTTCGCCAGCATCAAACCTCTTGCCGCTGATAGTCGCAAGAGCATTTCGAAAAACCGTAAGCAGGCCTTCAGCCCATCCGGATATTATCTTTTCTCTCTTGAAAGCACGGGTAGGCGACTTGGTACATCAACAGAATAATAGTATAGGTGAAGCACTTTAGACGACGAGTGGTGGTACTTCGTTAGCTCTAACTTTGGAACACTCGTTGCAGTACTTGCTACTGGTTTTTTACATGAGGTACGAGTGATCTTTTTTGGCGCAGAAGTATCTTGCAACCATTTCTGACGAGGAATCATATGTACCATCGTCATCCAATGAATATGATGACCATTATGATGACGAAATCCAGGACTTAAATGCATGGGTCTCCTCCTAAACCTTTTGTGTGTGACAATGATTGGTCTGGAATGGGAAATCCATGCATTGCACGGACCTATTTACAAAGCTAGTCGCCGGTCATCGGAGCAGCTTGACACATCTAAAGTTGGAGTTTGATTGTGGTCCATACGGAAATGTCTTCCCGAGGTCATTGCCACACGAGTGTGCAACTATCAATCGCAATTTGCGATCACTGACAGTAATTGATTACGAATTGGAAGATTCTCATTTGAAATCATCGACGCCATGGTGTTGAATCTTTTCTTACATGATTGTGGAATATCGGATCTGTCACCTTTCATTTAGAACCTATGTCAACCTACTGTAATGCTGCAATCAGTAAACACTATCTCTTCGATTTAATCGAATTGAATTGGATCAAGTAGAGAGATTTATCTCTTCTTTGCTGAAATGCGATCATTGACATACTTGTATCTCTACAATCCTTGGTTGAAAGATGATATTGATGACAACATGGCCGAGCGCATCGTCGAGAGCCAGAGTTGTGCAAACTCTTTCGCAGAGTTGGAACTTCACAGATTTCTGCATTTCTTATATTAGTGTCTTTACGGATGCTGCAAAGAGGCATAGCCTCACTCTCCATCAAACGATCAATCACGCTTGGAGACGAGAAATTTGCTACAAGAACAGGGCCTCTTCACCAGAAGCAAACTTCTTCCCACTGATTGGTGTCGAAAGAGCACTACGAAGAACCGAAGATGATGGGCGCAAAAATCCTTCGCTCGGTCCGGAAGTCCTCTTTCCGCTCTTGAAAGAAAGGGTGGACGATTTGGTAAATCATTAGATAGTGTCAAATGTGCTATTTAGAGAACATAATATGTAGTATTTTAGAAGAAAAGAGGGAGTAAAGAGTGTCTGTGGTACTTCGTTAGCTCTACTTTTGTCATCATTTCCCGCCCGCACATGCCGCTCCACACCGAATGAATCCTCTATCATCTTACAATAACCTCAGGATAACACCGCTATCTGCTACCCGTACCAATTGAGCGATCATGGCATCATCTTCTCCTTCGCCTGCTCAGATCAAAGATCTGGCAAGGGGTGAGTGCAGTTAGATCATGGATCTGTGGGCCTTCTCATCGACAGGGCCCATTTAGTGCTTTTGGAACTAACTTTCAGTTTGCCTTTTTACGATGGCTATACCTCTAATTATCCATTCAATCGTCGTGCAGAATATGGATACGTCGAACGACGAGAGGAAGTTTCGAAGACCCTGTTTTTCAGTGATCCGATGCACGATCCCCCAACTTTAGTCAATGTTTTCTACACGACACGAGGAATCATGACAAAGATTAGCCATCCGACGAGTGGCTACAATCAACTTTGGAGGTCTGGCGCATATGATTCCCTGCAGACTTTAGCAACCATATTGGAAAATCCAAGGAAGCACACAGGTAAAGGTTACAGAACGACGGATCAATCAATCCGTGGATGTACACAGTGTGGGGAACCGAAACGTCGCGGTGAATTCAGTAAGAACCAATGGCGGAAGGGGCCTGATTCGTGCAGGTGCCAGGGGTGTGTTTCTGGACCCACCACGAGTGTCGTGGAAGGCTATAACCATAATCCCGCTACGAGTAGTGCCACTCTTGGCGTGGACTACAACCACAACCAGCATCTCATTTGCGATGCGGCTGGTTGTGGCGCAGAATGTCATAATATTCGATGCGAAACATGCGGAATGGTTTATTACTGTTCTCCGTCTTGTCGAAACCGACATTCGGCAATTCATCAGTCAGAGTGTTTCCCTATTGTTATGATGAAATCAAAGGTAGCATCGAATCCAAAATCTTCCAATCACATGGAACGAGGACATGCAATGGCGACGATGTTGTCTGGAAAGCGTACCTTTGAAGCGTTGTTATTACAAGCTGAATGCATCCATCAGGAAGATGGAAACTGGGACACTGCCATTGAGCTGTACAAGCAAATATTAGGGAATTTTGAGCAACACCAGGCATCGCCACCTGAATGGAGGAGGGTATGGATGGGACTTAGCCGGTGCTTTTTTGAGCTTGGCGACTACGACATGTCGATTCATGCTGGCACAGCAGCGCTAGAGATGAACCGTCACTTCCCACAAGCTCATAAGTACGTAGCACTTGCTCAGAAGGCCAGTGGGGATGTGGAAGGTGCGAAAGCGACCCTGTCGAGAGCGATACTGTACGAAACTCCTTGGGACGATGATAACATTCAATCGAACAAACGACTTTGGCAAGAAATGTTTGGAGATACCTAACAATTGGCATCGTTAAGGCCATTCCTATGACACATGTTTACTCACGTCGACTGCAATCGAGTTGCTATTGGGAACTACATGCTGTGGTATCAAGTAGAAAGTTTGTCTGGGTACTTCGTTAGCGCTTCGTGACTCATACACTACTACGTCAACACACTCCCGCATCTCCTCTGTGTTATTCTAATAAGATTGCCTAGTCAATTGTCATTATTTCACAGATACTGTAATGATGAAATCATGTATATTCCTGTTTCTGCTCAAGTTGTACTTTTCAAGTGCGTTCATCTTCGGCGCGTCAAGGGAACAGTTGAAGAAGGAGATCGTCGACCTTTCGCGCTCAGTGGATCGAGGTCTCACTTCCACACCGGAACAAGATGCACAGATCCTGTCCCTTTTTGAAAAGTTGGAAAAGATGAACCCAACAAGGAAGACTCTCAAGTCGGACCTTGTCAATGGTGTATGGTCTTTGGAATATACAACATCAGCTCTTATCTTAGGCAAAGGAGGGGTTGGAAAGAGGGTTGGACCAGTCTTGCAAACGATCGACACCAAATCGTTGAGTGCCGAGAATTCGGAGGTTGTGGACTACTTTGGAATCAAAGTTCCCAGCAAGGTATCAGCCGAGTTGTCCCCTCAAAACGACCGGCTAACCAATGTTCAATTCAAACGATTTTCCTTTGGTCCGTTTGGGTTTGATGCTCCAGAGCAATTCAAAGGATATCTCGACGTTACATACTTGGACCAGGATCTTCGTCTCACAAGAGGGGACAAAGGAAATATCTTTGTCCTGACTAGAACTTGAATGAAAAAATAAGCAACAATGACCAATACAGGCATATATTCAATAGATGTATGTGGAATGAATCGTGGTTACGCCGGATTGAAAATTACAACCGTGACTTTGAGACTGATCTCTTGATGGAAGGCCGAATCATTATTGCAAGATTCTTATTTTGTATCTAAAGAGTTTAAAAGTATTGTTTCTTTCTGTTTTACCATGTTACTATATCTTTCATAAAAGTTTTTCATGTAAGTGCAGTCCTAATTTTTCAAAGTGCTCAAGCCGTTGCCACGTTGCAATTGTAGTTGATTGCATTCAGCATTCTCTGTCTAAATCAATGATCGAGAGAGCACGTCCCATGTGAGAAGCTGTTGCGCAGCCTACGGATTCATCGTTGGTACCGTGGGCTTGGTTGTACCATGCAACGGTGCGTTTGATTCCCTCTTCAAAAGACACGGTCGAGTTGTACCCAAGAAGCTTGCTAGCCTTGTTGACATCGGCACAAGTGTATGGTACATCACCGGGTTGGTCGGGCAAGACATTGATAATGGCGGACTTGCCAGTGTGCTTTTGAACAAGATCGATGAAATCCTTGAGCGATGTACCCGATCCCTTTCCAAGGTTAAAGACTTCGTACTTGTGTCTGCGGTCGATAGCCCGGACAACACCTTCCACAATATCCGAAATGTAAGTGTAGTCACGAGAAGAGGAACCATCACCGAATTGCTGAATCTCGACCCCACGGCTGATGCGGTCAATAAACTTGAATGGAGCCATATCAGGGCGTCCACGTGGACCGTAAACAGTGAAGAAACGGAGAGCCGAAGTGTTCAGGTTGTAAAGATGGTGGTAAGTGTAGGCAAGGAGCTCGCAGGCTTTCTTGGAGGCAGCATATCTGAATTTCAAAAACAAGAACGAGAGGAGGTTAGAGATTTGAACAAGATGAGGGCGATCCGTTGGAACAAAATGCACGACTTACGGGGAGACAGGATTGTCCACGTTTTCAGATTCGGAGAAATAGGAAGACTTGGAACCACCATAGACCGAAGAGGAAGATGCAAAGACAAAGTTCTCAACACCAAACTTGTGGGCCAACTCCATCAAATGAGTGGTACCCTTGATGTTGGAGTGGATGTAGATGTAAGGATCCTGGATGGAAGGTCGAACTCCGGCTCTGGCAGCCATGTGGCAAATCCATTTAGGCCTTTCTTTCTCAAAGAGGTCAAGCATGAACTTTTCGTCACAAATGTCTCCCTTGTAGATGGAGAGGCGAGATTCATCCGGGAAAAGAGATCGAAGGTGATCAAGATTGGATTGCTTGATGTCGACGCTGTAGTAGTCATTGATTTCGTCCACAATTACAACGTCATCACCACGAGCAAGAAGATATTCGGCAACGTTGCTACCGATGAAACCGGCACCTCCTGTGACCAAAACCTTCTTGTACCCAACGTGGGGGGCAACTGGGGTTTCGGCTTCCTCGTTTAGGTCAGTGAGGCAGAATGAACTTTCGGCATGTTTCATATCTCCGTTGGTGCTGTTTTCGTTACTCGAAGTCGATCGAGATGCACTGTCATCGTCACTAGGACAGAGCACAGGCATACTGTTTGCATGTTGGATTCCTTTCATTTTGAATTGGATTGGATTGGATTGGATTGGATTAGTTGGTTCAAGCTGAGTTTATTGTGGGTGGTGTTGAATCAAGGGTGTAGGGACGCTGGTGCCACCTGTAGTTGTCAAGTTAGAAAAAGACGCAAGATTGATCGTGAGCACAAATTGATTCCATTCGTACGAGGATAGATAGCATCGCATTGGTCTCCGTGCTGCGCCAAGAATCTTCTTACCTTTCACGAGAGATTGTCTAAAGTTTGCGTGTGGAAACGTTGTTGCGATGCTCAAGTTCCTCTATCTTCGAGGAACGGAGTGTCAAAGGTTTGATTGATTGATTGGTGGTTTTGTATGATTTGTTTCAAAGAGGAACAATTTTGATCAGCCTCGAATCGATTCTGAATCGAACACGTGGGCAAATTTTGATGTCTGACGAGTACCACGAACTGTACTGCCTGAACCAAATTCCCTCCAAGAAGTCGTTGTTTCGTGTGGGCCGCAAAATGTCGACTTCGTGATGGCTCCTACGCAAACTCCGTAGAAACTCGCGAAATTACTGACGTCATACGGTGATGATATTGTTTTGATATATTTTTAGTTAATGTTAAAATGAACTGCTAGCACTGACTCACCAAAACAAAGAAAGTCGAGTCAGAAATGATGATGGGAAGATTGGTTCGAAAATGGAATCCGGAATTTCATAGTACTTCTCATTACGTCTCGAAATTGATTGGACCAAATCAGAGAACCGTAATACCCGTACCAGGTACAAACAGGGGCTTAGAACACTATACCAGTACCGGGACGTACACCTCTGATCTACTGTACAGTAAGCGTCACGTATGGGATTACAACACAAAAAGAGGTCTAGAATCTTATCAGACCTCTCTCTTTCAAATGGAATACACGAGTATCTAGCATGAATCCAAGAATGTCGCTGACGTCAAGGAGATGGAACGGATTCTGCGCCGTACTGAGTATCTGGTGGTGTGGTGTTGGGGCAATTTCCGAAGGTTGGAGATTTCTTGGGTGGAGGTTTCTTGGAGGCATTGCTTTTTCGACAAGGTGGATCATATCCATCAGGGTTTGACTATTCCAGATTTTAAAACGAAGTGTTTGACTATTCAGATTGATTCCAACAAGGTCAAAAACTCAATTTGAATCTGGATTTGTCAAACTCTGATGGATGTGACTCACCTAGCTAGTAGTCATGACATGCTTGCTGCACCCAAGTTGGCAATCAAGTAACAAAAAAGCGTCGGATTCTGTCTACGTCCAACACAATCAATTGATATGATGAATCGGCAGTGAGAAATCGTGCACTCTGCAGAGTCTGCTGAAAAGGGGTTTTGCTCCATGACATTGAATATCAGTTGCGCGCAAGAATAAAAATAGGCTGCCATGGTAGCTGAATGCAATTGTCGTTGACCGGATCGGACTTCGTGTATGCATTTCGTCTCAATATAATCGAGCCATGGGAATTCGAAAAGGATCGGAACCATCATTGAATCTTTCATCATGATCATATACGGTATATCCGAAACATCGAATTCGATCCAGAAACGCGAAACGGAAATCATTCATCACTCCAACAGACAGCAGCAGCAGCCAAAAAGATCGCGAAAGATGACCCTCAATCAGGAAACTACACCATCTCGAAAGCCTCAAGACGGAAAAAGCTGGCCAGCCAGGGTTCCCCCATTATATAGACTACCGACAGGCCATCAATGAACGAAACGAAAAAGGTAAAGCCGAAAATATGAAGTCGTAACCCAAATGTAATCATCAACTATCCCCAAACCCGTCTACCGCTATGCGTGATTGTCCATATCACTGAAAAATATTGTCGGTGAAGATGTGTCGAGAAAGATTTGTAAAGATGTAAAGACATCTTTGTGTGTAACGGCAGCACTGTTCTGCCTTTACATATCGCTTAGTAACGATCGCCGCCGTAACCACCGCCGCCGCCACTGTAGCCGCCGCCGCCACCACCTCTGTAGTCGTCGTAGCCTGTCAAGAAGAGCGAAAGCAAATGTGAGAAACATGTGAAAAAATCACGATCATCATCGAATACGGGGCCATCTGAAAAGGAAATCGCATTTCTGATGCATGAAAACCTTCTGAAACAGACTAGTGTGTCGATTGACAGCGGACTGAACAACATATGAACATCCATAAAGGAATGTCTTCCTGCCTGTTGGTTGAACAGCATGCAAATGTCTGTGTGTTAGATTGGCCTTACTCTTCTCACCTCCACCACCACCGCTGTAGCCTCCTCCTCCACGACCACCGTAGCCGCCACGGTCATCATATCCACCGCGACCGCCACCACGACCACCATCGTCGTAGCCGCCACTACCTCTATCATAGCCACCGCCACCACCTCGGTCGTAGCTGAAAACAAAAACAGAGAGAAATATCAGTAAGGTTTTGATAAATGTGCTGAATATACTATAAACTATGTAGATCCCGTTCACTTACCCGCCGCCACCGCCGTAACCACCACGGTCGTAACCGCCGCCGCCACCGCCGCCATAACCACCTCCACCGTAGCCACCGCCACCTCCGTAGCTATGTTGAAAGAGGAAAGTGAATGAAACAAATGAGATTAGTCAAGACCAAAGGAAAGAAGGACAATGGTTTCCAACCAACGGATAGGACTTACCCACCGCCGCCGCCGTAGCCGCCGCCTCCACCACGGTCTCCGTAACCGCCGCCTCCTCGGCCACCGCCGCCGCCGCCACCACCTCCACGGGGTTGGGCTTCATTGACACGCAGAGCACGTCCATCAACTTCTTGGCCGTTCAGCTTGGCGCAAGCAACCTCCGCATCGGCAGAAGGCATGGTGACGAAGCAGAATCCTCGGACCTTTCCAGTGTCACGATCAGTGGGCATGAAGCAGTCAGAGACAGTTCCGTATTCCTCAAACATGCCCTTGATGTCTTCTTCGCGGGTATCAAAGGAAAGGTTTCCAACGTAAAGCTTAACTTCTTCCTTTCCAGCAGGGTTGAAGGTTCCGGCTCCTCCAGGACCGATGCCTGGGCGACGTTCACCCTTGGGTCTAGACTCATTGACACGAATTTGACGTCCGTCTAGCTGAGCTTGGTCCATCTTGGAAATTGCCTTTTCGGCTCCCTCACGAGATGCCAAAGTAACAAATCCAAATCCACGAGGGCGGGAAGTACCACGTTCAGTTGGGAGAAAGACCTCTGTAACAGTTCCGAATTGGGAGAATTCTTCTCTAAGACGTCCTTCATCAGTGGCTGTAGCAATAAAAATAAACAAAACGGTAAGCACATCAATCTTCTCATCATCGACCAACAATACAGTACCGTGTTTCACGACTTACCATAATCAAGGTTTCCGACGTAAAGCTTAACTTCTTCGCCTCCACCATCTGGGGCTAAAATTCGAGTTGGGAATAACGGAAAACAGCCAAGTTAGAAGACATTTTCAGGTGCTGCAAGTGGAACTGCCAAAAAAATGCCAATCAATCAACGAGACTATATGACATGTGGAAACGTACCTGGAGCGCCACCATCGGCTGGTGGGCCAGAATCGTGGGGTGCATCAGCTGGTGGTGCATCCGCTGGGGCTCCACGATCGGGAGAACGAGATCTACTGCGACTTCTATCGGCCATTGTTTTAGATATGTGTGTTGCGTTAGCTGTATCCGATCCGTCAACTTTTCAGCTCCAATCCAGCAAATCGATGGCTTTCAGGCAAAGCGCGCGATGGGAACCGTGCCACGTAGAAAAGTCTGTAGAATGCCCGGTACATTTGACGCCTGCCCTCCCGACCAGCTGTCAAATCCAGCTGTCGAGGCGAAGGATCCAACATCGCATTCGTACAGTACCGGGTACCGGGTAGTACCGGTACGGCTGTCAGGTGTCATTTGATCACATTGTAATAGATTATACGTGATATTATTTTTTAATAATAGTAAAATATACTGTAACAACTTGAGAGCTTCATGGTTTCGTTGATCTACCTTCAATACTAATGTTGGCACTGCGTTGATTCTTGGCCTTTGGACGTTTCTTCTCGAGTATTCTCTTGGATAGCGCTTGTCTTGACTCTGGGCCATTTCCCTGTCGTCTCTTATCCACTGCGACATCAGTTTTATTCATGGGCCTTGCAGAATAGGCGAATCCTTTGCTGAATGGGATACGCACTCGGTTGATTCCAGACTGAGTCTTTCCAAGCGATCCAGAGTTGATCAAAGAGTTGAGATCTTGGTCTTTGCCTCCGCGGGAGGACGATACCACGTTCAAGGATTCGTTGTGTTTGGCTTTTCCTGCTTGGTTCAATCTTGAAACACCGGCGATACCGGTCGCACCACGGCTTTGATGAACTCGCTCTAGATCTCTCATGTTGCCTGACTTCTGGAAGATTGGTCGACTCCATTGGTCGATCAATAGTTTCAGTTGACGCTTCATGGCTGGAGTTTCATTCTTGTGCATGTAGAGGCTCATGACAACCTTTCCGAATTCAGATTGTCTAAGATCGTCCTTGCTGATTCCATTCTCACCAGTCATGAGGCTGATCGAGTAGAGCAAGCGTTGACGGACCGTCACGTTTCCCAATTTGCCATTGGGCAAAGGCTGGATCCATCTCTTGCAAATGGACAGCAAGTCATGCTCCAACAAAGGGCGCATCAATTCACGATTGGCCAACTTTTCACTCACTTCGTTGATAAGCATAAGTTTCTTAGTTGCTGGTCGCTTCTGCGCAATCGCTTCGTCGTCATCATCAGCAGCTTGTTCCATCTTTTCCAAAAGAGGCTTGGCATCTTCTTCCACAAGTTGCGAAAAATGCTTGGTGGCTCTCTTCTTTTTCTTCATCCTGTTGACAGCTTGCATAACTGGATTGTCCTTGTCGGCTTCCGCGTTTCCCAAACGGTCTTCCGATCGTCTGGAGGAGGAACCAGCTCCCTTGATCTTTTTCTTTTTGGAAGGCTCTTCCATGGCTTCTCCTCTCTCGTCATCAAAGATTTGTTCGGAATAGAGCTCATTGATAGCATCTTGATCGTCACCTTCGGTATCAATAAAGTCATTGTCCTCTTGATTCCGAACGAATTCGGCCGAGTCGTAACTGTTTTCCGAATCGTAACCATCCTTTTTGCCGCTTCCAGAGGGTCCAGCGGTTTCTTGTCGCTTCTTGGCTCGCAAGGCATCCATACGCTCACGTTTGGACATGGGCTTTTTGGGTTCGTCATCCTCGTCGTCCGAATCAAACAAACCGGGGCCTTCGTCGTCGCTGTCCTTGTCGGCGTCTGAAGAAATATGAAGATGAAAGAGTAATAATGTTAGACACAGAGTGATGCTGAATGAATTTCGAACAGCATACCAACAACGACTACCATCAATTATCGATAGCAAGTAGCAACAGCAGTAATACGTACCAGGAATATCGGAACGCTTTCGTTTCTTGGGAACTGCCTTCTTCTTTTTCTTGATCAATTTCTTTTTCTTGGCAATGGGTTTGGCATCTTTCTTGCTCTCGGCAATGAGATCATCCGTATCGCCTCCACTATCGGCAAAGAGATCATCGTCATCGTCGGACATTGTTGAAGATGAAGTTATAGTATGCTATACTATGCTATTAGTAAACACGGATTGATTGGCTGTTGGGATATATATAAACAACAAGAGTTTGTTGAGTGGTTGGTTGTGGGTTCAAATGACTTGGGATGGTATCGTGAACTTCTTCCAACACCGACGTTTTTGAAACGATTTCCGGACCGTTTGAACGGTCGGCGTACGCACCAAAAGGTCATCTCGCTACCGGCACTGTTTTCAGTGTTGAGTGTTGTTGACTTCATCCATCAATTCTGACATACCGGTACATGTCGCCATTCAACATAGTCTTAATCTGACGAAGAGTACCGTTGTCCTTTGCATTTTAGTTCTTATACGCTGTTGCCTTTCCTCTACTCACTATTCACAACACGACGCCCAAGCAAGATAGTACTGTACTGCCTCTTTTACAATCCATCCAATAGCTACAGTAGTACCTAGGCCTAGTCCTAGTAGTAGATAGAATACAAAGTTATAGTCTTTTTCTCTAATTAGTTGTTGTAATTGTTGCTGATTGCAAATGTAGGGAATTCGCAAGCATTGGATTGAATAATACCGACAATGATACCAAAAATGCCCAGCGCCGAAGCAAAAATTTCCACAATCAAAATCTTGACAAAGAGCGAGGAATCTTGAGCATCCGCAATGGCACACGAGGATCCCGCAATTCCAACACTGATACCCGACGCAATATTTGTGAGTCCCACTGACAAACCAGCCGAGAACATTCCGTATCCAGCATAATAATATCCATTGTAATCCCAACCATCTTCCAAATAGTATCCGCTGGTTTCAGGAGCCTTGATCTTGTTGGTAAGAATAATTGCCATGATGACACCGTAAATAGCAGTAGCTTCACAGAAAATAACGCTGCAATGATATAATCACAAACATGATAGCAAGATGGATAGATAGATGGAGGAACGGATCAAAAGGATCGAAACAAGAATGAAAAATGATGAGTACGGATAGAACAATGCATGTTACCAACGTGTCGTTGATTCCAAAACAAACTTCAAGCTGCGGTGTAGTGACTTACGAAATCAAGTTCTTGGATCGAATGCGTGGAGCCTTAATGGCAGCGCCTACAAGAGAGGACCCAGTCAACCAAATCCCCCAGGCGGCTCCAATCACGGACAATCCAAGGCCAAAGGCAACGCCAAAACTAGCATATCCATAGGGAGACATGTGAGTCAAGACCTCTGACCATCCTTGATTACAGTATTCTGATGCACATTGCGCCGAGCTCATGATTGCAATTTAATTGGTTAAAAGTTGCTGAGAGATGACGATGTTATTGTCGTTGCCTTCGTTGCTTGCTTCTGCTTGCCTTTCGCCTTGGTCAAAGGAAAGCGTTGCCCTCTTGCCTTTTTGGGCTGGCGTGGATGCGATCAAAAAGTATATTCTTATATATTCGTAAATGAAGATTAAACAATCATTGAGTTAGTCCAAGGAGTCGATCTATCTTCCATCAAACTAAACTGACAAACGGAACCAAATACAGACCACAATTCGAATTTCTTCTGGTACGTTCGCACGCTAAACTACTGAAAACACCGTGGAATCCACGCATCGGCATGCCCGTGTGTGCGAGCATTTGAAGTACGATACACGCGGTATCGTCGTCAACATCCTAATCCGTCCTCATCATCATTGGATAGAGATATATATAAGAGGAACGAGACGAGAATCTTTTTGGATCTTTTTTGTACCTTTGAGAGATACAATCAATTGATCTCAAAAGCAAAACGAAAGTCCCTACCTTCCCAAAGCGTTTTCGTTCTATCCAAAGTCCAAAACAGGATCCAAATAGAGTTGGTCATTTTTTACAACACATTGCATTGAATCCATCCAGCCTCCGAGTCGTGGTTTTAGTAGTAAGGACGCACACGCACACACAAAAAAAGTGAAAAAATGGGTGACGATGGTGGCAAACCAAACGCCATGCTGGACTTTCTAGCAACCTTTCCCACTTTATCGGGACATCCACCAACGGATATGCAAGAATTGGGGGATGGTGTAGCGATTTTTGAAGCCTTGTCGGAAATGTAAGCAACATTTGATTGTAAAACATGTTTCTGTATGTGTGTGTGTGTATGTGTGTGTGTCTTTTTTGGTTTGTGGTAACCTCACATGTTCATTGATTCATTCATTCACATTGCAATCCCCACAGTGGACCAGACTATTTCGATCCCACCACCATTGCTCGTCATTTGGGTGACAATTGGGCGTTGAAGTCCTCCAACTTGAGAAAGCTCGTGCGCAACTTGGAATGGTACTTTCACGAGGAACTCAAGAAGGAAGCTGATTTCGAAACCCTCAATTCAGAGCTAGGCAACATTGCGCGCAGTGGTGATGAAAAAGGCATTGCACATCTCATTGAATTGGTGGCTGCTGCATCAGTTACCTGTGACCTTAAGGGAATGTTTGTGGGCCGGATCATGCGCATGCAGCCGGCATCGCAGCTGGAATTGAAGGGCGTCATTGAACGAGGAATGAAGAGGATTTCGGTCTATGATGGTGGTAATGATGATATCGATGAATTGGAAATGAATTTTGATACTCCGGATGCCAATGAGGAGGAGGATAAGGAAGATGGAGCACTGTTTGACGCGGATCACTTGAAGGATCCTAGTGCCGTGGACCGAGAGGACCTGGAAACTGCCTTGCTAGAAACTAGAAGGGAACTCCAGCATCAAAAATCGCAAATTTCTGAAATTAGAGAAGATGGTGAAAAGGCCCAAACCAAACTTCGTGCATTGGTGGAAGATTTGCAAGATCGTTTGGCCAAGCGTCAAGACGAATTGATCACAGCCGAAGAGGAACTGAGAACTGCTACTGCGGACTTGGATGAAGCAAAGAGCAAAATCCACGATCTTGAGGAAGAGAAGGCACAGCTTGACGATGAACTTGATGTGGCATCCGCAAAGGCAACTCAACTTCACAAGGCGGAAGCCACAGTAATTGCCTACCGAAAAAAGCTTGAGGGTGTTGGTGTTATTAATCAACAAATGACTGATTTGGAAGATCAAGCTGCTGGATACCTACGTCAAATCATGGACTTGGAATCCGAAGTCAAAAAGACAACAACCCTCTCGCGACAAGTCGATACCTTGCAAAAGCAATTGTCGGAATTGCAACGAGATAAAATGGAATCTTCGGACACGCAAAAGAATAGCTCGGCAGAGATTGGTGAACTCAAGAATCTCCTGTCTGCGGCAGAAAAGGCCAAGAAGATGTACCAAGATGAACTCAAGGAATTGCGAGAGCAACAAGCCGCCATGGTCGATGTCCCAGAAGTGGAAGGATTCGATCGACAATCCGAAGCAACCACCACTTCTCCAGCAGACCGTGAAAAGACTATGCGCTTGGAAATTGAAAACCAAAAACTTAAGGAACAAATTCAAGCCATGTCTCAAAATGGAGATGTGCCAGTGCCACCAACCGTCGAGACTGCCTCTGCTCCCGTTGTTCCCCCATCGCCAACTGCCGATACTTCTGCATTGGAGAAGGAGGTTGCGGAACTAAAGAACGCTTTGGCCAAGAAGGAAACCGAAAACAAGAAGATTGGAAGCGACAAAGACAAGTTGGAGGCTTACACCAAGAGAACGCTGGCGAAATTCCAAGACAAGTACTTGGTGGCACTGCAAGAATGCAAGGCCAAGCTGAAAGAAAAGCAAGATAAGATTGAAATCTTGGAAAGCCGAAGTGCTACTGAAAAGACTGCTCAAAAGCGCGAGGAACGTCTTTTGTCTTCTACCATTTATGAATTGGGATTGGCGATAATGCAGAATAGATTGAAGGAAAGGTAAATGAAGAATAATAATAACGAATGATCGTCATTATCCAAAAAGGTAGTAGGCCCATTTCGATAATAAGGATAAAAAGACTAAAAATAAAAAATGATGTGCTGTACCAGGGTAGGAATGAATGATAGATGTATTGCTTGCTGCTATTTACAGTAGTTACGTAATGAAAGTCAAGCTGTTCACGGATGCATCGTCCAATGTAAATTCGTCGTCTGAATCACATGCTTCCGTCAAGGAAACTGATATCAATGACCCTGTTTCTGATAATCCATCATCGCCCCAAGGATCGGTGTAAGCAGCTGGCAGTCCTCGTTCTGGTGATGGAAGAATACCCTCATTGAGTGGGGCTCGCCAGGTAACTCGGCCATCTTCCAAATTCTCATAGTAGTAGTAGCCAGTGGAAGCATCGTAGTGTTCCCTCCATTGATAGACACCATCGTCAGGATCCTTCCACTCCTCCAGGGCCTCGCGCATTTTTCCTTTGGACTTGAACAGAAAAAGCATGGTCAATGTAAAAGACAGTGAGAACCATGGAAATTTGGTGTAAAGCTTGTCTTCCGATAAATTCATTTCAGGTTCGACAGCTTCAATGGAAATTGATGCTGTGGATACATGGCAATCACGAGAGTTTAAAGTCTCGAAAGGATTTCCGTCTTCGCAACTCTTGATATTGATTTTGATCTTGTGATTTCCCGGAATCGCTGTCTGATAGTGCAAGTTTCCGAGAACTTCTTCCAAATCGCTTGGGAAAGCGAGAAAGTCGACGGTTCGTCGCATTTCAACTGGACCGCGGATTGCACCGATCCGACTTCTTTGGTTTCGATCTAGAGTTAGGAAACCTTCCGAAGCTTCAATGGAAATAAGTGCACGGTACGTGTGTCTTTTGGAAGCTTTCACCTTGATGGTGGTGATGACAGCAGCAGATGTACAATTTGAGAAATTGCTCACACTTGCATTGTAGGCATAGCCACTGCAAATATCATCGGCTGGTCCAGAGAATGCTTCGATTCTGTATCTATCATCGCCAATCGACAATCGTAATGGATCTACCGCACATTTCACCAGAATATGGTGTGCCATGATGGAAGAAACGCTGGTCACTGTCTTGGATGAAGAAAGAGCCACCACTCGGTAGGCAAATGTGGCATTCACAGTCGAAACCATAGGATCCGAGCAGGCATCGTGAGATGGTCGAAATTTCAGTTTTAGTCCAGGTTCTGCCAGGCTTGGTAGGACGACTTTGTTGGCGGTGAGTCGTTTGGATTGTTCGTCAAACAAAGTCCCATGGGATTCACTTGGCAGTGCTTCAAAGAAGTAGCCAATCGAGCGGTCCAATCCAGATTCATCTTGACCTTCAATTCTAATTATTAATGGTTCCATTTCGTTGGCATGGAATTCCATCGGCTCTCCAATGGAAAGACTCGGCATGGTCCAAATTGCAGCTTCGGCTTCGTCAGACCAAGCACCGTTCCGATCCTGGACTCGAAACCGAAAACTGTCGTGTACCATGGTCGATTGCACTACCTGGTTCGCACCAGTGTATCTATATTCCAAAAAGACTTCTTGACCCAAGATAGTATGGTTAAGATCTGCGAGCAGTGTCCCATGGACGAGTCCATCCTTGCGAGCCGTTGGGACACTCAAGAACAAGAATCCATGTTTGGGTGGTTCTGTCACTTGAATTGCCGCGATTCCATCGTTCCGATCCACATCATGTCCTCCTAACCATAGACCCTTGATTTCTTCATGAATACCTTCGTGCACAAGATATGGCACATCACTAATCGAGGTTGTTGGTGGATCGTTCACCGAATCCACGACAATGTCAATGGTTCCCATTGATTGGCACTGTGAAGAAGCAAAGATTGCTTCCTTGGAAACGCAATATTGAAAAGAATCATAAATGGAGCCTGGCATTTCCGAATGTTCATTGTGGGGCGGAAGGTAGAATAGGTTTGGTCCAAGAATCGAAATTGGGGCACCCTCAGTGGACGAAACTTTGGTTTGCTTTGGCCCATCCACTTGGTAAAGTGCACCACGAGATGGAGGCTGAATAATGTAGTATTTCAACTCTTGTAGCAGCACCGCAGGTTGTGTCGCATTGAGTGCCTTCAATAGTGCGCTCACGTCATGATTCAAATACTCAACTTGCAATTGCAGACTTGCGGGGGTATTGTGCTCTACGGGCGACAAGACGTCTTCCGAGATCACGTTGGCGTCTTCATCCATTCGGTACATTATAGAATTGGCAATCGGCTCGGCATCCGGCAGCCCCTCTGCCATATCGGCAAGAAAGTCGTTGCCATTCCACTCTTCTGTGTTAATGGATAGGTGCAACAGTCGTCCTGGCCATGCTGGATAGTTGTATCCTGGAAAGGAAAACATGTAGAGCAAACTCTCCTCATTCCAGTGACGTAATCTTGTATCAAAGGGGTCATTGCGACTAATGCTGGACATGCCATTGACAAAGACCTGTTGATGACCATCCTCCAAGACGACCGCAATGTGATTCAATCCTCGAAGCAATGGCAACTCGGTGACACGCATACGAGCACAGGGTTCAAAATAGGGATCATTCGTGCGATACAAGAGCTCCACAACGTTTCCATTGCGAATGGACAATTCAAAGTCCACCTGCTTTACGTCACATTCCGTCGTTTGGAAGTCTTCATCACCATCATGCTGTTCAGTTTCAGCTTGACCAATGGCCAACAGAGGACCGGTTTGCGTGTCTACATCGGTTTGGGGAATCTGAATCCATAGGCTAAGTGAGACTGCGCTCGTAGAATTCTGCTGAAGCAGTGCTACCAATGGTTGGGAGGTTTGAAGGTAGGCAACGTCGGTGGCATTGGCAGTAGTAGTAGTGGCAAACATGTCGCTTGCTTCTACCCCCATTCCAGGAGGACATCCCGTAGTTCTTTCATTTCGTTGTATGAAAAAGGGTGGTGAAGATTCAAATTCAGCTCCAACATTTTGAAATGTACCATTGCGACATTGCTCGCTTGAAAAGCTAAACTGGATGAGTGCAGGAGGTTTCTCTGCCTTGGATGTTCCAATGAGTTGAATCAACACAATGAAAATGGTGTGATTGAGAAAGAGAGTTCGCATGTTGACTCGTCAAATGCAAATTGAACAAACTTTTGGACCTACCCTAGTGAAGAGACAACATCTTCTTTGTGCCTTGTGGTTGTCAACCGGTTTGGAACAAACAGTGCTTTCTTTTGTCGGTTGAGTTTTGGTTTGAGTTGATGAAATAGCACCGATTAGTTCGACTAAAAGTACCATTTCAACTTCACCTTTTTCATCTTATCGTGTCGAAGCATGGGCAAGCCGTCCAAGTCCCTGAGGACTATTTCGACACTTTACATTACACTGATCATTGCCATCTGGATTCTAGCATTTGTCTTTATTGCCTCTAGAAATGGGTTCAAGGCAGAGATAGTGAACCATCCTCCAGCAGGTCTGCGAGAACCAAATCTGAACCAAAGCAATATCAAGGAACCCACTGCAATTGTCGTAGGATTGCCAAAATCGGGTACGACCAGCGTCTATCATTACTTCAAATGCAATGGATTTGAGACGACGCATTATTGCTGTTGCAGTTCGACCGAAACCCAGTATCCGTGTGCCAATGGAACCTTTATGAGCCACAAGCTGCTTCAGAATTTGCACGAGGGCAAGTCTCTCTTGCAGGGAATCACTGGTGCCGTTCACGCTCAATTGGATGGTGAACTATTTGACAATAACGAGCAACCCTACTTTTTGCCGCAGCATTTTCACTTGGACAAACTTCATGCTGCTGCGCCGAATGCCGTTTGGGTTTTGCCCCTAAGATCGGCCGAAAGTTGGAAACGATCCGTTCAAGAATGGTTGGACATGGGAGATCGCCTGCAAAAGACCTATCAATATGCTCATTCCAATCCTGGCCTTGGACTAGAAGCGTCTGCGAGTGTCTTGGAGGGTGACTTTTTGGTCAACTTTTACGATTGGCACACCAAGACTGTCAGAGAGGCTTGTACGAAGCACCAACGATCCTGCGTGGAAGTGACAGTCGATGAGAGTGCCGGATCCAAACTGGAACAAGCCTTTCCAGGAACTAAAGCTTCCTGCTGGAGTCGTCATAATGCAGGGCCCTTCATTCAAATAGTGCCATCGCCGTGAAAGCCTGTGAACATATCTCCTTTCAATAATTCGATGGCGAGAGAACACCGTCACCAATAGTTTTGTCAGATGAACACGGCATCATCTGAGAGCAATGGACAGGTTTGCACAGAACAAAAAATCCATATGTAGAATATCCTGCCGGTATGGTCATGAAATGAAAGGACGCTACAATCTGGGCTCCACTCTGGCAAAACTACGGGAATATGACCGAATGAATCAGGTATCGAATCCTAGATCGAAGTCTATCCAAGGCTGAATGGTTTTCCATATCATGTGCCGGGAAGAAGCAATCGGGTCTAGCGAGCTGCTGTCTACAACGATTAGTATTATCGATTGGTTTATTGAATCCCCCTTTGCTCAATGGAGTGTGTCCAATGAATGGGAACCGTAGCCCGGAAGATGTCCATTGATCAAAACATCACGACCGATGGAATCGTTGAGGGCGTTTCATACGATTGATTCGTTCTTTCTTTCTAGCTATATTATTTATTACGTTTTTAATTTTTAAACCCTTTGATGATTCATTGCCTCATTCCGACAGTCCCAGTAGTACAGTGTGGATATTGTCCAGCTTACCCCTTTCTAGACACCATACTACTAAATTATGAATAGTCTGAGGATAGGCAACTTGAATTTCCTTGAGCAACTCTCGTTCTCGATAGAATTGCGATTGCAGTAGTTCCTTTTCACGAGAGTAGGAACCTCGTCGTTTGCGATTCAGCCGCGACCGCACGCTGGACCAGTCCGTGGGCAACTTGAGTAAATCATTCGAATGGATTGGGTCAAAGGAATACAAATAGACTAGGCGGTCCATGGTCAGAGTAGGAGTAGAATTGGGATACAAGAGTTTCAGTCGAATGGCCAGGGCAATGTTGGTCTTGCCTCGCATGATCTCGATATCCGAAACAAACGTTTCGTCAAAGGGATCCGCAAGACGAACCACACTGGACGGAATGGAAACCGTAGTCAACTCGGGACAATTGCAATAGGAAAAGGCCCCTGCCGAAATCTCTTGGAGGCCATCATTGAATTGAATGGAAGTCAGACTCGCTTCCGTACACAAGGCCGATAAATCAAAGGGCTCGGAAGAAATAGTCGTGACATTCTCGGACAATCGTACATGTTCTACAAAGGTTGGAATGGGATCCACTCCATTGTAGACCCAAAGACCTTGATTTGGGACATCTTCCATCAGCGGACATCCGTAAAAGGCATTGAGCCCAATCTTAGTCTTGTCCATGCTGGACGGTAATTTGGCAGTTTCTAACAGATTGCAGAAAGCAAAAGCTTCTCGTCCAATGGATTCCAACCCGTCTGGAAATAACACCGTAGTCAAACTTGTACAAAGATTGAATGCTCGATCTCCAATGGTTCTTGTGGTACTTGGAAAGTCGACAGCAATCAAGGCGGTACACCGTTCAAAGGCTCTGGAATCGACAACTTCCAGCTTGGGCGGAAGCTCAAGTTTCATAAACGTGGGGCAGCGAGCAAAGGCTCCCTCGCGAATGGTCTTTGTACCGGGCGAGAACATGATTCGTCTCAGCGACGAGCACTTCAAGAAACACTCTTGGCTAATCACTCGGAGCCGCTTGGAAGCACTCATATCCAAGACATCCAGGTTGGTACATTCGGCAAAGACCTGGTCCGATAACTGGACCAATTCGGCGCCCAAGGTCAATTTTTGCAGCCCACGACAATGTTTAAAGGCTTGACGCTTGATCATTCCAACAGAATCGGGTAGTATCAGAGTCACCAAAGACTCGTTCATGTAAAAGGCCCTGAGACCAATCATAGTTAGCTTGTTGGTTTTCGAAAAGTCAATTATTTGTAGCTTGCGGCAAAATTCGAAGGCCTCCGTCCAAATTTCTGCCAAGTCTTCGTTCAAATGTACCTCGGTGAGACCGTAGCAGCGAGAAAAGGATCGTGACGATAGGTATCGAATCTTGGGTGCGAGCCAGACGGTGCTCAAAGCAGGAGTGCAGTCTTGAAAGGTGGATTCTCCCAAGGTTTCCAACAAGGGCGACTTGCGCAAATCAACCGCTTGCAAATTGGCGCAGCCCTCGAATGCACTGTCGCAAATGAGCTTCAGTTGGGATCCCTCATCAAAGTCGATTTCCTCGAGGAATTGGAGTTTGTTGAATTCTTTTTCGGGAATTACTTCGAGAGTGGAAGCAATTTGAATCTTTGTCACCCTCCATGGAATATCATCTCTCCTTTGATCCTCAGTATAAATGTGAGTTGTCATTGCTGCATAAAGGCATTTGCTTTCGTGCTTTTGTGCTTTGTGCTTCTCCGCTTACTGCGTAGCTGTTGTGACTTTTTTCAAAACAGAATCTTTCAAAACAGAACATTCAGAGATTGAAGATCCATGGGCACGCGCGACACATGCGCCTTCGCAACGACATGACATCATCAAAACATCACTCTCAACACACACACTTGAACTAACTGTGGCAACCTGGAACACTGCAGATATAGTGTTGACTTGCAAAGGATCGACTCTCTATCCAGTTTCTAAAGAAGTTTCTAGCTTCAATTCAGCTTATCCTATCGAAAAAAGTTGCAAGAATAACAATATACACAGAAAGATTTCAGTAATGGCACAATCCATTTGCAGGTCCCACCAGATGATGTCCATCTTTATTGGAATGATCTTGCTTGTTTCCGCAGTCGAATCCTTCCAAACGGCTAAGCGACCATCGCCTTTGCATAAAAATGAAATTGGCTACACATCACGGCATCCTTCCAGATGTCAAATGTCCACTGCTGATGCCTCGACACAGCCGTCCTCGTCCTCGTCTCAATCAACAAAAGCTTCCAAAGGAGAAGAAGAAGAAGATACTACACGACCAGTCAGTAAACCAAAAGACCGAGAATTTGACATGCCCTGGTCCGAACTTCAAAATTTCGCTTTGAGGGATAATCTGTCGAAATATACGGTCCGAATTCCTCTCAAAGTCACCCAGGACAGCGACCAACAGGAGCCCCAGGTATTTTGCTTGTGGAGAACCATGCTCAGGGAAGTTCCCGAACTTGCCGGCTATCCCATTGACTTTTTGCAACAAATGCACCGGCTACAAATCGCGAAAAATGAAACCTTGTTGGAAGTGACCCCAGGCCTTTTGCCGTATTTAGAAGACTACGAATTTGCCACCGCCGGTGGAGTTAGTGGTGCCATTTATGGTGTTCCAGGCTTGGAAGGTGGAACGAGGATCCAGACCTCGGCAGTCAGTAACATTGAGGTGACCTTGCCGCAAGGATTCGTTCGAACCGTAGATGGATCGGCGGCCTACGAAGTGGGCAAGCCAAAGCGACAAGAGTTTGCCGATCTGTCATCGTCATCATCAGCGTCTTCTTCTTCTTCGTCCGAAGCGATGGAACGGGGTGGAGAACTCTTGAACAGTGTTGCAAATAAAGCAGGCGGAGCCATGGAAAAGGTAGACTTGGAAGAAGGTGATGCCATGCTAGCACGATTGGGGGCTTCTACAGCTATTCTACTGGCAGGTGCTACCGCTGTGAACATGTTGGCACACCACCTGACGGTCAATGTGTTTTGGGTATAGTTACAGCAATGCGGTATATATATATACATATATAGATGTACATGTGTCAAGAATGGAATGGTACACGTACTACTAGTCAAGACGAGAAATAGAATAGGAAATATGTATGAATATTAGTAGTGCCAACCATCATATTTGTACAACTTTGCTACACTCCTGTACTGTAGGTTGAAGCTCTACTGATATTAGTGGTGCCAAGAACCGTCATAAATATAAATTAAAATTAGTAGTGCCAACCATCACATTTTGTACAAACTTTCTATGCTGAAGCTTTACAGTAACATATTATGAGTCTTCTTCATTCCGTATTGTGTGCAATCTTGATACAAACAGAATTCGAGAATTCGAGAAATTTCACGTGCAAGTACAGATGAGAATATCAACATGAGCGATTATTGTTCTAAAGAACAAGCACACCAGAGGATTGCATGTTCATCATGGCTGAGACTTCTGATTTCTGTCAATAGCCATCACCTTTGAGAGAAAACGTAGTAATGCAGCAACTTAGGAAGTTAAATAATGTAGGTTGATTGTGGTGCTCCTCACCGGGGGGATCTGAGCGAACGAATCAATCAGCCTGATTCCATCCATACATATCTGTACCGGTAGTTCACCATGGCACCAAAATTAATTCGATAGCTTTTGATTTGAAGACGTAACAAATTGATGATGTAGTTGCATCACTTGGCGGCAATTTTGGTGGGCTGAAATTATGCATCAAGTCACTCAATTGAGGTATTCTTCGGTGGGCAAAGAAGACACCCCACTCTTCCATTCTGGTTTTTTGATGCATAGAGTTGAGCATATAGTGCACAGTAGTCTGCCAAAATAAGAGCATCCAAATTTCGTCACATCACATATCCACCACTCAACTCATCCGTTCAGTAGCAAAAAATCGCCAGATCTACAGTACAAATTTTCGCCAGAACCAAATTTCTTCCATCGCCATACTACTCATCTACCAATTTGCAAATTATGGACGCAAATGAATTCCTTGTGATGAGAGTATGGAGAGCAATTGTCACGCTGAAAACAGCTCTTGGGAACCGTTTTCTCATTGCACTTGCAAGATTCGGAAGCGGTAATACGCAACCTCAATTCAAATCAAAAGTCTGCGCTTGCGTAATGACTGTTACGAAAAGTCCGATCGAGCACAGAAAATTACGTCTACGTGTGACTCAGGGCTTTACGTCGTTGGCTTCCGTACTTAGAAAACCGGTGACTATCTGCGTCCCTCCATGCGCGCGCTCACCATGTGTTTAGTCATAGTGAAAGTCAGCCAGTTTCTGTTGTGACAGAGTAACAGCAATCGGTTTTTCGAACGCGCGCAATGTACTGCGAATAAAATCAATTTGCACCGTTGCGCACCGCCCAGTGCGCTGCTCGCTCATCCCAACGCTCAAAGTCATTATCTATATATTCAGACACCAATAACTTCCACGTGCCGCCTCGTTTTCCCACCAAAAAAACAAAATCTCACGTGCACCTCCGTTTGCAGAGCGCAGCGCACTCTTGCAGCACCCTGCCTCGTTGGGTTGCACGGGCGATTTCACATTGTTAGTTGCAGCTGAAATTGTTGCTCAACTGCTGCTAGCGCACCTCTTCCATAACTATTTGCTATACAAGCAACTCTGTGAGTGTCTCGTCACAGTACCTTTTGAAATATTTCGCGAGCTCATATATGCTAACCGCTGCTCCTTCTTTTGTTTGCCTCCATAATCATATATCATCAATTTGCATCTTGCAATCGATCATCATTAATCTTTTTCATCAACCATGCCAACTGAAACCATGGCCTTCACAGAGCCGGTAAAGGACGAGATTGAAAGTCCCGAACAGCCTACTACCACTACCACCACCACTACTACAACCAAAACAACAACTGCAGAGGAAGTAGTCAAAGAGGATTCCAAGACTCTCGAACCATCTCCATCAGTACCGAAGGATAGTAAAACGCCTGTTTTAGAAACTCCGACTGTTGACGAGAAACAACCAGAGGAAGAGAAAAAGGAAGAAGCAACTGAATCTGTTGAACCTTTAGACAAAGAAGCTAAGACAGACAACAAAACAATGAGTGAAGGTGTTGAAGTTATATTGGATGCTGGAAACGGTTCCACTATTTTGGATCAGGATCAGAATGTGTTCCGTGCACCAAACCCAGTGAGACCAAGAGCCATGAGAGCTCACCCACATGATGTTAAGGGTTCTGCATCTTATGGATACGGTCCTGCGGATTACCATCAGTCACCATACCCATACGCTCCCTCCACCTCGTTTGATGAGGGAGGTTACCCACCCATGACTGCGTCTCACTACAGCCCACATGTGCAATATCCTCATCCCGCCATGCACGTAGGAGATGTTAACGTTATCTCTCCCAGCCATAAGGAGCACGCACCCAGCAGTCATCGTCCACCCATGACCCCTCGTCGCGGCGGCGGTGGACATCACTCGTACCAGTACCCTCCTGCTTCTCCCGTGAGTAGACCAGGTGGCCACCACTCCCCTCCTCGTATGAGAGGATATCACATGAGACGGCCGGAAGGACCCTACTCGGCTGCTGTGCGATCGAGAAGCCACCCTCCAAGCCATGGTCCTCCAACCCACATTAGACACCCCGAAGAGGAAGCCTGGGGTTACTCGCCAGAGCAACGCCCGAGACCACCAATTGTTGCTGAAACTTCCTTTGATTCGGAACACTACCCATCCCATGCGTCTCATGCTTCCAACCCCGCTACCCCAAACGCCCCTCACTACGGACCTCCCATGCATCACGATGGCGGTAGTGCTTACCATCACCACCACCAACAAGGATTCCAAGGAGGATCCTTTGGAAGCTTTGAGAGTCCTGCCCCTGGATACTATGCTGAGCAACAACGAGGACACTATGGGCGTCCATCTCCGCACTACCCACCACCAGAGTCCCCTTACACTCCATACTCTCAGCATGGATATCCTGGATACTCTCCTGGAGGCTACCGTGACTATTATTCTCCTCATTCGGATTACCACCGCCGTTACGCTCATTCTTATGAAGATGAGTATGGACACGGAGGTAAGAAGAATGATTCCGGTATGATCCTCCCCAAGGCTGCCCAAGAGATTGACTTTGAGGTGACCGATCCTCCCATGGAACCCATCATCCCAGCATCCAAGACTCCCCTTTGTGAATCTCCTGCGGATGTCAATTCGTATGATGTCTTGTGTGGACGTGGAGGTGGTACCAACTCCCAGATTGGAAATCGTCGCTTCCGAAAGTTGGTGCAAGAGTTCCAACCTACCTACCTTCTGGCCCGCCGAAAAGAAAAGCCATTGTTGGCTCGTACTATCGTCTTGATCATCCGCAAACGAGGTGGACGATTCTTGAAGAAGGACGAAGAGACCGGTGAACTCTACGAAGTTGGTGATGTCAAGGCCGAAGCAAAGACGTCGCAAGCCCTTCGTGAGGGTTTGGATGTTCGTGCTACCAAGAGTGCGGCCAGCAGCATCATGGACAAGAAGAAAAAGAAGAAGTCTTCTTCTTCATTGACGGAGGAAGAGAAGGAAGTGGATGCCATGAGCCCCGCGTCTCACACGGACTCTCCAGTTGGTGTCACCGAGATGAAGTCTGGTGGACGCCCAGCTGCCGAAGCTCCACCATCGCTTCCAACCTTGGCCCAAGACCAACCAGCTCCTACTCCCCCAAGCCCTCCATCTCCAAACTCGGTACACTTCCGCAAGCGCCGTCGTATGCGCTCCGGAGATGCCTCTGTTGGAGCCGGTGCTGGATGTGGCATGGGATTCCAAGACAAACTTTTCCCAGACTTTTGTCCACCAAGAGCTGACCTCGGAAGAGTCGCCAGTCCCACCATGGAAATGGCCATGGACATGTCGCACACTCGTCATGAGATGAAGTTTGAAGACGACATTTATGCTCATGGTCCCCCACCACCACAACAACAACGTGCTGGATGCGGAGGAATCGCCTTTGACATTGTCACTGGTGCTGCTGCTAGCAGCTTTTGTATGGGACCACGCAAATGGAGATAAATATATTTTGAGGCACCAATTTGTGATGTGATTCTGTGACTCCAGACTGTGAAAGTCTAAAGTTGCTATATTTGGGGATATCACAATACAACAAACACACGAACACGCATGCACTGTAGGGTAGAACAATTATAAAATACTTAGCCACAAATCGCGCTATTATACAACATGATTTGTTTTTGCTACTACAGTAGTTTAGTATTATTCTCATCACGGAGAAGTAGCTTGTATTCATGTCGCTTCCACATCTTATTGCTTATTCGGTTCTTTCGTTCTGTATGTTGCACTTATCACCAGGCTAGTGAAGCCGACATGGATCGCGATACTATCTACTGTATACCCATACCAATTGCTTTCTAATTTAGAGGGAAACAGTTTCAATGCAGCCAGCATAAAACTTGCTATGATTCTATCATGATTATCGGATTACTACAGTACAGCATGCAGGCCACATCCATCCATCATTACAAGGCCTCAAAGAACTTGGAAGAAGATTCGACCTTCTTAACCAACTTGGCCGTACTGGGACTTTCCTTGTAGGAAACGACAGTCGGTATGGAGAATTCTTGCAAGGCATGTTCGACAGACATGACGCCCATGGCCGAAGACCGTCGTCCTGAAAAGGGAATGGTGTCAGGAGATCGTCCACATTGGCTGTTGATGTTAATCTTGCCAAAGACAGAGGAGAATTGATCGACCAGCATGGAAGTGTCATCGCTGTTGGATTCCGAGGAAAAGATGGCAACTTGCTGTCCAAAGTCACCATTGTGACCATAGTCTAGAATGGTATCCAAGGAGTCATAAGTAGCAATTGGAATAATAGGTCCAAATTGTTCTTCGTAGTACAGATCCATATCTGGAGTGACGGGATACACAACGGCGGGGACCATTAGACTCGATTTTAATCCTCCGATGACTTCACCTCCATTCTCATTGATGATTTTGGCACCCTTTGAAACAGCATCTTGGATGAGCTTTTGCATGTACTCGACCTTTTTGCGATCAGGAAGTGGTGTGATCTTGGAATAGGATGGCGACTTGCTTTCGTCCGAGCTCCAGTTTTGCCATGGTAGTCCCACTGACATTTCTTCTACACGTTTGGCCATCATGGTAGCAAAGGCACTCCCTTGCTTCTGGGGAACAAAGAAGAGCTTCAAGGCTGTGCATCGTTGTCCATTGAAACTAAGAGCTCCCAACATGGCCTGATCCAATGCCTTGGACATTTCGTCCTTGCTTTCGAAAATGCTAGGGAGAAAAATACCCATATTCTTGGCTTCTAATTGCAAGAATACCTTCAGTCGATGGGGACGAGGATGTTGCTTGATCAAGTCATCAGCAGCGCGGGATCCTCCAATAAAGGCCAATCCGTCAATATCTCCCGTTTTCATGAGTGGTGGCATGGTTTCCCGACCACGTCCAGAAACGAAGTTCATTGCTCCAGGTGGCAAGGCCTTGGCAAATGCTTCCACTGCACAGAGTCGAATTGAAACCAATAATAATGTCTGATTAGATTGCTGTTCAATGATACAACACAAATCACTTGCATCTCCTCGCATACTTACTGGTCAATAGATGAGACAATCCACCCACAGTTGGAACCTTCATGATTGCTACATTTCCCATGAGCAAGGCTGGAATCAAAGTTGCATACGTCTCATTCAATGGATAGTTCATGGGACCCAGGCACATAATGATGCCAATTGCAGCCCGTTTGATAAATGCATGGGTCGATCCAACGGATTCCCAATGACCATGATATTCGGGATGCTTGGAAACAGTATCCAACAATTGATTGCAGAATTGCAGAGTACGGTCAAATTCGGATTCAGCATCCTTACGATTCTTTCCAATCTCCCACATGAGGGTTCGGACAATGGTCTCACGCTGGGTTTTCAATTCGTCCAACAAGTTGATAATGGCAGTCATACGTTCCTTCAGAGACATTTGAGGCCAGGTACCACTGCCACCCTTCCAGGCGTTCTTGGCATCTTCCAATACTTGCATAGTCAAGTCGGCGTTCATTTGGGGAATCTTGCCAATTTCCTCCGGTGTGAGACTTGTATTGTCATCTGACGAACAGCACCCCGTGACCATTGCGTCTGTGGCATCCTTGTGGGACTCAATCACCTTGCCGTGTAGAGTCAGTTTGGGTGCCACAAAGTCCATTTCATAAGGAATATTGGCACAGGTAGGATCAGTGGCACTGCAGGATTGTCCCACAACACCGGTGGCCATCATGGAGGACGCCAACAACCCCACTAAACAATGAGACGAGAATTTCATTTTTGGTATTTTTAGTATGTCGATGACTTTTCGTTTGGCTCCTTTCCTTGCTGAACGCTAAGTTTGCAAGTGGTGACTATCGGATTGGATTTGGGATCCTTTCTTGCTCTGGGTATTGAATTCAGACACGTCGTCAACCTTCACTACAAGTTGTCTCTTCTTTGGAGATCGATCGATCGGGATTCGAGTGGAATTCGAATAGTCGCCTTGGTCGACTTTTTTCATTGCCAAAAACAGGACACCCATAGTGACAAATGAAATGATGCAAGGAGATCTCAAAATATTGAGCAATAGCAGCCTGCAATATGTACCGGTGCGACTCCAATCTATATGCCTCTCTAGAAGGAGAGGATGCTGAACCACCAACAAGATTTGACCTAATACTAAAAAACAGGAATTTACTTGGGCCTCACGGCCTAACGTCAATCTAAGCGAGCTTCATGATCTGAAGCACGTACACGTGTACAAGGAGAAGGTCTTTACAGAGTCATACCAGAAAAATTCGATGGATTGGACTTTGTAGGTCACGCGAATCCCCATGACAAAGAATCTAAAAGAATTCTATACTTCTTACAAAGCAATCGAAGATGGAGCCATATTAGGTTATCAGACGATGGAACGACAAGGGCTTCGCCTGAGTTCTTGAGTTTGGTTGTCGTTGCCCTTACAAAAACCAAAACCTTGGAAAATCTTCCGTTGGACCTAAATTTCTTTGCGTGTCTTAACTCTGGAATGCAAACCCTAACGCACCTGAGGGTGTTTACTGGCTCTGTACCAATTTCTTTCGAGGCGGCAGCTATGTTTGCGAATGGTTTTGACTATGTCAACTTCCTTGGCAATTCTTCAAATCGCCGAGACATGTCGCTTCGAACATGGTGCTGGTCTGAAAGTGATGAAAGGGGTGGAACGAAACAAAAGTTTGAACAAGTTGATTATATCTGAGTCTAATCTCAGTATGGTAGCCATGTCGTCGATCCTTCGTGCAGTATCTGACGGGGAGGTCCCAAAACTCGTTACTTTGGATGTCAAGCTCAAACCAAGGAGCGATTGCATACAATTATTGACGAGGCTGATGTGTAGTGACACCTGTCACTTGGAAGATCTAAAGATTGACGAAGATGACTATGACATATCAAGTATGTTTCGGACTGATGGCATTCCAACAGGGACTGTCAACCGAATGTTGGAAAAATTGGAAATATGTTTTGGTCGGTTTGATGACTCCTATTTGGCTTCTTTGCTGCCAATGATGCCCAATTTGTTGGATCTCGATTTAAAAAGTTGTAATCTATCTGACATCTCGCCGATTGTCAATCATCTGTGTCACCCCAGCACTGCTATCAGGACGATTGAGCTTTGTGACGCCGATGAAGATATTGGACTAGACCAAGTGGAGTATTTTGCGTCACATTTGCGTGACATGCAATCTTTGACAGATGTATATATTGGCCTTAGTTTCCGGGGCGATGATGAAAATGACGGCTTGGAGCGATTTCAAAACATACTTCGAATCTTTTCAAGTTGCTGGAACCTGGAAACGTTTGAATTCTATGGCCTCAGCGATACTCTGGAAAAACTTGTCAAGGAGTCCAATCTAAATCTCACTTTCGCTATCAATGGTGGCTGGAGGAGAGAACTTTGCTACAATCAGCACTACAGAGAGTCCTCAGCGCCGCCGCCGAAACTATTGCCTCTGATCATTGCAAGAGCACTTCGCAACACAACTGTACGTTCGCTTCGCGCTGATGTAGTATTATCACTCTTGCGTGAGCGAATCGGTGATATCATACGAAATTAGACAATGGGGAAGTAACGAATATCATCATCATTAGTACTCTTGGGTCTCGGGGGCAATGCGATTCGGAGTCTTCATAATGTGAAGGACAGTGACTGAACTCGAATGAAGTCGAAAAAGACTTGCACTTCCATCTATCCTATTGGGAAGCTCTATTGCTCACAATTAAAAAAACCATAAGCGCCAATCCTATTCCAATCCCAACGTCATGAGTAGCTAGTATCTACATTGTCGACGTATCGAAATCCACCAAGAAGGCGCCTCAAATCCAATCGTGCTCACCGACACGAGACATCACTTCTGATTTCGAGTATAGCAATAACGAATTGCCTATGAGCAAAGGTAGAAGAGTCAACTTGCATCATCTGGCCCGATGGATATATCATGGTCCATTGCCTGCTGTCATGTACAGTATCATCACGACGTCGCCCGGCTTCATTTCTGGAAGGGCTAAGTTAGTACGGTACGGTTTGACATAGATGACAAATCACACAAGGGGATTTCAAAATATTGAACCAAGCACCATGTCCGACGACGATTATTCCTTTTCAGATGGAGAGGATGCTCGATCACTAGCAGAATTTGACGCATTGTTTTTCGAAAGCATTGGAGAAGGGACTCGCCTGAGCGAGCTTCATGATTTGAAGCACGTACAAGGAGAAGACCTGCACATAGTCTTACCAGAAAATTTTGATGGATTGCGCTTTGCGGGTTTTGTGAATCCACATGACAAAGAATACAAGAGAGTATTATATCTTTTACAAAGCAATCGAAGATGGAGACGCATTCTATTATCAGACGATGGTGCGGCAAGCGCATCGCCTGAGTTCTTGAGTCTGGTTGTACTAGCACTTACAAAAACCAATGACGTAACCTTGATGGAATGCCCATTGGACCAGAATTTTTTTGCATGTCTAAACTCTGGAATGCATACCTTAAAACAACTGATAATGATGGGCGGATCTGATCCAATTTCTTTCGAGGCAGCTGCTATGTTTGCGAATGGTTTGACTATATCATCTTCCTTGGAAGTGCTTGAAATCAACCATGCTTGTCGCTTCGAGCATGGTGCTGGTCTGAAGGTGGTGGAAGGAATTGGACGAAACAAAAGCTTGAAGAGTTTGACCATAGCTGAGTCGAATCTCAGTCCGGTAGCCATGACGTCGATTCTTCGTGCAGTGTCTGAGGGCAAGGTCCCGAAACTCTCTATGTTGAATGTCAAGCTCAAACATGAGAGCAGTTGCACACAACTGTTGACGATATTGATTTCTAGTGATACCTGTCACTTGGAAAAGCTCACAATCAACGAAGATGACTATGACATATCACCAAGTATGTTTCGGACTGATGGCATTCCAACAGGGACTGTCAACCGAATGTTGGAAAAATTGGAAATATGTTCTGGCCGGTTTGATGACTCCTATTTGGCTTCTTTGCTGCCAAGGATGCCCAATTTGTTGGATCTCGATTTAAAAAGTTGTAATCTATCAGACATCACGCCGATTATCAATCATCTGCGTCATCCCAGCACTATAATCAGGTCGATTGGACTTTCCGCCAATTTTGATATTGGACTAGACCAAGCTGAGTATTTTGCGTCATGTTTGGATGATATGCAATCGTTAACAGATGCGAATATTTGCCTTGATTTGTCGTACTGTTGTGAAAACGACGACTTGGAACGATTCCAAAAAGTGGTGCGAATCCTGTCAAATTGCTGGAACCTGGAAAGTTTTGAATTTCATAGCATGAGCGATGGTGTGGAAAAACTTGTAAAGGAGTCCAATCTGAATCTCACTTTCGCTATCAATTGTGGCTGGAGGAGAGAACTTTGCTACAAGCAGCGCTACAGAGAGTCCTCAGCACCCCCGTCGAAACTATTACCACTGATCATTGCAAGAGCACTTCGCAAAACTACTTCTTCTACGCTTCGCGCTGATGTAGTATTATCACTCTTTCGAGAGCGAATCTGTGATATCATTCAAAATTAGTCGATGGGAAAGTAAAAATAATTGAGAATATCATCAAGAGTACTTTCAACTTTCGGGTCTCGGAAGCAATACGATTCGGAGTTGTCGTCATAAAAAGAGATGGACAGAGAAATGAAGTGAAGTGAAGCGAAACGAAACGAAGGCTTAGCCATCCATCCATCCATCCCATTTAGAAACTCTACAACTCACAACAACAAGTCATGAAAGTCTATCCTAGCGATTGTATTCCATCATCAAAAGCAGTATCTTTGCAGTCGATATCCCCATCATTGCATTGTTGGTCTCAGTCGTATTGACATCACCAAGAAGGCGTCTGAAATCGAATCGTGCGCTATCACCAGATTTTGACACGAGACATCACTTCTATGATCGAATGAAGAAGAATTATGGTAGCTATCCAGTAGCGAAAAGGGGAAAGTCAAGTTGCATGTCAGTAACTCTATGGTGGTCCCTTCTACTTTGTTATCATTGTTCCAAGGAAGCTAAGACTGAAACCCGTTTTAGTGAAATACCGTAGTGGATGCACGAGTAATAATTCAATGTCTTTATCTATGTATTTAACACATGCTAGTCTATTTTGTTTTGTTGGCTTTCCCCGGTGCTCAATTTAGTTACATACAATACCACATGGGGTCTAGACTTGCTCATACACCTCAATGTTTTCTTGCGTAATTTGTTGTGGAGCAAAGTACATGGAAACTCCATCAAACGCCTGTTCTTCTTCCAAAGAAGGAATACTCTGTTCGGTTGCCACACTGGATAAGGTTGGCGACATTGCAACCTTTCCTTGAACTAGTCGGGCTCTGATCCTTGGGCTATTAGACTTGGCTTCACTGTACTTGCGAGGCATCTTGTCAGGTCGAATGGTATTGTGTCGCACATCCAAGCCTTCGCGGAGGGCTTGGCCAGTCTTGCCTAGGGCTTTCTTGGAGGGCACTTCAACCCACGTATCTGTTGTAGTGTCTCGCTTGAGGAATCGGCCGCCATTTTGCCTTATCCTTTCGACAACCCTTGATGCTATTTGCGCCTTTTCCTTCTTTCGTGCTCCCAAATACACTTCTTGATACTCCGCGACGATGGCACGGAATCTCTTGTTGCCAATGTGAGTGTTGGTAGCACCGCCTCGTCCACAAAGGACATCGTTTTCGCTTATGCATGCATCAGTCATGTTTGCTTCTGTGTGTCGAACTTTAGATACTTTTCTTGTTGCGTCTGAAACTTTCTTTCGTGTTTCTTGTGAGTTTGAATTGTGAACTGACGAGGAAGTTCACGCTTCGTTCTTTCCTCCCTTTCCACGATTGAATTCACTTCAGTGGGGTGATTGATTTTCTACGCAAATCTACATGTTCTTGGTCATAATAGTAGGGGTCCTACGGTTTTCTCTACGTGTGTCACTTCTCCAAATGGTTTGGCTCGCGCACCACCACGAACGAGAAGCGATCGAAGCTGCTTCCGTTCTGATCGGATTAGTTTGCCATGGTGGAAACAAGGCCGCTCTACCTAATATACTATAGCCGCCTCTCTAAACTCACTTCTAATCGAGTTCTTAATATAAAGATCGATCCACTTCAACAGGAAGTGGAGGATACCTTGCCTTGGTAATTGTACGAAATTGAAATCATCAAAGCGAACTGGAATACTACACCAGAAAAGGTAGTTTGGCTTTTTACCATTTCAGTCCCACGAATCTTTGCAGGGACAGGCCATGAAAGAAGGCCTCGCGATCCAGTTTGGATTTCAGTTTCTTCTAGGCCATAGTGCTGCATCATCAATGTAATGGTGCAATTTTGTCGTCTCTCATCGTGCAAATAACTACGCTCAAATAATGCGGAAACCGGAATCGACACTGTTCCATCCCTTGGAACGAAGAAAGACATCGTCCACCATCGCTTGCCGTTTGCCCCATAATTGAAAACCGGAATCCACCTGGTTCCAACCATGTTCTTTGAATATGTCATCCTCCCTATCCACCGAGTCGTTCAAACCAAATAGGCTGGCTTCTTCTTCCCAAGTATCCGCCATCCGACCACTCATGACCACTTGGATGGACATTTTTCGTTTTTCGAGTTGTCCTTCGGCCCACTCCATCTTTTCCGCATCTCGCAACACTCCGGCAATGAATCGAACCTCCTGTGGGTGGATACTTCGGGTTCTACTGTGTTCCACCAATGTCTTGAGGATACTAAAAAATAGCAAAAAGGGGCATGTATCAGTAAAACAATTGTCATGACAAAGTAGTAAAATTCAACAACAACCATCCTCCACTTACATGTCCACCAAGGCTTTGTCTGGAACAATCCGTCTCTTGTATTTCATGTTTTCATACAACTTTTGTGCTGCCATGGATCCCTTCAACGAGTTCTTTTGGAGTAGACAAGTGATAATGGAGGAAAAGGATGTCACATCTGGCACTTGGCGCCTACTCTTTTCGCTAAAGTAGTATTTGAATGTCTTGCGGGCCATGGAATCGTTCTGGCACAGGGTACAAGCATGTAACAAGGCATTGATAGCTGTCACATCTGGCTTCTGAATCCCTTCAAATGCCTTCAACGCACCACGCAAGTCCCCAGCGGCACTTTGGAGTTGAATGATAGATGTGGCAACCTTGATGTTGCGTAACGAGACAACTCGATCAGCATGTAGTGTTTCAATCAATGTCATGGCCTCTGCTACACGCGGCTCCTCGCATTCTCCAAAGGCCCCAAGGATCACAGCCATGGTGTTGGCGTTGGGTCGAACTCCCTTTCCCATCATTTCTTTCAGCAGTCCGAGCGAATGATCGATATTGGCATTGAATTCAATGTGATTCAAGTCATTTCGCCTATGAACAAGCCCAGAAATGAGAGCGTTGTAGGTCACGGTGTTAACTTTCAACCCTTGTCGTCTCATATACGACATGATGCCTCGGGCTTTGTCCACATTTCCTTTCCGACCCAAGGCTCCAATCACTGGGGTGAAGGCAAACTCGTTGGGTTTCAGGTCTCGTGCTCCCATAAGCTTCAAGATCAAAGCAGCTTTCTTGACGTCTCCATTCTTAGAGTAAGCATCAATGAGCGTGGTATAGGCGTCGGCATTTTGGTGTCGTCCTTTCGACATTTTTGATGGAGCCTCCGTGTACTTTTTCAAGAGTTCTTCGGCAAACTCATAGTCTCGAGCTTTCACTGCCGCCTGCACTAAAGTGTTGGTGGTCACATGATCCCAAAAGCCGTGTTCTCTGATTTCTTCCGTCAAACGGAGCGCATCCTGAAGTTTGCCATTTTTGGCAAGCCCCTTCAGCACAATGTTGTAGGTTCGTTGATTTGGAAGTGGAGCAGGTTCCATGTCGAGCAATTTTTGATGATCTGGACTCAGTTCGCCTCTTTTTTGAGGATCTCTCAGTGCACCAAAGATTCGTTGCGCTGTGACCAGGTCATTGCAATTCACATAGGCATCAATCAAACTATTCAACATGATAATGTCGGCTTGGACCCCACAAGCGTTTGCACGGTTCAGCAACATTTCAATGCTATTAATGTCCCGCAATCGACCGTACCCCTTCAGCAGAATGGAGTAGGCTACTGCTGACAAAGAAGGAGCATTAGGAGTCCGCTCTTGGAGTGCCACAACCTTGTGTGCCATGGTCATGTCGCCATTGATTGCATAGGCGTTGAGCACTCTGTTGAAGTCACTCTCGTGGAGTTTTCCATTCTTCTTGTCTCCATGACGAACGCCGACTCCAGTCACTAGTCGTTGCAATACTCGGAATGCCGCATTGGCGCTTCGCAGATCATGGGTAGTCTGACTGGACTCTTTGACTCCAGTCAGTGCCTTCAAACCACTCAACAGCGTCCTTCGTGGAATTTGATTGTATGGTTCACAAAGTGATTCAGAAGACAATTGAAGTTGTATCAGCGAAGCTCCTAACGAGACCCGGTCCGAAGCGGCACGCCCACGATAGGGTGGTGCAAAAGCTCGGTCGAAGAATACATGAAAGGTCCCGTCCACCACTTGTGACAATTCTTTCATATCTTCGGCTGGTAGCCCATCTTCCTCTTGTAGGTATTCTGTCATGGCACGGATCATTTCTTTGGCACCATCGTATTCTCTTTTTGATAGAAACTGAACCACATTTTTCTTGATTTCCTGAAACTCTCGGACCTTGTCGTTGTTGGACTGCGACTGTTGTAGCTCGGAATAGGTGAAGCTGCTTTGCTCCAAGATAACATTGCTGTTTCTATTGATGGAAGACTGTCTGGAAGTAGCAGGTGGCTGCAGCAGTAACGAGTTGGACACTTCAACAAAGAATGCTGCCAAGGAAACTACGACCAACATGGAGGTGGTTGCTGGGCCTCTCATTCTCTTCCGCCTTATTCTTGTCAGTATTCTAGCTTCTTCTGCATTTCTCATCTCTTATTGTTGAGCCTATAGATAGAGAAAGAGTAGCCCACTTGTTTGCATTCCGGTTTGTAGCGAATGGAGATTATTACAAATGGAAGATACGAATGATTTTATTCATACCGTAGAAATGATGTCGTCAGCTTTCTCTTCTCTTCGATTGATGCAGCAAGTAAAGTGCGTCTGTCTCTCTCTGGGCCTAAAGAAGTACGCCACCTCACTGAAATGACTTCGCCGACTGTTGTGATTTTCTATGCTACAGTACTGTAACATCCTGAATGCACGAGCCGAGGACCAGCTGCATTATACAGTAGTACCCTTCACTTCTTTCACATTCCTACAATATAACCATTTTGTGAATATAATCATTTTATAACAAAACATTGTTGCACTAAACATAATATTACTGTAGCACTTCTTTCCCAAACCCTTTTTGCCGCATCCATCAATCATATAAAAAATTAGGATAATAGTACATCATACTGGTGTATAATTACGGCTTGGTGGCAGTGGGAGGAGCCAAGTCCACATCTTCATTCTCATCGTAAAAGTAGTCCGGAGGAGCTGGAATAACATAACGACTGGGAACTCGTCGATGTGGCGTACGTCCATATTGATCTTCATCATCTTCAAACTTGACAATGACTTCCTTGACACAAGGAATACCGCGTTCCAATTCCCAAACGGGACTCTTGGCGACCTTGGCCTTGTAAAAACTAGTCGTTTCGGGGAAGATTGCCATGACGTCCTTGCCCTTGTCAAAGCACCCTTCTGTTCCCGTACTCAGTCGCATGACGTGGCTCCAAGGCAATCGAATCAACTTGCTCGTGTCATCCTCATCTTGGACATCGTAGGTCTCGGTATCAATGTAGAATCGTTGGACACTGGCCAAAATCCAGCTTCCATTCTCGTCAGTGCGAGTGACCTAAATGGTTTGGTTTGAACAAATAAAAAGAAAGAAATGAAATGAAATGAAAATTTGCAATGTCAGTCACAGATGTCACCTATTTATTTGTGTCATTTTTCATTTTTCAATCTCAACCAAACACAAAAGGCACATACCTTGGCAGCCACTTGTTCTCCCGGTCGTGCCGCAAATCGAGTCCGTCGCCTCTTGACGGACAAACGACAACCATCGTAAAATTGAGTATCCCGAGAATATTCCGTGGCCGCAGTGGTCCCTTGCTGCAAACGTTCGAGAAAGCCACCAATGCAGGCTTCTTCATCAATCTCCAAGGCTTCAAAATGTCGGGCAACGGCCACGGCGAGTTCGGAAGGAGGAGCTTCGGGACGGACTTGGACACCTGGAAATGATATAGTAATTGAGAGAGGCAAGGTGGAATGGGTACATTGTAGTGATGCAACAGAAGCAAGCAATGAATAAAAGGAGCAGAATGCAATATAGTGTCAGCGACAATCAGGCGAATCACAACGCATTGCAATATTATATCTCAAACACGTATAGAATGAATCACTGTTATACTGTAGTGCGTGACATACCATGATGATCAATGTAACTGACCAAAGTCAAACCACCCAATTTCCGAAAGTCCAAGCCCACTCCTCGAGGATACGAACGAGAATGGCTCGATTTGGACGATTTGCGTTTTTGGCCCGATCCGATTGTTCCAGAAAGTCCGGGAGGAGGCATTGTTACTCTGATTGATTTAGCCACAGAAGTAGTGGATGATAGTAGGGTATAGAGACTTGCTGTCTAGTTGCTGCAACAGACAATGAATGGAACTACAGTACTCTATGTTCAAAACTTGTGTGTGTGCGATTTTGACGAGGTCGATGACAACAATACCTTGCCAAAACGCCAAGACTTTTGTCTTTTTGCTATCGCGCGAGCGCGCAATGTTTTCGACTAATGCGACCGCTAGAATTTGAAAAAATTCATCATCACTCCTTTTCGTCTTCATTCTTCGTCACCTTTCTTGTCTATCGTGCTTGCTTTGTTCCTCACCAACACAAGAGACCATGACAGATGATTCTTCTTCCACCCTAACAGTCCATGAAGAATGTTTGAAAGGCTTGAAAGTTCTAAAGGACCATGGTCTATTAAAAATACCTGGTGACGAACCCTCCAATGAGGATGATGATGATGATGATCTGACAAGAAGGTGCCATGCCTGGACTTCGGCCAATCCCTCACTTCAATTCGACCAAGATGGTTACCTAGTACTTTTGGACATTGGCGGAAAGCGACTCCATAGAGGATTTCCAGCTCCCATGGAGGTATTTGCACATTTTACCAGGTTGCATACCATCAATTTGGCCGGAACCGACTTGCCTTTGGCACAAGTCATGGAGATTTTGAATCGGTTGGTGAATCAATTGGAAGGTGTCTTTGTGGGAGGCAACGGACTACGAGTGCAAGGCGGAGTGAAATTGGGCGAATGGATTCCTTTGGCAAAACGATTGCGAAAATTGGACGTCCGGTACAACGATTTGGAAGGCGATGGAATGGAAGCTCTATGTTGTCAGCAAGGCGGTGGCTTGCAAGAAAACCCATCCGTTCAATTACTATACGCCGAAGGAAATCAAATAGGGGACAAAGGTGCCAAGGCGATTGCTAGTTTGTTGGAGCAAGATTCTCTATCCTTGCAAGGACTCTTTTTGGGTGCCAACCAGATTGGTCCAGCAGGTGCCAAAGCCTTTGCCTCGGCACTCTCTCAAAACAAGACATTGACCAAATTATACTTGGAAGGGAATAATATTAGATTGGAAGGGGCCAATGCCTTTAGCGATGCATTGGAAGCCATGAATCATAGTAATGGTGCTACTGGGACTGGTGCTATTGGTAGCACACTCAAACATTTGTTTGTTGACAACAACAACATTGGCAAGGAAGGATCCAAACGATTGGCCAAAGCTTTGAACAGTGATACTGCTATTGGAGAATCCTTATTAGAATGATAATGGAAATTGAAATAGATGAAGGAACTACAGTATTGAAAGGAATGGCTTGTTGCTCGCTCTAACAAGGAATAGAAGTGCACGATGTCTGCATCACCTGCTTGATCAGACAATATTTACAATTGATTCATTCGACCCAAGGTCACACCCTCGGAGTGCCTTCCAATCAGGTCACGTAGCATTTGTACTAAAGCTACGCAGTACCCTTTTTGCAAAAGGAGGGATTTTTACGCTTCTTTCCCCCACGAAAATACAACTCCACCCCGTATGACTTACAGTATTGTACACTGCTCGTCATCATCAGCTGCAGCATTGAAAATCTTATCAATCATTCCATCCAGCAAGATGTCGTCTCACGTATTGGAAGTCAACCCAGACACGCAATTGGAGTTCGTACTCTCGCACAGCGAAGCTAATCCAAGATGCGTCATGACGTTGAAGCATCCAGGCATGTCCAAAGACCACATTGCCTTCAAGGTGAGTTTTGTGTTTTACGTAGGTTTTCGTACCAAGAAAATCCCAAATCCTGACTTTTTTCCTCGAAATTCTGGTTCCCGCGTCAAAACCTTGTGCTTTGCTTGTATCACCCTTGGTCAATCAATCAATGGATCAATCAACAACAACAACAACACTATGAATCACCGACCATCCAACAAATACAATCAACACTCAAACAATCGCAATGTAGGTAAAAACAACGCAACCACGCCGGTATCTTGTACGGCCCAATCAAGGTTTGGTGGCTCCCGGCAGCTCGGCTTCCATTTCCATTCTGCTGGTGGAAAAAGACAAACAAGCTTTGTTGCAGTCGTTTGAGCGTCTCGGTCAACCTGGATTGGATCACAGCAAGGACAAATTCTTGGTACAATCGTGCACGGCGCCAGAATCCTTTTCTTCCAAGAAGTCATCCGGTGAGTCTTCCGAACTCTACGATGCCTTGACGTCCATGTGGCAATCCGTCACCTCGGGGGGATCCTCGACTCCCATTTTCAACAAAAAGTTGCACGTTCGTCACGTGGTTCAAGAGGGCGCTAGTAAGGCAAGCGGTGCGGCCGCGAGCAAATCCATTCCCTCCAAATTGGAAGGCTCTTCGGATGTGGTGGTGGAAAAAATGAGCCACGACCAATTGGTCAACGAATACAGTCGTCTACGCAGCAAATACGACGAATTGTTGACTTTTAGTGTCAGTCTAACGGCTGAACGCGACATACTCAGCAATACTCTGGAACAAACCAAACGAGATTACAATCGTGAGCTGTCGCGGCCCAGCGAGGGCAAGACCAGTACTTCGTCCTCCTCGTCCAAGGGATCTCTGCAAAGTACCATGGTGCAATTGTTGGTTGTGGCGATTGCCTGCTTTATCGCGGGAATGCGAATGGGCAAGGTCGAAGAATTGGTCGAAGCAGAGGCATAGAAAAAAAGTTAAAATTATGTTTGGTGTTGTGTGACTTTTTGTCAGTTGTCGCCATGGAACAAAAGAGAACAAGAAATAGGGAATGCCATTGCGATGCTTCTGCTCCGGCTATTAGAGTAATTATTTATAAATAAAACTGTTTCTACATTATTTACATTTGGTTTACTACATTTGGTACACGTAGTCAGATATAGCCTTGCTCTTTGGGACACGATCTCCCAAAAAGGCAGGCTACTGTACTGTACAAGAATTTTTATACTACTACATGTGAACAACATTTCCTGTGACTCCTCAGCGCCTCCAAGGGCTGAGGTCCACAGTTTCAATGTTGCATATCGGTCAATCGGTCAATCGGTCAACCGATCCATCAATCGAAAGGTTTTTCAAACCGATAGAGTGTCGAGCGAATGGGCATCGTCGGACATGGAGCTTTCATAAGAAAGTCGTCGAAACTTTTTCAATGTGCCCAAATCAATTTCAATGGACGATGGCTCTGATAATGATCCAGGATTTCGGGACTGCTCCAATAGAGCAATCGCATTGCACAAGCTCTTGTTGACCAACAAGTCTTGAGGTGAAAAGGCTGCGGGAGCATTGCAAATGGGACAAGGGGCGAGTTGTTCCGAAAAGGCAATTCCGGATACTCCCGACTCAAGCAATTCCGCCACTTGACACAAATCCACACATGACCTGCAAATGGTGTGCTCGCAGCTCTTGCTGGAAATGGGGATATGAGTTGGATGGTTGAAATTGGAAGAAAAATAGTTGGCTTGGCAACAACCGCATAGCAATGCATTGGCTTGGACTTTAAATTCTTCTTGGCTTGATTGTTTGGAGCGAGCTGTGGCAAAGTATTTTTGAAGACGGGGAAATACTTTCAAAAGTAGTGGTGGAGGAGAAATTGGAGTCTCTTGATGATTAGACCACTCTTCTCCCAGTCCAACCCCTGCAAGGGTTCCCCAACCCGGCAACACCATGGATCCTATTGCGCTTCCAAAACACGAGTACCAATAGCGAAGAGACTGTTGGCAAAGCATTTTCCAGGAAGACTTGACCCAGGTCTGTAGGCACTTTTCTTCCGTTTCCGTATCCTTTCTTATGACTGCCCATTTGTATTCCTTTCGTTGGGCCATGCCCAAGGATACTTGTCCCACTGTCAAATCCGCCAAATAGAACAAGAGATTACTCCAGACTGTAATGACAAAAGCATTGGCTGCAATAGAAAGCGGACCGCTGTCCTTGCTGGCGAGGGACTTCACTCTGTGATAAGGATGCTGTGACAATTGAAGAACTGTGGCTTCTGAGCAGAAGGTGGATGCAAGGAACTTGTAAAAGGACATGGTCCAGAGCGTGGCTTGATGCCTTGCAATGAATGGGAGAATGCTATCTTTCCACTTGGACAAGGGCCACTTCCAAGGCGCGTACAGGGATATTATTCTGCCACTACTGAAACCACCTCTTTTACATTCATTGTAAATCCGTCGAGCAAGGATCCACTGCTCACGAAGCAAGGCACATTGCAAAGCCTGCGCAGTGGGAAAAAATGATTTGAGACGAATGAATCATCATGGATTAACTGCCAATCATTGGCGCATTTTTTCCATTAAACTTACCCCAAAGAAGAAGCTCTTTTGCGTTATAGCTGTTTCCTTCAAAGACCGAAGATTCCGTTCAGCAGGCGGAAGCCACATTGTGTTTTCCCATGGACGAATTCGAAGGGAAGGTCTACGATTCACACAGTTCAGCGTCGAGAGAAAGTGGTAGAGAATCCCCATGTTGTCACTTCTGCAGACAACGCACTATCTAGAAAGCATTGTCTGGATTTGTAGCAACTTGTGGGTTTTATCAACGTGTCCTCACAACTCGCCGTTTACACCTTGCGCTGTTGTGTAATAGGTGATAGCAATGAGAAAACAAGAACGGACAGCGAAATGTGACGTGGGCGGCCAGAAAACGAACGGCGAAGGTCGGCCAAACGGACCAAAATGAGAAAGAACTTCGATGAAAGCAAGCATGAACCTGATGGCATCACGAAAATACAGAGCACACCAATAATTTATCATAACAGCTAGAATACTTGGACCCATGACGCTCATATTGGTATCGTGAATCAGTGCTGCAAATTACAATATTGGTCTGCTGTTATTGCGCAAAAGAGCCTTATCAATGAAAAAGTAGCGATCCAAAAGTAGATAGGACAGTGTCTCCCCTACTCTGTGTATTAGAGGCAATGAGCCTGCATACTTTCTCGTTTCATCCAAACTTGCACGTCTCTTCCATCTGTTGAAACTAGCAAAAGTTGCTTAGTATGTGAAACCACGACTGTGTTGAGTATCATTTTTTTGTGCTTTCAGATAGTCGTTCAGTGATTTCAATATCTTTTGAAAATTCGAAAGGACGACCTGTCGTAGCATGTGGGCGTTGCGTGCCAAAATTCGATGACAGAGTACAACAAAGTCTGGATCCACAAGTTTTCTTGTAAACTTATTCTCCTTGACCTCTTCTCCTTTTTCATTTTTGGTAGTGACCACCTTGTCAATTACTAGATCGACCACAGGCGCCAAAATATTCGTCAACCGTGGAGTTACGGTCGAGGCAATCTGATCTTGACTAGCGCCTAATTCGCCACTCAACAAGCTTACATTCTGGTCGGAAGCTCCACTCCGATCGGTACCCCACCTGTAGCAGGCAGTTGCCACACAGCATACCAGTAGATTGAATTCTTCCAAGATGGCTTGAAGCGTAGCCGCCCATTCCTTAATCAGAGCCTCGTGCAATTCTCCTTTGGTCAGACCAAAGGTATCATCGGGTATCTCTGGAACTTTGGCTGCCAAGCCCTGCATCTTTGCCCTGATGTCATCTAGGGAAAGCGGACTGAATCCTTCTATCGAAGTGGACACGCCAGTGTCTTTCGACTTTTTGCCGGAAGAGTCTCCCGAGTCTGAAGCTTTTCTCTTTTTGCCAGTTTTTGGATCAGGCATAGCTATTGGTCTATAGTGAGAACTAGTAAGGGATGAGGGTTGTTGGAGGGGGCTTGTAGAAGCTGGATACCTTGTGCTATTCTATTGCTGAAATTTCTCGTCTTTCTTTTGAGATACCAGTGTAGGTGTCTCGATCCTTGGTCTCGCAACCACTGCCCCAAAGTTCCGGCTGACAGACAGACACAATCATGAACGAACCTACAATTTTTCATACCGGTACTGGTCCAGTAGGTATTGAATTTTGCATCCAAGAAGACAATGAGCTTGACTTTCAGTAGTTAGGCTATTTATTTATTTTATTGGATTAGGCTAGGATAGGTTAGGCTAGGTAGTTGTATCTATTTCGGTCTTTTGGGTCTCGTTCCATGTATTCTCGCTCAATCAAACTTTCAATTCGCTTCTTCACATCCGTGGGTTGGGCTGGCACCTTGACCTGCTCCAGCACCTGCGGAATCAGGTGCTGATGAAGAATGGTCTTCCGCGCCTTCATGATTCTGACCAAGACTGCATCGATCAAATACAAACGATCGCGACTGACACCTTCCACAGTTTTTTCTCGTTCCTCCTTGGTTTCCTTCATCAAGATATTGGTGATTCGTATTCTTCGCTGGTTCGATTTGAAGCCAGTATTGATACGAAAGGTATCGTCATCATGAACCGACATTCTCTTCTTTTTCTTTTCGCTAGCATCACTATCTCGCTTCTGAAGGACTCTTGTTCCTTCCTTGCCCATGGACAAACTCTGTAGAATTCGTTCCAGTTCCTGGCGGTCCTCGAGCCCGATGGCTGCCATGAGTTGCGGCAGCTTCATATCGTTTCCATTATTGAATTGCACCAGCACCAAAGCCTGGCACAGACTAACCAAAAGGCTGTATTTTGGACCATTGTCCTTCGGTCGGAACTGAACCGAAACGTGCCCCAAAAAGTACTGCCATGTCATTCGGCGTCCTTGGTATTTCGTCCTGTAGTAATCCAAGAAGTGTTCTTGTTTGTCCTTTAGGTTTTGTGGTAGAATTAGGTTGGGGTATTGCGGGTAGACTGGCCAATATCCCGTAGTCAGAACTTGAATGTCCATATCCAGCTGATCTGTAGGCCCATCACTAAACGTTGATTGCTTGTATCTTGTCATGGTTTCTCGACTCCAGTCCATGTCTTGGAACATTCCCTCCATCTTGGCCGTGTATCCAGCTCCACATTCCGCCTTTAACAGTGAAACGAAATTCCGTTCCACATCCATGCTGACGATTCGGTTCCACAAGAGACGCTTGGCAAGATCCTTCTTGTAGAATGCTTCAAAGATATCCTTCGCTTGAAGATAACAGAAAACACCAGAAATAATCTTGGATGCCCAATTCGAATCAGGTTGTTGTTTCTTGGCATCTTTCATGTGGACATCGACATATTTGGCTAGAGCCTCCGCAACGACATTGGTGTCATTGTCCTCGGGAGGGTTCACGACATCCTCCCACACATGTTTCAGAGAACAGTGTTCCGCACCGTGGGGAAGACTGGATATCAGTGTCGATAGTTCACTCTGTAGCTGAAGTAATTCGGCAATTTTTTGCTTTCCAACCTTGGAATCACCAATTGACTTCATCATGGCGAGACCTCTAGTCTTGGCATACTTGGAAACAGCACCAGCAATAATCTTGTAGCCACCGGGCAGTCTTCCGCACAGCATCCACAATTGTTGAATCGCCGTTGGACTGGCCGCCACTGCCGACTTGGTTTCTTCCACCAGCGGATCGAAATTGGAAGGTTTCAACAACCATTCATCATTGAGGTGCGGCCGGAACAGATTGTTTTCCAACAGTGTGACACAGGTGGACTTTGGCAAGAAGCGGCTCCAGGTATACGCCACGTGCATCCATTTGGAATGACAATACGCAATGGCCGCATTGGCGCTGTAACTATCCGACTTCATTTCTTCGGCTTTCGCTTGAAAGAATTGAATCAGATCCGGTTCGAGTCGTTTGGGCAAAATGTCTGCCAACATGGCCAAATCTTGCCACATGTAGAGTGTTCGCTGAAGCAGCGTTTGCTGTTCCAAGCCAAGATTACCGTCCCAATCTAATTGTAAATCTTCCCACCATCGCTGATAAATTTGATCATCTAATTGAAATTGTTGTAATCTCATTCGAAATTGTTCCAATCCAACTTGCCAGAGACCCATGGTGGCACTGGCATTGGTTGGATGATGATGATGATGATTCAGTTGTCCACCGTTGGAGGATGCATTTTCCCCAGCCGCTCGCTTGACAATCTCTCCCTCCACGGTCAACGCGTGTGTTCGATCCAGAGGAAGAAAGACGTGTTTGCAGAGCAACAGGTAGTCCACATATCTCTGATATTGCGTTTGGATGTAGGACAGCAATTGGGATGTCTCCGCTCGAGGCAGGACATAAACCTCACAGGCTTTTTGAAAGGTCTTGATCAAGTCTCCGTACAGTCGAGGGCCAAATTTGTGGCTCACCAAGTTGACGACTTGTTGATAGGAATTTTGAAGACTGAGTTGCTGTGCGGAGGGATTGAAAATAATGTTCAATGTCCCATCCAGCAGTTCGCGACTTGTCTTCTCATAGTAATTTTCTGGCAGTGCCGGAGGCTTGGAGAATGGTTTGATGACAATCTTTTTGGGAGCAGCACCATTGCCAGCACGCTTTTTCATCAACGCCTTGCTGCGAGGCATATTGGGAAGATATTTGGTGGATGTGGCGGTAATGACTGGTTTCCAGTGAAATTGGTGACTTGCGTTTGGTGTATGATGAGATTGATTGGAATATCCTGGAACTCTGTAGTGTGAGTGAGTCTATCAAGTGAAGTCAGAGGTGCTCGTAATGGAGCTATTGGAACCAAATTTAGGCTTTATTACTGTAGTGTATTGACAAGCCCTACCGGTACTGGTACCTCTGGAAACGGAACGCCCTTGGACGAGGCGAAACAAAGCACACAGGAACATGAGGAAAAGCACTCGATTTCCCCCGTAGAGTGTCTACTCGGAAATTTACTTAGCGTCGACTTTGGTGCTTTGGTCACTCATATTGTACAAAGAGCTTCTTTAGAGCTTATACAATATCTCATTGCAAGCATACCCGGTAGGTGGTACGTCATCGGCGTGAAAGTTTCATCGACCATCTTTCTCATTCTTTATATCGGCTTTCTCATTACCTACTATACAGTACAGATCCAAAGCACACATATGGTTATGCTACAGTATTATCCACCATCCTCCATCGGCACAGTCTCTACAGTCAGTCGAATCTACATTACCAATCAACAATAAGTTGTTTTTTAAATGTCTGACAATGATAGTAGCACGTCAATAATACAATATATAGAATATAGGAGGTCGACAATTGAACTTCATTTCTTCCTTCTCCTCACTTGACACACATATTCGCTTTCTTCTTCATTTTCTTCTTTTTTAAACAGAACTCAAATTCAACACACCCTTCATGAATTCATAGGTTATGTAGGCAATTCCAGTGCCTGGAATGGTGGCGACGCACGCTGGTCCAAGACCCTTGTACAAGGCAGTGAACCCTTCCTTGTTTATGACGCCAGCGAAGCAATCAAAGGTATTCTTATACAAAACGGGGTTTCCGTTGATGCCTTGCACTTGCAAACGCTTGCGGACGACATCCAAAGGATGGGCGGATGTTTGGGCGGCGGCACCGGCCAAGGCACCAAGTCCAAGAGAGATAATGACAGGAAGTGCCACAAATGCGCCATCTTCGCTCTTCTCCTTCAAAAAGGCTTCAATGGCAATCTTCGAGGTCTCGTAGATCATGAACTCAACACCCACATATGGGAACATGGCAATCAGGGTTGGAGTCAACCCAGCGTATAGACCCCTAGGGCCAACTTCTGCCAGGAGGCCACGAAAGGCGGCACCGATTCCGGCGTATTTTCCTGGGTACATGGTCAACATGGTCTTGACGACTTCAATGGGGTACACCATACTGGAAGCAACCATACCGGCGAATCCACCAGCAACAAGTCGTTCCAACGGTGACAAAGAAACATCAGCATCTTCGGCAACACCCATGCTCTGTCGTTTCCATTTGACAAGAGAGAGCTTGAATTTTTCAAAGGCAAAGAACTGAACACCTCTTGTCGGTGCGACCTTTAGACAGTTTGCCCCATTTCCTTTGAAGAATCCCTTGAGTCCTTCTGATGCCCAAAGACTTGACAACTCACCGACCAAACCCTTGTTCCCTCCTCGGACCATTTGAGCAGTGGCCACCACTTCCAGGGGACTGACAGCCGTTCTAGATACTATTCCAGCAACGGCACCAGCAAGCAGGAAGCGCGTAGTTTGAGCTCCGACCCACCACTCTGCTGCAGCTGTGGAAAATTGATCCTTGAGGTAGACCATGGCTCCTGTGATCCCAAGGACCTTGAGAGATTCCGACAGAGTGCCAGGATCTGATGCGCGAGCAGCACTGGATCCTCCCCGAGGGATCACACATTGCCCATTCTTATTCTTCATGTTAGACAGACAAACATTATTCTCTGGATTATTGCTATTACTGCCAGAGGCGGTAGCTATGCTGGCAGCTGTCCGACCCAGTGGGAGAGCACCAGCATCACTGCCGACGGAATGAGTGAGGGTCAAAAGCAACAATAGACATGTGCTAAACTGACGTCGTCCCCTGTGACTTTTTCTAGATTGCGCCATGGCTGTCATTTTTCCTTGTTTCCTGCGTATGGATGAGACTGCTTGACTTTATATATACAAACTTTGTGAGAAACTTCAGTTAACGAGGCGTCTCCCAAACAGATCCAAAAAAAGTTCGGAATAATCCCAATGCCAAACCATGGAGGTGATGATGTGACGTCTGAGGTGGGGAAATGTAAGCAATGCTACGCGCGCTTTGGAACGGATGACGTACACCCACTCCCCCCTTTTTTTAAGAGGCCCGCCCAGTACATGGCTACTTGATTTGATCGACCCCCATAGTGACCGCATCATTCCCTAAACTTGACGTCTACAAAACTCGAACCCGAAAATCTTCGTTTGCAATCTGGAAAATGATTTTGGTTGTTTTGATTGGTTTCCGAGCTGACCTGGCTGAGCCAAATATGTCAGCTGATATGTCGCCATTGTCTCATGCTAGCTTTTTAGATCTGAACGACCACAAACTGTCGACGTAAAAGCCATGTAGCCGTTATCATGTCCGAACACCAAAATTCAAAAAAAAATTTAAAAATTTGAGCGATAGATTGATTGATTCATTCTTCTTTCTCAGATCGTTAGATTGTCACCATAAACAACCGCTCATCCGTATACAAAGCAACACCAAATAGCGACAACAGGATGACAAGTGACAAAAAGAGACGAAGCTTGTTCCTACTGCTTTCACAGCTTGTGCTTGTTTCTTCATTTGGTCCATCGGTTCCTCCCCAATACAGCCAAGTCCTCAAGGAAGATACCCTTGAGCTCAACAATCCTATCGATGAGAACAGAGCGAATCTATTAAAAGAAGATGCTAGAACGGCAGTCTTTGCGGCTAGTATCGGAATGAACGATACCATGATTCTGGAAAAGTATCGCACCTGGTACAAGAAGCCTCTTGCTGCAGACGGGACTACCGATTTGAGTGACTACACAACCTTTCGTCGATCCTTTCTTCGCAACCTGGAACGGACGCTTAGCCCAGAGAATACTGACGTCGACGAAACTGCTTCCGCCAAAAGCACTGCAAAAACAACAGAAGAGGCTGCTACTGTTGTTGACGAACTCATGGTTCGAAGCGAATATGAAAAATGGCTCGTGAAGAACGAGAAGGAAGCCGACGAAAGTCGGTATCCACAATTTCGAAAGAACTACATTCAGCAGTTTGAAAGGGATCTCAAGGAAGGCCAATTTTTCTCTCTAAACGAGTTTGGAGATTGCACGGAAGGTATGTAGCATACGAAGATGTTTCTCCTTGTAGTTGGAACGACGAATCAGAGCACTCACACGACTACTGGTTTCGTCTTTGACCTTTAGCCGAAGCAAATGCCATCAGGGCAGAGCGAGCAGTGGAAGAGGCCAAAATTGTTGCTGCTCAGAAAAAGGCCGAGGCAATTGCCATAATGGCAGCCAAAGCAGTCGCCGAAGCGGAGAAAATCAAGGCAGAGAAAGCACTCGCCGATGCCCAAGCCAAAGCTGCTGAAAAGGAAGCAGAGGCTAAGGCCAAGGTAGAAAAGGAAGCCGCTGAAGCGAGAGCTAAAGCTAGAGTCAAAGCTACCAAAGAGAAGTCAGCATTTAAGGCTAGAGCTATAGAAGCGGCGGCGAAAGCTGCAGCAGCCAAAGCGGCAAAAGCAGCCAAGGCCCGAGCGGTAGAGGGAGTAGCAAAGGATGAGTTTTCGATGGCTGAAATCAAATTTGCAGATGTACCAGAGAACATCCCAGAGTCAGTGATGGCACAAAGGTACTGGGAATCAAACATGTATACTCCATCGGTTCGAAGAGACATCTATCGTGTCCTACGTAATTCGGCGGACCTAACTGCTGGACTATCACCACAAGAAGCAACGATGCATAAAAGTATATTCTCCGTCGCACTCTTGACTCGAAAGGATTCATTCGGAAATGTGAATGGCTACGCGTTTGTCAATCGCCGTGCATTGGACGGTAGTATCCACAACAACAAGTACACTCCTTGTGATGATTATGAAGTGTTAGAAGCTATTAAGAGCGTGGGTTATCCAACAGAACACGGGATTGCACTTACGGTGGCATTCGAAAACTATCTTTCGGGAGTCGCCGGCAAATGGGGCGATAGTGATGCTGCTACTCTATCGGTCGAATTTCTTGTTGCCTTTACAAATGAGATGACCAAGCGATTGGACGTGAACCACAGAATTCGATCGAGCAAACTATCGGAAAGTGACGTTGCTATTCTCAAGACCGAGCCATTTTCGGCATGTGTCGACATCAAAGCATTGCAATCATATGGAACGTATACGAATGAAGAGCCGGTATGCGGGCCTTCATTGGACCGTGTACTCAGAAGAAAACGGCCCAAAACTCAAAAGAAAATCGTGGAAGCATTGGTAAGAACCCAGTTCGATGCTGATGCAATTGAAGCAAGAGAGCAAGATTCAGCAATGTTCTCCGCATCGCTTAGAAGAGATATCTACAAGGTTCTGCGGAATCCAAACAACATACTATTTGGAGCTTCTATTCCAATCAACGAAAAGACGGATGTGCTGGGAGCTGTTCTGCTTGCACGAAAGGGTGTCGATGGTAGCTATGATACCTTTGCTTTTGCAGATCGCCAAGACTATGAAGCGATGCCAGCATATGAAAAGGAGAATTTTTTCAAACTAGACGACAGGGAGACCGTCGAAGCTATTTCTCACATTGGCTCAGTCAATCCAGTTTCAATTGCAGTGACAGAAGCATTTGAAGCCTATCTCTCACAGCTTGTTGTTGAATGGGGAGACCGCGACGTCGCTCATTTCTCTGTGGAATTTCTTGTTGCTTTCGGACAGGAACTTTCCAAACGGCTGGATATTAACAACCGCCTCAGATCTACAAAGGTTTCTCGAGAAGAAATGTTGCTTCTTGCTACTCATCCTTTCGCCGGTTGCGTTGATCCTGCCGTCATGCAGTACTACCAAGAAGAAAATCGGGTGTAACGGGGTCACCTTATAGCTATAAAGTACATAGCCATTTATAACGCATACATTTATTAATAGGACTAATCAAACTCCATTGAAGATGAACTATTATCATCACGAATTATGATTTATGAATGTGGACACCGTTAGTATTAGAGCAATATTTCCTGTATCAAATGTGTACGGCACCAATTGAGAAGGAAAGTTTGAAGGTAACATGCGATGAGTGGCACAAACGATACCGAGTAATATAGAAAATAAAGAGTCACGAATTATTATATTTCTTTTCTTGTTGAAGGGTAATATAAGATAAAAGACTCAAGAATAATTCTTTTTCTTGCTGCTTTTTGATTTCAACTCAGAGATAATCCCTCCAAATGCCAAGCCCAAGCCAGACCAACCCGTCAACGATAAAGAATGACCCTTCAAGAAAATCGAAAGGAGGACGCTGAGAATCTTTCGCGTGGTTGTAATGGTGGTCACGACGAGCGGGTCAAAATGAGCGATTGTGTAGAAAATGAACGACTGGCCAACTGCACTGCAAGTGGAAAACTTGATAATCTTGCTCAGAATAACAGGGTTTGCCATAAGAAAGTCGATGCCAGTACGGAACTCTCCCAGGATGATAGTTATAAGCACAGCCGTCAGGCACATGGATAGATTGGTCCAGAACATAAAGTCATATGGCTTTGGGTGAATCCCAATTTTCTCGGTTTCAGTCTTCAACTTTTTTTGGTATCCCGCAGTGAGTCCGTCCATTACCAGAGCAATGATGATATATACGACTCCCAAAAAAGAAGACGCAGCCGTGGGTGCTTTTTTCTTGCCCATGGATACAATTGCGGTTCCAAGGATGATTGCAGCAACCTGAAGATACTGTCGCACGGAATAGGTCGAGCCTCCCAAAAGAAGTTGACCTATCATTACCGGAGCCATCTTTCCACTCTTTGCAAGCGTTGCAACAGGAAAGCTAAGCCCGTTCGCCAGGGCCATGGACGTGAAAGCTTTGGACGATACTTGGGTGACTCCAGAGATCCCAAACATTTTGATTGGAATACCCGTAGTTTGTCCAGCTAAGCGCATGCCTATGAATCCCACAAAGAGATTAGCCAGTGCCTCTAGAACTTGGAGGAACCAAGCTTGAGTGAACCTAACGCCATCTTGCGCTTCGTAGTTGAAGACGTCTTCTTGCAGTGATCCATAATACAGAAACGAGGCGTAGATGCCACCCGCCCCTATCAGCAATTTCACATTGTCTGGTAGTCCTTTAGATGCTGTAGTGGGTGATGGAGAGAGCTTAGGATCGCCCCCTTCGACATCTGAGGTTTTTACTTTGAGTTTCATTGCCCGGGCAACCTTCCATTCGTTGATGAAACAATGACAGCAACAGAGTTTTTGAATATTTTGAAAATTTGAGTAGCCGACTCATCCGAGCCTATGTTTTCGTCTGAGCTTCGTTTCCCAAAATTCAATCCACAAGCACCATCTATAATATCTGTTGTTATTCCTCCATATCATCTATTGCATCCCCTCTTCCCTGTTATTATTAAGTTGTCTTTACTCCAGAGGCTTTCTATATTCATCAAAAGGGATAATAGATACGATGGACAACGAAAAGATTGTCGCTTCGGCTCTAGAAAGCGCAATCCCCCCATCGGAAGAGCACATTGACGAGGATACACATGAATATATCTCATCTATACTATCCGAGGACCCCTTTGATGAAGACACACGTGAAGCTGTTCGTGAACTGATTTTGTCAGCAACGGAAGATAATGATCAAGTGGATGGAGTTGCGCTATGCCAATCGCTGTTCGAGCTCCTCGATCTGGGGAAGGAAAGTGGCTCGGGCCCTGATGGAAAAGGCGAAAATGCGGAACCTGAACTCCGAATGCTAGGCGAATCTGTGACAATGAAAAAACAGGATGTCCAAACATTTGCTTCTGGGCTCAGGGCCAAAACAGACAGCGGAGTTGAACTAGAGGAATCAGCAATCGCATCCTTTTATGCAAACATGATTGATCCTAATGCTTCCGAGGCTGCAATATCCGAGCGTGATCGCCGTAAGGCAAGACAGAAAGAGATGCGTATTGAAATGGAGGAGGAAGAGCGTCAACGAGCCATCAAGGAGGCGATGGATATGTTCCAGGACAATGGTGAAGACGACAACGAATCTTTGATGGAGAAGGCCCAACAAGACAACATGCAAGATGTCCACTTGAAGAACTTTGATCTGCCAAATCTGCGAGGTGGTGGGCCGAATCTCCTCCAAAACGCAAGCTTGACTCTAGCACGGGGGCGCAGATTCGGGCTAATGGGAAGAAATGGATGCGGAAAGGTAAGCATTGTTTAGACTAGATCGCATGTATGAATACTGCTCTGAGAGAATATCTCACCCGTTTTTCGTTCTCTGAACTTACCAATGGAAACAGACTACATTCTTGACATTCTTGGCGAAACGACAAATTGCTGATGCCATCCCCAAGAACATGAATATGCTATTGGTGCGCCAAGAGATTTTTGGTAATGAATTGTCAGCTGTCGAGACTGTCCTGAAAAGTGATGTGAAGCGGGAGTCTGTCAAGCGATACATTGAATGGCTTGAAAAAGAGCTCGACAAGCTTGATAACCCTGAGAAGTATGCTGAAGAAGAAAAGAACGATGAGGGGGCAGCAGAAGCCAAAACTGCATCAGAAAAGAAGAAAGAGTCGAAGGGAAAGCAAAAGTTGCGGGATCGGAAGAAGCAAGGCGCTCAGCAAAAGGCCAAGAAGGCTGTTGCATCTGTTTCGAAGGTGAAGGAGTCCAAGGAAGAAAGGAGAAAGCAATTGAACCTGAAATTGATCCAAGCACACACTCGATTGGGAGAAATCGAGGCAGAGGAGGGTGGTGATCCCGAGCCCCGAGCGAGAAAGGTTCTGGCTGGACTTGGATTCTCCGTGGAGATGCAAGATAAGCCAACCCAAGCGCTCTCCGGAGGATGGAGAATGCGTGTTTCGTTGTCTTGTGCTTTGTTTGCCAGCCCCGCGCTGCTATTGTTGGATGAACCGACAAATCATTTGGATTTGGAGGCTGTTCTTTGGCTCGAAAGATACCTGACAAAGGATTTCAAGGGTACACTGGTTGTTGTTTCGCACGATCGCCATTTCTTGAACGAAGTTGTTACTGACGTGGTCCATTTTCACAAGGATACCTTGACGACGTACCGTGGAGACATTTCAAACTTTGAAGCTGTCCGTGCGGATGACAAGTTGCGCCAGGAACGCCTCCGAGAACAGCAGGAAGCAAAGCGAGCCCACTTGCAAAAGTACATTGATCTTCATGCTCAAGCTGGGGAGAACGGCCCGAAGGCCTCTCGCCAGAGAAAGTCGAAGATGAAGAAGCTGGACAAACTTGGTGTCATGTCACAGGATGGAAAGAAATGGAAAGCGAGCGACGGTGTTGATGCCGAAGAAGTAAGTTCCTTGCGATGTGCTGCATTTGAATGAATCCAACAATCGGTTAGCTCATCGATTTGTGCCTTCTTTCTGTTGAAAGGTCGAGGAAGTGGAAGAAGAAGAAGACGTGACTTTGATATTCCCTGATCCTGGTTCCTTTGACAAGGATATTATTCGACTAGATCAAGTGAATTTTGGCTACTCTGCTGAAGATGTCCTACTACAAAATGTGGATCTTACCGTGAACATGAAATCCAGAATTGCTCTTCTCGGGCGAAACGGATGCGGAAAGTCCACCTTGATAAAACTCACAGTTGGCGGGCTGGAACCATTGTCAGGTGCAGTCAGGATTGACCCTCGAGCGAAAATCGAATACTTGGCACAGCACCAACTTGAACAATTGGATCCAGATGGTACCCCAGTAAGTTGTTCTCGTATGAAGTCTTACACCTCTCTCGCCTTGCAAATGTCTAAATTTTTTTTATATTTACCAGTTGCAAACAATGGTTGACCGCTATCCAGGAAACCGGAGTAACACTCACATAGGAGAACTTCGACGTTACCTTGCCAACTTTGGACTGGGAGGCGAGATCTTACCAAACCAGAAGATTCATACCATGTCTGGAGGACAAAAGTGTCGACTCTGTTTGGCTTGTGCCATGTACCGAAAGCCGCACCTATTGATTCTGGATGAACCTACAAATCACTTGGATTTGGAAACAACTGAGGCCTTAATCGAAGCAATTCGCGGATTCAATGGTGGGGTGCTACTTGTCAGTCACGACCAGCACTTGTTGACGAGCGTGTGTGATGACCTTTTAGTGGTCGAGAAGCGTCGACTTGGAATCCTCCGAGATGGGAATTCCAACAAAGATGCCTTTGAAGCATACAAGCGAGCCGTTGTGGCTGGGAAACGGTAGACGCTAGCTACGGAAGAACAATTAAAAGTCTTGTTGAGCTTTATACCATGATTTTGCTCCAATTAACAGCATTAGAAACGTTAGGAGGGAGGCCGATAGCCCGTTGTCGGGGCACTGTTGGCACTCGGAGCTGGTGCATTGCTCCTGGCCGTGCCAGCATTGTAACCCGCACTACCACTAGTCTCATAAGCGGCATTGTTGCTGTAAGCATTACGGCTATTGTCATATGTATTCCCCGTGTTGCCGTAAGCGTTGTTGCTCTGACCTTCGAACATCGGAAATTCAGGGTCGTCTTCGTACTTTTCATTATCGGGGTTGAAAAGGACAAGACCAACAAAGATCGCGCCAATCTCGTAAATATTGATATTCTTCACCAGCAAGCTCTGTTTTGTCCTCAAGTATGTCACGCTTCGAGGTGGTCCGATGAACTGAACGTCGGATAATTGGTAGTACAAATACCTATGACAATCAAAGCAAATAGTGTGAGCGCAAGCACATGACAACGTTGGGAAGATACACTTGTTTCTTTTCTTAAAAAACGACTTGCATTTCAGCGTCTCGGTCGATCAACGGGCCTGCGGTCTCAAATTCGAAGCCTTCGACATATTTCCACGGCAAGGACTTGTACTTGACAGACTTCCCGGTTAATCCCTTGGTGTCCACAACGATCATCCTTCTATTGGTGTACACGTCAATATCTCGTCCAGATTGGAATGCTTTCAGCACTTTTTCTTCATCGAGTAGTAGACATGGATCGGTGCGGAGTTTATTTTCCACTTCTACTTTGTCAATTTCCCAGGAATTTCCGAGGATTCCGAAACTACTGGCTTTTATGGGATTTGCTTCACGGCTGCCGCTATTGTAATTCTTGAATCCCAAATCCACTTTTCTGTCGCCAGGTTGTCCAATGATCAATGCCGACAAGAATCGATTGATTTGGGCAATGTCGCATCGTCCAGTTCGGAAATCCATGTCAACTTTAGCAATGTGCCATCTGTTCTTTGTGTACAGGTTCAGTTTCGTATCCGTATCCCAGTGTCCTGCAGTCTCCACCGACCATGCCCGGATTGACTTGTATGGGATGCTAGTGTATTCGACTTTGTGCCCAGTCAGACCTTGCACATCCACTGTCATGATACGGAGATTGGTAAAGAGGGACATGTCACGCCCAGCCTTGAATGCCAACAGGACCCGTTCATCCTCCAGAAGAATCGGCGTGCCAGCGTGCAAGGCTTGATCGACCACAGATGCATCGATTTCACTTTGATCGGACCCAACATACTCCAGCATCTTTCCAAACATGGACGTCGGTCGGCTGTAATTGGAACCAGTTGACATTGGAATAGGTGTTCCAACTTCCATTTTGTTGATCAAAAGCAATCGCCGTGACATGTAGTAGTTCAGAGCATTTATGTCGACAAGGTTCTTGTTGAAATCAAGTTCACTGAATTAAAAGATCAATTTTGGCAATGTAAGACTTGGGACCAAGTTAAAAATCATTATGCAAACGATTTGACGAGACTTACAAGAACGACTTCCATGGACGGGGTGGAACTGGTGGCCTATCATCACCACCTGCTTCGCCAGGATAGAATGCCATTTCGGTGTAGAAACCGATTTCAGAGTCCCAGTCTAGGTACTTGCCGCTCGACGTGGCCGAATGAGCCACAATGCTTCTCCACGGCAACGAAGTATACTCCACTTGCTTCCCCACTAGACCTTTTGGATCAATAACAATGACTCGCAAGTTTGTAAACATGGTAATATCTCGATGGCCCTTGAATGCCATTTCCACTTGTTCTCGCTCCATCAAGAGTGGTGGGTCTTGATGATACTGTCGGTTCATCTCGACCGCATCCAAAGGGCGTTGGTTGTCCCGAAACCACCAAAATCCCTTTTGATCCACATGGGATTCTTTCAAGTCCAAATCGGCAAATGGGGCTGGTACATTTCCCAGTTCTCCCAACAAGACATGGTTGCACATGGCCTTTTGAATGGCAAACAGATTGCACTGAGTTTTGCGAAAGTCTTGTTCAATGTATTCCATTCGTAGAATGTTGGTGTACAGTCTCATTTCCACATCGCGGTCCATAAAGGCACCAGCCGTTTGTACTGAAAATGCCTTGATACTACTCCAAAGAATAGAGATGAATTCAATCTTCATTCCGTATATCCCTTGAACATCCACCAACAGCACACGATAGTTCGTCAAGGCAGTATAATCACGACCACTCTTGAAGATTAGTTCGATCCGTTCGTTCGCCAATAGAACTGGCATCGTGGTCTTGAAGATTTCCTCGGCCTCCATGGCATCAATTTGTTTGGCATTATCACTAATCAAATCCCAAAATTTGCCTGCCTTGCTCTCCTTTTGATCCATCTTGGGAGGCGTCGAATCAATTTTATCCTGCAGCTCTGGGTTCTCTGCTTTGACCACAAAATCCATCACCTTGGAATTCAAGAATTGCTGAAGTTGATAAATGTCTACATTGGCTGTTGCGAAATCAATTGACGCCTTGGGAACTCCGGTTGACCAAACTGTCACTTGAACATCCCCATCAAACTTTCCGGCTGTCTCAACCTTGAAGGCTTGGATCGAAGCGTAAGGAATGCTCTGGTAATTCTTGCGCTTGCTACCCACGCCCTTGCCATCTTTGATTAGAATCCGGTGGCTGGTAAAGTATTCCTTGTCACGGCCAATTCCACCGCGATCTCGAAAGGCCAGCTCCACGCGTTCGTCCTTGTGGAGGAGAAGAGGATACTTCTCACGAACCTTGCGTTCTTCCTCTCCCGCGTCTTGCTGATAGGCATTGTCAAAGATGAAATCGTAAACGACTCCCATGGTGTAGTGTTGGTAGGAATGGACAGGACTTGTCGTGGATGTACCTACAGTAGGGGTCTGGTGTATACTATGAGTGTATTAATACTTGTGTTGGCTAGACCTTGGGAGTCGGAATGAATCTTTCGGAGACTTCGTTTCTCAACTGACAGACACGCGGAAATAATTGTCAAAAATGTCCGTGATATTAATTTTAACAGAACATCCGCCAGTCACGGAAAGACGAGTCACGTGAAAAAACCAACTTTCGACCTTAGCCCATTTTTAATATACCGTATGACCATTTTCATCATAACAACCAATCAGACGTCTTCCTATGACCCTTTGGGCCCACTGTATAGGGTCAATTGCTTGGTATGTACCTAGGTTCGACCAGTGGCACAAGAATAGGCTATTGGTAGCACTTAGATGCTAAAAAGTGACTTTTGTGCCATTTTGTTTCGTCTTATTAGAGGACGGCAATGAGGATTGGTGAGCTACAAACCTGCAGCTAGCTCAAAAGTGTCCTATTGGTGATATAGATGGGCAGTGGGGACTTTCACACTAGGCTAGAGGGACATGCCAACTCGAACAGATGCGGTGTATTTTCAATGAAATGTTAATTCTGCATCCAACACAAAACACCTCCATCTAGTATTGCAAGTGGAATGATAGTTATCAACGATTATAAGTTTGTCCTCTAATAGTTAGTAGCACCGATGGTAGTGTTGCTGAAGGGATTGTACAAATACATGGAAGGTATCAGGATGCATCTGCGTCGTGACTTTTTCTTGAACTCTGAGGCCAAACTCTCCAGTGATGCAAATGTGACCTCCTGTATTGTTTCCACCTATGGACACAAATCTATTTGCTTTCATACTATCTATACGAGCATAAGAGATCATCGTCACCTATCTTGTTGCCATGATAGTCGTCCTTCAATAAGACCCACACAAAAATGGCATGAAATTGTATTTTGTTGCTCCCAAACGAAGCCGCCTCTGTTCGAGTTGGCATGCCCCTCTAGCCTAGTGTGAAAGTCCCCACTGCCCATCTATATCACCAATAGGACACTTTTGAGCTAGCCGCAGGTTTGTAGCTCACCAATCCTCATTGCCGTCCTCTAATAAGACGAAACAAAATGGCACAAAAGTCACTTTTTAGCATCTAAGTGCTACCAATAGCCTATTCTTGTGCCACTGATCGAACCTAGGTACATACCAAGCAATTGACCCTATACAGTGGGCCCAAAGGGTCATAGGAAGACGTCTGATTGGTTGTTATGATAAAAATGGTCATATATTAAAAATGGGCTAAGGTCGAAAGTTGGTGTTTTCACCATTTCTCCACCTTCCATTTCGCCGTGACTGGCGGCGGATGTTCTGTAAAAAATACATGAGAAATGTCCGAACCATTTGGGCTACAGTATTGGATACGCTGTAATAAGACACGACTGATGCTGCCAGTATACTCTTTTATTAATATCACCACAGTAGTATTAATAAGCTTCGTTGGAACTATACCACTACTAGTATGGTCACGTCAAATTTGCAGGAGGCGGGGCAATGAATGTCATCCATCGTTTGCCGGTGCCATCATGATTCAATAATGTAGGATGCTCGACCCTAATGCTATGCGCATGCAGGCTATATCCACAATCCCGGGGCAAAGTAACACGCTTGACCAACCCGTCTTTGCGATTGCAGTATTGTTTATCATCATCGTCATTGTCTGTATCCATATCTTCTTCTAATTTGTTGGGTTTTGGATACCACCGCGGCGTATCGTCCGGAATGCCTCCATGTAAATACAATGGATCTCCAACTAAAGGATGTCCCGCGTAGGCCATGTGAATGCGTATTTGGTGCGGACGACCAGTGGGTATCTCCACATCGGCTACGGCATGATTCGTCTCGGGGAGGCGTCGTACGACTCGCACCAAGGACAAGGATGGTTTGTTCGGGGTCTTCTTTGTTCTGTTGCTGTTGTTGGTGCCAGTGTTGGAGTTACCAGTATCATGACAAGTAACATGATTACTAATAGAATCACCACCAGTAGTACTATCTCTATCAGGGCACGCCGCATAGATGGTGCCACCACCTATCGGAAACTTGACTGGCCCAATGGGACAATCAATGCGCAATTCGTCTGGTAAGGTATTAGCATTGGTCACCAAGGCCCGATATATTTTGGTGACACGTTTGTCACGAATGGCTTCAGCCAGATGCTTTCGAGCCAAAGGTGAGGTTGCAATCAAGACAATACCCGAGGTTCCCACTCCCAATCGATGGACCGGTTGTGGTGGTGACGCATACGTGACAAGTGAACTGCTCTGTTCCGCGTAGTGCCGCAAAGCATTCAAGATTGTATAATCACACACCGTTTGCGAATGCATCGTGGGAAGACCACTGGGTTTGTGGACGACCATCATGTGTTCGTCTTGATAGAGTATCTGCAGCTGGTTGGCATTGGGTATTCGTAACGCGTTTTCTTTGCTGTATTCGACGACATTCACCACCGGTTCCCTCCACGGTGGGCGATGATACGAGACGACCATTGGGACAAGACGATTGGATCCTGCCTCTAGTGTTTTTGGTAACATTGGATAATCTGCGTTTGTCACAATGTGATTGTCAACGGATATTTCTCCTCGAAGAATCCGCCGTTTCCATGCGGCCCTGCTAAATTTCGACGACGATGCACTCAGATAATCAAGGAGCGTAATAAAACAACCTGTGGGGTCATCTTTATTGTGTTTGCTTTGACGCTGATATTGGTAGGTATATTTATAGATGCGACCATTGTTGAGGCGGTAGTCTTCGTTTTCATCGCCAGTTTTAACATTTGTTGCTGCCATTCTCTGAATGTGATGAGTCTATTTTGAATTTGCATCAGGTCGGATGATTTCAGTCGGAATAGTCAAAACGTCCGTAATGTGAGACTTGTCCGTGAATGAGGAAAACGAACAGATTTTGCACCTCTTTTTCACAAATCAAACCAACCCACAATCCTCTACCAAACTGGTCGAATGCCGTTCCATGAAGTTTTGTTTGTTTTACCAAACCATTTCAACTATGCTGTTTCTATGACACCAAGACTGGAAATGCCTGGAGGAGGTGATCCTAAAGTGCATTGAGTTTTCCTTGCTGTCCTTGACACAAACGCAAGGATCCACAACATTTTGCAGTCGTCGTCGCCATGAGCCACCTTTTGAACATTGCCGTTCGTGGATTGGACTTGGATGCCGAGACTTCGCCACCACCAAACAATGATGAAGCCAGCAACAGCATGCTCTTGCAGTATCATTCACCACCATCAGAACAAGAACAAGCCTTTCTCTGTCGTAGTCAGTCCATCAAACTGCGAAATCCTAAACGAAATCACCATCGTACTAGACGAAGTGGTGGACGATCTTCCTTGGCCTTTCAACGTCGACCATCCGTGTACGCACCCATGAGACTCTCTCCCACTTTCAATGGTGGGACAATGGACGAAAAGGAGGAAGTCCGAGATGATCATGATACCTTTACTACTTGTTGTGAAGATGATGATCCTTGTGTTCCCTATGACAATCAAAGACAGGAACGCCTGGATTTGCTTCGAGCTCTTGCATCCAAGTGTGAGAATGGTGAAGAACAAGGAGAAGAAGCAAAGAAAGAGGACGTGATGCAATTCAAAGGAAATGTTCAGCATGATGCCTCTATCCGACCAGTTTTCAGCCGCTCTCATTCCATGGACCCTGGACTCTTGCGTGGTGGACGTGGACGAGAAGAAGATCAAGGAGAGGAACAACCCAGTCACAAAGCAGCTGCTGTATTGCGCCGTAGTCAATCGTTGGATCATGGCCGTCGTCGTCGTCGTGGTAGTCAAAACAACAGCAACAACAAGAAAAAGACAAAGTCCAATCGCAAGCGCGCAAAAGTTCCCAAGGTATCTTCGATTTCCAGCGTGGATACCATCATGATGGAAAGCGACATTTGGATTGAATGCCTTTGGTTCAAAAAGACCAAAAACAAGAGCAGTCATAAGCGAACTGCCACCAGACGAAAAAAGACCTACTTCAAATCCTTTCGGACTCAAAGATGCTTCAAGCGACCCCCGGATGGTGCGCGCACGGTGCTGTATCTGGAAACCTTTTCTGATTCGGACGAAGACTACTACTACTCTAGCAGTAGTAGTAGTGGTAGTGGTAGTACTACCATTTGCTTTGGAGAACAAGTAGATGACTGCTACGATAGTGATTGTGGAGACAGCATGGATTGTTTGTATCAAGACTATACCATTCAGCGAGAAAAGCAAGAGTGTTGTCCCATGAAGGTACCAGGAGTGATTGTGCCAGTAATCAAAGCACGTAGCATGAAAAAGAAAAAAAAGATGATGACCAGTACTACCAAGACGCAACGTCGCATCCGAAAGCGATGGAGAGCCTTGATCCGATTGTTCTCGGTTGTGAAACCCACGAAAGGATCCTTCTGAATAGTATTGAAAGGTACAGTACCCTGGTACTGTTTTGCCGAGGAATCATGTGGTACGAGGGAGCAGTTTTGTTCGGCCCAATGTGTAAAAAGGGAGACGAACTAGTTTTAGTCAAGGGTAAAGTCTGTTATTTAAAATTGTAAAGATTTACAGGCCCAATCCAATGCGTGCATAGTATGGGCCAATCTTTTCTTTTTCCTTTGCATTGCCTTCATCGTTTTGCAGCCGAGTTCCAAACCTCGACATTTTCGAAGGGCTGGTGCTACTATCAAAATGATTCGATTTGCCTTTTTATTTAATAGAGGAGAGGAACAACCTCCCCAACAGCAAGTCTTGTGTGTAATGTACGGCGACTTTCTTTTCCCTTGGAATTCCCAGTGTTCCAAACGACAAGCACATCAAAAGTCGTCATCAATTTCAAAGACTCGCTCCACTTGCACGGTGGGTGTTTGGAATCCACTATTATTTGATTCAAGCTTGCATCGATTGGCAAAGTCCAAATCAAAGTCCACTTCATCGAATCCCAATACTTGTTCAAAGATGTTTTCCTTTTCTTCTTCCATGGACGAAACAGAAGGCTCGGGACGGACGACTCCTGGAACTTCATCAAAATCAATGGCCCGATGATTTCCCATTTGGGTAATGTCACCATGTTCGTCCAAGACCACATAAAACGGAACTTGTCTAAAACCAAGCAATTTCTTGGCTTGTTCCTTGTGCTTTTGTTCCATGAAATAGTGGTTGACGTTTTGCCATCGCTCTTCCGATTCTCGATCAATAATGTCGCGAGCCCCATCGAGTTTGTCGCAGCAAATGGAAACGAATTGCACATTTCCGTATTTCGGGTCTTGGGCCATATCGTCAAGTTTGTCTAAAGCATCGGGACACCTCGTGCATTTAGTGGTCCAAAAGTCTGTAATATTGCATTGAGAGATAACAAGACAATCAACAGATAGATAGAGAGAGGAGTAATCAAGTGAGACACTACTTGTCGGAACGAGAAAACGTGTGTGCATTGTGAAACACAACGGTAAAACTCACCAATGATTGTGTTTTTTCCCTTGACAACCTCTTGTGTGTCCGAAAAGTCGGCTGATTTGAGACAAACCAGTGGAAATGGTGGCAAACTTCCAATGGTCATGATGAATTTGCAAGACTACGGAAAGAAAGAAAAAGTGATGGAGTTGTGATGGTTTCGGAAATGGCTCGAAGATAATGTGAACGTTGGAGCGCGCGAGCCTTGTCTATCTAGTACTTTGTTTACACAATCTACGTTGGGGGAAATTGGGCGCAGAAAAATCCGGGTACCCCGCGCCAAGGATTTTCCGTCTGTCTGTACACGTGCACACATATCCGGGTTTCCCACGCTAAGAATATTTGGCGTGGTACGCTGGTACTGGTACACGTACGTACCGGCCTGCCTCTTTCAAGAGTGGACGACGACTGACTGATCGGAGCAAAAGTATGAGCGCGAATTTTCGGTCGGCACAGTCCAATAATAGTGGTTGCTTCATCTTGTACTACAGAGCAAACTTCTCATGTAATGTATTGCTATCATACCGTTTTATAAAAGCGGCTATGGTGTTACTATTTTTGCTTGTTCCACAAGGTAAAGGCTTCTCTGATGAATGAATACCGGTACAGTACCTACTACCGGTACACGTACCGTACTGTGCCCCAGCACATTTTGATTTGTAGACCGTCTGTCCGTATGTTATGATCGGAACCGGTCAATCAAGGGTCAATCAGAAGCCATATGGGAGGGTGCCGCTCACTCTATCGGTACCGTATTGTGGCGTACCCAGGGACCGAATTGGGTTTTTCGACTAGTATCATCGTTTTCTGCGTCGTATCAGCAGATCCTCCCTTATGTGGGAAAAAGGCGATCCATTGAAGTGCCATCTAAAGGGTGTACCAGTACAGCATTGTTGTTTTCATTGTTCTCGTCATCCAAGGTGGTACCGTGAGAACTGTTGCTTCTGAACTACCGGTAGGAAACTCCATAATTGTGATAGTACAAGAATAAGTACAATGGCATTGCATGTCATCTCCAACAGTAAACAAGTTGCTTTTTAATACTATACTGTGCATGCATCATGCATGGTCTTTTTTCGATAAAATGGGAGACAAAAGGAGACATTTTCGAGGGGTCCTGTTTGCGACGGAATTCGCTTTTTTTGGTGCCATGTGTCTCAAAAGTGCATGTCTCTCGTCGTTTCAGATTAGATCTGATCATTGCGTTTCGACTGTGGTACTGGTACCGGCAGGAGCGCTTTCTCTTTCTAAAGGTACAGGATTCTGCAGATCTCTATGCAATACATCTGGATCATAAAAGGGTGTTTCATGGTAGAGGAAGAAGGGAGTCGTAGAACTGGCTGCTGGCTGGTGCTTTCATGCTGCATCATGAAAGTAAGCACGGAGTACCAGATACTGTTCAGCTGAATTTCCTTTGCACGGAATTATCTAAACTGAACTTGCAATGGTACCTACCATACCATTCATTGATTATCGATCGTTCCGTGTAAGAGCACGAATGCTGAGTGTAATAGACCTGCTGAGCCATACCGGTACAGCAGGTACTTCTATCACGCGATCAGAGAGTGCTACCGAAATCGCCATTCTTTTCGCGCGGTACCACTGATAGGTAGGTACCACTACCAGGAGCACACAATCATTCGTGCATGGTTCATCGGGTTTAATAAATTCGACCTTACCGGTTTTTGAGAGGAGGATAAGGAACGGCTCATTCCGTCAAGCGCCTATTCCATCTCTTGCGGCATCAACGGCACAAAGGGCTGCCATCGATGGCAGTGTTGCTTCTATCAATTGCATTGAAGGAGCTCCACCCCCATCTAAACGCCGGTAAAACTATTGCTTCCATAAGTCGGTATCAAACCACTCTGCTGCTCCAACTTCATGTGGGTTAAAGTGTGAGCTAACATACAGTAGTAGTAGAATTAAAGAAGAGATTTAATTGTTTGAACTTTTCTGAAGTAGGTAGAGCATGATCGGAGACTTTTGCTTCTTTAGTTTCCTCCTTGAGCCAAAAGTAGATCGATTTATTGGCGCCAATAACCGGTATTGGTATGGTACCAGGTATTATAATACCACCCGCCTGAGAGATCCTTTCTCCGCTCGACCGCTACCAACATTGCATTTCACGTCTGAAGAACGAGTCCATGTACCTCTTGGCCGCGACCATATGTAGTTCGGAACATTTAAAAAAGAAGGATAATAGTATAAAAAGGGGCGTCGTTGATATTCTAGATCAATCAAGCGATGGCAGCAAATACTGTATGATACATGGTCCTGTTGGGGAAATCTGGGGATGTGGAGTGATATGACAGCAGGAGCAGATTGCAACGTTTACTTCTACTGTAACTTGTGCTGTCCTGTCTATGAATACATGCAAGTGAATGTTGTCCTGCTGAGCCTAATCAGCTGAGTTTCTCAATATTGAACCGGTATTTCCCATACTGTAGTTTTGCGGCAAAGCTGAGTGTGAGCCAAATGCATGAGATGATGAGCCACCGCAGCAATGTGAGGAGCGTTCTATGTAATATTTCTTAGAAAAAGCGATCCTTCCCTTTTGGTCACAATTTCTATTCAATTGGTCATGGTTTCGGGCTCTCAGTACAGTTCATTCGCGTTCAGTTGAAGAATGCAATTATCAGTTGTTCCGAAGTTTGTTATTTGTTTTATTTAGAAAATGAAAAAGCTTATCGTTTGGGCTTTTAAAAAAAGAAAATGTGCGTGTCAATATTAGTGTTTGATCGGCTTTGTCGTTCGTTCCGGCTCAAAGCTTTCCACCGTTTGAGCCTCATGACGCATAATATTGCATGGGCGGCGGGAGCCCTTTTCCCCAATTCTCATCACACAATTCTTCAAACAGTGTCATGGTATCATCGATGGATCCAATAGTACCATCCATCCTCTTACGAAGAGACCACGAGGAACCACCACCTCCTCCTCAACAGCAACATGAACAGCTGCATCCTAGTCGGACCAAGCCAAGCAAGAAAGTCTACGATCGACTGAAATCAAATGACGAGAATCTCCAAACAGTAGAATTTCGATATCAACACATCGACCAAAGAAGGCTGGCAAAAGCCATCGCAATCAACACATACCTGAAAACACTAGAGCTTGTTGCTTCCGTGCAAACAGCAGGTGTGGGTGGAGGCTTCTGGAGTCACAGCCAAGGCCTTGCCCGAGAGCCTGAACTCTGCTACTATTACGACGATTACGGGGATGGTCCCGATTCGGATTCAGATAATTGTTGGAATTTGTTCCCGTCTGTCAGGTGGCCGTTTTGCGGGAGCGAACCCGAGCTCGGTCTTGCCTGCGAAATTTATACCCTCTGTTGCGACGGAATTCAACACAATCAGGCTTTGGTCTCACTAAACTTATCACAAAACCACCTGGGAAGCTATGGGGCTAATTGTTTACAACAAGCCCTAGAGCAACATCCATCACTAAAGGTATTAAAACTTTCACGGTGTCAATTGGAAGACGATGGCTTGCGAAAACTCGCTTGTTCTTCCTTGGGAGTGCTGGAAGAATTAGACCTGTCTTGCAATCAAATATCTGATGGTGTCTACCTCGGAAAGTTGTTATACAGAAATCGGAATTTGCGACGATTGGACTTTTCAAAGAACTATTTGTCGAACGTGGGGTGCGAAGACTTTTTGGACGAGCATGGCCTGGGATCTTTGTGCTCCTTGAACCTGGCATCAAATCACATTGGTCGCTTAGGCGCCACTGCATTGGGAATGGCTCTGACCCTTCCCTCTTGCTGTTTGGAAGAATTAATACTGAACGACAATGTTTTTCTGGGAGAAGCAGGTTTGTTGGCACTGGGGACGAAGGGATTATTAGTCAACTCGTCCCTCATCAAGTTGTCAATAAACAACTGCTCGGTTGGAGACGTGGGAGCTGCCATCCTTGCCCAGTGTCTTTCCATGCATCCATGCATACAAGAATTGACACTTTCTGCCAATCACTTGACCATTAAGGGAGCCGCTGTCTGTCTGCAATCCATGTCCACACTTCTCAAACTGGATCTGTCTTGGAACCGAGTAGGCAACGCATGCTACTGTGGTGATCAAGACTTTGATCCCACCGAAGGCGAAGAGCTGGTCGCGATCATGAGAAACTCCAATATCATGCTGAGGGAGATCAACTTATCACATACGCCATTACCGGTAGCGCATCGAAGGAGTCTGGACTTTTGGACTGCCCTGAACCGAACTGGAAGCCGCCGGCTTTTGCGTGAATATAAAGATTATGATTCTTCAGCACTGATCGGTCTGTGGCCACAAGTACTGGAGAGGGCATCGGGTGATCCAGAAATCCTATTCTATTTACTGACCAAGTTCCCAGCAATGATGGTGACACCCTAAGACCAAATTCTTTCATTTTGGTGTACCGGTACACTCTACAATTCTGATTTGTAATCTTAATTTTAATATTAGAACTCATATATTCATATTACTATACACAGTACCTTACCCACAGATGCTAGCTCTCTTTTAGGTATCCAAAGCAGTCTGCCCAATCACTAGGACTGTCCCCAAACTTTTCCACATAATTGTAGCCGAAGGCATTCATCAACTTGTTGTCCAAGATGTTCTTGGCGGCCCACAGCTGACACGGCGTGTATCCTGTTCGTTTGGTTTCCGGATTACCATACCGAATTATGGATTGCAAAAGTCCAGCACCATGCAATGGGTTCTTATCGATTCCATTGTTCCAATTGGCCACATTCCGTTTGTGATGGAACTTGCCCTTGGTTTTTAATCCCGCACAGGCACAGATTTGCGGAACTACCGTTTCGCCGTGAAAGACCAAGTCTTCCATCCGGACAATCAAACGTGGGAATTCGGATGTGCGGTTGTAGACGTACTCGTTGTTCCAATTGTTCCAAAAGTGTGCCAAGGAGGGATGCTTGTATTTCAAGTGTGGTTCTTTGGAATAGGTGACATGAATAGGAACGTATTTCATACTGGCGTATCGGGGATGATCGATAATATCTGTATTGTATGGAATAATATTGGGACATGTACTCTTGTTGTGATCAAATCGAGCATTGTAAGGCTGTCGACATTGGGACTGCGAGGAAGAAGGAGGGATAGTTTGCATTAGATGGCATTCATGGCCGGAAACATTGCCGCTTTCAACCTACCTGCATCCATGTGTACGGATCTCGAACCATTACAACGGGCATGACATTGCTATAGTGCACATCCTTCATCTTTTGAACCTGGTTCGTCTCTCGGAAATAAGCAGGATAGTGCTTTCCCCTATGTATCAGATGGATGAGCAACGATGAGGACCGACCGAATAGTTTAATGTCGTTTATCGATCTGATACTACCAGGTACTTACCAAGGAACTTGCCACAGCGGTGGAGAGACACAATTCTTCCGCAGCAACTCGTGCAAAAAGTTGGTTCCACTATTAAAGTTTCCAGCCACCGCTAGTTTCCACTTCGCCTCGTCAACGCTCTCCCGATAATACTCGCATGTCTCCAACCCCATTACTTTCGGTTCCCCATACAGTTCTTTAACTTCCGACCATTTCGGAAGTGACTGCAACACTTCATCAGTAAAACGCGGGTCGTTAACTGTATCAAATCCTGCTTGCTCCAAGATATTAAAGATTGGTATTCGATCAGGATCCCCATCCGTCCGAGAAGTGATGTTTCTCGAGCCGAAATTGTCGTCGTCTTCCTTTGTTCCTTCGTCTCTCCACACTTCTTGTTTCTCTTGTTTTCGTTTCGCAAGTTTTTCTAACTTTCGATTCATGCTGTTGCCATTAATGTGAGGGTGCCTATGTTTCGAAGGATAATGATTGGCTTCAATCTGCGGGAAATCCACAACATGAATCTTGAATATAAAAGCTGCCATCATTAAGACTGGGAAAGCCAATAGAGCGACTAACATGTTCGGCCGTTTTTCTTGTCGAGGAGACAGGTGATCATGATATTGATGTATACTGTCACCGCTGTTAGGGGCGCTCGAGTATGGGTTTGTCCTTCTAGACATTTTATTTGGAATGGAGTAATAGTTGCAAGTAAATGACTGCGTATTCAATACTCGTACTCGTAGTCATCAAAAACGAAATGAAAAAACTGTTTGACAAAAGGTACTGGTAAAGTCTTATCACCTCACTGAGGATTTTGGTAGATTTTTATCACTCTAGAGTATTACACCGTATGGTACTGTATGCTTCAGCTACTCATCTCGAACCCCAAAGCCAACCCTTACGGTGCCAAGTCCCTTTGAAATTCCTGGATCAGACGGCTGGCTTTCCGCTTATCCCCAAGCGGCTTGTCCCACTCATATTTTGGAGGGACCGTCTGATTCAAGGTAAGTCGATGAAAAATGTCCATAGTCTCATCGTAGGCATCATCGTGCGCCTTTTGTGTCAAACGAAATGCCAAGACGAGTGCATCGTCTGTGTCCTCGTGCTGCTGCTGCTGCTGCTGCTGCTGTTCCGATTCGAGCAATCGGACAAACTCAGGAAACCATTTTGTCAACGAATGGTCGTTATGGTTCTGATGTTCTAGTTTGTTGCGTTGCTCCCACATTTCTTTCGTCCGTTCTGGTCTAGATAACCATACTTTTAAGGATCCACTGTATTGGTGGACTCGAAATGGCCAGCCTTCCGTGATTTGGCTGTAAACATCCCCTTTGCATTTGAAGGTAAAGGGAGCATGCGGATTCTTGACCTTGTAGTCGTCCTTTACCAAAGCTGCATTGACAAGCGATTTTCCAGGAAGAGGCTTTCCACCTTTGAAGGATCTATCAAAACGGTCATGGGAGGTGTACTGCAGCGTATGAAAAGCCTCCAAATCAAAACGAGGAGTTGAGCTGCTGCCTCCGCGTGAAGCAACTTGGCCAAACGGGAGCTGCAATGAGCCATTGTCGAGTTGCTCTTTGTTTTCCACCTTGGAGAAGAACTGTAACCGAGGATATACAATGCAGAGGCTTTTGTTGCTCATTACACTTTCCTTGGTACCATGCTGGTGGATCCAGTGAGCAATTGTCTCGTTCTGTCTCCCAACAAATGAAGGCAACCGCTTTCGGCTCTCGGCACTCAAGACTCCATCATGGATAGTTTTGTTATGCATCAGCTCGGCTGACATAATCGAATTATAGGTAAAGTACTCGTCAGTATCAATGATTACTGTCCAAGAGAAGCCTTCCATTTTCAATCGTTGCAAGCAATTGGTATAAAATGAGCTCTGTCGTAAAAGTTTGGTATCATCAATGACTTTGTCCCCTATTGGTGGCATCTTGTCCAATATGGGATCCTGCCATTCGCTAATCTTCCAATACCAATTCCCGGTCCAAGTGGTAATCTTGAGCTTGGTATGATTCTTCCAAGCGTCCAGAATTGGCTCGGGATTGGTAATGGACAGTGGATCAATGGCCACAATCAGTCGACGCAACGGCATAACTGTATAGTGATAGGCTAGCCACTCTGGTAAAATAATTTTGTCATCTTTTGTGAGTAGACAAGCCGCAAATTCGAATGGATAATAATCTTGATCTTGGTTGTTGTGGTCGTTGGACTGATGGGAATGACCATGCGGATCGTTCCAACCAGCGGAATGCGATTGAAACCCAGTACCATCAGTAGAAGCTTTATTATTCAATACATTCAACTCTTCCCTTTGTGTAAAGGAAAGGATACTTCCCACAACATTCAATGAGTCGTCAAGAGACAGTGATCTGGCCTTTGAAAATGAAATGGCGAACGTCCAACCCCAAATGATCACCAACACAAGCAAAAGAAGCTTCAGCAGCCGACGCCGCATTGAATGAATCAAACCTCGGACTATTGCTGTTGTTAGATGACGTTTGTTGCGAACAGGATCAAGCTGGTCGGCAAGTCATGTTGAGTGGTACCGTCGCTATTATGCGCTTGCAACAAATAAGCCGCACACTTTGATGTTGGAGATACACCGGTAGAACTGAGAATCAAAATCCAACCTGTGAGGTACTTGAAGAGGCCTTTAGACCAAATCCCATCGCAACGCGCCGACACCATAAAACCCCAAAACTATTTCCTTGCACCCAACACATTTGAGAGTCAAACGACGAAAAATATGGCTAAAACAGATAGTAAAAAGGCGACTGGAAATTCATCAAAGAACGGGGATCAAACAATAGAGCATATGGACGAGAAAGCAGCTTCGCCAAAGATAGAGGACAATAACCAAGACAAACAAGAGCCTACCAAATCAAGGCGACGCAGCAGCCGAAGCAAATCCATCACAGATTCCACCGCCGTGGAACCAGCAGCCAAGATGGATATCGATGATGAAGAAAATGAAAAATCTAAAGATTCCCTTACAGATCGTTCTGAAAAAAAATCCAGTCAACAAGCAACGACAACCAAGACCGACAATGACGAGAAACTGTCTTCATCGAAAGGAGGTGCACCTGAAGCAGCAGCTGATCAGAAGAAGGATGAAACCATTTCCGCATCCACTACTGCGGACTCGAACACAAAATCCAAATCCAAAGCATCCACGAAATCAGAACCCACAGAAGATATTTCCAAAACGGAAGGTGCTGCAAAAGATTCAGAGGACAACAAAGCCGACGGGAATGACGACGAGATGCAAGAAGAAAGTGCAGAGAGTGAAGAGGATGAATATAGCGAAGAAAATGATGACGAAGACGGATCAAATGCCACAAGAAAGCGCCAACGGGGAAGGTCTACGGACAGCATTCGTGCCAAGCGGTCTCGAGTCAAACCTACCAATCGTTACGAGCCAGTGGACTTTAGCGTGCCCAAGGAGAAAGCAGCAACCTCCAAATCACCAGGCAGACCGCCCAAACGTTCTGCATCCCAATCAAAGCCAGCATCAACTCCGCAAAAAACCAAAGGGGACTACATCACCGTTATCAAGGGGCAAGGTATGAAATTGGGAGACATTCCAGTCATTCGCAAGAGGGTCGAAGAGTCGGACATTGACAGTCCCGATTTGTACTTGGTCCATCGACTCTTGTATTCCTACAAAGGAAGGGGTTCCAACAAGCTGTTCAAGACGCATATTTTGGAGTATTGTGGGTATATGCGAAAGCCAATGGAGGGTGAAAAGGAGGAAAAAGTAGAGGAGGAAAACGCAGGAAATGAGGTAAGAGCATGGAAATTTTCTTGATAATGATGGTTGATTCTAGTCTCACACCCCATCTCGTCTCAATCCTAGACATTCATGTCTGCCAAAGTGTTCAAGTACAGTATCGAAAAGTTGAAACTCTTTATGGATTTCTTTGAGATTGATCGATCACCCAACAAGGATGGTCCACTGAATAAGGAAGCCATTGTGGATCGCCTGTTGGACTTTTTGTGCGCCCCCAGTCTGGAGTCTATGAATCCAACAGACGATAGTAGCAGTGAAGAAGAAGAAGAAGAAGAGAGTCACGATGGCGACGCAATCACGAAAGAAAAAGAGGAGAAGGACGACTCGAAAACAGCCAAGACAACTGCTGATGACAAGAAAAAGGATGATGCAGCTACGCCAGAGGAACAAGTAGCAAAGAAGGATGGTACAGATATCACCAAGACAGAAGAAGCCAAGAAAGACTATAGTGCCAAGGAAACGGGAGCAGAGACGAAAGGTACAAAGCCAGTGGATACGGAAGAACAGAAGAATGATGCCGAACCTAAAGGAACTGGAGAGACCCCAAAGGACTCGCAGAAATCTTCTGCTACAGCAGAGGCAAAAGAGAAACAAACCCCAAAGGAAGAAAGCAAGAAAAAAGAAGAGAGCAAGACAGATAAAACAACTGGCAACAAGGAACAAGACGAAGGAGTTGATAGAAAGACTGCAAACTCCCAAACCTACCAAGAATGGTGCAAGAAAGCCCGAATCGAAGGAGCCTTCTACTTGGTACGAGAACATGAAAAGGGAGACGAACCAAGCGATGCCGCACTACGACAGTGGGTTCAAGCCTATGTGACTTGCTTTGATATGTCCTCGGCTACCGCCAAGCATGCGATTGAAACAGCCTCAGCAAGGTTTGGCGTCAACTTGGTACATCGCAAGGACCTGATTCGAGAATTTCTAGTGTCCGAAATATAGTATAAGTCAAAAGCGCGTATCAATATAACCTTTCAAAGAACGAATAGGTCCAATGGTCTACTTGTTATCGTTGCTTTAGCAAACCAACAATTGAGTTGGAAATGAAATGGAATCCAATAGTAGTTTGATAGTCACAACAAAAAATTCCCTGCCATTTCCATACCACGAATTGCTTGCTTATTTGACGAAACCTTGCTTTCGTTGTTGATGGTACATTCCGAATCCCATGGCTCCGTATCCAGCGCAGAAGACAGCAAAAAGACCAGCGGCGACAGCAGGACCATTGTATGGGGGATGGAAGCAGAGCTGTAGTTTTGGAACAGATGTAAAAAGAAAGAGGGAAACAAACACCACGTGTCAGCTATAATCCTTTTTTCCAGTATTGTTCCAATGGTAATAACACAACAGCGCCACAGCGCAACAGCGCAACATCCAACTCTTATGTCAACACAAAGTCAAGTCAACTCACATGAGTATCAATCTCGTCAATAGGAGGACGCTTGGACACAAATTCCGCCCACTTGTCGGCCTTGTGCATCTTGGGCTCGGACGACATTTGACGACGAGCCACAGAGCGAGAAGCCGAGCGGGCAATTGTACGAGCAGCAGCAGCAGAAGACATGGTGACTATTGTTGCAATAATGCCAACAGTTGCGTATACTTCGTTTGTTGTTCTTGCTGCAATCCGAACGGTGGTTCTACAGGGTTCCAGTACCATCGTCTACGTAAGCACCGAAGTTGGAAGTTTCCAACGATCTTCCGACGGAGTGACGACCAGACATGATCGTTGCGCGGTCAGCGAGCGATCGAGCTCTGACGAGGGGATGTGCGGATGATGATGGGGAGGAACGATGAACGAGGATGGATCACAGCTCACAACACCAACCTTCAAACGACACACAACCCAGCATTCAATAACAATGGTCCGCGCCGTTGCTTCTCGTGTGGTCCCTCGACAACGAATCTCCAAGGCCATGGCCAAGGAGGCTGCGAGCGAAGCAGCCTTGGCCGAACGCTTGGCACTGAATGCAAATGCCCCCAAGTCCGTCAATCAAATTCCCACGCGGGCTGGAGCTTCGTTGGATGCCGCAAAGGTAGCCATTCGACCCATGGGGAATGCCCGCCGGGTATTTGTCATGGATCCTCACTTGGAATCGGAAACTATGGAAGGATTAGCCTTTCGAATCAAGGCATTGTCCAAGAATGAAGGCATTAATTCCATTTTGATTGGAACCGACGATCAGGACGATTCCTTGCTCAACTGTCTGCCAAGATTTGTCACACAGGAGCCAAACTTTAGTGGCATCTCGCTAGACTTTGAGCCATCGCCAGGGCACACTTGGCACGTCTCGGGAGGGTACGATCCATTGGCAGTTGCAGAATCCATGAGTCAAGCGAGTGCCCAAGAGAAATGCCAACAATTGTTGGACAGCATTCAAAAATTGTCACTGGCCACCAAGGGCGACCAGGGTGATTCCCGAGTTCCAGTCATTACCTTTCCACATGGGATTGTGACAGATGCGGGATACTCTCTCTGCATGGGAGGTTACGTTCTAGCGACAAGAGAAACCTCCTTTCGCATTCTGAATCCATCTCGAGGTTTGTCACTCGATCCAGTTGGTTTCTCCTACATTTTGCCTCGCTTGGGATGGGAACACGAACAACGCTCTTCCAAATACCCCGGCTGTGGAATGATTCTGGCGTTAGCAGGTTACGAAGCCAGTTGCTTTGACATGGTGGAGACTGGACTTGCCACCCATCTGGTCTCTGATTCGGGAGTGTTGCCCATTTTGGAACGCAATCTAGCGGCCATGAATCCGTGGGGACAACAAGGACTAGTTCAAAAACCGAAACACTTCTATGGACAACGACCACCACGAGACGCCAATGCCCAATTGCGAAATGTTTCCATTGCTAATATGATTGAACAAATGTCAGAGCACTCGTCCAATACTTCCAATTCCTTTCCCTTTGACTTTACTGTCACCAATCACGAAGATCCAGCACTGGACACTGATCACGTTCCATGGGACTCTGGCTTCTTTTCCAGTGAGCTGGTGGATATTGCTGCACACTACGATGACATTTTTCAACAAGAAAAGACTCTGGAAGGAATTGTGGAGCGATTGAAGGAGGCCGGTGCCTCCACTTCGGAGAATGCAGACGAACGAATGGGAATTCAAGCGGCCAAGGAGATAGTAGAAAAGATGGAAAAACAATCGCCCTTGGCACTCAAGGTGACACATCAACTCATGAAGATGGGAGGAGGACGTCTGGCGTCCATGGAAAACTGCATGGAACGAGAGGCCCATGCGCAGCTACACTTGTTCCAAAAACCGGACTTTCAAAAATGGGCCGAGCACGTGACCAAGCACGGGGGTGAACAAAAAGCACCAGCCTTTGAAGGGTGGCAACACAAGAGCATAAGTGATGTTTCATCAGGAGAAGTGGACGAGGTTCTAAGCAGTAATTAATTAAAAACGAAAGGTGATAATGATGTACAACATAACAGTTATGAACTTTTCAGTGGTGCCATTTCCCACCTAGCTTCAAGCATTGTGGTACAGCAATCACAAATCTCGTGCGTCTGCAGGAAAGAGGCAGGCAAAATTATGCCTCGTACTGTAGCTAGTATTCGACTAGTACAGCGATAGCATCATCACAATAACTATGATACCGCTTGCAGTTGCTCATCAATTGAAACGGAATCATCAGAGATATACACCTCAGGTTCCGAGTCCGATATTTCCACCGTTCCACTATCGGCAACGTCGTCGGGAATTTCAGGTACACTCGTTTTCGGTGGTGCTGGCGCAGGCGCTGGAGCAGGTGCTGATACAGGTGCAGGAGCAGTTGCTTTTGGTGGAGCTTTGCCGCCTCCTCCTTCTTTTTTCAATTGTTCCAAATGCGATTGACGATGCTTCCAGTGCTCTTCTTCCTTTTCTTCAAAGTCTTCACTGAACAAAGTCTTGTGAGGCGATTCATCCATCCACCAGTGCGGTACACGGGCAACAGGAAGTTGCAATGGGCCCACGAAACCCCATCCCCATCCTTCTACATTGATATCGGTCTTGGCAACAACCAATGATTGCCGCGATGCTCTACGCTCTTCTTCCACCTTGACTTGCCGTCTTGCTTGTTCTTCTTCCCATTTCTTCTTGTCCTCTTCGAATTTCTTTTCGTTCTGTACCTTTTTATTGGCCAAATCTTCAATCATTTGCTCGATCATTTTCATCACTGTAGCTCGGGCCAACATGGACCTCACAATCGCTTGGATCTTGGTGGCCGCCTTAGATTTTTTGGCATCTTCTTCTGCCTTGACCTTTGCTTCTGCATCTGCTTTGGCTTTTGCTTCAGCCTCCTCTTTTGCTTTTGCCTCGGATTCTGCCTTGGCCTTGGCATCTTCTTCCGCCTTTGCTTTTGCCTTTTGTTCCGCTTCTTCCTTTTCCTTGGCCTCCTTTTCAGCCCGTAGCTTGGCTTCTTCTTCGGTTTCTTCCTTTGGCTTTTCTTCAACGGGTAGGCGGCCTACTGTGGTCTCTTCAGGTTTGGCTTCGGTCTCTTCTTCAGCGGGCGTTTGCTCGGTTGCGGCTGGTTCCTCCGCAGGCTTTTCGGCCTCTGGTTTATTTTCCTTTTCATCATTTTCTGCCGGGATACTGGGCGGCATTCCCTTTACTTTATTGTCCCAATTCTTGAGTGGGGTTTTCGGAGTTGTGACATTGCCCGCTGCTGCTGCTGCCTTGGCCGCACGAATTCTCTCTAGGATGGCGGGGTTGGTGATACCGCCCCTGACCTCGCTAGTATCACCCTTGGGTTTGGAAATCTGTTCAAAGGCTGCCAGTCGTGATGCCAGACCACCCTTTTTGATTACACCGGTGTCCCAACCCTTCTTGTATTGATTCGCTTGATACGACATGGCGACAAGAAGCTATTCAATATGCAACTATTTGATTTTGGTTGGTACTGATGCTGGTATTTGTTTCACTGCAATCTCTTCTTCTGGTGATAAAGTCTACAGAAGCTGATTTGAACAAATAACCATGTCGACGTTGACGGGGAAGCTGTCTTGATGTTACAACTCTGCAAACTTGAAACTTGCCAAAAATACATTCCGTTGAGAAGCCTGCCGGATCACTCCTACCGTCAGTCCCTCACTCCGATAAGAATGGCTTTGGGCGAGAAGGACAGACTGAAATTTTGATTCGCTGGACCAACGGTTCTCATTTCCTAGAGGTCCAAATCGGAATGAAAAAATTGAAACTGCAAACCCAAGTTGACACTTTGTTCACTTCGCTCTGCCAGCTACCATTAATTTTGCAGAAACCAAAATCTTTTTCGACCAATTCCAAGTATTTGACCATGCCTGCCGAAGATTCTACACCTGCACAACCCATGTCGACCATGCCGAGAAACCTAAAGCCTTCTCTTTTGCAATCGACAGCTCTTGGTGGCTCTGCCGCCATGTTTGCCGTCAATTTTACGCATCCCATCGAATTGGTCAAGACACGTGTGCAAGTATCCCAAGATGGTTTGCTTCGTACTTGCTCGTCTACACTTCGCAATGAGGGAGTGACTGCTTTTTGGAAGGGAATTCCGTGGGCCTATTGCCGTGAAGGAAGCTACACAGCGATTCGATTGGGCGCTTATGCTCCTGTTCGTGACGCCATTGGCGCAGGCGCCCCAGGAGCTCCATGGTACATGAAGTTCTTTGCTGGAGCTATCACTGGAGCTGTTGGATCCGTCGCTGGGTAAGTTTGTTGTTGCTGAAGTTGCATGAATGAATGCACCCAACGCGATTTTCTAATATTGACCATTCGATTTTTCACAGGAATCCATTCGACGTTCTCAAGACACTGTCACAAACCAACAAGGGAGAATCCAAACCGCTCATGGCGCTTGTGGGACAAATGTACAAAGATCAAGGAATCAAAGGATTCTACCGAGGCGTCAATATCAACATTATGCGTGCCATTGTCTTGAATGCTTCCAAAATGGGCGTTTACGACATTGCCAAGGGCAAGGTCGTCGAAACGACCGGCTGGGCAAGAAACTCTCCCAAGACGGCATTTTGCTCGAGTTTCATCGCCGGATTTTTTATGACTTGTACTGTCGCTCCCTTTGATCGTCTGCGAACCAAGATTATGAACCAACCGACCGACAAGAAAATGTACTCTGGTTTGACCGATTGTCTGGTCCAAACAGTCAGAAACGAGGGTCCTCTCAGCCTGTGGAGAGGTTTCGTTCCCATTTGGGCCAGATTTGCACCAATGGCTACCCTACAATTGCTCACCATCGAATTCCTCTATGCTAGCTTTGGATTCAAGAGTATCTAATGAAATATATTGTATCATACATAAAATAATATTGTATCAGAAGCTACCTCAAGAATAATAGATGCGTTGTCGGAAACATCAGTTGTCCAAGAAAAGATTAGTGCTGCTTGTCTATCTACGAGTACCTATGAGATCTGGCTTCAGCTGGCGTACCGGCAGGACTGATTCCATCCTAAACTCAACTTTTTCTATCTATCTATATCTAATCTGATACCACTCCATCGTATCGACTGCTTCGACTGCTTCGATTTTTCGAAAACGTCGTCTCATTACAATCGCACAATCAACAACTTGACCAAAGGCAATCACCCCGCCTCCCTCTAAGGTAGACTATTCGAGGATACCATTCTATATCAGGTCTTCTGCAAGGATGGAGCTCGATGATTTCTTGTCGGATGTCTTGGAGACGGCTGGGCGCCCAGTGGACCTAAGGGACTATAAACAAGGCAAACTTCTTCGAAGTTACAAAAGGCGCCGACGACAATATCGAATCGGTATTGACCTGAACTCATTGGTGCACAAGGCAGCTAAGTTCTTTGGAGATATGATAATCGATGAACGACCTGTCAGAGAATACGGTACTCGTGGAGCGACACTTCGGAAGAACGCTGAGAACATTAATGAATACCAGTACATTACTCAATGTGCTGAATTTATCATGAAACGTCTGGAAAGGCTTCGAAAAGATAGCGATTGTGAAGTGCTGGTTGTTTTCAACGGCCAAAGTCTACCTATTGAGACGAACAAAGCAATTTGGCTCCGAGGCATTCGGACTGTATACGAGGGAGTCCGAAAAGACGCCAATGTGCAACTAGGAGCCGAAAAGCACTTTGATCAGATTATTCTTACTCTTGTCGATAGACTGAAGGAATCACAATTTGTGTATTTGATTGCACCCTATGAAGCTAGCAGTCAGCTAGCTTTCATGTCAAGTAGGGGGCATATTGACCTGATCATTTCGGAAGATCCCAATTTAATGGCATACGGGGCAAAAGGTGTGGTTTACAACTATATCAGCGGTGATGGATTCCCAGATGAAGGAAGATTGTTGCAATTTGAAGACATAGGAACGGTGAAGGGGAAATTCGACCTATCAGATTTCTCGCCAGTGATGATTGCGGTTCTCATTGTTTCCATCGGATGTGCTGACTACTTCGAAATAACGTTGGGGGGAATTGGGTTAAGCACAGCGGTGAATATCGTTCGAGAAGCATTTTTGGGGGGCTATGCTTCTCCTCTGCATACAATACTGACTAAGCTGCATGCGAAGTTTTGGAAGCGAGACTTGAACGACGATGCGAAGGGGGTTTGCGAACATCGTTTTATTGAAGGGGTTTTCATGTTTCAACATCCAATCGTTTTCGATCGAGTGCAGGGGAAGGCGCTGATTCAAGGACAAAAGGAGATGGCAGCACAATCCACATTGACAATGCATGAGGGCTACGCGAAACTATGCAGGGATGAAGAAGAAAGAAGTCAAGCAATAGGGATAGTGCCGGAGACCGCAATGATGGCCATCGCGGCAGCTACACCACTTCTTGCCCGGCAAACAAGATATTCTAGGAACGCGACTGCGCTCAGTGATATGAGCAACAACGGCACTGACCTCAGGAGCTCAGCAAGGTTTCAGGTTGGATCAAACACTTCTTCTCCAGGATACAGGCAAACTGATGAAAAGGTCGAGTTGCTTAAGCACGATAGTTCGACTGAGGACCAAAGTGCCGCAAGTGATCCCATAATGGATTTCAAATCTGATAGCAGCTCATCGTGTCCAGATGGTCAGATCCAAGCGTTTGTGGCAAGCGTTCCAACTAGTTTCTTGAATGGTGGAGTGAAACAAAAAGACGACTCGGCACCAATGTCTGATGGTACTGAGATTGAAATCGTAGCTAGAGTGGTTTTTGGAACGACAAACGAAGAGGTTGTGAAACTGACTTTCCTCACGAGCGACAGCGACATGGACAGCAGCCAGTCTGATTGGAGTCCGGCAAGATATCAGGTTGGATCAAAGGCATCTTCCCGAAGAGCGACCCAGGACCAATCAGATAGCACCGCATTGCACGCAAAGGTTGAAATTCAAACGTTGGTGGCAAGGGTTCCAGCTAGTCTCTTGACTACTGAAGTGAAACAAAAAGGCGAGACTGAAATCAAAGTTCGAGTGGTTTTTGAAACAACGAACAAAGAAGCTACGAAAATGGCTGTAGCCAGTGATACGAGCGATGACGATTGCCCAATCGCTCTTCGGAGAATATTCGAGAGTGATTTCAAGGCACGAGACAGGACCTATTCAGCCAAATATTTGAAACGTACGGCTGAAACCGTATGGAGGAGAGCGCCCAAACACGTCAAACAGAGCCTTCCGTCAGAAGGATGTGGGAACGAAGAACTTGTCAGATGGAAATTAAAATATTTCGGTGAACAAACCCCGAGGCCTGTTTTTGTTGGAAGTTGCCCTGAACTGCTTATCGACATGCTTCGAGGAGACGTTGTCCGCAAGACGAAATTTTCGCAAAAAGAGCTTTCCCGTTGCATCCACAAGATCTGGAAATGTATTTCCGCCGATGCCAAAGCCTGCCTGCCAAGGGAAGGGTTCCCTGAATATTTGTCAGAACTCAAGAAGTGGAAAGAGCTACATGTGCCGGATGCAGCAGAGATGATGGCTATGCCCTTTAAGCCTTCTGTTCAGTAGGGCATCCGAGGCCGATTGATCACTAGAACAGTCCAAAGGGTCGCAAGATTTGAAGATGGGCGCATATGATCAATTGGATGGAAAACGAATGCCCATCCCATAGGCACTATAACAATCTCATGGTTATGCAAGATTAAAAGTTCGAAGCATCGACTCTATTACTGTTAAGATAGAAGATGCAATGATATGACCGTACCTAGAAATAATCGATCCCAGTAGCCGAGATTTGGATGTAGTTTGTTTCCAATGGATGTCTCGTGATAGAAGCTGGTGTTCCAAGAGTAAGGTCTTCTCACTCCACCGGATTTTTGCAGTCTGCGATTAGAAAGAGCTGCAAAATGGGGCCCAATTCGGATTGGCGATACAATGCAAGGACTGTACAGGATCTTGGATCCTAGTAAGACTGGATCATCATCGGAGCGGCAGCTTTGTCATTGCTGGCTAATCAATGCTAATGGCACTTTCAACAGAGTTACCCGCTTGCGATGGTAGCTGAGGTTGCGACCTTCGAGAAGATGACAGGGCATTCCCCGACCGATGCCTATTGGCCTGCTGTAATCCGGAAAGGCCTCGAGGATGCCGCGAATTGGATGAAATATTAGCACTGGCTATGGCCCGAGCGGTAGCAGCTGCAGCAGCAGCTTCTCCGAGATGCACAGGCATGTAAAACTCGTCATCCATATCGCCAAAGGCAAAGTCAAACGTTCTCCTTTGTCCACCGCCGTTTGGAGGGCGAAAAGGGATACTTTCCATTCTGTGCCCAGTAGAATTTCGGGGCCGTTTGGTTCCAGACCTAGAAGTAAGTTCGACGACAGGGAACTTTTTGAAGAGCAGAAACATCAGAATACCGCATTTCCAGGCATGGGGAGATGATGAAAAATTATACGTACCACCTTTGCATTCTTCGCCCGGTCATGATAACTCTTAACATCATCCGCATCCAGCAGTGAAGGGATGGATACTAGTTTGCTAATCAAGCTATTGAGTTGCATATTCGGAACATGAGACTTCACCTTGACTCGACACTGCGGACAATGGGAAAGCTTGGTGATACAAGCGGCACAGACTGAGTGCCCACATGGATGAATCGTTCTCGAGTTGACTTGAATGTCTAAGCAGATACTGCATTGTAGCTCATCAGATAATTGGATACAAAGCGTGGGAGATACGTTGACTCCAGGCTCACTCTTGGTTTCGTGTGGACTGCCAAGAAAGGACGATGTACTCCAAAAATCCTCACTGTCAAATCCAAGATCTTCTCCCAGAGTGTCAATAACTGGAGCACTGGCACTACCGCTGAGTTCAGATATATTTACTCGGTATTCATATCTCAAGCCGTCCAGAGAGATTGTGTCTCCGCTATTGAGGTAGGCGCTCTTTTGTCCGGGTGGAAAAGGAAGTCCATTTACGTGTACTTTGCACATGACTGCATCTCGTTGAAGGGTGGCCCGTACACCCATTTCGATCCCCGAGGATCTAAGGGCGATTCTGACGACAGATGAGCCGATAGTATTGTCGCCAATTCCCGTGGTTGAGCCGCGCCCCAAATCTATTTCTGTGGCACCAGTGCTGCGCAATTCTAGAGGTTTTCGTTGCATCAAGCCACTCTGGATGATCTCATTGGGATCATCTCGTGGTTCCAGCGTCACCAAAATCTCCATGTTGCGTGCCACAAGTGTCTTTCTCTGTTGCTGCACAAAAAATCCAACTCGAAGACTATAGTGGAAAGCAACAGCAGTCGCGTGTTGCTGTTACGATATATTCCTTGTGCTTCTCCCGGTACGGTAGCTCCTTTTGGTCTGTTCATTCGAATGTGTGAATAACGGTCGTGCATGGCGCGAACGTGAGGCGGACAGACACAAATCGAATTCGATTCTACCGGTATAGTTCATAGGATGTTGTATGAATGATAATGGGAAACTCTCTTTTAGTTGCGCAAAATGTTGCATTAGAAATGATTTGTAGATTGTACTCAATTCCGTTCTATCACCGCTACTAAGTGTATGTTCAAAATGAACGATTAACGATAAGCCGGCTCGTCCTCCTCGTTAGAGGAGTAGGACGACGACGCTGGCTTGCCGAGAAATAGTACCACATGCTCAACGACAATAGAAATGCCACAACCAACTCGACAGCTCTGGCGAGAATCTTCTTGCTGCGCCTTATCAAATTTCTCTTCCATTGGATTCTCATCCAATTTCATTTTCCATAGCTTCAGCTCCAACAACGAGAGCATCTCCGTTTGGACCATAGCGCCGGGATTGTCACGCAGAATGTCATTGATTCTTTTAATTGTGTCTTCTACATGATGGTAGCTGTGGAAGTAGCAGACTCTGTGAAGAGGAAGCCTATCGAATCGGTGCTGCAGGATTCCCACAAGATCTCCCCAGTTTTGTGCAACTTTCGCAAGCTGCAAGTCTCCCGGAATGGGTTCATTCAAAAGTCTTTCGGACACGTTCTGCGATGGAGGCAGATATAGATTCACCAAGGATGACCAATCGCGGACATCTTCCCAGGCTTCGAATTGCTCATCAAAGGGAAACAGTTTGATTGTTTCTAATCCCTCTGGAAGTTCCAGTGACAGCAAGGAAGTGCACCTTTCACTGACTCCAATGGAAGTGACATTCGGTGACACGCGGATATGCGTCAATGCAGAGCAGTCTTCGAATGTTCTTCGTTGAATCAATCCTTCAAGATTGGGCGGAAGGATTATCCATGACAACCCTGAACAAGAGAAAAAGGCACCATCTCCAAATGTCAAACATTGAGTGCAGTGTGATAAATCTAGTTTCTTCAACGCTGAACAGAACGCGAAAGCATCGTTCCCAATTGTCCTCACTGTTCTTGGCATCTCAATCTCTTCCAAATTGTCGCAGCCATCGAAAACTTCAGACTCGATCACCTCCAGCCTTGGAGGTAAAATTATGGATTTCAAATGATTACAGAGTGTGAACGCTGCACGTCCAATGATCTCCACTGTAGCAGGACATTGTAGACGGCGAAGGCTTGTGTTTTCAAAAGCGTTCATTCCAATAACTGTAAGACCGAGAGGCAAATCAATTGAACTTAAGCGCTCACAACAAGAGAATGCCTTGAGTAGAATCTCTCGCAACGTAGAGGGAAGTTTGATGTTGGTCATTGGTAAACAACATGAAAAAGCTCTGACTCCAATGGCGTGAGCACCCTCTTCGAAGATCGCTTCGTCCAAGTAGTAACAATCCTGGAAGATCTCGTCTGGAAGGAAGCGAACGGATCCATGAACACGAGCAACTCGGACATTTTAGGAACTTCTTCTTTGGAGGCTGAAACTGTCACAATGAAGGTGTCGGTACTAGAACCCAAACGGAATTTCTTTCTTGGAGGCATCTGGAAGTGAAAGCTCCAATGAGACTTCGTTCTCGTTCTCTTTCTCTTTCTGACTGCGAGTCTCGTGCGTTGGGGGGATGGTGTGATCCAGAAATAATCGCAAAGGCAGAATTTTTACAGACAGAATAAGAAGGGCCTAAGACAGCTCCCATTTTCAGTAGATACAAATTCATAGAATACGAAAACCAAAGCTAAAGCACTATAACGCAACGGTTTCAATATGTTTTCAATATGTATGTTACAAATAGTTTCTTGAAGAGAAGATGGCTTTTCCACCGCGTGCGTGGATTATAATTCATCATTTATCCTCCCATTGTCTTCAACTTGGCCTTGAAGTCTTGGACTGCAGCAATTTGGCTGGCCACGGGCGCCTGCAAAAAGTCATTGTAGTTCCATCGCATGCTCTTCTTCAAGTTGTCACTGGGGCCTTCTATTTTACGGTTGCTTTGGGCTTCCGCGAACAAGTTGAAGTAGTGGCGGTAGGATTCTTCGTTGTGCTGAATTCCCAACAAGTTGTCCAAAGTTGCCTTGGTGAACGGGATGCTTTCGTCCATGGCATCCAAATCATCAGGATTCATGGCCCCAACCAAAGTTCCAACCAAGTGGAACCCCTTGGAATAAGGCAAAGCAGCTCCTTGATCCCGAAGGACTTCGGCGGCCTCATCCCTGAAATCATCAGATTCGGAACAATATGGTGCAACCTCTTCAGCGTCCTTCATCCATTCTACCTGGTCATCCTCATTGGTACAACTGATAAAAGTCATTGGATTTTGAGCAGGGTTTGGACGTTGGACAAGAAGTCGGGTGATCTCCTTTTGGGCCATAATGCCGCCGTTTGGTACACCGTCACCAAAAAACCATCTTGCAATGGACATGCTGGGGTTACCGGTGAGCGACTTTTGGATCTTCTCTAAGGCTGGGGTAGTTCCACTAGGAGATCTGGTAAAGGCACGGTCGATTTGCTGGTAGGCATCGGCCAAAAAGGTCCTTGGATCGCGTCCATTACGTTGCAAGGACACGACCTCTGTGCGGTTCAAAAAGACAATGACAATTTGGTTGAAAGGAACATAGGCCAAAACCTCGATCATTTCCTTTAAACGACCTTGAGCTTCGGCCCAGCGGGTTTGGGGACGGCCTTGCAAATCCACAGTGTCGGATGTCAATGTCATACTTCCAGAGTCGTCAATCAGAAATTCCAAAACTTCATATTCACTGAGCATCATAAGCTTGTTCATCAATCCCATAGGAACCTCATACTTGTTCAACAAGGCACCCAATTCATCGACCATGGTATCGGGGTTCTAAAGAAAGGCAAGGAACGCATCGCAATGAGAAAAGTTAAAACCGATGATACATTGATTGTCGCAAGAAAAAGAATGAATATAAAATCTTACCATTCCAGCCTCGACAGAAATTTCGGGTTCTTGCATCATTTCAATGGTCGCTGAAGTAGATTCTGCAAGAGGAATTTCCTTTCCACCTTGGGCCACCATGGCCTCGTTAAGCTTTTCGTGATCGTCCATACTGGACACAATGGGAAGCGCGACAGATGGCCGTGCCACAGAGGTTGCCGGAGCACCGCCACCTTGTTGTTCCTTCCACTTTTTGTATTCAGGATTCAACTTCATGACGCCATTGATTTTGACATATTTCTTGGGTGCTGCCATGGTTGCGTGTAGTTTGTTGTATGCTTCGTGTTTTTGTCTCGAGTAACAAAGCAGTCTTTGATGTTTCTGTGGATATCTTTTCTCAACGGATTTGCTTCATTCTCATTCGTGACGTATCGAAAAGTGACCAGTAACGTACTGGTGAAGTCCCAAATGGTTCAAACAGGATTCAAACAGGATTCGATTTAATGAAGGAATCGATACAGTGGACTAAACGAAGCACAGTCAGGATTTTATTTTATTTAGTTTGATCATACTGTCTCTACCGGTAGTGGAACTTATCATCTTTTATTTGTGATTGCTTTGCAGCGGGCGGTAGTCCACAACTACGTCGATAGTAGTAGCTATCATTTTGTTTTACCACAGCAGCACAACGCCACCACCAGCACCATGCTGGCGGTACACTACGACCATCCACGACGAAGAATGCTACAGTAAATGAATGAATCACCATCGATGAATCCAATTCCAGATCTTTCGAATATCTTGACGTGGAATCGATATGCATGGTTCCGACATGGTCATTTTGTGCCTCTGGAGCAGTTGACTCGGCAGGTACGACTCAGCATCAGCAGTTCAAGTTGACTGATGCAAGTTCAGTTTTAGCCCCTTTTTGACTACAACTCCGATCCCCGCGGAATCATCATAATTAAAAGTTCTCATGTTGGTCGCATGGTACAACTCTGAGTCAGGGGTTCCACGAGACCACGCCACTTTTTTCCAAGCGAAAGGATATCATTTGGATGCTTCGTGGATCAGTTTACGACGTCGACATGTGGATTTTAAATCCAATAGTAACGATAATAGTTTTAAAAAGCAGTACTAGTGGTTGTCTACTAACTTCTTTTAGATGTTCCCGTCGCATGAGTTGATAAAATATGAAGGACCCCTCTATGTTGCATGAGCAATGCTGCAAAAATCAAGTAATAGTACTCATTATAATGCTTGCTTGGAGAGCATCGATTTGATGACAGGATCTTGCAACTTTTCCAGGCTTTCTCGATTCTCCAACAGGAATTTTCTCCAAACTGGCCAATGCTCTGGACGAGCATACTCAAAAGCGGAGCAGCCACGTTTATCCTTAATGAAAAAGAGAGCTGGTTCTTCTTCCAAGATCCATTTGCAAATTGTGGTTTGAGCTTGGGGATGCCAGCAAGCGTCATGTAGCGGCGTTCGTCCGCAGTCATCACTACTCTTAACAGTCACATTAGGCTGATCCATTAGATACCGAACAATCGATTGGAATCCTCTCCGGCAAGCCAAGTTCAGCAGCGACTCTCCAAATCGATTGAAACAGTTCAACTCTTGTCCATTCTCCCTCATTTTTTCAAGGTGGTCTAGCTGCTCGTCTCGCACAGCAGTCACTACCTCAGTAGTATATGCTGCCTTTTCTTCTTCCGTACTTTCGTGGAAGAAATCTTTTACTTCCATTGCTTTCCTTTGCTCCAATTTCAATCCGAGCTGAGCTTCCACTAGTTTCAGAAGATAGTCATCCGGACTAATGTTTTCATTGACATCTGGAAGAGGAACTGTAGGTTTCGAAGGACTTTCGATAATGTCGCTTTTACTCCTTTTCGAGAGTCGGCGTTTTCTCTTGTTAGGCGCCTCTTCATCGCTGGACACCATTTGCGCAATCTCAGGACTACGGATGCCCTTCACGGGTGGGGCGCTTCTCATCTTTTCGGAGCTCTTATCAGACGAAGATGGTCTCGTTATCCTGTTCAGCGTCGAGGAAGACTTATCTACAGAGGATAGTGAATAGGGTTTAGCTTTCGCAATCGCGCAGCTTTCTCGATCGACCATCAGACGAATTGTCTTGGACGATGGTTCTCCATTGTGCTTTTCCTGAGAGCCCGACATTTCAAAATCTCAAGGCAATTTATGATTGTGAGATTGTCTGACCTCGTTTGTTTGAATTGGTGCCGATGACTTGACTTCTCGCTTTTCTTCTCCCTTTTGGCTGTCTGAGGTTGTGCATTGGCGTGTTGGCTTTCTCTATCGCACTTGAGACCTCGTCACAGAGAAGGTGACAGCTGCAACCCACCGGTACCAAAAGTTTGGTCTTCTACGAGGCTGACGACAGAAAAGTTCAACACGGTCGGGTCCAGCCTCCTTCTGAATCAGCATCTCTGCCGTTGATTGGACCACAGACATATCCGCAGCATTCGGTGCTTCCCATTTCTTCCATTCTTTGCTGGTGGTTCAACTGAAACGATGCATGCGCACCTCCTAAATAATGGTCGCGGCGCAACAAGCTTGATCGGAAGCTGACCTGAGTCAAACATTTCCATGCCAGATGATCCATGATACCGGTATATATATACCGGTATATACCATACTTATAAAAAAAATACCGGTATGATGAACGACGTCATCCATGACGTCGAAGATTTCATTCGTTTGAGTCATGCTCACGACTCAACCAGTACCGTAAATGGTCACCTCGATCATGGAGAAGGGAGACTTGGAAATCGGAAAGATTCGATTGCGAACGTCGAACCATTTGTTTGCACACAATAATCAAACTAACACCTACTCAAACTCTTACTCGGAAGCAACCCAATACCAGCCATGACAAAACCCAAGAAATATGTCAAGGTCAACGGAATCATGAAGTTGAATCCAGAGTGGAAGAAATGGAAGGAACAACAAGGCGATGGCGGCCCAGCGACCACTGTCCAGCGTCCATCCGTAGCACTCCCGATTGTATCGAGCATGGAAGATCACGAGAAACTCAATGAAGCTTCATTGGCTTCAGGAGGACAAGAAATTCCTTTTTCAGAGTCCACTTCGGCCACCATTGAGATGATGCAAGAGCCTGAGATTTGTGTTGATGCTGGAATGGTAAGAATATTGAAATCTATTTTGTTGTGCGGGAATGAATGAATCAATCATTGATAGTATTGATATTGCAAGTGTGCATCGTTTCTCACTACAAACTGACTTGATACCTTTATCTTTTTAGGACCCCGATACCGTGGTGGACGAATTGGGCGCCTTGTTGAACAAGTATGAAGTCCCAATTGGATTGATGAACAAGTTGATGATGCTCAGTGAATTTGAAGTTTTGGAATTCATGATTGACGACTCTGGAAGTATGACATTGAACACTGATTCTGTGGACCGCCAAGGCCGCCCTCAGACTCGATGGACTGAGGCCCAAGGTCGTCTAAAGGAAATGATTGAAGTGCTGGCACATGTTCCCTTCAATCAAATTGTCATCGTCTTTTTGAACCGCACGGATGTGATTTCCTTGCAGCGAAACAAACGCGACCCCAAGACCATCATTGCTGACGCCAATCAAAAAATCGATAGCGTCTTTAGCAAGGGCCCCAGTGGAACTACCCCAGCTCTAGAGAAGATCCAAAAGTCGCTCACCGGTAACCCAAGCATGTCCATTGCAAGATGGTTTTTTGGTGACGGTGTACCAAACGGCGGCATTATGGCCCAGAAGGAGATCACCCGACTTCTTGTCCAACGTCCAAACCCTGCTCAAAATCCAATGACTTTTATCAGTTGTACCAATGAGGATGACCAGGTAGAATGGATGAAGGATGCCGAGGAAGCTGCACCATACTGTTCCGAATCGGATGATTTCAGGGATGAGGCCGCCGAAGTTATGCGAGATCAAGGAGCTGCCTTGCCTTATTCCAAGGGGTTCCACTTGGTTGGAACTTTGGTTGGGGCCATGAATCCTGATGATTTGGATGCCATGGACGAAAGTATCCCATTCACTAAGTCAACTTTGGACAACTTGTTGGGAATTCAACACAACGAAGAATCCTACCGCCACTACTTCAACTTGTTCGCGGAAGCCCAAAGCAACCGTAAAGTAGAAGGCCCCATGGACAACTTGAAGAGGAGTATGCGGTGGAACTACAATGACTTTTTGCAGGCGCCCTTGGCCAGCCAAATTGCTGCCGTACAAGACTTCAAGGGCAAGTTGAAGACAATGGGAGGATAAATCATGTTTCGCTCCCTTACAAGCTCCCTTACAAGGCTCGTTCCTTTATATGATAATCAATAGTTGTTACTGCATCCGTACAACTTCTGCATTCATTCATGTTATTTGTACTGTGCTTGGTACCGGTACTGTACTGTAGTTTTGGGTTTTAGAGGGTTAGAGCTACTATAGGCCCATATGTCTTTTTCAATAAATGACGCTGTCTGAAAGTTCCTACTACAGTTCAAACCATTGGAAGTGCAGCGTTCAAACACTGTCGACAGTTGGAGTCCATAATCCTACCACCAAGGTTGGAGGTGTGATCGAGTCCGAACTTTTCTTCATGTGCGAAGATTTGGAAGCCATTGAGATTCCAAAAACAGTAAAGATAATTGAGAGGGATGCTTTCTCGTATTGTTCAGCTTTGAAGGAAATATATTTATCATACTGCACCCAATGCTTGACGATTGGACACGGTGCCTTTGAATCATATTCAGAGCTGTCACAGATAATCCTTCCACCCAATCTCGAAGGAATGATCAAGGAAGGAACACTATCTGAGTGCTGGGCATTGACCCATATCCGCGTGTCACCAAATATCACTTCCATTGGATGCAGAGATGAATCCAATCCATTTGATCATTGCGATTCCATGTTATCATTGGAACTTCCAGAAGGATTGGAATCGATCGACCTGGCTACTTTTGGTGACGATTTCGAAGACTGGGGAGTGATCGCCAGATGGCAGTCATTGGTGAATCTTTATCTACCTTCATCGTCGACGGTGTCCGAAAGACTCTTGAATGAACCCATTCCGGAAGACTGGCAGCTTGCGAAAGCAGCACAAAGCTGAGGAGAGCTTGTCGTGAAGCTGCAGCAACGTTTCGATGAGGTTCCTCTTCACCGAATCTGCTACTTCCACAGCTACCATCCTGTAGAAGATACAATTCAACGAATCAGTGATATTGTGAGCGAAGATCCACGCGCTAACCCAGACAGATTTTTTTGGAATGTATCCATTGCATATCTTGGCCTTAACCCAAGAACCAAGACTGGAATTTTTTCGAAATCTGCTCTCTGGATTTGATGTAGCTCGAACCATAAGGATCTGTTTGGATCGACCGTGTTGGAGTATCTTTCCAAGAATCCGTCAGGCTACGGAAGACACGCGACTCGATGGTTGGCAGGTCTTGTTGCTGGACAAAGACTACCATTTCTGGGGCTTGATCGCTGGAAGCAAGAACTAGTGGTGGAGGTGGAAAGTGTCGTAGACGCTTCGGACCAAGGATTCTCGACGAACGAAGTCCAGTCTTTTTTGGACAAGCTCGGTCAGTTGGAGTTCCTGGAGATGCTATCGTTGATGGAACTGAAGCTTTGGAAAATAAAATTGAACGAGAATCCAATGGAAGATCAACGTGAAAAGGCAGAGCAAGAAGATTCTCGCCTGAGTTGTCGAGTTGGTTGTGGAGTTTCCATTATTGTTGAGCATGTGATCCCATTTCTCGGCAAGCAAGTGGGTACGACCTAGTCCTTTGGCAATATTTGGGATGTTCTTGAGCTAGTAGAAATCGTGTTCTGCTTCAGTCCGTTTTGATCGAGAAGATCGTTGAGTCCATTGTGGAATTCCCAACCTCGTATTGACGTTTTACCCTTTCTTGGGAATGAAGTACAATGTTGAATGTCTGGTTGGACGAGTTAATCTATTATGACAAAGGCACAGTGCTGCAGTATTTATACTGTATACATTTTACATGGAATGAATTGTGATCCTTCATTCAGTAGTCGCCATCGCTATCATCATCCATAGAGTCATCGCTGTCATCAGAGCTGTTGTCGCTTTCTTCGTCTTGGCCACCATCCCACTGAGAATTCTCGCCATCGTCATCTTCATCAAAATCTTCCTCATCTGATTCTACATCGGGGCCTTCAAACTCTTTCTGGACGGCCTCCATCTGAGCTGGTAGCCCTTGTAGCTCTAATTCAACTCGCTTGCGACGATCCGTGCTCCAAGCAGCAAGGACATTGGAAACACCATGGAGAAGAGTGCTGTTGTTGACTGAAATGGCCTTGGGGAAGTGAGTCGATACATCAGTCAACATGGACATGAATTCCTTCAATTCCCTCTCTCTATCAATCAAAGGCAAAATGCGCTTGACGAATTGAGAAGTATTAGGAGCTTTATGAAATCTCCCGGGTATGTCGTACGATTCTGGATATGCCTTCAACAAAAGAATTGTTGCATCTTGAACAACCCGACGATTGCATTTCTCCACAAGGGCATGGATGGGCAGAGCCCTTCCTCCTCTCTGCCTTACGAGTTTTGGGCATTCTTTAATCAAGTATTTTATTATTTCAATCGAGTCATTGCCGTAGTGTGCAAATTCATTCATACCGAAACAAACTCTCTCTAGAACTGAGATATTCCCCATGCGACTTCTACGTTTCATGGCCTTTGGATCTTGTTCCGCCATCCACTTGAAGAGTTCGGCATCACATTCATTATAACCCCCGACGACAGCTCCCAAGGGTTTATCCCCATACATGTTCTTCTGAGAAAGAGCATTGGGGTAGGCTTGCAGGAAGCGACGCACGGAGGATGCCGGGCAGCCCGACCCAGAATATTGTTCAAGAAGATCAAACGTTGGGGGGTATCTGCGGCAATGACGATGATCAAGCACCCAAGGATAGGTCTCTGCAATCCAACCCATCAGTTCACAATGGATGCTGTTTTTTGCAATGACGTGAATGGGGGCAGCACCTCCATGATCCATGTCGCTACGTCTCCACACAAGAGCAGCAGGATTCTTCTCAATGAGAAACTTGATAGCAGGATGGGACCACTCTCTGTGCAACTTCTCGCATGCCAGAAGCAACAGCGACCAATCCAAGAGATTCGTGTCGATAACCCTTGCAAGTATTGGATTCTCAGTCACGGCTCGAATGATTCTTTGATTCAAATCTTCGCACGCCCCTTTGACCTCTGCTTCCGTGTTGGCATACCATGGAATCTCGTAGGCTGCTTCAATTAGCCCTTGAAAAATGGCGCCAGTTGCATCATCCAATTCGGTATGCGGAACTGGAGTTACGCTTTCAAGGGCGTTGGTTGTGGTGCTCATGTCTGATGATTATATACAGTATGTTGAATGTTATTAATACTTCGTTTTTGCGGATGTCGCAGAAAAATATCAAACCAGTAGCATTTTAATTTGGGCCAACAAATTTCAAAAAATTGACATCCCGCGGGGAAAATTTGACATTTGACATCATTATCCCGCGGGAATTGAAGAGAAGACTGACCGGACTAACTTTGGTTACAAAATTGTAAGGGGTACCAGGTACCGGTATAGTACATTGAAAGAACAGTCTGGTTTACTATGCTAATAAGTATTGCTGTTTGCATTCCAAGCGCGTGACCAGTATGGATCTTCAGCGCTCCAAGGATGATTCATTCGACATCATTCTTCAATTCCATGCGAAATTTTTTTAGGTTGCGATGGATGTACTTTATATATCGAACTTTGCCCTATTCGCTGGTTGGTGGTCTTCCCAGCGAAGAATAATTGATGCTAAAGGAAACTTGATGACATCGAGCATGATTGCATTTGGGGTAAGCTAGGACATGATCACCGGGCACTAAGAATAGTTCGAACACCAAGACCAGCCGACAGACGCTCCTTCACATCCTCCCGAGGAGAATTGGGACCCGAAAAACTCGCAACAACCACGACACGAGTGCCGCTGGAAATCGTCACGCCCTTGTGACTTACCCGGCCTCCCCACAACAAAGCAGTCCCTGGTTTTGGTTTAAGCACAATAGAGGGGCTGTCCATCCCCTCCATCGGATGGGATTGACTCCAAAAGGCGGTTCCTCCTCCTTCAAAGTCTGCTGTGGGATCCGAAAGAGGAATCAAGATGGACAGAGCGTGATGGTCCTTGTGCATGGCGAAATGACCATGCGGGGCCTCATAGACGTTTATGGCGGGTTCACGAATGGAATAATCGAGCTGTCGCTTTCGGAATAACTGAGCCATCGAACTAGAATTCCCATTGTCGTCATTAACTCGTTCTCCAAAGAGAGTCTTCTTCAAGCTGGGGCAAGCTTGAGTGTCCAAATAGGACAGAGCTCGTTCTAAAATTAGTTCCACAAGTTCGGAGGACTCTTTTGGTAGAGCATCCTCGGGAGCTTCTTCTCGGTCGGCGGTAGCCTGCGTCAGGAGTCGGACAAAGACTTTGCTTTTGGATCCTTGTTCCAAATGAATCATCTCATTGGTCGACGTTTCTTCGCCGTATTGCTTTTGCTTCCAGTCGTGGGCCGCTGCAATACAAGAAGTTGCCAGTAACTGACATTCTTCCGCCGAAACAAGATTGGATAGTCGGAGGAGAGTCCGGCCTCCCTTGATTCGTTCTCCCATGGTAAAGGATCGCAAGGCGTTGCGAGGCTCAAGCCGTGCGATTGGTCTTCCATTCTTTATCAACAGTTCTTCTAACTGCATGGAATATTGTGCCCGTAGATTAGAGAGCGTCTAAATCAATGACGATGACGATGACTGTGACGCTGATGCTACTACAACTGTTGAAGGACCATTGTGAGGTGTCGCACTGATGGTTATGGTCTTTGTCATGATTTTGAATTTTCTGTGATTAAAAAAAGATTTATTGAAAACTCCTTATTCCATATATATTCCTCTTCTGAATTCTCATGGACGGTCATCATACTCGTACATGTGTAGGCAAAAAATGATTCTTCAAAAGGACAATAAAGACGACTATTTTCGATCTAAGATTCATAAGTATTCAGCCTGTGCAATCACTTCTCGTTCCCGAAGGAAGGGCAAAATATTTCCGATGACAATGGAAATACCACATTGGACTCGACAACTTTCTCGATCACTTCTGGGCTTGTCATCACCTGTCTCGACCATCACGTTCTCATTTAACTTGATTTGCCACAGAACCATTTCGACCAGTGACAGAATCTCCAGGAATTCCAAATGAGCAAGCTTGCCTAACAGAGATTTGACACCAGCTCTCATGCTCGATGTGTCTGCTGTCGTTAATCGTCTTTCTTCCGCTACCAGTAGTTCTTGCTTCCATCGACGGAGTCCAAGAAAAGGTAGTTTTCCCTCCAGAATTTTTCGGATCATCCATCGACTTGCATTCATACCTTCTGGCAAGGGGTTCTTGCAAACATAGTCCAGTGGAGTTGATCCAAAGAAGTCTTTTGACGAAAGCGCCACCTCTGCGAAAACAATAGGGAGCTCTTGGAGCAGTTCCACAACCGGCTTTTGTGCCAACGACAAAATGTGGAGTGGCGTCATTCCAAAGGCATCTACTTCATTGACGGCGCTTGGGGTCAGCTTCAGTATGTTGCGTATTTTTTCAGCTGTATCTTCTACAGGATGGTAGCTGTGGAAGTAACAGACTCTGTGAAGAGGAAGCCCATCGAATCGGCGCTGCAGCATTGGGACAAGATCTCCCCAGGTTTGTGCAACTTTCGCAAGCTGCCAGTCTTCCGGAATGGGTTCATTGGATAATATCCTCACATCGAGCAAAGTCTGTGATGGAGGCAGATATACATTCACCAAGGATGCCCATTCGAAGGCGTATTTCCAGACTTCGGATGCATCATCCCAAGCAAGCAGCTCAATCGTTTCCAATCCTTCTGGAAGTTCCAATGATAGCAAGGACTTGCACCTACGAAATGGATTGGATTCTCCTCTCCGTCCAATGGAAGTGATATTCTGTGACACGCGGATATGGGTCAATGCCGAGCACTTTGCGAATGTTCCTCCCTCGATTGATCCTTCGAGATTGGGCGGAAGATTTATCCATTCCGGCTTTGAACATGAGTAGAAGGCACGGTGTCCAATCGTCAAACATTCGATGCAGTGTTCTAAATCCAATTCCTTCAAAGACGAACAATCCTCGAAGGCTTGATCCCCAATTGCTTTTATTGTTCTTGGGATCTCAATGTCTTCCAATCTGAAGCACAAGCTGAAAAGATCGGACTCGATCACCTCCAAGCTTGGTGGCAGAACTATAGATACCAAATGTTTGCAATAATGGAAAGCCCGATACTCAATTATTTCAACTGTCGCAGGGACTTTCAGATGGCGTAAGCCTGATTCTTCAAACACGGATTCTTCAATGACTTTGAGACCCACAGGGAGATCAATTGAAGTTAAGTTGTAACAGCACTCAAAAGCAGACTCTAAAATCTCTCGCAGTGTAGAGGGTAATTTGACTTTGGACAACGAGACGCAAGCTAGAAAGGCACTTTTTCCGATGGTATGAGTACATTCCTCAAAGGTCACTTCTTCCAGTGACTCGCAATCCCGGAAGATGTCGTCTGGAAGGACGCGAACGGATCCATCAACGAGGACAAACCTAACATTTCTAGGAACTTGATCTTTTGTAGTTGCAGCAGTGAAAACAAATACACTGTTTGGGTCAAAATCCAAACAGGCTGTCATGGTTGCAAATCAGTTGGAAGCCTGGTTTGATTCTGTCTCTCTCTATCTCTCTCGCAAGTCTGTTGATCAAGATAAAAATAGGTCAGCCGCGTTTTGTGAGTTCGTACTACAGTATACTTTCGCACGACTGAGTAGCTTCCAAAGTTTGGGTGAAAAGGGGGGATTGAAGAATTTGTGACCGCTACTGTAAAAGAGGTATTGTATAGGTATCGGTATCGTATCGTACCAGAAAACTCACAAAAGCATGCCATGCTCAATTACAGCATGCCTACCTGGTAAGCGTCAACAAGATCTCTGCCTAGCTGTAGCTGCAAGCGTACTATCGGTAGCCACCTTTGCCCCTATTGCGTCTTTAAAAAAATGGATCGTATACCCCCTAGTGGTTCGGTCCCCTGTTACCGTACCCCACACGTGTGGTGTGACTATACCAAAAGTGTGTACATATTGAGCATACTAATGAGCTAAAGTTTAGTATCGTTGTTTTGATTCCTTGATGCATTTTTTCCTCCATGCCACCATATCGATGGGATGCGTCAACTCCGATGCCTCATCATCTTGCTTCCAAATCTTGATGGACTTGTCCGCTTCTCCTGTAATCAACCGACTGCCAGTTCCATCAAATTGTGCCGTCAGGATGGCATTTTCCGCATCCAAAGATCCCGGCTGAACAATACTTTCCGAAGATTGAAAGTTATGCCCCGTCTTGTAATCCCAAAAGTGCATGCTTCCATCGTCTCCCCCACTGACCAAGACCCCATCATCATTGACCGCCAAGGCATTGACGACCGCCTTGTGACCGGTATACGATTTCATAAATCGACCATCCTTTGCTTGCCAGTACTTCAAACAGTCTGCAGCTCCGGAAACAAAGGTATTTTCAAAAGACGGTTGTGCCAGTGCTCGAATGCTCTTTTGATGATGCGTCAAGGTAGTCATGACCTTACCCGCCGCCAAATCCCACAGTTTGACGGTAGTATCGTGACTTCCCGTAATGATTTGTGGATCGGTGGACTTGGTCAAAATGGACGCCACCGTGTGCTCGTGTCCTGACAGACAATGAATCTGCGTCTTGGTCCGCATGTCCCACACCCGCGCCACGGCATCCCGACCTCCCGTTACCAAGACATCCAACGTGGGATGGAGCGCCAAACAAAAGACTCCACTCAAATGCCCATGATAATGCCGAATGACTTGATTGGTTTCTAAATCCCAACATTTGACCATTTTGTCTTCTCCCGCCGTAAAGAGGTAGGGGTGTCGTGGTGAAAAGGCTAGGCCACGAACGGGAGAAATGTGGCCCGTCAGGGTCAATTTCAAGGCATCGGGAGCACCGACGGATGCCTTGGCCAAATCCCATAATTTGATGGTGCGATCCGCGGAACCAGTGGCAAACATGTCATTGGTAGGGTCAAAGGCAATGCTTCGAACCCAACCCAAGTGACTCGACAGAACGGTGGATATTTTCCAAGGTGCGTGCCAATCGGGAGTGGGCATTTTGAGTTTTTGTTTGGACTTTGTAGATTCCTATAAGAGAGTAAAATGAAAGAATGTGAGACAAGGTTCGCGAGAATATATAGGTTCGCGAGAATATTGGAACATTACTGCTGCGCATATTTGGCCAAAACCAAAACAGTAGTAAACTTACCACTAGAATGCCTCCAATCTTTTTCTTGGCACTCGTTGGTCCTCCAGTGGTCACCAATGCACCACTGGTTTGATTTACGGTTTGTGGATCTGCAGCCGAAATGGGCTTCATTGTGGTAGTAGTGCCCTCGGAAGCAGCAATGGTCAAGGCATTGCTATTGGTAGTAGTGTTGCTGCTGCTGGATTGTTGCTGCAACGGTGGTGGTGCTCGTCGTTTTCGTCGGTTCACACTGGCTTGATGAATGGTGGGATCGCTTCTTGGAATAAAGGCAGATTCTGCAGTTGTTTTGTAGAGTATTCTAGTCCGCTTGACAGAGCTTTCTGCTGAAAGGGAGGTTGACATGATGCTAGTGTGTTGTAAGGTAGCTTTGGATACGTAGCGCCGTTATTGATTGATTGATTGTTGTTGATGTTGGTGGATGCTGTTGTTTTGGTCGGAGCATTCGATCGATCGGTGTTGCCAAAAAGGAGCTGACAACGGCAAGACTGAAATTCATTCGTCTGCCCACCAGCCCGGGGTTGCGAAATTTTCGCGGTTCGTACCACTTCGCATGTGAGGTTTTGGATCTCTCTGGCAAAACCACATCTGAAAAAGCAAGGTCTATTTTACATACTTGTACTGTACCGTATATTTGTTTACCTGTTTCATTGCGTATCTACTGGAATACACCATAGCAACCTGTTTATAGACGAGTTACTGTTGCATCATATATATAGTTGGCATTCAAAAGTTTCCACAAAACCTTTTGGAGGTAAAAAGAAGGAGAAGGAAACCTTTGGAAGGCAGATCCACGCACCGAACTGTGACTGTGACAGTGTGACCCCATCGTCGTTACCCATTGAAACCGATCTATAGCCAGTAGTTGAGAAGACATCGCCAGCTTGAGATTGTGTACCAAAACTTGAGGATCAGCGAGACGATTTCAAAGCAAGTTTTATAATAATACTGAAACAAAAATTTCAGCAAAACATGAGCAAGCGTGGGAGCAACAACAGCAAACAACGAAGGCGAGGATCTTCACCAGTCTCCAAAACTACCCCTGATCCTTTTGTCAATGGCCAGATTCCAGCGTGTCGAGAACTATTGACGGCCATTCAAGATGTCTTTCCCGAATTGCATACTAGTAAAAATGGTCAAGACAGTTCGGCCTTTGGGAAATTGTTGCGATGGCATTATCTGGAAAAGAGAAACGCCAAACAGATGCCACCTCCACCCCCTCTTGCCTTGGCCGATCGGAACGAGTCGGAAACCTCCGCCAACGCCAAGAAAAAGAAGAAGCGCAAGAAAAAGAAAAAAGGAGGTGCGGGCGAAAACAATGGTGCTTCCAACCAACAACACCAAGAGGCACTGGAAGCAATGGCCGAAACAAATGCTGCCAGTAGCGACGACAATAAAAGTATTGACCCCTTTGAAGCAGTCAATGGCAAGACTCAGAGTCGTCCTCAAAGTCGAAGAGGTTCCGGTGTCTCCCTCGACCCCTTTGAAGCTTTGAATGGAAAGACACACAGCCATCCTCAAAGTCGAAGAGGTTCCCTTGCCACTTCCAGTCGACGAGGTTCATTGAACAATGATGACAATCATTTGCATGACTCTGGTTACTTTTTTGATCAAATACAGCCACAAAACTCCACCCAAGAATTGTTGTCACCAACCCAATTCATCAAACAGATTCGACCCGAAACCATGCCCGGTCTGCCAAGTTTGGACGATGACGATGAACCGAGTAGCAGTCATCATCAAGAAGATGCTCTCTTTTCACCGACCCAATTTCTCAAACAAATGCCAAAAGAGACGTCGTCATCGCCACTTCCTACCTTGGACATTGATTCGGCGGACGAGGATGACATCAACAAGGAAAGTACAACAACTGCGGCGGCTGCTGCAACAAATAAGAATGGAGACAAATCCTCGCCAAGAACGCCACGAAAGTCTCCTGGTAGCAATTCGGCTGCAGCACAAGGAACTCCTTCCCAAGCCGAGACGGACAAATCTTCCACATTGAATTCACCCAACCACGAGTGGGTCCCAGAAGAAAAGAGTGAATCGCAACAAGAGACTGCTCCCGGAGATGCCATTAAAGATCCACTGACCTTGCCCTATCTCATGATCTTTTCGGAAGGTTCCGGAACCATTACCACCAAAACCATTGACGGGAGTTTGGTGTCGGCAGCACTCCCCACATATCAAGAACCATCTCGAATGGAAACCACAAAGGTCTTGTTTCAAGAATGGCTTGGTCAATTGAACAATGATGATTTGGTGGCGTCAGAGCCAGGCGTTGCTAACAGAGATCCCAAAAAAGACTTGGCATCCTTTGTCGACTTTTTGCAAGCACGGACTCATGGACAACCCCAGCAAGTTGGAATTCCCTTTGAACAACTACAATCGGCTTGCTCCAACATCAAATCGTATACCTGTCGGCAAACGGCCACCACCGAAGTGGAAAAGTTGCGGTCGTCGCGAACGAAAATGGTAGTCTTGGATGCGTCTTGCCTCCAAGAAGAGACCAAGGCCCAAACGACCATGAGCGTGGATGCGGCATTTGATTATGTGGCTTTGGAAGAAGGGCATCATACTCCATTGAAGGATAATACAAAAGATAATGATCCATTGGAGAATGTGGACTTGACCAAATCGGTATCCTTTGTCTTGTCACCGGCTAGTGATGGCAGCACTACAGCACCACCAAATGGAAACAATAACCAATACTTGTACATCCGAGAACTATCGGCACAACATTTGGATACTCTGACAGAAGAATGGTTGCCTTGTGGAATTGAAGAAGATGTCATGGTGACGACAGTCATTAAGGATGGAGGCAGCGACTCTGGATTAATTGCACTCAGCACCGAAGAGTTGGAGCAGATTCAAAAGCAAGTCACTGTCAAGGAACGCGCATTGAAACAGGGATTAGCGCACGCCGAGTCGTCCAAGACGGCCTTGTACGAGCAACTGGAAAACAAGTCGTCCTTTGGCGGCTCTAGTCAATTGTTGAATATTGATTTCAATTCATTCCCTCAGCTGCAACGTTGTGATCGACAGTGCGGGGAATTGATGGATGGCTGTTTTGAAGTGTTGAGAGTCTTGTCGAAGGAGAATACTCATGCATTGGCAGATTTACAAATGCAGTTCTGGACCACTTGTCTGATGGCCTTGAACAAGGTCTTGAAATCGGCCAAGAACTACTACGAGAAGATTGAACACCACGCGGATCAAAATGGCAGTTTGCCCAAGATCTTTGTAAGTGCCGATTTGCGGGAGTTGTACCGTGAGTTGCTCGATGAGAAACGAACTGCTTGGACCGATGTCTGCAACAAGTACGAACGCGGCATGTCCAAACGGGCACTCCGAGAGTATTACACTCGCACCAGCTGGTACGAATTCAAGAGCCAGTCAAAAACCAAACCAAATCGTCTGGACGAAAAATGTTTTGAGCTACTGGATCATTTGGTTAACTGGACGGATACCATTTTGGGGCGACGCATGTCGGATATTTACAAGACACGAATTGGTCAAACAAATCAGGTCTTGGAGCTTCTCCAGAAAGTAGTCGATCCCTTGACGGAGCAGTATGAGACAGTGGAACGCTTCTTCTCCTCCGAGCGCAATGTCTACTTTGCCAATCTGAGATCACAAATTGTGTTGGTCCGAAGCGTCAAGAAGCAAATGCGATTGTTGGACCAAGACGAAGTGGAATCCATGGTCATGGGCGTTCTGTTGATGTGGCGACAAACCAGAATCATGCAAAGCCGAATGGTCCAGTCCCAAGCCATCCCTCCTTTGCCGCTACAGCTGAAGAAATGGATGCTCCAAGACGACATTGACTCGGACGTGTGGAAGTGGGATTCTCCACCCGAAACATCGATTCCAATCACTCGACACATGAACTACCCGCTTGGTGCCGGAGGAAAACGCCGTGCCATGTGTGTTTTGGCAGGTTTGGTATACCAATGGCTTGGCGACCGATACAAGGAGTGGCAAGCAGAGGTTGCGGAACAAGAGTTGCTGACTGATTTCGTTGCCGAAACTGAAAAACCAGCCGTAACCAACGGTGAGTCCAAGTCGGCCAAGAAGAAAAAGAAGAAGAGAAAGAAGAGCGGTGCCGTATCACCATCAAGACAGCCACTCGAACGAGCCACTTCTACCGCTAGCGCAGACACTGAGTCCGGCGATGAGAGCTTTACGAAGGCCTTGGATGAAGCCCTTAAGGGTACCGTGAAAGAAGCAGCTCCCGAGCCGGAAGTCATTATATCGTCTACTGCTCCTGTCGCCGTAAAACCAATGAATTGGGCTGAAATAGATTCGGATGAAGAAGAAGGATTCATCGTCGTTGGGCAACCAGCTGAGGAACCACCTGTCGCTGTCGCAGAAGCGCCCGTTGAGGAATCGCCTGTCGAAGAACCAGCTGTGTTGGAACAAACTGTCAAAGAAGCCCCTGTAGAAGAAGCGCCTGTAGAAGAAGCGCCTATGGAAGATGCACCTGTCGAGGAACCACCTTTCAAAGAAGAAGAAGAAGAAGAAGGCATTCCGTTTTCTGATATTGATAACTACCAATCAGCGGTTCGTATCCGTGGTCGTCGCAAAGAGATGAGTGCTAGTGACTTTCTCATTGCCAGAATGGAAGAGCTGTTGGCAGGTACTGACGATGGAAAGAAAGTTGTCATTGTATAATAATAGCCTACTGTAATTATAATAGCTCAACACACTATCAACGAAAAAAAGGAAAAAGCTTGGGGCATCGTATGGTCCCTCTAGGATAATATTTGGTAGGACTATAGATAGCAGCAAGTATTTTTAGAATATTATTCAGCCTATTCAGTCTCAATTTGTGGAATGTTCAAACCTGCGCCTCCTTTCGCCAGTCTATTGAAAATTTGATCCAGTTCATGTGGTGTTGGATCGGCATCCTCGTAGTAGCCTTGGTCGGCCTCGTCGTCAAAAAAGTTGAGCAATGTGACATCGAATACCAATTGTCCACCCTGTTGGGCAATCATTTGATCCAACAGTCGATTCAATTTCGCCCTATTGAATGGATTGTCAGGAAGTGGACCCAAGTTGTTATCAATGTATCCCAGTTTGGGAGGAATGATGAGTCGTCGTGTATCACCCTTCTTCATAGTGTGCAAACCTTCGTCCAAACCGGGAATCATGCGTCCATTTCCATGCTTGATGACGTAACCATCGGACGAATCATACTTTTCTTTCTTTCCTTTGTTGGGTAGTTTCATATAAGCATCATATTTGATCATGACAAGTTGACCGTATTTAGGAGAAGGACGCGATGAGTCACCTTTCTGTTCCATTTCAATGTACTTGAGACCGGACCCAGTCTTGAACATGGTGACGCCCCCACCTTCTGGGATTGCCTCATCGGCGGCTTGTGACAGTGTTGGAAGAGCTCCCAAAGCCGCCAATCCTATTGACGATGCCACAAATTCGCGGCGTCCTTGCGATGGAGATGCTTCCGATGATGATGATGATGATTCATCCACCATTTGAGATGATGATGACGAGGATTGTGAAAATAGCGAGAATTGTCGAACCGAAGCCGATTGCGAAGCTGTAAAGGCATTTATCGCTGGAATAGACCCAGCGCATAGAAGAATAGATATACACCGCATGATGCCTTGTGCCTTTTGAGATCTGGTGGACAAGAGAAAGAATGAATACCAATCACTTCGATAAGGTTGATTGGATGTTGATGGAATCATTTTGAAAGATGACGCTGAGTCAGGTTAGTCCAATTCCACGTGTAAACTTTTATGCTCAGGTTTTTGGGGTTGAAGGAGAGGCGGCTTATCATTCTGTAGGTCTATCGCACCTACTATTACTCCGATTGTACCAGCAACCACTGAAATGGCAATTCCCATTCACTATATATACTATTAAATACGATCGAGTCTATTCACAGAACCAAAACATATACAGTACAGTATAACACTCTAGAAGAATCCAGGGGCCTTCTTCTTTTCTCCCACCTTCTCTGGCTTGTTGAATCCAATGCCTTCCAAGGTTGGCTTGTCGTCTGTCTTTATATTCAAGGCTTCGTTTCTCAGCAAGGCCATTTCGACGGCAGTCTTTCCCCAGTCGTATCCGTGGTTATTGTCCCCACTGCTACGTTTCGTGACTTGCTCTTCGTCCAGGCAGTTCAATACACCATAGACAACAGGCATGGACGTTTGCAATCCGACGCTCATCAAACCAGACGAAACGGCCTCGGAAATGTATTCAAAGTGAAGGGTCTGACACAAATGAATGAGTAGAAAATCTAGTTAGTTGATTTGACGACACAGTAGTGAACCCAAATGCGTGTCGGTCCACAGTCGTCCACCGTAAAAGACAACAATGAAAAGATTGCAATCATAAAAAAACGTACCTCTCCCTTGATCAAGACTCCAGCAGTGACAATGGCATCGACAGTACCACTCAAGGCCAAGAATCGTGCAGCTAATGGAAGTTCGTAGGCTCCAGGAACTGAAGTCTCAAAAATGTTTTCGTCCTTGACATTGCAATCCTTCAATGCTTCGCGGCATCCCTTTACTAGGTTGGCAACGTGTTCGTCGTTCCATCGGGTGCGAATGATTCCAACGCGAACGTCCTTTCCGTCCAAGTCACCAAAGGAAACTTCACTTTCGGCGCCCTAAAATTAATTGATATAAGAGAGAGAGAGAGAAAAAGGACAAGTGAGAAGGATGATCGGAGTGGCTTTTACGACCAAACAATGCCAAAAGATATGGTTCAAAATGCCATTGGATGCATCCTTGGTCATTCGACGCACCTTGAGGGCTTGGAAAGATGATGATGAAGTCAAAGTAGGAGCAAAGGCTGCAGCAAATGGAGCCAGAGTGAGGGCAAGAATGATGCTTCGAAGGGAAATCATGATGTATATATAACTTTGGTGTCTTTTGCAGAGTGGCAATATCGTACAGGTATTGGTTGTTGAGATATTATTCCGACCAGATGGTCAAAGATTATCTCAGAATTTCTTTCGGTCGAAGGAGTCCATCGGATGACGTGTCCTTTGGTGTCAGTGATGATTTCGCTTGTTTTCAGTTTGATGGACAACATCCAAACGAATCAATCATAAAAATCATAAATCTACAACTGCAACATGAGAATCAACCTGCTACTTCTTGGCCTGCTGCTACAGCAACAAAATTTTTTCGCATTTAAAGGGTCAGCGAATGTTCGAATTGGAAGTTCATCACAATGGAGGGGAGACTTGAGAAAACGAGGAGCAGAACATCAACCTTCTAGCACGATGGTGAAAACGCCGTTATTTTCGTTGGAACCATCATCATCATCATCATCATCATCACTATCAGTGGCACAAACAACATCATCGGTCGCACAAACAAAACGTCAACGGACAAAATTTATTCAAGCACTGTCTTCCTTTTTGACATTCTCTTTCATCACACTTCCTTCCATGAGCCAACCAGCCACAGCAGCAGTATCCTTGGTGCCGCAAGAGGCCATGTCGGTCGTGTCCAAAGTACCTTGGAAACGGGTGGTGAAAGCTGTGGCGGCAACGATTGCCGTGACGAGTTCCATTCAGGCATATCAAGTCAAGAAGCGACAGGCCAAATTGGCGACATCGGAATGGGAACGATATGCCAATTATCCCATGGCCAGAGGTGCGTATTTTGTACATTACGTTGTTTGGATTGGAGGGGTGAATGAATATGTACACGAATCATGGTCTGGTCTCACTTGTTTTGTTGTCATTGTGTTAGGCCGTGCTACCTTTTGGTTGCTTACACAACAAATGATAATGGTGATCCTTTCCAAGCTTGTTTGGTTCAAATCTTCGGAAATTAGGACGTATGCAGGAAAGCATTTGGCCAACAATCTGTTGAAATTGGGACCACTCTACATCAAATTGGGACAAATCATCTCGTCCAGGGCAAATTTGTTGGGAAAGGAATGGATTGAAGCCATGAGCATTCTGCAAGACAATGTACCTGCAACTACGGGTGACGACGCATGGGAATTGGCGTACTCGACCGTGGACGGAGGCAAAAAAGAGTTTGATAAATTGTTTAGTGACTTTGATACCACCCCTTTGGCAGCCGCCAGTCTTGGACAAGTCCATCGAGCCAAGTTGCGTTCCACTGGTGATGAAGTCGCTCTCAAGCTACAGCGACCCTTTCTGCGTAAGATTTATGACCAGGATCTCGCCGTATTGACCAAGATCGCCACCTTTTTTGACAGCTTGCCGGGAACTGGTAAGAATGTTGGCGGTGTGTCGTCGTCGTGGACCAAGATTGTGAATGATACCGAAAATATTTTGTATCGGGAGATCGATTATCGCGATGAAGCCAGCAATTCGGTCCGTTTCGCGAACGATTTTGGATTGGCCTTGCATGGAAAACCAGCTGCCAACTGCACCGCCAAGACCAAGGCTGGAGAAGCTTTGCCCAGTGCCGCAGAATGGCTTCGAACTCCTCACATCTTTGAAGAAATTTGTACCGAACAATTGTTGGTGATGGAGTTTGTTCCCTCGATCAAAATCACGAGCATGGACAAGCTTGCAAAGGCTGGCGTCAGTGAAAACGACAAGATTGATCTTGCCAACGCTTTGGCAAGAGCTTACTTGCGACAATTGTGCTGTAACTGCTTCTTCTCAACAGACCCCCATGCTGGTACGTACACTACTATTCCTTTGTCTGTAGTATTCGAAAGGTTTGTACTTTCATTGTCTCAAATTTTCATTCGAACCATGCAGGAAATCTCGGAGTCGAAGTCATGGAGAATGGAAAACCCAGACTAGTAATGTATGACTTTGGTCAAGCTGCTACCTTGACGCCCAATCAAGCGGATGGTATTCTCGACATTATCGAGGCTATCATTGATATGGATGTAGACCGATCCATAGACGCTTTCCAAAAGATGGGTGTTCTTGTGGATGATGCTGACTTGAACAAAGTTCGGGCAAAGGTTGCCGAAAACTACCGCACCGGGAAGGTCAAGGCCAACCGAAAGACGCTTCGTCGCAATGGATATGAGCTGAAGGAAGAGACATCCGCAGCAAGTCTAGAAGCAGATGAAGAAGGGAAAGGAAAGGACTCGGAGATCATGTCGTTCTTCACCTTGCCCGCAGAGTATGCCTTTGTGGCTCGCGCATTATCGCAAATGGATGGCGTAGGAAAGCTTCTGGATTCAGAGTTTGATTTCATTTCCAACGGAGCCCAATATATTGTGGAGATTAAGGGAGCACAAGAATACTTGAAGGACGAAGGTATGTGCCATTTCGATTTTGGTTCTTTGTCAGCTTGCCACTTTCCTTCGTCACTCAAAAGTATACACAGTCAACAAGTTCTTCGAAAACATATGCCAAAAACTGAAGAGCCTCACAAGTCAATCTTAAAATCAACAATAGTGTACATTATACTGCAGCAAAATCCAACAATCATTCAGCCCAGCAGGAATCTGACGCCAATGGCAAAGTGATCGCTTGGGCCAACCTTAACTTTGCGAAAACTATTGTTGTACGGGTTTCTCTTATTCCAAATCAATGGAGGATGTATTGGAGCCATTCCAAATTTCTTCAAACCAGCCTTTGCCTTGTTCCTCTTGCTTTCTGGAGTGAGGTAGATGCAACGATCAAATCGTCGGCGCAAGTTTCCCGCAAGCATGCAGTTCTCTTTCGCATCGTAGGTATAATCAAACTTTTCTCCTGCATCCTTCCATCCGTCATCCAATACAGCAAGAAGATCTCTATTGGGTCCTTGTCCTCGTTTCCGTTCATCGTCCCAGTTGAAGTCCCCCGCAATCATGGCAACCTCCAAGTTTGGATGCTTCGTCAACTGATCTTGACAAAAATATGCCGCTTGTCGTATCTGTACTTCTCGTTCTTTCGATCCATCCATGGACTGATTGATGAATGACTCCAAATGAGTTGTGCAAAACAAATGGGTAGCTGTTCGAGCGAACAATACGCCACGTCCTTGTACGGATAGGGAGTACGGGACAAATTTGGATTCCAGTACTTCCAACTGCTTCGAGACGGCAAGTCCTACACCATATGCATCCCCCAGTGGTTGTGTGGCCAATCGATACCCCATGGTTTCCAGATGTGGCTGCAAATACATTCGCAAGGAAGTTGTCATTTCTTGGAATCCAACAAATAAGAGCGGCGAGTCTCCATCCATCCTCTTGATCTGTTCAAGGACTTTCGCAATAGCTTCCATCCGTTCTTTAGGATAGAGCTGGTTAACCGTTGGGTCAGGAGGACCAAACCTATAGTGGAGCAAAGATGAAGAATAGGCAAGATACCATACGTAAAAAATGTGAGAGAGTGAATAAAAAAAGCGTTGTGAACAATGCAGCAAACTAGACCCAACCATCTTACCAGATGTTGTATGAAGCAATCTTAAAATCGATAGAAGAAGACGATGACTCTTTTTGAGGTGCAGAAGATTGAGACGTAGGGTTGGTTCTGGCTTTCTTGGCAGAAGTGGAACCCGAAGCTCCATCGAATGGAGAAGATGGCCGCTTGGTTGCTGCTCTCTTTTTCTTTACAGGAGATGGCTTTCGTTTGCTCTTGTTAGTATCACCCTCATCATCACTGGATAATATTTCAATTACTTCGCTTGAAGGTCTTGAAGGTAAAGCGGATGTCGCTTTTCTCGCTACTTTGGGTTCCTTGAATGGCTCTGATAGACTATTGGTGGCCAAAGACTCGACGGGTTTAGTTCTATTTTTCTCAAGTTGCGGACGGCATGCTTCCACCGAGGAGTCACTATCATCGTCTGCCAAGAGATCACGTTCTTTGACACGGCAATAGATCATTGATCCGTGACTCAGTCCTTGCTCGAGTAAAGTCTTGGTCTTTAACAGTGGTTTTGTGCCTGATGGATCCAAACTTAATGGTTGCACCAGCTTGTACTGCTCGAAGGCGCCGTCTGATAAGACATCCTTCACAGTCCAGCCTTGGTAGTCGATATCGCCGTTGTCGGTGTCCAATTGAAGCTTCCAAGTGCCCACGTTGTTACGGATTCGTATCAACATAACAGAACGACCACAATCAATGATTCCAATGCCAGCCAAGTTTGTAGGAAGCTTCCGTATTGCTTTGGCTGAAAGTGCGTGGGTGAAGGAAGAAAGATGACGGAGCGAGAGAATGATGAAGACGAGCAAGAATCGTTGTGATGAACGGCAAATGATATGGATACTGTTGTACCTAAGGAACATAATAATATCAATACAGCATATAAACAATATGGGGTTCAAAAATTTCAACAAAATGGATTAGTTCGACTGTTTCTTTAATCGCATGGATCACATATTCATTAGGACCCCCGGATGGTCCATATACTTGTGCTTTGCCTATCATTCATTCCATCACTGATCAACTCCTATTACAGAGAACCTACACCAGTGCTTCTTTGAAATTTTGAAAATTCATTTTATGAAGTTTATGAAAACATCGAACTCAGAAGCATCAAACGATGAAGCGTTGAATCCTACATTAAAGTTGCCCTGGGTCTCACTTCTGAAAGACACGGTATGGACGAAGAAACTCTTCGTGGGTCGAGCGTACCGATTCCACTTTGTAATCCGATGCCCATAACTTGTAGAATTCGATCGACCGCAGCAGAGCCTTCCAAGCACCGTCTCTATCCTTCTTTTCAAGCAAATATTCCCCAAGCCGCTCCGAGGATGCCAACCCAGCATCGTTGATCCGACCCATTTTCTCTCCGATCTTGATCGACAGCTTATAGCATTTGCAAGCCTTTTTGAAATCACCCTTCAACACAGCAAACTCTGCATCCAGGAGGTAGTCAAGGTGTAAAAAGTTTGGACACCCTTGGGCAATCCATGCCTTGACCGTCTTGCTAATATTCTGACCATGCTTTCGGTATTTTCCTGATCGCTTGCCTCTGGAACGGGCGCAGTGCAAACAAGACACAGCGACATAGATATCAAGCCACATTATGATTGCATTGGCGCCAACTTCATCTCTTACGAAGGGCATCTTTTCAAGAATCTCTTCAGCGTTGGCTTGATGATTGCCGCAATACGCATTGAGGATACCTTTGTACCCAATTATCAGGGCATCGTTCCAAGAAGTTATCGAGGCAGGATCCAATGCTGTCTCATCCATGGCTTCTCCCTTGAGTACCAAAGGATCTTCTGCTTCCCCTTTCATGTTCAGCATACTTTGAAATAGAACAGACAGTAGTTCCATTTGGGAGTCGCAATTCATCGCTTTGAGATGTGCCATGGTCTCTCGCGTTTCTTCGGTGACAGTCACAAGCGAACGCCCACACACGAGCTCGTAGTACAGTCCCATCATGTACGAGTAGATCGCCATTTGAATGTCTCCGACTTGCAAGCCGTAGTGATAGTAGCTGACCAAGGTCAGGGAGGTCTTGAGGAAAAAAACAGGATCAAATTTGACCACAATAGTCGATTGTTCTGACAAAGGATAACCCTGCCATGACGACTCCCAAGCGCCGCAGCAAGCAAAAAAACCCTTCAAAAACCGCCGAGGATGGCGCAATGAAAGGACGCTCACTCCTCCTGTCTGAAGTTGCCCAAGGTTCATGACGGCCCCACGGCCAACACTTGATCGAACTTGACCACTTCTTCTTTGATCGATTTAACTAAGGATAATCCTGATCCCAAGAATGCCAAGAGCCGACAAAAGCAACCCCCTCCTTCCAAAATCGCCGAGTAAGGCGCAGTGCAAGGACGGCCGCTCGTCGCCTACAACAAGAAAGTCAAGGTGTCAAAGTTTCACAGGCTCTATAAGAAGGCTTGGAGGAAGGAGGATTTTGGAAATCAGGCATTTACCACCTGGTCCTCGCGCAAGGCAGAACACACTGGTCGGGCAATATCCAAATGCCCGGGATGGTGGGCGAATGTCAATATGAACCAAGCCTCCGACGCTCAATCCTACAATGGCATCGCTTCTTTCATCTTGGCCAGCATGAAGGATTACGGCCCATCTCTTGGCGGTATGATACCACAGCTCCGGTCCAACACGCCGAATCTCTTCTCACTTGGAGATCTCAAAGATGTCAACGATGATGAAGGTTCCTGGGCTCTTTGCAAGGAGTACTTTCTTGGACTTGCAACACAGTGCCCCACGGTGGTGTTTGATCTTACAACAACCCAACACGTTATCACTACAGACAAAAAGTCGCCTCGCTTTTGGGAATTTTTGCTCGACCCAACATTAATTGTTCAACGCGCCGAGCCGTTGACTTGGATGTGCTAGCGGCATCCAAATTCTTTGCTCATCCTTGGACAGGACCTCATTCCTCTCATTGTGGAGGAATTCGAGCAACTAGAACAAGAGTCCAAAATAACAAAATCCCAGGCCCAGTCTAAGAAGTGAGTGGCTTCTACCCCAGAGAACCCAATGTTGGGAATTCACGTGCGCGTGTAAGAACTAATGAAGTACTGTTGGGACTAACAAAGTACTTGTGGAAAATCCAGGTTTATATGGATTAAAAGTGGTCTTCAGGCGTGACAAATAGATAGGATATACCGGTAGCTGGGTCAGAACCAGCTTGTCACATTTTTGAGGACCAGACTGGCTGTTTTAGCCAACACCCAAAAGGCCCCAAGGCACACAATTCTCGCCTCCAAAGGGTCCGTCCAACCCGTATCAACGAACTCCACCTTCAGATGCCATGTCTGACGCCTTTCACATCATCACAGGCACCCCAGCAGGAACACAAGAGGCCACTGTTCCAGCTGACAACGTTGCGGTAGGCAAACACCGGAATGGGGGAACCTGTGCGGAAAATGGAGCAGAGGAACACAATAGTGCTCCGACCTACAGGGACACTGTTACCTCTCCCCCCGCTCCCACGGTCCCTCTCACCACCGACGAGCGATTGATGTGCCTTCTTGCTGTCCATTGGAATGCCTCTCCCTTTCGACACACTACCCTCTTCAACGTATCTATCGTCTTTGATTGGCAGGGTGTCGGTTTGACCGAGTTCAACCAAGTCCAGACCGCCTACAACGCCTTCCATCAGTTTGCTTCCGGCATTTGGGGCGAGATCACTTCCAAGGTCGTCCTTCTGCCCTTTGCTGACACTCAATTACCCCGTCAGCAACTGTGGATCCGGAACTTGAACGAATTTGATGAAAAAGCCAAGGATTGGGCCCACCTGAAGAACTACCTCGATCCCAACTTTGGCAATCCTTACATCCTCAACAAACCGGGGAAGACTGGGTTGAAGACCTACAAGACCCAAATGCGGTTCGGGATGAGCACAGCCCCGCCCATCCTCATGCAAGAACTTCATTCTGTCTTGTCCAGCGAGCCATTGGCGGGTGTCTTCCCGACTTCTATCCAGGTGTCTGACATGGTCCGGTTTGGCTTCCTCCCGTTGCTACCACAAGAATTGGCAATTGGCCCGTACTGCAAAGACTTGATGCGCCTCTGCAACTTCCAGTACCCCATTGGCCTAATGCAAGAATGGGTCAATAGTCCACGGTTCTTCTCTGCCATGTCTTTGTTCCTAAAGCCTTTGCTCACAAGGCTGACCTGATTTTGGCTGCAAACTTGGACATTCGTAGGCTCAGTTGTGCTCTCTTCCAAGCCCCGACCCACTACACTAGAGACTGGCAGGCAGCAAAAGACGAATTGGTCCATGGCAAACAGTGCCCACAGCTTCAGTTGGTGATTGAAGCCATGCAAAAGCTGGCGATGCGGCTTCTGACTGCAGTCTACCGCATCCCCATTGAACTCCCGGGCATGTTGACTTCAGCTGCCACTGAGAACCTTGCCTTCGTTGTCACTGACGCCCACGTCAAGAAGGCTGAGGACGTAGCCCCCGGCCAAGGACCCAGAGGTGCTGAGTGATAGCGAGTCGTCTGGTGATGAAGATGATGATGAAGGCCCCCAAACCTTTGAGTGGACCACAATCATCAAAAAGTCTTTGGTCGCTTCCAATCCAAAGCCTGTGGAGGACAAGAAAAAATCCCTTCTCACGGCGCCCAAGTCTACCGAGGAGGACGATGCCTGGATCAAACAGCTTGCTCAGATGGACCTTACCAATGACAGACCAAGTCCCCTTTTTGTCATGATCTTACCAGCCGAGGAAGATGGACGCTATCTGCCTCTCGCAATGAACGTGCTTGACAACCTGCCGTCCTTTCTCCAGTTTCACCTTGGCGAGTTGTCATTCCCCAACTTCATCCAAGTCATCAAGAACTGGTCAGCTACCGACCTTGCCTACCAGAACCGCAGGCTTCATGTCAAATGGGTTCCGTCAGAGCTTTGCTCCTGCTGTATTGACAATCCTACAGGCGACCAAGGTCATCAAGTCCGTGATCCCATGGACTACCTTCTCTGCTTGGAAGACCCTGTGGAAATTCTTGAAGGCACTCTTCACATCGACATCCACCCCAAACATGTTCAAGACGTGGACAATGCCTTTCTGTGATTGGGTACCTTGACAACTGGAACAAGAGCCAGGCTCAACTCCAGACCGCTCTTCAGACCATGGAGACCATCACTAACAAGAAGAACAGTTTGAACACGGACCTAGAGTCTGTTTGTGACAAATTGGACGCAATGAAGGCCGCCCAAGAGGCAGCCGCTGCTATGGCAGAGTTATCTAAAAATGTTAGGCCCGTTCCTATGCTCACAGTAGATGTCCCTACGGGCCCACCGGGCCAGACACTTGTCAGCACTACTCCACTACTCAGTCCCTTGGATTGCACCATTGCACCACCAGCAACAGCTCACAAAACGGACTGAGAAGATGGGGAGGACCAACTCAATGCGTCCTTTTCTATGGACACCAGTCGTGGGGGTACTAGTACCCCCACGACAGGTCCATGATAAACAAAAGATCGCCTGTGGCTTGGTTGCGGCGTAACAGTCATTCATCGTTTATCAACAGCAACCAGTCAATAGCGGCCCCAAACACCTCTCTTGATTGTTAGAACTAAGTAGACTGTGCTCTATCGTGAGTGCCTTTAGCGCTCAGAACAAACTCTCTGCAATCTAAATTTGTAATCAACTGTACAACACTTCCACAATAATAGTTCTCCTGTATTAGGTATACTTTGAGTGAAATTGTTCCTATTAGATTAATGTTTGGCTTGAATTGATGATTCAATCACAAAAGTGAGTTCAACAAATTTCTGTGATAAAGAAATAACAAATATTGATAGCTTAGCTTCTTTTGCCCGCGCTCTTGTGACCATTCTCTTCCAGTAGAATCAAGCTTTTGTTATCCTGATACAAGAAGTTTCTTTTGATCGGATACCCTTTGCCACTCCATGAACAACTTGGTCCATAGTATCATCGTGAGAACATTGTCAACAGCAATCAGTTCCGCTTCTGTACTGCTTCTGCTGTTTAGTTTTTGTTTCTTTGACATCACTTGAGCTGCACCTCCTCCAAAGGATAAAGTGCCGCCAGTATGGCTTTTGAAATCTGGATGCACCGCAAATGATGCGTCTGCCATCCATTTCATGACTTGTAGTGATTCTGCAGAAAGTTTCAGGTGATACAACAATGTAAAAAAGAATATATCACATCATGCAGACACACTTCTTCCAATCAGACTCTGTGGGCTCTCGAACTCTCAAGGCAAGAATTGGATGGATATCCAAACGAGCTCTGTTAGAGACATAAAGTCCCCTTGCAACAGTAGTATGAAAGATCTGACGGTACTCAGCATTGGGTAACTTTCGTTTACCAGCTTTCAGTAAATCGTTACCAGCTGGTGTTTCCTGCTTTGAATCCTTGTTGAACTTGATAGGAAAGTCCTCCAACATGTTCTTGACATAGTTGTCCATGCGGATCTTGAGTTTTCCTTTCACCGAGAAATCCAAAGTCATTCCAAGATATCTGTGTATTGTTCCTCTGACGATTGTGCACGCATCAAACCATATCTCATGTTCAACCACTTAGCAAATTTGTCATTTACTTTTGGATCCATGTGACTTGACAAAAGATCGTCAACATGAAACCTGATAGTTTGCTGTTTTTCATCAACAACTTTGTTAGCAACACACGGGTCATACGGATTGAAAACAAATCCCTTTGCCTCCAAATCACTTTGAAACTGATTATAGAATAGGAGGCTCAATTGCAACCGAACTGTGATTTATCAGCCCCCTGCAACTTGTGCAGTCACATTATTAATCATACACATCGTGTCAGAAAACATTTATACTTGAATAGTCTCAAAGAACTTTAAAACTCATTTTTTTGTCATATCCCTAGAATGATTTCTGTTGAGGCAGTCCTGACATCATATGCGACGTGATGACATCTGACATGTCACGGTGACTGGCTATCCAAGTCAGACCAAGTTTGATGGACAACAAATAATGGACTCTTTTAGATTGGTTACACCAAGTGTACACAACATATGGTACCAGTAGTCATGTAGTGGCGATACTGTTGTGGTAAATATGTCGTTGTAATATGCTGAAAAGTAAGCTACAGAATTCGAAGCAGCCAAATAGTGTAACTTCTCCATTCCTCCAAAACTGACAGAACAAACAATGACAGAAAACAATTGAAGAAAAGTAATATTATTATAAAATAGCCTAAGACTTCAATCATCATCAAAGTATTGGTGCTTGTGGGCACCATACTGCATCCCACTTTCCGTGGCAGTTTCATCGTTGCCTCCCCAGTTGTGGCGTTATATCTGAATCATTGATCTTGTTAGGCTGTTGCTTTTTGGCTCGATCCAAACCAGAAACTAGTGAAGGAGAACTACCGGCAGCGAAATCACGTACTGTTGTGAGTAATAACCCAATTTGGATTGGCAACCCACAATGATGATATTAGGCTTCTAGAGCGTTTGCTCAACGAGATGATGAGCACGCATCCAACCTGTAGACATGCGTTGCAGAGGCAATAGTGCTTTTGTCACTGGACATTGTTCCAAACCACGTACTTTCTTCTATATTGTCTCCGATTTGAACCCAACTGTTTCCGTTCCATTTGAATACTTGGCTGAGCTCGCCGACGCTTGTCAATATCACATTTCCAGAAACTGCATTAATTTCTCGATTAGGGAATAATCTGCTAATCCAACTAGATCCATTCCAAGAGTAAAAAATTTGGTTGTTGATACCAAAACCTACCGAATTCCCATCAGATGAGAAGGCAAATGGGCCGTATCCCAATCTTGACCCTATTTGGGAGAAACTATTCCCGTTCCATTCGTACACCCTGATCCCCATACCAACAGCAAAACCAGAGGGGTTGTTGTGGATTGCAGCTATACGTAATCCATCACCCGACATCTGTGCACCATTTGAGGGAGCATCTATTGTGCCAAGTAGGCTTGTGGCACCTGTGATTGGGTCCAGTGAGTAGTACAGTACCGCTCCGTCTTTACGACATCGCACAAGCAATCTGGTCCCATCATTGGAAATTTGCACGTCTAATCCAGCCTGAGCCTCTTCTTCACCAACCAAAGTGGTAATTTGTGACCAACTGTCTCGGTAATACTTGAAAACCCTTACTATGCCAGTTGAGCCCCAGGATCCAGTGCAACCATCTACGATCATTGTCCCGTCTGCTTTGATGGAATAGCTAGTGGTTGAGCAATAAGCATTGATATTTGAAATCGAGTTTCCAATCTGATTCCCGGTCACAGTATCATAAACTCTGAGTTCTTTTTCCTCATTGTTATAGAGCAAAATGGTACTTCCATCCTCAGAAAGTTCTGGGTTATATGTGTAGAAATCAAACGTGTTTATGAGCACCCAACAAAGTTCAGCTGAGGCAGATACGGTTGGACTCGAAGAAGGAGCCGTTGAAGGTTGCTTTGACGGACCGGATGAAGGGGAAAGCGATGGTTTCGATGACGGAGCTGTAGGAGGAACAAAGCTTGGACTTGAAGAGGGCGCTTCGGAGGGACTTTTTGAGGGACTTTGGGATGGTGTTGCAGAAGGTTGAAGAGTTGGAAAGAGGGTTGGAAATGGTGTAGGTCGTGGTGTTGGGCTTGGGGTTGGCGGGGGGGCAACACTTGCAACTGGTGCAAATGTTGGGAAGGGAGTAGGCCGGAGTGTTACTGGTAGGGTTAGTTCAGGAGTTGGCTGCAGAGTTGGCTGCGGAGATGGCTGCAGAGTTGGTTGCAGTATTGGCTGTGGAGTTGGTTCAGGAGTTGGTTCAGGAGTTGGCTTAGGGGTTGGTCCAACCACTGGTGCAAATGTTGGTGGTGGCGTTGGTTTTGGTGTTGGACCTTCCGTGGGGCTTTCACTTGGAAGGGAAGTTTCCACCAACGCAGGAGAAGAAACCGCTGATGGAGCACTGATACTTGGTGACCCGGTTTGATCTATGGACCCCAGATTCACAACCTTAATACTTTCGTAGAGCTCTGCCAATTCAAGCTTTTCGGCAAGACCTCCACCTCCGAAAAAAAAAACTAGCTCTGTAATGATTGTAGCAACTTTCACACCATTGTCTTTCACCACAATGTCGAGCGTCGAACCGATTCGATGGCACTGCGGATTAGATTCATCGAGACAACTTACTCCTTCTACTCCAAAGGCATCCACCATGACATTTCCAATCGCATATGAAAAGCCATCATCAGGCGCCGCAAGATGGCGATTAGTACTCCTCAAGTTTCGGAGGTCTCGATCGCATCCAGTAAGGGCTGGAGCGAGCAACTCTCTAAGTTTATCCTCAATGATGCCGGCCAAAATGCTCAGATCCATGGGGAGAAAAGGTGTCGCATCCAAATCAAGCAGGTAGCTTTGCATGGGCATCGAATCTTGACCTGGGATTGCGCCACCATTTATGATGATGGCACAGTCTTTTGGGGAGGGCGGTTCGAAGATGATATCGCCGATATTGATGTCGGAAGATGGTCCGGTAGAAGCACTTGGTGCATTCGGATTCGGATTTGGATTGACAGTACTGCTAGGATCCTTGGGACTGCTTGGCGCTACAGTGCCCATGTCTGTTGTGACATTGCTGGGAACACCACCTGATGCTGAATCCTTTGACTCTGACTCAGAGTTGGCCTGCAATGCAATCCAAGTTGCAATTCCCGCACCAGCAAGCACGGCAATACAACATAGATACCGGAAGATTCGGGCGCCCTTTTTAAGCTTGGATTGTTCCCAATCCTTCTCATCAGACCCGCGACCATTCTCCCCTTCTTTGTTCTCTTCTTCTCTCGAATCACTAGATTTGTCTCGTCCCGTAGTGTCTTTGTCACCATGAGTGTCGTTACCTTCATCGATATGATCAAGCATTGAATTTAGCAGAGCCATTGCAAGGTCTGCATCATGGTTCTCCACAGTATTTGCCATCACGAGGCCATCCCCATTCAGGCCACCTTGCTCTTGCACTTTCTCAGCTTCCATTCTGACATGTTCCTCCTCGGAAACGACAGATTGGGTTCCCAATGGCCGGCTGTGTCTTCCCTTACCCAAATTTTGGTCTTTGGGAACTTCGTTTCCACGAGATTCAGCGTGAGCCCCAGGCTCTGGACTAGTAATGGGTTGATTTGATCGATCGAGGAGGTTATTGATCTTTGCGGCAGCATCCTTGGCGATGCCTCGGTCTTGTTGGCTTCGTCGTTTGCTTCTTCGAGGTAATCGATTGACGACTCCGGTTCCTGGCGCTGCGTCGGTGAATACTTGTCCTTGAGTTACCTCCAGATCATTTGTAGTAACGTAATGGAGTCTGGAATCTTCTTCTTCCGAACGGACTCGAGATAGATCGATAGTGGTTACTTTTCCATCCTTCTCGTCTTTAGCAGCTGGATTGCCACGCGATGCTGCATGAGCTCCAGGAGCTCCAGGAACTGCTACGGTGATGGGTTCGTCCAATCGATTCATGATGAGAGCGTCAATCTTTTCGGTAGCATCCTTCTTTGCAAGTTTGTCCCCTTGCTGGCTTTTTCTTTTGCTGCTTCGATGCTTCCTCCTGCCACCTTCCACTGATGGTTCTGCGGTGCCGGAGTAGCCCACAACAATCATTTCTGTAGCAATATTCCCACTCCCACGCCCAGCACGAGCCTTTTCCTTGGCCTCCTTATCTTGTTCTTTGCTTGTTCCTACTTTGCTTGTTCGATTCGGGTCATTACTAGTCCGTTTTGGACTACGGCTTTTGCTGTCGGGCGATTTGCGGCTGCTGCTGCGGCGACCCTTGCGGCTGCTGCCACTATTTACAGATCTTCTGTTGCTTTGCCTTGCGCTTTCTTGTTGATGAGAGTACTTCATGGTGCATCAATTTTCTAAACGCGATTTCGGTGAACACCCGAAAAATGCCGACGCAAAATAATGCGCACTTTGAAATTATTGCGTGTGGGTCATAATCTCTACTAGGAAACCACACAGGTTTTCAACGTACCCGGTACGCTGCAAAATCCCGTTGGTTGGTTTTATGAGACGATGGTACAGTCAGTCGACCCCGTTAACAGAACCAGGATAACAGATCGATGAGTTTAACGGACCCATTTTGAAATGACACAGATTTCACACTCCGTCTGTCATCGTACATCGGTCTGGTCATCGTCCGTTTTCACGAAATCTCTTTAGGACTTCTCTATGTGCCTTCAATACTGTATTGCGTGGTGCACTGAACTGAAGTGTACTGTAACTAGCTGCCTGTCATCATCACTGGAGCTGAGGATCCTGCTCGTCATTGGACCTGCCTGCGTATGAACACGCAAAAGACACAACAAACAAACCTTAGTGAAAACTCTTTCACAGCAAAAAAAATCTAAAACTAATTGACTTTGCTCAATATCGCAACTATAGTACAACACTTTTCTCAACTATAGTACGACACTTTTCTTGTTAGATTTTGCTAAATTTTCTTCTCCAACCCCCGCAAGGGTTCCACCCTTGACCCGCTGGGGGCGGCCCCCAGATCCCCTTTACTTGGGGGCTCAGCCCCCACTTTATCGGAAAGAATGCTCTTTTTCGCGACATTCTG